GTGCTACCGTCGCTCGTGACCTTCCCATCAAGGGACGTAACTTGGAGGGCATTCACTTCGCCATGGAGTTCCTGCACAAGAACACCAAGTCTCTTCTCGACTCCCAGCTCGCCGACAACTCCTACATCTCCGCCAAGGGCAAGCACGTCGTTGTCATTGGTGGTGGTGATACTGGTAACGATTGCATTGGTACCTCGGTTCGTCACGGTGCCAAGTCTGTCACCAACTTTGAGCTGCTGCCTCAGCCTCCGGATGAGCGAGCCAACGATAACCCTTGGCCTCAGTGGCCTCGAATTTACCGTGTCGACTATGGTCACACGGAAGTCCGCCAGCACGACGGCAAGGACCCTCGCGAGTACTGCATCATGTCCGAAGAGTTCCTTGACGACGGTAGCGGCAAGGTCAAGGGTATCAGCACTGTCCGTGTCGAGTGGACCAAGAACCCTAGCGGCGGTTGGGACATGAAGAAGGTCGAGGGCTCTGAGCAATTCTTCCCCGCTGACCTTGTCCTGCTGGCTATGGGTTTCCTTGGACCCGAGGCTCGTGTTCTGGGAGACGAGATTGAGAAGGACGCACGCAAGAACGTCAAGACCGCAGCTGGAAAGTACAGCACCAACGTAGATGGCGTGTTTGCTGCAGGCGATGCTCGCCGCGGTCAGTCGCTTATTGTTTGGGGCATCAACGAGGGTCGCATGGCGGCTCGCGAGGTGGACTTGTACCTGGAGGCTTGCACCAACTTGCCTGTGACTGGTGGTATTATTAAGAGAACCGCTCAGGAGATTTTTACCAAGATTGCGGCGCAGTAGAGAATGAAAACTAGATTTGGGGGAGGCAAAGCAATGAGTTTATGAAGCATGTTGTCATGGGGTTGTTACTAAGTTTTGTATATTTTCCCTTTTGTTTGCTAAATTGAGCAATGATACCATAGCATTTAGTTTTTATATAAAACTTTTTCATGATACGTTCTTTAAATATGTCTTGTGTAATTGTCCCAAGCGGTTGTGAGTCTCGATGCATCTTTCAGTGGATATGTATGCCTGTATGCCCATGTAGAAGGTTCAGGTGCATCGTAACTGCTTTACATTCCGAGTGATGTGCTCGCTACCTCGGCTGACTGTTGTTTGGCATCTTTGGCATAGATGTTTAAACGTGTCTTCTGCGTCCTTGTCCGTGTCCATACTTTCCTTATGTTCACTTGGTGATCAAACAATAGACACGATGATGATGCTCCCGGAAATGACTACAGAGCTCTGGGCAAAAGAATAATATTTCGACAATGACGACGAGAGTGGTGAGCACCATCGAATCTGTAAAGGGGAAATCGAAGAGATGTAGTGCCAGTTATTGGTCATTGACAGAATGCACCAGGGACATTTGTTAGGAAAGCTAAATGCATGTGCACTCTCATATGTGTTCAGGGGCTAGCTTTCCAACCTATCTCAAGTGCTGCTGCAGAAAAGCAATTAGCACTAAAGGACTTGTATCTGAAATCAGCAATGCAAGTTCTAGAGATTTGGAATATTTTCTTCATCACTTTTCACTATATAATATCGTATCGTATGTTCATGCATTTATACAAGACACGAGACGGGTTGACTGGCTTATTGCACGGTAAATTATAGACAATTTCAAGCCTCACAGTGTATTGTAAATTATTGTCGACTAGTCAGGACATCAACGACATTTCCAATCTTCACCTGATTTTATCTAATTTGATTTTTTTCCCCTTCTTCTTTTTTCTTCTCTTGATGCCCAATCGGCTCAGTTGAAACTTTGCCTGCGGGGCGGCCTGCGTCATTTTGCTTGGATCCTGGCATCAGTAGCTCTGCAGTACATTGATGTTCCAAAAGCATCAACAACCAACACGTGCTGGTTAGTGGGAGGTGATAGGCTCCAGAGCCCTGCAGTGGCCCTGCAGGCCTAGTAAAAACCCGCTGGATGCCGGTACGAGTTAGCCGCATTTGCTCTTGGAACCGCAGCGGCAAGCAGCTCGAAGTGGGTTTTTTTGTTTTTTTGCTGCTTCGGCGCCCCGGATAGCGAGGCTAGTGGCGCCGGCGAGATGAGTATAGCGGGCTTAGTGGATAATGGGCAGAGCTTCAGCAGCCGAGCCGGCAAGGCCTAGAAGCGTGTAGTGGGCAAAGCTGGACTCCGTGTTTGCCTTGCTTCAATTAAAAACAATTTTGGCCTACGTCGACTCAATCGAGACGAAAACCTTGTTTCTCCCTCTTCGTGCCGCAAACCACGCATCTGCCTCAGCCTCTCCAGGTCCTATCTTGTTTTAATCTGCATTGACCAATCCTACTCCTTCTGGCTCAATTCGCGATTCACCGATTCACCGCTGCATAACCCAGCGGAAGCTTCAACTTCGGCCAATACGATCGAGACGGAGACGAGCCGACGATTGTTTTTTTCCCCTTGAGGATTGCCGCCGACAGAGGGTATAAAGGAAAAAAAAAAAAAAAAAAAAAAAAATCTGCGAGATGCGTTTCGGAAAGACGCTGCGCGAGTCGATATATCCGCCATGGAAGGACAAATACGTCGACTATGGCAAGCTCAAAAGCCTCCTGCGAGAGGATAAGAGAGACGACGAGACTGTTTGGACTGAGGAGGACGAGAGCCGCTTCTGCGATGAGATTTTCAACGTGCAGCTCGAGAAAGTCGCCCAATTCCAGCAAGAGCGCTTCGACAACCTTAAGCAGAGGGTTGAAGCTGCGTTTGAGAAGCTCAAGGAGGTTGCACCGCCTGCCGAGCCCAACGCTGAGGTCGAAGGCAGCGGTAGCAAATCGGATGCCGACCGCGAGGCAACCGCCACAAAGCTCAAGGAGATTGAGGCTGAGCTTGACGAGATCACTAATGAGGTCAAGGCCCTGAAGAAGTACAGCAGCATCAACTATACGAGCTTCCTCAAGATCGTCAAGAAGCATGATCGCAAGAGGGGTGACCGTTACAAGGTGCGGCCGATGATGCAGCTGAGCCTGGCTCAGCGGCCCTTCAACTCTGAACAAGGCTATTCGCCTCTCCTAAATAAGCTGTCTGTCATGTATTTTGCTATTCGACAGCAATTGGAGGAGGGCGACCAGGTTCCGCTCGAATTTGATGCTTCAGCAGAAACCCACAATGGCGAGCGATATACTGCCCATAAGTGTGAGTGACATTGTAGAATTCGGGTTATATAAACTATTATTTGGCTTGCTAACATGCAATTGCCAGTTTGGATACACCCCGACAACTTACTCGAAGTCAAGACCCTGATTCTCCGTCGTCTTCCCGCCCTTGTTTATAGCGAGCAGTCGGCTAAGGAGCTCGATGCTTCCGATTCACCTTCCATCACCTCGCTCTATTTTGACAACCCCAAGTTCGAAGTATACTCAGAGAAGGTCGAACAGCAATCAGAAGTGACTTCTCTTCGTCTGCGATGGTACGGCCAACTGAGCTCTAGGCCGGAGATTTTCGTAGAACAAAAGTCAGCCGATGCTACTGGCAAGAGCGAAGAGCACAAGTTTACAATCAAGGACAAGTACATCAGGCAGTTCCTGGACGGACAGTACACGGCTGAGAAGGCGATACAGAAGATGGAGAGGCAAGGCGAGAGCCTAGAACAGATTGAAGCTTTCAGGTCGACCGTTGCTAAGGTTCAGGAGTTCCAGCAGAAGAGAAAGCTGGCGCCAGTGTTAAGAGCTAACTATGTCCGCACTGCCTTCCAGAAGCCTGCTGATGACCGAGTCCGCATCTCAATCGATACCGACTTGGCTTTCATCCGCGAAGACACTCTGGACAAGAGCAGGCCTTGCCGTGATCCCAACGAATGGCACCGAACCGATATCGATAATAGCAATATGAAGTACCCGTTCCCGAATATCAACCAGAGCGAAGTATCAAAATTTCCCTACGCTGTGCTGGAAATCAAATTGAAGGAGGACGGCACCCGCAAGCGGCCGACCTGGATAGAGGACCTGATGGGCTCCCACTTGGTGCACCCATCCCCTCGTTTCTCCAAATTTGTCCACGGAGTTGCCTCCCTGTTTGACGACTACGTTAACAACCTGCCCTTCTGGCTTGGCGATCTTGAAACCGACATTCGCAAGGACCCCCAAAAGGCTTTTGAAGAAGAGGAGCAGCGCCGAGCCCAGCGTGCGGATGATGCCATGGCCGTGGGAAGCCTCATCGGAACAGTGCCAAGCTCCTATAAGGCAGCCCAAAGCTCACCTGTTGGAAAATCATATTTGGCAGAGCGCATGGCAGCTGATGCCACGGCCTACCTGTCTCGTTCCCTAAGACAGAGGCCCCAAGGGAGAGACGGAACGCAAGAAGAAGAGGGCCAGGGTAGCTCTTCCCAAGCGCAACCAAGTGGATACGGCACCCTATCATCAGTTCTCCCTGGATTGTCTCTCTCCAAATACGCCAGGGCTAAGCGCGCTCAGAAAGCCCGTCTGCCCGAGGGCGTTGTCGAGCCTACGCAATGGATCAAGAACAAAGGGGAGCTCAAGGTTGAGCCCAAGGTGTGGCTGGCCAATGAGCGAACCTTTCTCAAGTGGCAGTCCATTGCCATCCTGCAGGGCACTCTGGCTCTGGCGCTATATTCGGCGGCTGGCGACAATGCGATTGCGCAGTGGATCGGAATTGCGTACATCGCCATTGCGGCGTTTGCAGGCATCTGGGGCTACAGCATCCATCAGGTTCGCAGAAGCATGATTGTGGAAAGGAGCGGCAAGGACTTCGACAACATGATTGGGCCGATTATCATCAGCGTGGCCATGATGATTGCGCTGATTGTCAATCTTGTTCTTCAGGTAAGAGCACGATGGATTATGTGATTGAAATCGACGAATGAGTGTGCAGCTGACATTATATAAAGTACCAGAAAGCATTTGCCAAGATGAAGAATCTCGACTCGGATATGCCGATGCCCATTACGGACGAGTTGGTGTAGAAGAAGAGCGTGCATGTGTACACTATGCACATGCATACATGCCGTGTATAATAGCAGCGAGGCTAGAGAAGCTCAAAGGGCCGTGTGAAGATATTTTGGACAAATTGTTATAGTCGATGCATATGCTTGTACTTTGATATCATCTTGCCGTAGGCGAAGGTGTGTGCGCGCGTTTCTCAGCGTTGTCAATAATAGTTCTAAAGAGTGAGTTGCGATATAATTTAATATTTTATTTTATAGGAACAATATGATGCAATGCGAGAATCGTGGCTATTTTATTCGTATTGGACAAAAACAGTTGATTCAATAGTCAAATATCCATGGTTCTATGCCTGCTACTTTGGCCAACAGTGTGCCGAATTCGGGGTATGGCGGCGGCGATTGGGTCTCGCATCTCAAATAGTTACCGGGGTGGTTGGTCACCTGGCCTTATTCCACATACCTTGCTACACTAACCCTGTCCCATGTCTTTCGTTGTCTTGTCGTTTTTATATTTCGACAGTAGCAGTAAAAACTCCATATTTTGTCATATGCAGCGCTTATATGCAGTGTGCGGCATGCAGCATGCAGTTGCATTTGGTACCGAAAAGACCATGCAGAGTACCGCTGGTCAATATCACAACCTATCATCGCCACTTCATGTTGGCTCTATTAAAGAGCTGCGCTCTATTTGAAAAGCTAGTATTTGGCTTGCATTGGGCAGAATACAGGGAGAACAGAATCGCGCGTTGTGACGGGCACGTGGAGAATTGGATTTGTGCACGAGGGAACAATCGCAGCATCCATAGCATGGCATGAAAGAAGGCAATGGAGATTGCTGCAAACTTGTAGAAACAAGCTATTGTCCATGTTTTACAATAGTACTGGCTTTCTTCCTCGTTTTCTCTCTCCAAAATGATTTAGCCGGTTTCCAATAAGAACACTGTGTAGAAGCAGAAATGCAGCCAAAGTCTCGCCATTCGTTTGCCGTGGTTGCCAGATGCTGGTCACCGGTAGGCGCGGGCGGCTACCTATTGTGGCATGTTGTACGTACAAGTGCGTCCTGCCTCAACATCTCGCTTTTTCTCGCCCTTCCCTTTTGCGACTTTCAACTGCTCCTTGACCTCTACCCTCTTTTTTCTCTCTCCCTTTACTCCCAGTTGCCCGTGAATATTCGACTGCGATTTACAAATATAGGATCGCGCCAGTGGAACAACCTCTCAAGCATCAAACCCAATCGACTAAGATGCTTTCGCTACCGACGAGACGCTGAAACGGAAACGAAGAAAGCTGGCTAGCCATGCACTGCAGTATTACTGGGGAGATTGACCGACTTTTCGTGAGAATTTTTTTTTTAACCTACCATCTCTCGCCTTAGGGCGCCGTTGGAGAAAGCGTTTAGCGAAAGTGGTCGGGTAGGTTTTTTTTTTTCGTGAGGAGAGGTGACGGCCATGGAGCAAAGGAAAGAAAAATCCAAGTTTTGGGGAGGGCTGTTACGCGGGGAGAGCTTGATGAAGAGAGGGTCTAGGGTGGTGCGCAAGTATCAGGATCTGCTGCTGCGCGGAGAAGCGCGTGAAGAGGCCGACCCGGAATGGGAAGACTACAACGAGAACAGAGAATTCCAGCAGCAGCCGCAGCTACGAGAACAGCAAGATCACGATGAACAGCAGCTGAGGCAGCAGCGCAGGCTGAGCGAGGGCAGCAATAGTCTTGTTTTGTCGCGCCGTGAGCTGGGGCTTCACCCACGCAGGCGCCGGACCATTGATGGAGGGGGCGGCAATAGCAGTGACATCCATGGGCGCTCGCCCAGAACGTCGGCCACGAGGCGACGACCAGACGAATCGCTGTCTGGACGCCTTCAAATGAGCTTTGGCAAGAAGCGAGGTAGCGGCGCTGACCTCGACTACAACAACAACAATAACACTATCAATACTGCTGCCGATGACAAGAAGCACATAATCCCCGCAGCGCAGGCGACGAACAGAGGCGAAGCAGCGCAATGGCCTCCGGTCACCACATCAGACCGCGAAGAGCTTTCCCACCAGGATGCCCTCGAGCTGATTGCGCGTGGTGCGCCAACCTACAAAGGGCGCAAAAAATCAATCCCTTACACATCGGACCAGCATTATGCGCTGTACGTGACGAGCTCGAAGAGCCGGAGGGGGGGCACAGACGTTGCAAAGCCGCACGATGCCATGTCGCATCTCATGACAATGAAGATACAGGCGCACGGACACGTATCGTCACCCTGGGAGACCATAGAGCAGCCGAGCTATGCCTTCTTCTATGGTCGTATAGGCGGCACCGTTACGCTCAACCAGTGGGCTGCAGCAGCAAGCAACATCCCATCCAAGATTGCGCTGCGAGACTCGGGTGTCATACCGCGGTCGGTAACCTTGGAGCAAATCTTTGCGCGACTGCAAGACTTGCAGCAGCTGGGGCTAGAAGATGATGACTTGGGCCTCTTGTATCGATCTCTATACAAGCGCTTCTTGCGGGATCCTGACAAGATGTTAAGCCCACACAAGACGCTAGATAAACAGATTGCCGATCTGATCATGGCTCTGTCACGTCCTGACTGGATCGATTACACAGAGCCAAAGAATCAGGTCGTGACTCGTTTCATTTTTGACGGCGCAAACGAGGAACACCGAGAGCAATACCACAAGTTTTTTCACCAGCTGCTCCTCAGCCTAGAACTGGAACTTCGTATTCATTCGCGGCATCACGACGACTGGGCCAGGGAGAAACTGTTACAACAGATGCCTCCTACAATCAAGTGGAACTTGGCTCTCGCGAGACGGTGGCGGGAGAATGTTCGAGTTGAAGAGTATGGCAGTTCGCCTGCGGATGGTAAGTGACATGCTTCCTTTTTGGCGGCCCTTTCGATGGTGAAACAAGAAACGGGAAAGGAGACCGAGTAGTTGTGTTCGAGAAACACAAAAACTAATGGTATGACGTTCTAGTGAGACTGCGGTATAAGCTGAAGAAGCGCCAAGTGAAGCAGCTTAAGAAGTTTGCTCAGATTATGAAGTGGCCTAACCTGAGGGAAACAATGGAAAGCCTCAGGCAAAAGGATGAAGAGTTCGCTCTGGATTCCATAAGCTCGGATGCGTTTGCCTACTTTAGCGGTCTTGTACTTCCTGGTGTAAGTTGTATTTTGATGTAGCGGCACAATAAGCAGCAGCCGAGAGGGGGCAGAGGTCATTGAAAAATATCTTGCTAACGGATGATAGCCAACATTCTCGTTCCTCATTATGAACTCGCTCATCGATCTAGACCCGGATCCTGCCACAAATGAGCTTGCTTTGCTCTCACATATGCACCCACAGTGTGGCTTCCAGTATCGTAATAGTCATACATACTGGTCGGCGAGCTGCATTGTAGGTAAAGTGCTGGCACCCACATGCCATTCGGTAGCTGGATGGGTTGGACCTGGTAGACCTACGGTGGACCTTGGCAGGTCTCAGATAGCTCGTATCCGAGCCCGGCAGCCGAAGCAGAAAATGGCCCGAGAGGACGTAGAGAGCATGAGCACGCGGTCCGATGCGTTAGGGCCACGGGCAGATACATATCCTGTGCGTGAGTATAAATTACCTACGCTTGACAGCACGAGGTACATGGTCGACGCGGTGCGGATGGAGCTATTGAGTTTCAAAGCAGTCTCTGCGACATCAAACGAAAGCAGCGCCATAGGTCCTCGGCTCTTTGATGCTCAAGTCCAATTTGCCATTGATGGTGTTTCCTGGCCGCTACGATTAATGTACGACGTGAGCTTCGTCTCGGCATGGCCCTGTGCAGAAGGACCACACCCCCTTTTCTACGACTACGAGTATCAGCTCATAAAGGCGGACGAGATTGTAAGAGTACGCAATTGGGGCGGCTTGTATGGAGATGGCCAAGCTTCTGGACCTAGTAGCACAGCCTCGAGCCCTCCACCGGCGGCAGACGTGGCGAAAGCCATTGTCGATAGGGACGTCGACGATGAGAAGGTGCTCGTGGTAGATGCAGTGGGGGTTCGAGACAATGAGGTGCTGGCAAGAGCTTGGTGCGCTCATTGGGGGCTCAGCGCCATAGTGGCGGATGTTCACAACACATGGTATGTTTGATCATTCATCACTTTCTCCTTGAACACCGAAACTGACTTTGCTCTGAAGCATGGCGTGTGCTATCAGAGAAGCATATGCGGCGACACTGACGGTAGTGATTCTGGTCGAAGACCAGCCACATGATATTAACGAATAACGAATAACGAATTTACGTATGATATGAATTTACTTGCATTTCTTGCCCTGCTCGATTCATAGGATGTCGTCTGGGGAAGAAAAATGTGGCCGCAAGTGGTTGGTGGATAATGCTCGAGCACTTGCTTGCCTGGCTATCTGGGAGGGAGGGGGAGTTGAGGCCGTCTTTGTAGTTATACTATTTGAAGGGGTGATAAGGAAAAGATTTGGCGCAACAATACATTCAAGATGGAGCTGGGCTCGTGAGCTTTGATATTCATTCTGAAGCGTTGTCAGTTACAAGATATCATCAAGATATGTATAGGAACATTTATCTAGGAAGTTCCTGTCACAAACAATATGATTACGGTCTTGGCACAATATAAATCAGGTAACGGGCATAATTCAACATTGTAACCATCGTCAATGCCGTTGATATCCGTCCAAGGTCGTTTCGCATTGACAGCGCTGGTGATACCGAGTGTTGGTTGAACTGATGGCTGCATAAAAGCCCACCACGTCATCCTGCAGAGGCTACACGCACACAGACCGCGTACTAGGGAGAGATTCAGCGATGAAGAGAAGATTGTCGTATCGCCTGAAACAAGGTGAAATCATGGATTATTCCATCTTCAATTATCAGATATACGATTTTGTTGCGATGGCAAGATGGGCTCGGAATTTGTTGGCTAATAGTCAAGTCTTGATGTAAGTGACCGTCTTGCCGGCGCTTTCTTGAGACAGGTGTTGTGGGTGTCACCTCAAAAAACAGGTGTTACGTGAGACATGGAGGGGAGGCGAACACAAGCTTCTTGTGAAAGGACTGGCCTTTCTTGTTTTGGGAAAGGTTTGCATTGGTGAGTAGCTATGATGTTGTGGGAGTCGTGTGATTTGTTGCTTGCAGCTTTTGGTGAGACAAGACCGTTTTTTTTGAAGGCTTTTTGAACAGTTACACGTGAAGTATATATAAACAAGATGGCTCTTGGAGGTTATATTCTAGGCGTTGGATGAGATTCTATAAGCAGAAGATTTGAGATATAAGTCGCATCACAATTACACCCTTATGAAGCACATCATATCATATCACACTCATAATTGCAAATAGTTGGGTCTCTTCACAATGGCAAATCGCATCCATACCCTCTCTGTGCGGTATGAAAAGGCTCTCGTCATTGGCGTGGGCGAGTTCTGCGGCACATTCATGTTCTTGCTTCTATCTTTTATGGGAGCGCAAGTGGCTCTTGATAACAATCCAACCGGCCAGCGGCCAGATCCAGCCACGCTGCTGTACATTGCCTCGTCGTTTGGAACTGCGCTGGCAGTGAACGTGTGGGTGTTTTACCGTGTTACAGGAGGCATGTTTAACCCTGCGGTAAGATATTGAACTACTCCCCTTTTCTTCACAACATCTTGTTTGTCAGTTCATATAAGCTGATATGAGCAATCATTCTTAATACAAGGTCACCCTAGGACTCGTCTTGGTCGGAGCCGTAAAGCCTCTCCGAGCACTCATCATCGTGCCGACGCAAATCGTCGCCGGCATCGCCGCCGCCGCCGTGGTCTCAGGCCTGCTGCCCGGGCATCTCGACGTGACAAACAGCCTCGGCAGCGGCACCAACACGGCGCAGGGCCTCTTCATCGAGATGTTCCTCACGGCGCAGCTCGTGCTGACGGTGTACTTCCTCGCCGTGGAGAAGCACCGCGCGACGTTCCTCGCGCCCGTGGGCATCGGCGTCAGCGTCTTCATCGCGCACATGGCCGGCACGAACTTCACCGGCACGGGCATCAACCCGGCGCGGAGCTTCGGCCCGGCGGTGGTGACGGGCAGGTTCCAGGCTTACCACTGGATCTACTGGCTGGGGCCGTGCCTGGGCGCGCTGCTGTCGTTTGCGGTGTACACGCTGCTGAAGATGCTGGAGTATCAGATTGCGAACCCGGGCCAGGATGCGGGCGATCCGGAGACGGCCAACGAGGAGGCGCTGGCGGCGGCGGAGATGGGGCAGGAAGGGCTGGCGATGGTGAGGAGCAGGACGAGGAGCGGGAGCGCGCCGAGCGATTTGCGGTTCAAGAGGGATTCGGCGGCGATGAGGAGGAGTTCTGCGCCGGATGGGAGCGCGGTGAGTGCGGCGGATGCTGTTTGAGAAGGAGAAGCATCGTCGTCGTCATATCATGGCAAGGGGGGAAGAATGTCTAAGAGGTTTTGGCTATGGATGCTGTTTCTGTTTCACCTGAATACGAAAGAGACACCGTTGACCATCTAGTCTACTAACTATTATGCGCCACGAAAACAAAAACCGTCGGCTGATTTATTGTTCTCTTCCGCCAAACGTTCCAGAAACGCCATCCCGCTCTGCCACCGCAATCGGAGCTCGTATAATTTGGCTCCGGCGTGGGATGGCTTTGGAAAAAAACGAAGCTACTTCATGCATCTCATACGGGGAATAATCTGGCCTCAAATTTAATTTAAATTCAATTACGCAAAGACAACCTCTTTTCTCTCTCGGCATCAGTTTCTCTTAAACGCCACAAAGAGCTGGAAAACGGCACTTGATAGGTTGCGGCCCCAGAAAAGCGGAGGAAGCGAGTGAGGAGAGGAGAGGATCATCGCTAGGCAGCAAGTTAGGAGAAAAAAACAAACACGGCAAAAAAAAAAAAAAAGAAACTATCGTGAATGACCTGCTGACTGGGAGAAGTTTTTTTTTTTTTTTTTTCCTCAAAAGTGGATGCTGCTTCGAAATCTATTCTTGTTTCTTTACATCAGGCGTATTGTCTTCGGCAGAGTTCGGTAGAAGTTCCTGAGTTTCCACAATGAGATCATTGATGATGCCAGGACCAGTTTTTTTTTTCCCTCTCTTCTTTTTTTAATTTTTAATCTTTTACTACACACTTGTTCATGAGATTCATCCGCGGTTCAAGTGGCAAGGTGATCGGCAATTGTCACTGCTCGTTGATCGATTGCTGCTTAGTAGACGTCCATCCCAGTCTGCAGCGCCCAAGCGCTGGAGTTGAGGGGCAAAACAGGGTCTTGGTAGCGGGGCAATGGGGTAAGTTTTAGTGGCCTTGCGCTACGGTATTGGCAGCTACAGGGACGCCCCCCCGCAATGCTGAAATGCTGGAGCCTGCGCTGGGTCTCTCCATCTGAGGGCCCCAATCCAGCGAGTTCTCCTCGTGCCGCAACCACCGACATGCGCAGCGAATAGCCGTCTGATGGGCTCCAATTGGCCCGGAAGGGCCTCGAGAACTTCGATTGGGGGCGTGTCTCCAATCTGGCAGTTTTGGGGGCCAATGGCCACTCCCGCACGCCCCTAGGTCTTTGCCCGTCAAGGCGGTGGAGGGGCCGTCGTTGCGCCTCTTTGTCTATATCCAGGCCCTCCTCTTGTTTTCCGAACCCCTCGACACAACCACCATCTTGTTTCTGCTAGATTGCATATGCCCTTTGTCTCACCACCACCAGCCTGACCTAGTTCGTGGCTGCTTCCAGATTCGAATCCAGCGAGCCACCATAATCAGCGGGGAAAGGGCCCAGAGGGCTTGATCGGGAACCGAAAAAGCAACGAAACCGGACGTCGCCATGTACGCGTACAACAAGCCCATAAAGGCCATGGAGTGAGTCGCTAACCCTTTCTTTGTATTTCCATTCATTCTACCTATTTAAGGCCGTATATGCCGTTGCGCATCCTCCTTCGGGTTCCTCCAATTCTTTACTGTGCACTGTTTTGCTAATTGCTGTTCTTACAACAATGGACAGGCCTCCCAATATCCAGGTAGCTAGCCCCAACTCTAATGCGCCAGTCCCAACATCTCAGCGGCAAACCATATACGACATTGGCAGAGCCGAAGCCTTCAGCGCCGTCAAACGGATAATATAGAATGTTACAAGGCTAATTTCAAATCAATTACAGGACCACTACATCGGCATTGATGTCGGCACAGGCTCTGCCCGCGCCTGCATCATCGATGAGACCGGTGATATCAAAGCCTTGGCCTCTGAGAATATCAAGCTGTGGCAGCCCGAGAACGGCTACTATGTACGCATTTCCGACTGGACATCTTAACCCTGTGTGTATGGCACTTAATTCTAACATTTCAATGCTCTTTTTTAGGAACAATCCACAACAGACATCTGGCGCTGCATCTGCGAGTGTGTGCGCCGAGTTGTGCAAGAGTCTCTGGTCAACCCAAACCAAATCAAGGGCATTGGCTTCGACGCCACCTGCTCCCTGTCCGTGTTCTCCAACGATACCGACGAGCCTATTCCCGTTACCGGTCCCGATTTCACCAACGATGGCAATGACCGGAACGTCATTCTCTGGCTAGACCACCGTCCGGTCGAAGAGACAGAAAAGATCAATGCCACCAACCACAAGCTGCTCAAGTATGTCGGTGGCAAGATGAGCATTGAGATGGAAATTCCCAAGGTTCTATGGCTCAAGAACCACATGCCTCCTGAGCTGTTTGCTCGCTGCAAGTTTTACGACCTGGCAGACGCTCTTACTCACCTGGCTACGGGTAACGAGACGCGCAGCTTTTGCAGCGCTGTTTGCAAGCAGGGCTTCGTTCCTGTGGGTGTAGATGGCAGCGTTAAAGGCTGGCAAGAGGACTTTTACCACGAAATTGGCCTCGGTGACTTGGTTAAAGATGATTTCAAGCTCATGGGTGGCGTCGACGGGGTGGTGAGCCTATTTTCTTTTGCGTCTAGATTCTTTGCTGCTGCATTCTGCCCCTTTGCATGCAGCAAACTTTTTCAATTTTGAACACTCTTAACTAACTGTCCTTGATTACAGAGCGGAAAGTTTGCTAGCGCTGGCGAGTGCGTAGGCACCCTCAGCCGTCTAGCCGCCTCTCAGCTTGGCTTGCCAGAGGGCATTGCCGTCGGAAGTGGTGTCATTGATGCCTATGCAGGCTGGATTGGCACAGTTGGTGCCAAGGTCGAGCTGACTGAAGACGAGCTCAAGACCGATGTTCCCAAGAACGACGTTAGCCAAGCCTTTACTCGCTTGGCCGCCGTCGCAGGCACCTCAACATGCCACTTGGCCATGTCTAGAAATCCAGTCTTTGTCCCCGGTGTTTGGGGACCTTACCGAGATGTGCTGATTCCCGAGTTCTGGATGGCCGAGGGTGGCCAGTCAGCAACAGGAGAGCTGCTACGGCACATGCTGGACATCCACCCGGCGTATAATGAGACCATGGCTCTGGCCAAGGCTGAAGACAAGCACATTTACGACTTCCTCAACGCCCACCTTGAGTACATGGCCGAGAAGCATCATGCGCCAGCCGTCTCTTACCTTGGGCGCCACTACTTCTTCTATGGCGATCTGTGGGGCAACCGCTCACCCATTGCAGATGCCAACATGAAGGGCACCATGATTGGTCTTGACAGCGACAAGAGCACCGACAACATGGCATTATGGTACTATGCCACCATGGAGTTCATTGCCATGCAGACTCGCCAGATCATTGAGCAAATGAACAAGGCCGGCCATGAGATTTCTTCCATCTTCATGTCTGGGTCTCAGTGCCAGAACCCAATTCTCATGAATCTCCTAGCCACAACGTGCAACATGCCAGTGTTGATCCCCAAGTACGTCAACGCAGCAGTCGTTCACGGAGCTGCCATGTTGGGCGCAAAGGCAGCCAGCCACAACCTCAACGATGGTTCAGAGCCCGAGACACTGTGGAACATTATGGACCGGATGAGCAAGCCCGGCCGACTGGTTCAGCCCGGCACTGATGTCGGCGAGAAGCTGCTGCTGGATGCCAAGTATGAGGTTTTCCTCGACATGTGCAACACGCAGCAACAGTACAGGAAGAAGATTGACAACGCTGTCGAAAAGTGGGGAGCCTTGTTTGACGCTGATGACGAGTAAATTATCACTATGAAGCAAGCGTGATGAACTGATAAAAGGATGACAAGACGGTTTGGAAATAGAATTGACCTTTGGAAGCGACTTTGGTCTATGTAATGTAATGAGATTATGCATTTGCCTGTTGATAGAGACAAAAAAACAAACATAGCGAATTTTTTTGCCTATAGATAATTATCCTCAAGTGATTTTCAACAAGCGTTCTATGTCATCCATATGTACCATACCGCGTAATTCTGAAGGAAAATAACAATAAATGATATATAATGGGCAAGCACGTCATTGAATAGCATTCATTAATGAGTGCGGCCATTGTGATGGTGAACCGATCGCTGATTGGTGGCCGTCTCTCAGCCGCGTCAGCCAATAGCGCTTTTGATTGGTTCGAGCTATCTGTTGCCTAGCCAGGTTCTCAGCCTCGCCAATTCAGGTGCCAAAATTCTAAACCTGCGGCTAGCTAGCTGCGCGTCTGCCCACCTTGAATCTTTCCAAACGCGAGAGCGCCTCTGCCTTTCCATTGCCCGCGCGTGGTGCCTCTCTCTTTTTCCATCCCTTCTTATCCCTCTGGGACTTTTTTTCTACTTTACTTTTCTATTAACTGTCTTGTCGATACTTCTTCGCAACGCCGTCACGATGTCTCTTTTCGGCGGACAGACGACCGGCTCATCGCTGTTCGGCCAACCCGCGCAGCAACAACAACAGGCCCAGAACAACACCACAACGACAGGTGGAGGAGGTGGTTTGTTTGGCGGTGGCGGTGGTGGCGGACTGTTTGGAGGCGGGCAGCAACAACAGCAACAGCAGAAGCCTGGGGGCCTCTTTGGATCAGCAACAACAACTACACCACAGACTGGCGGAGGTCTCTTCGGATCAGCCACGACAGCTACACCACAGGCCACCACAGGCGGCTTGTTTGGACAGGCGGCGACGACCCAGAACCAGCAGACTACTACAACCGGCGGTGGCCTGTTTGGAAACACCCAGAATGCAGCCGCGCAGCAGCCAAAGCCTTCGCTATTCGGCGCCTCAACACTGACCGGTCTAGGTGGTGGCACTACAGCCGCGAAACCGTCTCTGTTTGGAGCTGCGACAACTGCCCCGGCTCAGCAAAGCACGGCCTTGCCTTTGGCGGGTGGTCTTTTGGGCGGCCAGGCGCTGACTGCCCAGAATAACAACACGACGAGCGCGGCAGCTCAACCCGCAGGAGCCTACTTCGACAGCCTCTTTGCGAAGACCCAAAAGGCGGGCGTTGTTAATTCCAACATGGAAGATCTCCCTAGCCTGGAGCTGGGCTTGGGCGACTTGCGCCATCGCTTGAGAAAGCTGCAATCGAAACAGACCGAAAGAGCAGATGGAAAGGCTCACTACCTTCTCGCCGCCTCGGGCGTGGATCCTAGTACTGCGGCTAAAGACCTCGGCTTGCTCGATATTCAAGGCGCACGAACCGAACGACCAACACACGGTTATCCCCCGGCTGATGTCGACGTCGAAACCTATTTGTCGAATTTGCAAACGAAAACGACCCTTAGCATGATTCAAGATGGCTTGGAGCGGTCATTACGCGATTTCGATAACTTCTTGGAGGATAATGTGGCTATGGAGTGGGATGCGCAGCGGAAGCGTATTTATCAACATTTCGGCATCAAGCCTAGAGAGACCTCAGTAACAGCTGGTCGCGAGTCTCAGGGTGGATTTGGAAAGTCTCGACGTGGAAAGACCCAAGGGAGCACTCCACGCGATGCTCGTAGCAGCACGTTTGGTACATCTACGTTCCAACGGTCTGTTATCGGAGCGCGATCAAGGATTGGAGCTCATCAATCTGAATTCGCCGACGTTGAACGGGCTACGGATGGCGTCAGCAAATCAAGAAATGAAGACCAGGCCCTCCGTGAACGACAATCGAAGTTGGCCGAAAAGGTCCGCAGCCTTAATGCTTCACGTCTGGTGGGACGCCCTTATCCCATCTTGGCTGAGCTGGCAGAGATTGAGCAAAAGTCCCACGAACCCCATGCACCTCACATTGTGGAGGCCTATCGAGCCATGATTGAGATCGTTGGTGAAGATGCCGATGCCGAGACGTCGCTTAACGGCAACACTGCCAAGGAGCGCCAGTTCGCCGAGATGTATCTGGATGAAAACCCCAATTCTCAGCTTTCAGTCGAAATGAGGAAGCGCATCTTGAGCGGCGCCAACGCCTTCCTCGAGAAGCAGTTCCTTCGCGAGGTGGAGTCGCTCATTGCCAAGCATCCTCACGAGGCCAAGCTGGGTGGTCTGCCTGATATCACTAGTAAGATCAAGGCATACATCCGCTTGCGATCTGCCAGGAAGGACTTGGTTCCGGACAACACCGAGCTTCAGCAAATCCATGGCGAGTATGTTTGGGCCATCGTTTTCTATCTGATCCGATCCGGTCACGTAAATGATGCTGCCAAGTATGTCAACGATAATAGCAATCACTTCCGAGGAATTGATCGCACGTTTTCGACCTATCTCAACAACTATGCTGCCAGTGAAGATCGCAGAATCACTAACAGGAAACTTCTCGACCGCTGTACAAACGAATACATCCAACGATCCCGAAATGCCCCAGAGAACACAATCGATCCCTTCCGCATGGCCTGTTACAAGGTCATTGGTCGGATTGAGTTGAATAACCGCAATCTGGATGGCCTCAACACCGATATCAACGACTGGATTTGGCTGCAGTTCAACTTGGCTAGAGAAGGCGACAAGGCGCTGGAGATGGCTGGAGAATCGTACGGACTGGCAGATCTCCAGAATAGCATTAAGGAGATTGGCCAGAAGCACTTCCCCAAGACTGCCTCTGACGATAACAACGGCAGCTGTGGCATGTTCTTCTACCTGCAGATCCTATCTGGCATGTTTGAGGATGCCGTTTCTTATCTCTACCCATTTTCCTACGTCGACGCAGTTCACTTTGGTTTGGCCCTCGAGTTTTACGGTCTGCTTCGTCCCAGCGATCCGATATCCGCCTCCAACGACTTGCGCACACACAGCATCAAGGGTCTTCCACAAATCAACTTTGGCCCCATGATTGGCTACTATACTCGAGATTTCCGAGCTGCCGATGCTGTCTCCGCGGTTGACTATCTCACACTGATCTGTCTAAACGCGGATCTCGGCGGAGAAGCCGGAGAGCGTCATAGCGGCCTTTGCCACGAGGCATTGCGAGAACTGGTGCTGGAGACTCGAGAGTTCAGCAAGCTCATTGGAGACATTCGACCTGATGGCCGACGCATTCTGGGTGTTATCGAGGGCCGTGGCCCGTTGATTGGCCTCGATGGCCAGGACGACTTTGTCAATACTGTCACTTTGCAAGCTGCCAGCTTTGCTGATGAGAATGGCCGAATTACCGACTCGGTATTGCTCTACCACCTCGCCGGCGAGTATGACGCAGTGGTAGCCATTGTCAGCCGTGCTCTTAGCGAGGCTATCTCTCTGGAAATTGGAGAGGACCCGATGCGCCTAATGCCCGTCAAGCCAAGGGGCGGCAACACTCAGGAGTCAGAGCAAGGCGGCAGCCTTAGCTTGGCGGCCATCGATGACCCTGTTGAGCTGGCCAAGACGATGATGACCATGTATGAGCGGGACGCAATGTTCTACCGCAACATCCAGGACCAGAACAAGATTGCTTGCCGCGTTTTACTTGAGATGAGTGGCATCAAGAGCTTGGTGGAGGCTAGCCAGTGGGCTCAATGTCTTGATGTAAGTTTTCAATTGTGATGCTATATATCTTCCTATTGTTTTACAACTTGTTAATGCTAACATATTATTCTTCACCAGAAAATCCGTGGCTTGGATATTCTCCCTCTTGAGGCAGGTGGCGACGCCAGCACAATCCGTGCTTACGCTTCTAAATTCTCTAGTCTCTCGCAGCCAGTCTCAATTAACGTGCCTAATCTGATTATGTGGACCATCATCAGCTGCGTCAGGCAGAGAGAGCAGCTGGTTAATGGACAGTTTAGCGGCAACGAGGGCACCAGGAAGATGATGGTGGAGCAGCTGAAGCAGATGATTTTGGATTTGACGACGTACACGAGTCAGCTGCGGTACAGGTTCCCGCCGCATCTGCATGAGGCTCTGGCTAGGGCGTCTGCGGAGTAAAATATGGGAGGTTTGAAGGGGGGAGAGAAGATAGAGCATAAACGAGAGAGATTGGTGATGACTTTGTTGATATACTTATGATTAGGCAGGCCTCAGTGAGCTGTGGGCATGAGATGGATGTATGAAAGGGTTTGGGGGTTTATTAATGGAAACAGTCTGGATCTATTCACACTACTTATAGTAATTGAAGATGGGCTCTTTTGAGTTAAAATTATTAGAGTTGGCCTACTCTTAAGTAGAAGCGCCTCTAGTCGGATATTACGTTATTGCTTCTCGCGGGAGGTGCCTCCATATGTTAAAAAGTATCAGAGAGCCCATGTCAAGATAAGCTGCAAGCTGGATAGCGTATCAGTACAAGATCTGTCTGCGTAGCATCCTTGATACATACTAGTTTTAGGTCCTTCCAAAGGCCCTCTCCCTCAATATACTGTGCTAATCTTGTGCTTGCCTCGGTGCTGTCCGTTTCTTCTTTGAGGCATCTGCTCCACGCAATAGCCTTGTCTAGAACCTTGGCCAACTTCTTGGGGGGATGTCAGCTTTTTGCCTGATCAAGGGGTCCGCTTTGGGCCAAGTACATACGCAAGGAATAAACACCGTGCTAGGAGATGTGCTATAAAACTTTAGAAAATTTTCAATGAAGTTGGATTCATAAAATGCGTCGTAAAATTCGTGAGCTAGTCATGGTTGAGCCCAAGTCAGCCTGAAAAACATACATGTATACAGAGCAAAATCACTTACTGATATCGATGTGCACATTATCTAGGCCCCAGAATCTAATTACGCTCGGCTGGCCATTGATTAGTGAGACCCCTGTGGGCAATCCTGGATCTAAGCTTATGCCTGCAGTGTGTAATCGTCCACCATAGCGTAGAAGTGTATTCGCTGTAGAGAAATTTCCCTCACAAATGGCCCAGTAGAACGGCGTCCTGTAAGAGTCGTCCACAGTGTTGACGGCAATATTATCAGCTCTTAACAGAGATTCCACGATGGCTACATTACCTCCAATTGCGGCCAGCGTAAGTGCCGTGGCACCTTCTGGATAGTCGTATCTGACGGCAACATCAGTCAACCAATTTTGACCAATATCAGTCGACCAATATCGACCAACATTATTAAGCCAATATCGGGCACAAAGATCGGCTCCGCGTTCGAGGAGCATCTTGGCCATTGCTACATTCCCAGTCATAGCAGTCGCCATTAATGGTGGCAGATACTTGGGACACTGAGAAGGCTCTCGCACTACCTCGGGGCGGGTGTTGACGTCTGCACCATGTAATAGCAGTAAATCTGTCATTTCGGCGTGGCCGTTTGTCACACTGATTATTAACGCAGTTGGGAGGAGTTTCGGTTGTCGGAGAGGCTTCCTTTTTACTCCGGGATTGACTCTGGCGCCATGGTTATCATCCAGTAAGAGGTCCGCGGCCACTCTCATTCTGTTGTTGATTGCTAGACCTAGTGAGGAGAATTCGCCAACAACAACTTCTGTTGCGCCTCTTTCCAGCAATGCTTTGGATGTCCCTTCATGCTTGGCTTGCAGTGCGAACCATAGAGCATCCTCTCCAAACCTCGTCGTAGCATGTATATCGTGACCATGATCTAAGCAGTAGTCAACCATACTAGTAAGCCCAAGAAAAGCCACGAGGTGGAGCATCGTTAATGTGCCTGAGACTTGTTCACTGATCTCGTCCTCTTCACTATCCGCGTCTTCTTCACTGTCCTCATCCTCTTTCCAGTCTTCTTCCTCTTCACTGTCCTCATCCTCTTTCCAGTCTTCTTCCTCTTCACTGTCCTCATCCTCTTTCCAGTCTTCTTCCTCTTCACTGTCCTCGTCTAGATCGAGTATAGTAGCCATTAGTTTGTTGCCCAGAAAGGCGGCAGTCATTTGACTCATGATATCGGGGACTCTCGTCTCATTGAAGCCTTTGCGCCAATGGTAAGCCCAGTGTCTCTCAGCATAACTCAAAAATGGATACAAGCCATTATGTTCTTCATAATCGTCATAGTACCAACCTATATATATGGCGCCCCAGCCGTATCGAGCTAACTTTAGTTGGATGTTTGTAAATGAGAGATAACTGATGCAAGCTTCAGCGATGCCTTGGTGTACTTTTTTCATGGCATATTTGGAAGTTTTTGGAGTTGAAAGAAGGTTTCCCATAGTCTCCGAGCCTTCTAAGCTCCATAAGCACGTCATATTTTGATGCAAGTATTCGAGAGCTGTATGATGCAACAGTCTAATGACGCCGCTTTCCTTCTCGATCATCACTAACCCCTGGCAAACTTCAATTATGACGTTTGAACTTTCGAATTCTTCTTCATCGGCCAATGAAGTGCTGCCGCTTCTAATTGCCAAAGCGTGACGAAGCTCCAGGGCTGTGATTTCTCTCGTAGCACAAGCGAGCCATTGGAGAACACGTCGTGCTAGCTGTTGATGTTCACGTTGTTGACTGCGAATTCGATTAATGGTTTTTTCATATGCTTGCTGATATGCAAGCGGCCCCCTGGGAAGGATCTTGAGCGTTTTGATGATCTGTTTAGACGTTGTCATTGCTCGGAGTGAGTCCACATGGAATTTTGCAAGGAGGAAGCTAGAAACTCTTCAGCCGAGCTCATAACTGGTAGTAACAATAAACTTACATTCCATCAATGGCGTTGCTTATTTTCGCTATAATTTCTCGTTTGAGATATGTCTTGATCTCATCACGTATATCGAGATTTTCATCGCTCAGAACTTTAAACTCTGATAGACGGCCTCGAATATAATCTTGCACATCTTCACTATCCGCAGAAATTTCAAGGAACAGTCCGTTTTTAAACCTCTTTTCAACACTCTCACTTGGCCGTGTAGTGGCAAAAAGTTTTGCTTCTGTATCCTGCAGTATTGTGAATATTTCTAGTAGGAAATCATCGGTATTCTCGCATTCATCCAACGCGTCGATGACGATGAACACTTTTTTAGATTTGTCGCTTATCAGGTGTTTAAGGACTTTGGAGAACTCTGAAATATCTTTGTCTGAACGCGAAGCAGCCGGTATTCTCCTATATTTGTCTTGGAGATTTTCGATAACAGCTGGTAGAGAAGGCTCGTCTCGGACCAGCTGCTTCACAAGACTGGCAAGGATGTCGATGGTTCGTTGGCTCTCTTTCCTGATGTAATCAAAATAAATGATTGCCAACCTCACTTTTTTTTCATCGCCTAATGCATCATCACTGGACTGCCAATGCTGGAGATGTTCAATAACAGCGGATGTGAGGATTGTTTTCCCAGCCCCTGGGTTTCCTGTGCATAGCAGAGTCTTCTCATCTCCGTTTAGGAATTGTTGGAAATTTTTGTCTTCAAAAGTCCGTTTTCCAGATCCTGGGCTTCTTTGGCTTAGATGCTCATGGTGCTGCGCATCATAGTTAACTGGCGTGAGCCATTCAAGGATTTCATTTCGAACATGACGCTCCTGATTCTGATGGATCTTTTTCACGTCTTTAGATATTTTACCGACTTTGCCAACAATAGCTAAGAAAACATTTGTTAACATAGATTTTTTGACATATGAGCCATAGCTCAATATAACCTAGCTATCAACACTGGATTTCGTTTCAAGCTCTTTCAAGAGCTGTTGGCCCCATCCATGATGCAATTTCCATCTTGAATTTGCATAAATGGTCTTCACTTGTAGGAGTTGACATTGCTAGAGCATTCGTTGGAAGAATTGGGCTTCTTACTTTTGATGTTATCCATCTGTTTCACCTCATGTGCAGGAATTACCGAGAGAAGCTCTTTCGCAAACGCAGCCGCAGTGGCTGCTGCATATCCTTGCCAGGCGTCGTTCTTATGAGAGTCCGCATAATCGCTGATACCTCGAATTACAAGACAAGGTAAACTATCCATCAGCCCTGCAGCTTCCATCTCTATACACAGAACATTGCCACCAAGATCGCGGTTTAGCTTGTCTCGAAGGATGGCATCTTTGACAACTTTGTTTCCAGAGGCAATGAGACCGTAGTGCACCTCTACACTATTTCTTCGCTTCCGTTTACGGCTTTTTGCGACATCACAGGAATCACAATTTTCTTTGTCTAGTCTTGGTCGCCCATCCTCAGTTGGGTTGGCTTGATGATGGTTGTCTGATGCGAAGAGGATGTCCTTGAGTGATTCACACCGGGCATATTTTTGCGTCAACCTTGGCCACCTTGTTATCATTTCGTCGACGTACGTCTCAATACTGGACCCTTCCATTTCATGCTGTGTCTCCAAGCGGTGCAGTGCTGTTAATAGAGTACGCGGGGGATTATTCAGCGACCCAGTCCGCTCAAAGCTGCCGCCCTCCTTTGCCTTGCCAATATCCCATTGAACCACGCCCGGGAATGAGCTTGTCGGTGTGCTAACGACAACATCTCCCAGACGAATATCGTGGTCATCAGTAGGAACGCCCCCTCCAATACCAATCATCAGCCCGAATTTCACTAATGGAAAAGAATCGAGCATCTGGGCCGCCACAACTGCTGCGGAGATGGTCCCCTGCTTGCCTTTTGGTAAACAAGCTATGACTATATTGTGCTTTCCAATAGAACCAAGCGTATAGCTGTTTTCATCCCCTGAAGGAATGCTGAGCGGCTCATGTTTCAAGTCCAGCATGGCCGTTGACGCTGTTAATTCTGTTGAGAGTGCACACACCCATCCGACGGTGTAGTCATCTCGTGTGAAGATAGGAGAGCTAGATGTCTCCCCCATGTCGCAATAATTGCATAAATCGTTATTCGAGTCGAAAATTATCTCTAATGTGTAACGTGAAAATGTAAGAAAGCCAAATCGAAGCTGGTACTACTCTTAACTGAAACGATGTTTGCAGCCTGATTGTTGGCCTGAACATTAACAAGGATCTAAGTCAGCCTGGCTGCGGGGAGGTTGCGCCTTGTCTACATGCATGTATCTATTGGTACGTATCCAATCGGGGAGGGAAAAAAAATAAGGACCGCAAAAAAAAAAAAAAATTACACACAAAAGAAAGGATAAGAACACGAAGATTTATAAGAGCCCTATCATATCATATACAAGCAGTAGAGACAGTGGAATACATTGTGGGTAATAATAGAGCCGTATGCTTATAGTTGTAAGATTCCCTGTTTTTTTGCTCCCCGCTTGGTATCTACAGAAAATTTGTCGGTGAATTGAACGCCGATAAAAACAGTGAAGTCAGGCTGCGCGGCCGTTACTATCTCGAGCCTGTCTTGCAGCAGTAACGTACCAACGCATGTACCAATACATAAACCCTCTAAACTAACAAAGTACGAACAAGAGATATTTTAAAATACCTACAGAGATGAATACAAGTAGATCTAGATCTAGATGGGTTGAAATAAGGATAGCGTATCGAAGGATAAACGCTTATTTAATGGAGCTTTCTAGAGCATTCAAAGCAGTGGTAATCGATAAATCCTACTTCTCGTGAACAGCGTTGCTTATAAGCCTTTTACGAGGGTTAAGATTGTTTTGATCTCATGTGAAGGAGCCACATGTTCACGGTCACTTACATGAATGGAAAAATATTTGCATCTTCTTCTTGTTCAACAAGCGCTATTATGTATTCATGGACTTCCAGAAAAAAAACGTACATTTTCCTCTTGTGGCAGTCCCAAGTAAGTACAGTAGCGCATGCAAATGGAATTATACAAGCGCTAAATCCAGAGTATCGAGAGACTCAATTCTTGATGCTGCCACTAGTCTAGTGCCAGTTGGCTTCGCGGCACGTGCCAGCCGCTAGCGTCTTTCCTGACTCGCAATATGCTCTGGCCGCCCGCCCTCCTGATTCAGCAAGTGCCTGTTCATAGGCCAGCCGGAAGTCAAGGAGTCCAACCACGTCCATCTCCACCAACCAGCCCCATGCAGCAAAGCTCGTCCGTGTCTCGCGACGCCCCTTGCTGGCCTGCCATTGACAGAGTACGAGGCAGAGGTACAGAGTTCGGAGGTGCCTGCCACTTTTGCCTTTCTCGCTGCAGCTGAAGCTGAGGCTAGGCAGCATCCAGGCCGATTAGTTGGTTCAGGGACGCCGGGGTGGAGAACCGCCCGGCTACGGAGCAGCCCATCTTGATCAGCTCACCCAGCCCTACGCCGGATCGCTTTTCTCGCCAATGATACCAGGACACCACTAACACAGATATCGACACCCACGCGCAGGTACCGTTACGTCAGACCCCCGAGGCCCGGGTCCGGGACAGGCTCCGGGACAGGCTCCGGCCCTTCGGCGGACGTGGAGCATGGTTGGCCGGCCCGTTGTTAGCTGCCGTCCAAATACTAGTATCACCACTATTCTTTATGGACATCGGATCCGCTAGACGGGGCAAGTCGAGTCCCATAGCAGGAGACTCGGTCGACAGTGGCAGCCCCATCGCCATTGAAGCCGTCAAGCCTGAATCTTCGGCCACCGCATCACCTTTAGCATCCGCAACAGCGGCGAATCTCAATGGCACAGCGGCGGCTGGGGCTTCTGGGGCCTCCGAGCCCATGGAAACCACGGAAACAGACGAGGTAGAGACTGTGTCCAAGAAGAGGAAAACCGGCACGGGAAGCAGAGGTGTTGCAAACTTGACGCCAGAACAATTGGCTAAGAAAAGGGCAAACGGTAAGTGTTTGCTACGTCTCTCCCCCTTACAGCCCAGCCCCTTGCCCATCACGGAATGTTTCTTTTCGCATCACCACTTTTGGGACTACTGCACCTTTATATGTGCTTAATTGATCAGATGGCTCGTACATTTGCTAGCGTGTTTTATACATCTTTATATATCTCTACATGCTGTATCACCTGTAACTAACGGATTTGACCTCTTTCTCATTATACAGACCGTGAAGCTCAACGGGCCATCCGAGAACGGACTAGGAATCAGATTGAGCGGCTCGAGAAGCGCATCCAGGAGCTTGAGAACCAGAAACCCTACCAGGATCTCCAAGTCGTGGTGCATGCCAAAGAGGCGGTAGAGGCCGAAAATGCCGAAATCAAGAGGCGGCTCGCCACCATCATCAGCATGCTGCAGCCCATAGTTGGTACAAGTAAGCTCTAGCCTCGGTCGTTATTAACACGCGTGTGTGCATTGATTCGATGAGTCTAACAAAGGCAGGCATTGCTGGTGTACCATCCGCGCTTCCATTCGCTGCAGCACCTCCAGCCGTGCCGGCCACGAGCACCGTCCCTTATCATCCCGCATCTCCAGCAGGGGGAGCTCCCGATCCACAGCACCAAGCAGCTCAACCGCCTGCACAGACCTGGTCAAGTGCTGGTAGCAGCTCGTCTCCACCGCCTCGTCGAGTTGGCCTGGCTGGGCCGACTGACGAGGGCACACGGATTCTATTAGAGCAGCAAGGCCACTCCCTTCGACACGGTTTGGATTTTGGATCCGGCCGATTTGATCTCAACGTTGTGCTTGACCCTATCCAGGCCATCCCGAAGCTACAAAGGGGCCGTGACGGAGCACAAGATACTGGTGAATACCACCACGTGGCTATGAAACATGACTGGACGCAAGTGAACCAGGAGTTTCCACGGCCTACATGGGATTCGCCTATCGCCATTCCCTCACCTGGTTCTGATCCAGCTTCTGGAATACTGCCAAAGCCTGTTACAAGTCAGCCGGCGCCTAGTTCTGGCCCGGGCCTTGACGGCAACGCTCCAATTATCCCAGCAGTTCCATATCCTGACGCACAACCTGCCAATACCACAGAACCTATCCCTCTATATGCGCGACCTTTGCGTAACTGCGAACCTACTTGTCCACTGGACGCTCTGCTTCTTGACTTTCGCAGCGAACGTCAGCAGCGCGCCGCTGAGGGCTACGAGCAAAACGAAGTAACCGGTCCCCGGTATCCATCTGTTTCTTCTCTGCTCAACCCGGCGAATAGCCAATACAGCCACCCAGTATCCAAGGTCTTCACAGATATCCTAACCAAATTCCCCGAAATCTCCGGCCTGCCAGAAAAGGTGACCATTCTATACCTCATGTTCATTTACATGCGATGGCAGATATCGCCAACAAAGGAGAATATGGAACGCTTACCGGAGTGGATCCGCCCACTGCCATGCCAGCTCGACATACCGCACCCGGCATGGATGGACTACCTGCCATACCCCGAGATGAGAGAGAGGGTCATTCTGGCTAACGACCCCTCGATTTTCTACTTTGACAATTGGTTTCTTCCGTTTACATCCACCTTCTCCATTTCTTGGCCTTACGAGGAGGCGCATACTTTGCTGAGGAATCCGGATTCTGATGAGATTATGATTAATCCCGTGTTTGAGAGCCATATGCGCAACTTGGATAATTGGAAGGTGGGGAGAGCGTTTGCTGAGGCGTTCCCCATGCTGGTCGATACGTGCAAGTTTTGGGACGGCACGAATCAGCAGCAAGGCCCTAAATAATTTTCTTTTATTCATCAAGGGAATCAGGGAAGGCAGGAGAAAATAAGGAAGATAGAGGCGGAAGGATATCAACCAGGAATTTTTGCTACGTATATCCGGCTTGTTTGGGTTAGAGACTTGGGTGGATCACTTGTGAGGATGACTATTGTGGCATTGGCGCATCATACATACGGAGTACTCATACATGCTATATACGACTCACATGCATTGTAGCATACTTAATGTAACTGTTTATTAATACCTCATTATATCATATCATACAATCATGATTCCCACTACATTGATTCCTTCAAAGTAGAATCTCTTGTTTTTTGTGACCTCGTAGCCAACGCCCTTGTATCCAGTATTCAAGTAGATATCTTCGTAGCAAGTCATTAACCAGCTGAAAACAGCACATGCGATGGTTTTTCTTTACATGTTAAAAAAAAAAAAAAAAAAAAGGTGTAGAAAAGGACGCGAAAGGGCAAATGCCGGCCAGAAAATAAGAGCCAAGGCTAAATAAAGAGTAGAATGTCGTTTCCTATTTGCAAGGAGATTGCAAAGTCCAAAGTTTGGCCAATTCGTATTTTTTTGGTTGCAGCAGTGCTTGCAAGGCACGTAAAATAAAAGAAACAAGGAGGGGGGGAAAAAAAATCATGTAGAGCGCTCAGTAAACTGATTAACCTTGGCCGGCACACGCATCTCCCGCAGAATGTACTGCAACGCCCGCAACTTCACAGCATTCCCAACCGAGGCCAGCAGCTCGCGGTTCGTAATATCCGGGTTCTCCTTCATGACGGTCTCATAAATCTGCTTGCGCTGCTCCTCGGACAGCTTCCGCGGCTGGCCCGGCCGCGAGAGGCTCTTGTTGTCGCTGCGGTCGGCCTCCTTCTTGACGGTGTACCGGATTGTCGATACGGGGACTTCTGGATGGATCTGGTGTATCCGCTTGTAGCCGTAGCCGCCGTTGTGGAGCTCGCAGATTCGCGATCGCATGGTCGGGGAGAGTTCTTTGCCGCGGCGAGGCATGGCTGGAATATCTAATATTACTGCTGCTGCTGCTGCTTTGTTGTTGTTGTTGTTACAGGAGGAAAGCAAAAAAAAAAAGGCGTCACAGGAGAGGACCGTTTCCAACCCCCAAAGGGCTGCCTTATACTAATTATAAATGTATCAAGCAGGGGATTACAACAGCAAGCTTCCCTTTTCCCTTTAGCTGCAGGGAGCTATGCCTTAGCCGTGCGGGCATCAGCCGCGGAAATTATTTAAGCTATAATAATTATTCCGGCGCAGTAGACGAGTTACCTATATGGGGGAAAAAAAAAAAAGGTGTGAAAGCTGTAAAAGCCATTGATAAGCCTTGTGAAAGTTATTTGGCTGTAAGAGATGTTGAAAAAAATAATTACAATTTTGCGTTTTATATATCACTATAACCTACTATTTCCTATGAAATAGTTGCTCTAATTTCGTAGCTTTTGTTTGCTTTACAACAGGCTTTCGTACTTCTTACAAGGTCCGTGGAGTAATTATTCGGCGACTCTCTCTGTTTAAAGGCCCCCCGGCACCCCCGGAGCAATGTATGTTATAGCAAATGCCCTATCCAGTTAGCTCTGATTAGCGGCGTAACCCAGCACTCCGATTGTTGACGTTAGTTACGTTGCTGAACCCATTTAGGCATGATGAGATCTGAATGGCATCTCTTACATGGTAGTAGTTGTAATAGAGAAAGGGAAAATAGGTAGTATAATGAGATACTAATCCATTCTTCTGTTAGCTTCGCCTAGGGTATGCCGAAATAGGCTAGCTAATGCGAGGACCAGACATATGTCCCAGCCCCAAGTCTGGGCTTCAACCTCTCATCATCAATATAGGTAGTAAGTTGCTTTTTCTATGTCAACACGAGATCACGTGGATTTTCCGAATGTGTCGTCGAGTAGAAAATCCGCCAAAAGAAAAACTTGGAGAAACGCCATGGGCTGCTGTTATCCACAATATTGTCGAGGTCTTTGTTAGCATTCCGCAACGTTTCAAGTTTGGCAATGGGCTCTTATAATATCGGACCAGAATTGATCGCCGTCGAGGCACGATTTCATAAGATTCGTCTCATGCGATTGTGCGGCTGAAATCTATGCACCCAAAGCAGGGCTTCTCAGTATTTGATGTAAACTGAGTGCAATGTAGAGTAGGAACCATATCGTGGATGGTCTCTATATTTGTCGACTTGGGTCTCATAATACATCAGTTCCGGCAAAAGACCCCATCTATACATCGAATAATTTAACAGTTGATAATACAAGTAATCCGTGAAAATAAATGGCTAGTCTTAAAAGCCAGCAACAAGTCCAGACATCCGTAACAACAATCAGCCAGTTCGCCAAAATAAACAAGTCAAATATATTCCTTACAACAATCCGACAGAAAAGAGAGAGAAAAGAAAGATTCATTACCAAATCGTTATTCATCAAAGTTACCAACCGGCGCACATCCAAACTTCCTCAGAAGAGGTCCCCTGGCCACATACAAGCTCGGCATCTTCTCCCCAGGCAGTGTCTGAAACATCATCGCCTTTATCGGGTTCTGGGCGCGAAGGCTCTCCAGGGCGCTGCCAGAGCGCAAGACACGACCGGACCTTAGGGAGAAGAGCTTGACCGTACCGTTATCTTGCGCCGACGCCACGAGATTGAGCTCTGTGGATATATCCCAGCCGATATGGTAATGTGCTTCGTTGCGATAGTCGGGAAAGTCAAGCATGGGGGAGGAAATAGTCAGTCCATTGGGATTAGTTTTGTCAGATTGGAAGAAGCGCGTATCGTATATTGACATGTGATTCTGCAGGCCTGCAACGACAACTTGGTGCGGATTGATGCTGCGGACGTGAGCAATGGACGACCCGTGCTTAACGAAGCTCCATTCGGCTGCCGGCGATCTGAGGTCCGAGATCCAGAGCCGAGGCTGGCGACCACCCGCAAACAGCACGTTGTGATTGCCGATTTGAAAATCTTGAGAGAAGATCTCCTGGGGGTGCCAGGGGCCATAGCGCGCCCTTGCCCGCCTGCCCGGCCGCTTCCTGCGGCCAGTATCAACCTTTGTCGTAGAGTCGATGCTAGGAGGAACGTCATTGGTAGAGATCCAACCGAGCGTTTCATCAGAACGAACCCGCAGGATGCCGTTGCTAGTACCCACAACGCAAAGGAGGTTGGATGATGCTGGCGCAGGTGTGCTCTGATGCACATACCAATGCGGGTTGCTGGAAGGTCGGAATAGAAGTTTACGATAGCCATCAGCTGTTAATGCAATGTTAGCTAGATATTTCAACATAGTTTATATGAGATTCTTAGGATGTCTTCTCAAATCAGAAAGCAACGCATGTCATGGGAGGGGAAAGAGCATGACATACTCCCACCAAGAAGCCAGTGCCGTGCACCATTATGGTCAGTATCAACCGGAGGAGAGAAAACGATCAAAGCAAGGCCATGACCGGGTTCTCGCGAGGTCAGTAGAAGTTTGTGAGATGGTTGGTGGTATTTGATGGAAGACATCTGCGGGCAGTGAATCATCTCTTGGTGCAACCTTGACGGATCTCGCTGACCAGCTGGTATATTTATCAGCCTATTGATGTCCATCGTCAGTATTCTTACATCTATCAAGGAAAGGCCAGAATAATGGGAAAGGATAGAGGCACTCACTTTTCATTTATATCGGTATCGACATATTTTCCGACCAACATCTCCTCATCAAGAGCTAAATAGTTGACTTGTTTAGCCTTTCACAGCCAATCAATCCATGAGTATCAGCCAAATCAAGAAAACTCACTGGCATATGCGACAGCCGACTCGGTTCCGCTGTCCTCTCCGCTTACATAGAAGCAGGGCATATGCGGATACGTATTCCAAGTCATGCTCGGTGCAAAAGCAATCTGGCCCTTGTCAGTCAGCTCTCGAGCCCACATCGCCGCCGCAACGTCTCCGTCTTCAGCTCGTCCCCTTCCAGACTCAGCGTTCCTCTGATGCCCCGTCTCACGGGCAAACAGCCCCGAGTTGACAATATCATGTCTCAAGACACTGCGCTTGATATGGTTCTTGATCAGTCGCGCCCTATTGGATGCTTCCTGGGCAACTCGGACTTCAACTTTGCGCCGCTTGACAGATTCAGAGGACCACTGAGCGGACGAGGGCGCAGTCTGGGATTTTTCAATTTTAAAATATTTCTTCTTCTCCGAATCTATAGCGCAGAAAGTTAGTCGATAAGAAGCCCAGGAAAACCGTAGTATAATTACGAAAGTGAAATAGGAAATAGACAGGAAGCTCACCATAGTAGTAGCCCGGTATCTCTACAGGAGCGCTAGCACTCATAGTCTCAAAGACAACTTCGTCCAGTATTTGCGTCGAAGAATTTACGGAGCGGAAATGAAAGATCTTCAATCTTCAAAAACAGCTAGCACAGCAACTCACACCATTTGTGTTCATATAATCAGAATTTTGAGGATGCAAGTGAAAACTCTTGTCGATCTTTTGAAGAAAGAATAACATTTGACGCTGCAAAGAGGCTTCCCAATTATTTTCCTAGCGTATTAATGAGGCAACCTGCCAAAGTTTGGGAAACGTGGGTCATATCACGTGATATGGCTACGCTGCCATGATCCACTGAATGAAGACGAAATAATAACAACAGATACAGCTCATCATGTAATAATCCATAAACTTCACAACTCTCAAAAAGTAAAATCAACTCTTCACATTAAAAAATTTGTCCATATTACATCAATTTCATCGCACACATCAAGGTGACATTACTTTTACTTTGTCTTCATTAGCTGTCTATTAGACCATCGTAGGGAATGAAGTTTGCCCCCATCCCACTTCAGACGAGTCCATCTTTAGATACGACTCATACAGTACATTTAAAACATTTAAAAACGGAAACATGCAAGACAAAAGCCTGCGGGTATGTAATAGAGTGTATTTACTGAGACTTTTCGTGCTGGGTAGAGACACGCTGCAGAGAAACAACTGTAAAAATGTAGAGTTAGCAATCGTGTTGCACGCAGTAGAGAGTAGAGGGATTATAAAACTTACCAAAATCTTCCAAAGATCGCTGCTTCTGGTTCGTCTTGGGGGACTTGCCATGCATGAGGTTGTCGAAGCCTGCGCTTCCCTGGAGGAAGTAGTAAAGACCACCCATGATGGAGAAGATACCGAAAGAGAAAATCCAGACACGGACAACGGCAACAATGCTGGTCTGCTCGCCAATGAACCATCCAAAGACACAGAAGAGAGTGGCAAGGATGTCGACAACCAGAATAGCACCGCTAAGCTGCCATGAGGGGATAGAAGACCAGAAGGGACCGTTGGCACGGGTGATGAAGATCAGCCAGTTCTCAGTGAGGGAGATCTCGAGGAACAGGACCTCATCAATGTTACCAAAGTTCTGGACGATACCGCCGTTCTGGCCACCAGCGTACATGGTGGTAAGGGCAATCCAGGTTCCGACAGCAAGAACGGCACCGAGGAGAACGGACATACCCCAGAGCTTGGGAAGGTTCCACTTGACGGGAGTCTGGGAGTAGGGGGCGTTATCGTAGGCAATAGCGAGGGTAGCAATATCGGCAAAGATGGCAATGAAGACCACCAGCTCAATGTTCAAAGATCGGTTGAGGATGGCAATCCAGAGACCCAGGAAGATCTCCATGTGCAGAGACAGAGCGATACGGTAGACAACGTAGGCGTACATACGGTGGAAGATTTGACGAGAGGTCTTGAGAGCGTCAATGATGGCACCGAGACCAGGGGCAAGGAAGACAATATCGGCAGCGGAACGGGCAGCATCAGAGGCACCCTCGACAGCAATACCAGTATCAGCCTTCTTCAAGGAGGGAGCATCGTTGACACCGTCACCAGTCATGGCAACGAGGTAACCACGCTGCTGGAGAATCTCGACGACAGAGTACTTGTGCTGGGGGAAAACTTCAGCGAAACCATCGGCAGCCTCAACGAAATCGTAGACCTCAGAACCGGGCATGTCACCACCGCCACCGAGACCAAGACGCTCAGCGTTGTAGACGTTGGTGCCGAGACCGAGCTGACGAGAAGTCTCACGAGCGATACCGACGGCATCACCAGTCAACATCTTGATGGACAGACCGAGCTGCTTGGCTTCGTTGATAGTGCGGGCAGTGTCGTGACGAGGAGGGTCAGAGCAAGGCATTATACCGAGAATCTCCCAAGCACCCTCACCACGCTTGCGGGCGACACCAAGAGAACGGAAACCACGGGTAGCAAACTCAGCGACACAGTTCTTGTAAGCCTTGTCAATCTCGTCGGGAATGGGGTGGTCTTCCTCAACAGTCTTGAGAACGAAAAGAGGAGCACCCTTGACACAGGTGATGCGCTCGCCCTGAGGAGACTCGACAACAGCGGTAACCTTCTTGGAGACAGGGTCGAAGGGGTGGAACTCGATAACCTTGTACTTGGACAGAACGCTCTTGGCACGAGGGTAGTACTTGAGGGACTTGAGGAAAGCCTTGTCAATGGCGTCAATACCCTTCTTCTTGCGGGAAGCAGCCAAGCAAGCGGTGAGCATGAGATCATCGGGGTCAACACCCTGGACGGTGTAGGGCTCAGAGAGAGAGAGCTTGTTCTTGGTCAAAGTACCGGTCTTGTCAGAGCAGAGAATCTCGACACCAGCCAGGGACTCGATAGCGGAAAGCTTCTGGACAATGGCCTGCTTCTTGGCGAGGTAGGCAGCACCGACAGCCATGGTGGTGGTGACGACAGCGGGCAGACCGACGGGGACACCAACGATAGTAATAGCCAGAGTGAAGCGCAGAATATCGACAATGCCGTTGGAGCGGTAGAAGGAAGAAATCCAGACGACGAGCAGGGTCAGGATAACCAGGATCAGAAGAACTGTACCAATGCCGTTGAGAACCTCGGTGAAGTGACCAGTGCCACCAGCGGACTGAGAAACGAGAGCAGCGGCGCGACCAACAAAGGTGTTGTCACCAGTGGCGGTGACGACCACGAAGGCCTCACCACGCTTGACAGCAGAGGAAGCATAGCAGTTGTCGTTCTTGTGCTTGTCGACAGCGAGAGACTCGCCAGTGATGGCGGACTGATCGACCTGGAGGAAAGCGCCCTCAGTGACAATGCGACCGTCGGCGGGGATGATCGTACCCTCCTCAACCTGCAGGATATCACCAGGGACAACTTCGGGGGCCTCAATCTCCTTCAGGGTACCGTCACGGAGAACGACAGCCTTGAGAGCGAGAGTCTTCTTGAGTTCTTCGACAATGGAACCAGCCTGGAATTCCTGAATGAAACCGACACAGGCGTTGAGCAGGAGCAGAGCGCAAATGACACCGAAATCGACCCAATCCTGGAGACCAGCAGCCAGAACAGCGGCAGCCTGTAATTCGTAATAGTCAGCACATGGATACACGTATTCGTAAACAACGTTTTAAGGTGCATTTTTGCGTATCGGCGATCGACGGGCGGCTGGGAAAAGAGTGGAGCAGGTGACATCTTATTGAGTGGATCGGCATTCTTGCCCCCCCACAATCATAATATTTGGAGCACAGGGAAACGGGCTTAAACCAGCTCGGCCAAGCCAATTGGGCCAATGAGGCCAAAAGCCGCACAGAGCTCGTGTGGAGCCAGCAATCTAAGCTCAAGGCCCAGCGCGGAAGAGAGCGAAAAACAGGGCATTGGAGGGCAGGGTAAGCCGTGTCGGAGGAACACGGTTTGGTAAGTCGAGTGAGTGTGTGGCAGTGTTGGCGAGAAGCATGACGAGAGAAATCAGGGCAGTGGAGAAAGCAGCAGCCAATGGGTCGCATAGATTAAGTCAAATTGAGAAAAAAAACTCACCTCCATGACGAATTGAATGGGACCAACGAAGAAGCCAAGGAACTTGAGTAGCAAGTTCTCCTTCTCTTCTTTCATTTGGTTGAGACCGTATTTGCGACGGCGGGCGATGACTTCAGACTCGGTCAGACCAAGTCGGCTGTCGGTTTGGAGCATGTCCTCGGGGACGACACGTCCTCCAGTGCTGGGACTGGTCTCATCTTCTTCTTCTTCAAAGGCATGGCCATCCTCGGATTCGAGATCCTCGATCAAGGCGTCAATGTCCTCATCTTCTTCTTCGTCTTCAGCGGAGGCATCCTTCTTGGGAGGGATGGCCTCGGTGGGGGGCTGGGCACGCTTCTCGTCGAAGTTGCCCGATTCTATATTCATGTCGAGCGCGGGCGCGCCGACGGCCTTGTCGTCCGCCATGGCCAAGTATTAAAACGATAGAGGCGCTCTGATGCGAATGCTGACTCTGGTGATTATAATGCAATGTGCTGAAGGAGAAAGTCTGGCGAGGGATTGGAGGAAGAAATGACGCGGGGATCCCTCAATTCTTCTCTAGGTGACGCTTGAGAGGATTGGATTATTATTATTAGGGGAAAATAGTAAAGTAGTAGGGGGGAGGATGTAGTCCAGAGGACAAGGGAGAGAGAAAAAGTGGCTTGTAACACCGCACGAAGAGAGGCCTGGGGAACGCTTTAACTCAACGCATTCGTGGGTGAAGAGAAAAAAGGGAAAGAGAAAGCCATGGCTGACCCGGGGCGAGAGCTTCTATTTCAATGGCAGCTTTGCGACTTTCCCAGGGACGAGCGAGACTCTTGCCGCAGGCGCTCTGCCAGCCCACAGTTTTTTGTTTTTGACGGGACCCAGGCACGGCGAAGACTGGGGCACGCCAGCATGGGCCCGTGCTAGGGCGAAAGCGGTACCCTGGAGCTACAACGCACGCAGCCGGCGACGGTGCGGATGATAGCAGGCGCGCACTGTGGGGCCACTTGGGGGCTCGGCGCGGTACGTACCAGCGCCAGCATGCAGACGGCCCCTGTCGCCGTCCCTTTTCCACGGGCACGACAAGTCGCCAATTCCCTTATGGCAAGTTTCTACTGCCTGCTTTCATGCTTGTTTTGCACAGCACAGTATGCCGCTTGGCTTGGCTGTCGCTCTCCCTCTCCCTCCCCCCGTAGCGGCATGTAAGCAAGGTATTGAGGGATAAAAAAGAAACGAAAGAAAAAGAAAAAGCTTAACTGGGCAAAAGCAAGCAAGCGAGGGAACAAGCAGCATCAAACCTTGGCTGAAGATAGATCTAGCCGACCCCTTACTAGTCCTGTAAGGCGCTCTCTCTGCAAGTACAGGAGGCATCAATGGATCTCTTTTCTCCCACCGACTGCACATGCTAGCTCTCGATATGGAGCACTTGCACATGCAGACACGCAGCCGTCCATACGAACGACCCGCCAGCATGCACTGTAAATGTCGGTGGCGGCTGAATGGCCCGCTGCAGTGTCCATCATGGCCTCACCGCACTCGACAACACGACCGAGTAGCACCAAACTGACCCAGGAGCGGACCTCGATAGCCCCAGCGCTGCTATAGATTCCTTGCTAGTCCAGCTGGCGGAGACGCCGCACCCTTTCGGAAATGCTTTGGCGCTGACTGCGACGATAAGTGCTCAATGGCGAGACACTAGGCCTTGTGTGCTACCGTGCTTTGTACTTGGCACAGGCATTCTACTTACTTGTATATGATCAATGCTGAAGTATTGGTGGTGCTAGTGCTACAATCAACTACTGTATATTGCTTGCTACTCCCGTAGGGTTGTCCAGCCTAGCCTCCAGATGCTGTGTTTTGCCGTTTACACACGCGCCTATTACATTTAGACTGCTCTCTGCTCCTATATACACGTATATACTACACGTCATTAGATGCTGCCGTGGAAATGTTCGAAAGTGGGCAGGTTTGTATCCCTCAAAGGCCGCTAGATCAATGCAAAATTCACCCAATATGGACTTGAAGTATGTACCTCTTGGATAGTCTGGTCTGGAAGTGCCGACGTTATTCTGCTGCTTGTGCGGCAGAGCATACATGCGCCAATTCCTTCCAGTGTTACAGCTACGAGTGCTTCATACACATGGAGACCAGTAGCAATAAAAATAGCGTAGTATCCATATCTTATTAGCATCAGCAACAACTTACACAAACGAAGAGCGCAATCACAAAAAGGAGATTGGCCAAGAGAAAATAGTCAAGCGCTTACGAGAGTATCATTGCGACTTTCAAGCGCACTAACCAAGACGTACTATGTGCTACCTACGAAGTAATTAATAGCATAGCTGTACAAAGTAGCAGCACTACCTACTAAGGTAATACTCTCTGAGTACTTTATTCCACAGTATAATAGGTACTTTCTTCTTCTTCGTCTTCTTATGGGCACCAAGGTAGATATGGGGATCGTCCAGCAATGATACCACAAATAGGTCGTAGTCTAGACATTGGTGGGCATTAAATTTCAGGTGGGCTCTGCTCTGCCGTCACCATAAAACTCTATGCCCAACTTTACTTGCAATATCCGCCTCTAGCATCTCCCGCTACGGAGCACTACCGCCGCTACTAACGGTCCTGGCGCTTTCTTGGCTGAACCAATTTGCTGTCGCCCGCTTGGCAGTAATTTGCTCTGCAGCCTAGAATCGAGTCTTTTCTGCTCGTCCTTCGCTTGCTCTTTTTTCGCTGAGGCATTTTCCCATTGCTCGCTTCCCATGATGACAGCAACGCCAGGCTTGGCCTCCCTACTGCTGGAACCCTTCTGGTGGGGGTTTAGCACTCGGCGGTCAGCGAGCCCCAAGCACGGACGGGCCTTGCACGAACCGCACCTTGTTGATGATCGGTGGGCGTTTTTGGACCGACTCAAGCCCCTTGGCCGTGCTTGGGGGCCCAGGCCTGTCGATGTTGCTTTACGGCGTTTGACGCTGTTATCTATGGATGTTATGCTTTTCTTTCTGGATTTTTTTTTTTTTTTTTTTTTTATCATTTTTCTCTTATCTCCTCTTGGTGCTCAGCGCCCTGTGCTGTTCCTCGCCACTGCAAAAATATGTTGGCATGCTCTCGCCTAAGCATGATAGCAAGAGCTCCATGCAATACTCAATTTGATTTCATCCCGCCAGCTTTAGCCAATGATACTCGTAATGCGGAATGGTCCCTAGTGCCAAAATCCTAAGCCACTTATTCATCTGTTGGCTTCAGCTTATACAAGTGCCCAATCGGCCGACGAACTAAAGCAGGTACCTGCATTTACCGCAATGTCCCTCTGCATTTCTGCGTACCCCCCACCCCCCATGGGGACACCAGACGGAGCTGGGAAACCATATTGACGCTATCTGGGGCCAAAGACACGACTGCAGCAGTCACCGCCAGCTTTTGCGATAGCGCAGCGGTAAAGTGGAGGAGCGTCGTATGCACCCGAGCTTCGAACGCTGTTCTTCTGCGCTGGCATATGGATTCTATGCACGTCCTGGAATAGGCTGCGAGATTCTTTCCCCCAGCCACCTGCGTTGCCGGCAGTACTGATCGGTTAGGCCCTTGAGCCTCGTACTCTGCCAGCCAATCGGCTTTGTTTTTTCGTCACTTTTATTCGCCAATTGGCCGGACGATCAATGCGGCAATGCCTCCCGCGGTATCGTGGTACTGCGGCTGTACCAGGAATTACCAGCAATTGCTCCCTGCCAAGCCAAGCCAAGCCAGCAGCGGTGCTACTATCAGAGCTGCTTCATCTAAGGTATCCCGCCGGACGGCGCTTCCACTAACTATCACGCCTCTAGAGTACCTGATTTTTCTTATTCATGATGCTTGCTCAACACTAGCTGTTTCATTTCATCAGCCGTGGATCATTTCCCATTCTTGTGCTATTTCCATTCTTCGACAGCCTACAGAGCAGGATTCCATCCTCCATAGTATGCCAAGATGGGAGCAGCAGAGGTCTTTGGAATACACACCACCAGGCCTTTTTTTTAAGCTTGTCCCGTGGCCCATCCAGCTGCTGTGCTCGCATTCCTGATACAGTCTCTCTCCCTGTGACATGTCTTAGCTGACAAAACAACAAAGAGTAGGAATTCGGGAATGCTCCCTGCTTTACCGTACCGTCTGACAGGTCGTGCGCGCGTGCTCGACCGGGCATGGAGCAGTCTTGCGCCTGCAATCGTAGCTGTCAGTCCGTCAGTCCGTATGCCAAGCCTTGTTTTTATTTACTGTTTTGTTTGTTTGTTTGTTTGCCCGTCCACATAGTCGCTCCCTCGCAATTTCATTCTTGGTCCAGATCAGCTATCTTCATAGACAGAGCGAAGCACCGATCACGACTCTAAGTGCTGCATGTATTTGATTGCTCTGCGCCTTGGTAGGGAGCGGCATTGACTGCAATCTATGTCCCTCATTCATACCATTCAGGCCAGGTGCAGCAGCTGCTGCGAGGATTATCCGTGCCGCAGTGGCATTAAATGGTGCTATCTTCATGCTCTATTACAAACAGTGGCCTGTCATAGGCGGCAGGATTTTTTTTCCCGTTCTGTCGTGCATGGCCTCCGAGCATACCCGTCATTGGATCTCTAAAGTTCAGCATTATGTACCAGGTATTCAATCCATTCAATGCGTTTCCATTACCCAGCTAGTGCTCCTGTGGTGGCTTGCCTCGGGAACTGCCCGTGGCCTCAGTGGTGCTCGCTCCCCTGCGGCGTTTCTAGCGGCCTTCCAGCACGAAATGGCCAAGCCTAGAGCACCGTACGCCACACTGGCCCGAAGCAAAGCCGACATGTACCCTCAGGTACGGCACGGCGGGCCACGGCTGAGGCAAGAACCTTTTTTGGGCCCCTCGTGTTTATCTCTGCTGCTAAAACTTTGAGTGTGTTCCGTAGCACGCTAGCCTGAAGGAGCATTGAAACATGGCACTTTGCGAAATTACTTGCTCTCGCCATCAATGTTTACTTGGTGTCTATACCATCAGTACATCATTACCTAGGTACCTATGTCTCTGGTCCCAACTGTGCTAAGGTTACGGCTATTTTGTGTTTTCTTTCCGTATCTTGACGCAAGGTGGTACAAGCAGGGCCGGTGCTCCTCATGGCCGTATCCGGAGCTCATGACGACTACCAAGTACCGCTGCCGTCATTTTGAAGCTGATGGAGGGGGTACTTCTGGTTGCACCAGCGACTAAGGATACGCGTAGCTTTGCTTGTACTTAACTGCTTCTGTCTTAGTGCAGCAGTAGTAGCATGCGAGCATTCTAGCTGATACCAAGTACACGTACGAGTAGGTACTCCGTATCCCAGCCTAGAAGCGGTGCTTTGCACGGTAGATGAAATTCAACCTTACCCGGCACAGGTATCATCCGTCTCATCCAACTCCGCGGGCCGGGATTGACGATACCAGCGATTGCTGTTTGCGATGTCTCACCATCCCTTACATCCCCTATGTCGGCGCTCACAGCGTCTTGATGCTGAATCCTGCGGCTCAATTACCGCGGCATCCGAAAAATGCTTCAGGGCCTGCGATATGCTGTACAGCACGCACCCGATTCGGCCGACTCCTTAAACAGCGGAAGTCAAAGCCAAAGAGAGCCAAAGAGAGTGCTACTACAAGCGGTAAGGCGAGAGAAGAAAGGGAGCAAGCGAGATACCGGCCCCCGTCACCGGAATACCGAGATCTTTGTCCCGTAGACCCTCTCCCAGAGCAAGTTTGCGGAGGTGGCCGGGCCCAAATTACTGGGGAATGAGGCTTGGTCAAACTCAGTTGTATAATGCATCGTAGTAGGTACTGCTCATAAGAATGCCCAACAACTCTCTACTTGTTCTAGCAACGTAAACATGATGTTCTAGTAGGTAGTAGTTGCGGTACAATTTTACATGCATCTACTACCCGGTAACAAATACGTTATTTGAACACTCAATAATAGGTCCGAGACATGAAGAGAAAAGGAAACGAGACCAGTGACAGACTATGGAGTACTGTATTGCCTATCCTCATCGCCGTCATGGGCACCGCTCGCTACGTCATTTGAAATTAGGTAGTCTCAGCCAAGTACGGAGTACAGAGCCCTTTCGGCGCTGCCGCATGTGGTGAGTGCCCCAAAGTTAATAACACATCTCCAATGTCATACGTCAAATGTCGCCAAAGTGATGCTGTGGCCAAGACATTCTGCTCTCATTCTAGAACTCCGGAAGGATGGATGGCAAAAGCACCTTCTCCATTCACAGAGAAAGTGTCTGCCTCAGCGCTGTAGGAACGTGGCAAGTGCTACAGGGCTACAGGTGCGCTGTAGCACTCCCATGTGGCAGGCGTCTTCCGCTCATCGCCACTGCCGCATCTGCATCTCGATATAGTTTAGGTATTAGAATGCATGTAATTGAAACCAGCCTGCATGATGATGATAATGTCTTGTAACTCTCTTATCTACCCTAGGCAGCCATTTTTAACTAGCAACACAAAATCTCGCCTCCTTGCATTTCCCATCATGCAATGCTTCGGGTTTTTCGACATGCTACCTGGCGATGGAATTACAAGCGCCACATTACGTGGGAAGATTGGAGTAGCATATGCTGGCCACGAGGCAGCATTGGAGGCGACACACATTAAAACTGCGAAGCGAACATCGGCGTCTGTATTTTTGTGTCACTCACCGAGATAACGCAGGATGCTATTTGCTTCACAAAAGGGATGCAGATGTCGAGAACTGGGGGCCAATACAGACCCGCAAAGCAGTGCTGAGTTGTTTAGACGATCCACGGTATACACTTACCACAGAGGCTACAGACGAAGGAACCCAGCCGATCAGTCAGGTAGACGAGTGCTATGAAAAAGCGGACAGTTTGTTTTCTCATCATCTACCGGGTACAGCAATGGCATCTTCGCAGTTTCTGTCCACCAAAGCGCTCCCTGCCTCGGCTAGCTAAGCACTGTTAGGCCTTTGCAGTCAACAGAAAAGCAGCCACCGCATTCATCGCAGCCCCCTTCTCACAAGTGTTGACCAACGTCTTCTCACGGCTATACCAGGGATTTTCTCGGAGTTCCTCCTTTGGTCGTGGGCGGAAACCACCGTGTTTCCATAGGACGGTCTTGGCCGCCGCGGGTCAAAGCGTGCATGTTGCACTTCACTGAGACTGAGCAAAACGGAGCTTTTCATACCGCCAAGACAGAAGAATACCGCCACTGGCGCTCCATACTTCGCACTACGACTACAGTAAGAAGGAATCCACGAGACCTTCGGCTGAAGATGTACGCCCGGATCATCAAATTCCCATATTATGCACACTGCAAGTAATTCGTCATTTCTATCTACTGCGCAGCTACCGCCAAGACGGTCTGGAAAGGGGCCAGGCGTGATATGCCGCACCAAGCAAACATTTACTCTCTGACCTCACCGAATGACTTATAGTTTGTGAAATGCGAAGCGTATCAGTCCAAATCAAGCTTGGCAGCATCTATGGCTCATCGTTATTAATATGCATATAGCGGCATAATTGCCGACTCTACATACAATCGCAATGCCTATGCCATTCGCTAGCAATGATTGTCCATCACCGCATGCGGTACCTGCGATATGGAGAAAATCGTTTTGCGGTCATGGTTCAGCCCAGCTAGTAGTATCCGCACTTCCCCTGCTCGTCCTTGGGCTACGAAAAGGGCCACTGTGTGGTTCTCGGTCGCCCGCTACCTGGCTGTATTGCTGGCCCCCTAGCCATGATTCCTGGCGAAGCAAGGGTCTGGGCTCACTGGATGGTCATTGCGCAGCGTGAGCTGGCCGTTTGCTCGTGCTCTCCTTTACCTTGACTCCGCGATCGATCAGAGTCTGGCATGGGAAAAAGAGGCAGATAAATGACGATTAACGAGAATCGCAATGTCATTACAGGCGAAATTGCTGGCACCTTGGCTAGCAATGCTGTCGCTAGCACCGCCCGCCGGGATATACAGTTTGATACGACAGCGACCGTTATAAGCGAGCAAACTCAGCGTCAGCGTCCTCGCCCGTAGCGAGTAATCCACAGAACGCGTCACCGCAAAGAGACAACGAAGCAACAAGCGCACCAGACACCGTAGCATGGGCGGTCTGCCTTGATTACTGCGTCATTCCGTCGTCGGCCCAATATACAGCACCTGCCCGTTTTCAGCCTCTCCTTGCTTCGCTCCCCAGTTCTCCTTTTCATTCATTACCTCATCAGCTTAGCTCAGTTGGCCGCCCCATGGAAAAGCCGCTGCCAAGACGCCGATTGGCCATCGAGAACGGCACAGATTTTCAGGGATATTCTTCTCACTTTTCAACCGGCTTGCGGACCGTGAGTTGGCCCAGCAAGGACCGATAACAAATGGAGACGACACTTGAGCCGATCGGCAATACGGCGTACCATGTATTCGTGTATAGGAGCAGTACCTTCGTGATAGGCGGCACCGCTGGTCATTACATACAGGAACCTTGATCCCGTGACATTTCTTACATGGTTGCTTGCGGCCGACTACCGAACGGCGAGGGTCGTATCGACGCAGCGTTGATTGGCTCTGGGAGAGTCAGTACGGAAAGTCCATGCTGCCAAATGTCCTTTTTTGAAGTGCAGCTCCGTCCATATGTACATTGTCACCCCAGAATGGGAGACTACAATATGGGGCTGCCTGCTTTACTCTCTCCACAGCGAATACGGAGTGCATGTCAAATAGTATACGGAGTACTAACTACAGTAGTACAACTATTCACTGGCCCGTGGGGAGTGGCCTGAAATATACTCTTTATTTTCTTCATCAGCATCAGCCACGCTTCTCCTTTCGACAGCAGAGTCCACCAACTTTACACTACTCCGTCTGTGGCAAATGCCAACAAGCGAGCAAACCCTCTTGGCGCCACTAATAGATGGGCTAGACGCCCCAGACGCTCTAGAAACTGGATGGAAGGCGTCGCCTCGCTTCTTGCAGTTTTCCTTGTGGGGACAAAGCTATAAATGCTTCATATGGAGTGGATACTTGACACTACCTTTATGTGTAAACCGCATGAGGTTTCCCCGACTTTTGTCTGACATGATGGGAAGGTCTGAGATATTTACTTCGCGTGCCCCAAATGGCCCCTTGCTCATATGGATGTTTATGGTTCTCGTGGCATTCAGCTGGAAAAGACAAAATGTTTCTTTTCCACCTTGAACACCAAGAAGCAACATTACCGGCCCAGGTAATTTGATTTGCTTGTTGCTCAACAGAGCTTGACAAGAAGTGACTCTCGGATGTCAAGATATTGCCTGAGTGAATTTTTATTTTTGTAGCTGATAATAAGCTCTCCACCACATAACACGTCCTACCTTGGCCACTAAGCCAAAGAGTGTTCCACACGACGATCCTCATCCTCTTCCAACAATTGTTGAACAGGTGCAAAAAGTTTTCTTGAAACAATGAGCTATGAAACAACAAAGGCGTGTCAATCCTCTAGCGCAGTCAAAGCCAAGCGGCACCGTCCGTGATTAGCCTGGCTCTTAACACTGGCCAACCCAGCACGACGGCGTTTGCCCCGCTAGAAGTTGATATTCGGGCATTCCTTGGCTGTGTTCCGTCCTCTTCTTTTTCTCTCATCTGGTTACGTGTTGCGAGTGATTTGGTCCGCTGGTTGCTACCTAACGCTTTAGAGCGGCATTGCAGCAGCACAGGAGAAGATGTTTGCTCGAAAATTTCGGCTTCCCCGGAACTCCACATCCACCACCACACCTCACTTCTTCCGTCTACACGGCACCAACCCTCCCACACGACCTGTCCAGTCCGTTTGACCCACGAGTAAAAATTTAACTCTAAAATGCACTCACGCGTATTCTTAAAACTGCTTCAAAAGGTGCTACCACCCTGTCCCCACCTTTTCCGCAACTCCCCGGCGGCGGCGGGTTAAGCATACTTTACTGCTTCTCGCCTTTTTTGTTCTGCCAGAGGAATAAGAAAAGTTTTCAATGCGCATTGTGTTATGAATATTTCGTCGGACAAAGCTGGTCATAATGAAATATAAGAAACAGAGAAAGGTGTGGCCTCCTTCTCACGGGGCAAAGTACCGACGGATGAGATGAACGAAATTACCAGGATGGGTGCGATGAGATAGATGAATAAGACGAGCGAGATGATCTTTTTAGAACGACAGCCTAGAATAGTATTCATATGCCGAATTCTTCTGAAGAAAAGTAATAGCATGATCGGTGATGGCGATTGTCGAATTAGCAGCTGTTAGCAATTCTCACAATGGGAAGTGGATTTCTTCCAACCCCCATCACCCTGTTCGAATTGCTTTCGTTTCTTTTTACCATGCATATAAAGGAATTATCAAAGAAGTTTTATCTAATATACGCTCATCGACAGAATGAAAGCCAATGTATTTCAGGTAGGTCTCTGGTATAACTTTTATTCACAGCTATAACAATAACCAGGGGTACAGGGTGAACAATTATCAGTACGTATAAAGTCAATTGAACACCCAAAAACAAACTGCCAAGAGATTTAATCATTTTACTTAAGTAATATAATAAAAAATATCCTCTACAAACATGTTCTAGAGTTATAACTCAATAGTTCTTTCGATGTTCTTCTCGTTCTTGCGTACCTGAGCCAAGTCTAGGCTCCCACTGCTTTTGCGTTCCCTATCAACTTATGATATTACCAGCCTCATCTTCAAATGAACACTCCCAAATATGCTCCTCTGGATATTTTGACGACCGGAAATGTGGTGCCCAACAGGACTTGTAGTATATCGCAATTCGAATTTGATCGAACGGCGGGTGGCAGTTGTTGCGGCATTTGCCTTATGTGCGTCTCGGCCATATAAGTGAAGAAATTCGCCACGCAGTTGCCATGATTTAATGCAGTCTGGACAAGAACGTAAGCTTGCAGTGACAGGCCCAGACTTATCCATGAGGGAGGAGAGCAGCATTATCAGCCTCGTCATCGGGTTCTAAAGGGATAGGTGCGTGCGTGCTTTGGGATTTGAGGAACCTATGATGTCTCCCTGTAATTCAAGCAAACTGACTTGAAAGAATGCTGGTTGATGGTTCTCTATTTCCATTGGCAAACAAATCGGCGCTTCATATTGGGCGTGGGACGCAACAGAGCTGTAATACGAGTTTCATTGTACGTGATGCTCTCTCAAGCAACCTGATGATCTCTTGGGGATTGGAGAATATTTCCGGAAGAGCAGCTTCGGCTTAATAGATAGACTGTGACATGTCAATTCCATGCAGGAAAATATTTGCGCAAGCGATTTATACAGTGCAAAAGTAGTAGATATTTTGTAGGCTGCTGAGCAGATAATTCTATTCCACTACTCCCAAATGGAAAGATACTAAATATACTAAAGGCCCTACTTTAAATGAGCAGTCTCTGTAATTCATCACGTAGCCATTATAGATATATTTACTGGCATTGGCTAACCACCTAGACAAGTACTAGATGGACTGAGATGAGGAATTTGCATAGCGTCAGCACCATATGCAATAGTTTCACCTAACAAACAATTGTACATCACGTAAATCACGATGAAATGGCACAAGATAGCCGTTTATAATAAAATCTCAAGTTAACTTTTAGTTATGCCTAAGTAGGTATCCGATTAGAGTATGAAGATGCCGCCATCCCAAAGAACTAGAATGATAGGAAAAGAGAAAAAAAAAAAAAAAAAAAGAATAGAACAGAATAGAAAGTATAAATAGTTTCTATCGCCAATGACGAGATTATACATTCCGGACCGAGGAGGTAAAGGAAACAGTCTCGATTTCCTAAAGGAGGCCACCCGATCGCCAGACGCCGTTTACCCTATGCTTGATTGATGCCGCTATCGCCTCCAGCCCGAGCCATCTGGTTAAGCTTCCAAGGCCGTTCGAATCAATTACATCTCCCGAGTATCATCAAGGATACTCTGTTCAGGTCCTTCCAGCAGTGTTGGGATCCGGAAATCGAAAGCCCGATGGAAAGTTGGGCATGCCATTTGGCAGAGTGCTGATTCCAAAGGGGAAGTCGGCCATGTTATTCTGTTGTCCGTTGTCGTGTTCCATTTGGCCGTGGCCGTCATCACGACCATGTCGCCAGCGAGATCCATCATCCTCGCGGTGGCGCGTGGACTTGGGGCCGTTGCTGCCGCCCTTGTCCGTCTGCATACGACGGCTGATGGCCTTTGACGAAACACCAGCGCCGATTTCAATATCCGGCTCTTCGACGCAAAGGCCTGTTTCAATGGGCCGACCGCCGCTTCCGCCGTAGGGAGCGGTAAGCATCCACTTTCGGTCGGCGTCGGTAAGCTTGTGGATGGGAATAACACTAACTCCCGTCGAGTAGTCGCTGCAGTCTCTTGGACCGAAGCCAACGCCCCATCGAGTCTGCGCACATCGGAGTTAGCTCGTTGCTTATATCATACATGGTATTACTACCCACTAGGGTAGTAGTGTACCGGGACATATGTACTTACTCGAAGGGGATATTCAAGACCTCTGGCATCCTCCATGCCATCCTTTGCGCGGACGGCATCCTGGCGCGTCAGCATCTTCACAAATGCATGGCGCTTGTCCTTGTTGACAATGCAAGTCTGGACAGTGCCGTAGCGGCTGAAAATGCCACGCAGTTCGGCTTCGGAACATCTGACACTTGGTTAGTACAAGATCTGTCTCATTTAGCCGGTAAGGCTGATGAGCCTTGGACTTACGTAACGCCGCCTACAAACAGGGTACGGCTTAGAACTTTGATGTGGCCAGCTGGGAGTGACGGGTCGAATTCAACCCATTTTTCCTGCTGGAAATCATTGGGGGGAGAGGGGCTTCGCCCGTGGCGGCGAGGGCTACGCTGGCGGTAATCGTTGCCTGCTCGGCCATTCCGCTCTCGATCATCCATACGTCCTCCTCTATTGGGAGGTGAGTTACGTCCATAGTCACGTCCACCGCGCGGGGAGCCGCGAGGACCCCAGCCGCGCTCAGGTGATCTAGAACGTGAACGGCCGTGATATCTAGGAGATCTTACGCTGTCCTGGTAGCTCTGATCTGGTGCTGGGCCTGAACCGGCTGCTCCCCATGGCTGTTGAGCTGGTGGAAAGGTGCCTTGGGCGGCAGGGATAGGGGCGGGAGGCTGTGCTCCAGGAAATCCTCCAGCCCCGGCAGTGGCAGCAGTCATGCTCTGGATCAGAGCAGGAATCTTATCAAAGGGAACGCCTTGGTCGGCGAGGGCCTTGATCAGCATTATCTGCTGCTGTACGTTCGGATCTAGACCGGCGCCGCCGGCTCCAGGAGCGGGAGGCGCTGCAGCCGCTGCATATGGGTTGGGTGGGTTACTCGTAGCTGGAGGTGCATTCTGACCAAGCATTTGCGTCAACGAGAAAGGTAGAGACGACACATTTACGGGTTGTGCAGTCGGGGGATACGATTGATGAGGCTGTGGGATCGATGAAGCAAGGGCCTGCGATAGCCCGGGGGGAGTAACAGAGGCTGGGGGAGCATTAGTGGCAGCAGGAGGCATGCTATACGACGCGGCGGGAGCCGGGATAGATTGGCCGCTTGGTGCGGCCGTGGTGTTTTGTCGAGCCATGTTAGCCAATGCCTCCAGGATAGACGAACCGTTAGGCGGTGCCTGATTTTGGACAGATGCTGCTAATCCGGCAGGAGGGCTGCCAGGGGGAGTGGTTGATTCTGCATGCATGTTAGACGAGCTTAATCTTATAGAATCTATACCCCAGCTGATTTGGAGCATCACGTCTCTGAAGAGGATTGTGACCAGCTAGATCAGCATTTCGAGGAGACGTACTAGGTGGTGAAGGAGCGTTGACCTTCTCCTTGAATGATTCTATCATGGCTGTGGGAAAGGTCTGTCCCTTCTCCCAGATGTCAAGCAGTTTTTTGATCTTTTCCTACACAGCGAGAAATAAAGAGTGAGTTACTGGTCCCTCAGATACGATGTCATATAGATAATTCCTAGAGGTGGCCGATGAACCGCCCGCAAGTAATGACGACCCGCACTCATGAGATTCGATTCTGAAGATGAATGCAGAGGTCTTGCTGTTGGTTCACCAGATGCACCAGATGTCATGAAAAAACGAAGCGCACGTTCAGACGCCTACGAGCGGGAGCGCTGCTCTCTTTTTTCACCACTCATACAGATTAAACTCGAATTACACGTACCTTTTGGTCTTCTGGGGCGGACTGAAGAATGTCATTCATCAACACGGGCATCAGTTCCGTCACTCGGTGAACTCCAGCGGCATATGTGCCATCCTGGGCGGAGCTGTTTATTGGCTGGCCTTGAGCCTTTGCTTGCTCAAGCCACTTGCGGGTTACAGAGTCTACTACGTAGAGGACCCCCAGTTTGTGTGTTCCGGGAGTTTTCTTGAAGTGTGTGTAAATTTTCTGGATGAGGACGGATTCGGACTGCAAGGGGGTGAAGTCAGCAAGACGAAGGCGACGCTCAAAAAACATGCGTTGAGAGTATGTCTATCCAATAAATAAAATAAAAACCTCCTTACCTGAATGTTGGCCACGCAGAGGGACGTGAGGCTAGTAATACGAGAACCAGATACACCAGGGGGCTTCAAGTTGAGCATGGCCTGCAGGCCAGCTTCCAAGTCTGTTACTGCGGACGCCATGGTTGGGATCTAGCAAAATTTTGTGTTCCTTTGAACAGATCCTCCAGGGCACGATCCCAGCAAGATGGAGCCAAGTGCTAGTGTACGAGAGAATATATCTTTGAAGAAGACAAAGGCAAAACAGGCTGTCTTTTATCTCTTTATTTGGCTGCTTCGGTGAATCACTTGTGTGCGATGAGATTCTTAGTTCAATGAAAAGTCGTACGGCTGATGTCTAGGCTGCCTCTCCACCGATGTACTATCGATCCAAAGTCCTCTTACGAAAATGAAACGACGCGATACTGTACGAGAGAGAATGTTTTGCCGTTTGTACGAAGCGAGCAACGTCCCAAGTGTACAATGTACGTTGTGCTTGAAGAAGAGCGCGCGAGGAGAAAAGATAAGAAAAAAAATCTTCTACTGCCGCACTGAACCGCGCACACGCGATAAGGGAAAAGAAAGTGAAATCACAGAGGCTGGAGGCGACTGCCCACAAGCCTGGCTAAAGAGAATTATTATGATTATTCCGGTCGACCTAGAGCGGGTTGTTGGTGCGAAATACGATGAAAATGGCGAGGATGGCGATGGAAGGAAGATCCGAAAGCACCTGTTTTGAGGGTGGCGATGGAGATGAAGGAGGAGAAATTGAAAGGAGGGAAGAGGGGCGGGTCGCGCGAAATTTAGCAGGGAGCAATTTCCACTACTGAAACTCTGCTGGAGGCTGCCGCGTTTGGGCCTAAAAACGGGTTGGGCTTGACGTATGCGGTACGAGCTAGAAGCGTGGAAAGTACGAAGAGGCGCTACCCAATCACGGCATTTGCAAAGGTACATTTGGGCTGTGAAAAAGTAGCAGTACCTTGCTTTCCCTTACTCAGGCCACTGCATTGAAAGGGCACGGAACGTATCTCGAGGTACGTACCGGGCTACAGCTTGTTTGCTTGAATGTAAAAAATTTTCTGCCTTTGATAGAAGGAGATGAAGCGAAGTTTATCCGCGCTGTGAACTTTTCCCAATTTCCAAATGCTCTTGCTCCATGAACTGCTAGATAGCAGAAGAGGCGTATTTCCTCTTACATGTATTCACAAACAGCAAAAGAAGACTACACATGATGACGATGACGCACTCTTCGGCTTGGGCTAATTCTGCTCTACGGAGAAAAGGGTCGCCGGCAATCCGGGGCGGCATCTGCCATCACATGATGTCTTTCACCCTTCCGGGAGAATGGAGAGAAGCGCGACAGCTTACACGGCGGATTCGGCAAGGCTGGACGCTGGATGCAGCCGTGGAAGCCAACGTTGTATGGGGAAGTAGTAGCTGTAGCCATGTAACGAAACCGATTTTTTCCTTCTGTTTCCAATAAATCGTCCACGCACGAGGGTCAGCGCGATTTGATGGTGTGATTTTGAATCTGGCATGTGCTCGTTCGCCAATTACAGCCGTGTGAGCACTGGCGTTGAATCTCTGCTGTTATTATTAGAGCACTGCCGGCTCTTAAGTACATACGTAGTAATAATTCGACGCGCACAGGCCTGGCGCATGTCATCGCTGAGGGCCAATAGATGGCTGCACCAGGCTGACCAGATCTAAATGGTATTCATCACATTGTGCATTTATAATTAATTGAGACGTGGCTTTACGAATGTTCAATCATAGCACTATTCCTCTGTAGCAGCAGCAACCAGCCCCAGAGCCTTTGCAACTTTAAAATTCGGGGCAGCTGCCAATACTTGGCACTGCATGTACTGTAATGGCATCATGAAAGCTGTGTGCGTCTATTCCGAGGTCTATCTGGCCTCTTGTCGGGGACATGGAGATGGTTGGGGGCAATGTACTTAGTCGGTGGGGGAGGGGGCCCTTCCTTGCGGCATTAGAGCCCGTTTGTTGGCGAGCTGATAGCTGATAAGTCGCTTCGGCCGGAATTTCTGGCCCTAATCGTGAGGTACTTTTCCGCGACCATGCTGTCTTGAGCAGCTTTAGCAGCCTGCGGTGATGTAAGGAGGCACTAATACAGCTTTTCCCAGTTCCGGTGCTAAGGTCAACGGCCCCAGCTTGCCAACCTTGTCAAAGCCTCCGAGGCTGGCTAGGAACCGCCGGCCTAATTTTTTTTTTCTGCCGTGGTAACGGCGGCGAGCGCTGCGCTTTTTATAACCTCTGCCACTCCCACCCATCCGACGTGCCCTCCTTTTTGCCTCTTTTCCCTCCATATACCCAAACATCCTTACAATGGCCTCTGTCACCCGTCTCAGCAACTCTGCCCTGAGGGCCTCATTGCGCGCCCCCGCCTTCAATGGCGCGGCTTTCAACGCCTCTCGCTGCTACTCCGCGAAGGCCCAGGTGAGCTGCATCGCCAAGCACATGACGACATGTTGCCTCCTGAAGCTCAAGGGCTTCCAAGGCCAAGATGAACGGAATGTGCATAATCAAGTAGCATATCGGCTGACTCAAGTTTTCTTCTTCCTCTATATAGTCTCTGAAGGACCGCTTCGCCGAGCTTCTCCCCGAGAAGATTGAGCAGATCAAGACTCTGCGCAAGTAAGTGAATCAATCCCACAATCTAAAGCTGTGCCCAAGGCAGCCATACATACATCTTCTTTCCCAATTTGTTTGCATCGCTGACATTTCTTCTTCTCTTCGCAGGGAGCACGGTTCCAAGGTTGTCGACAAGGTCACCCTCGACCAGGTCTATGGCGGTGCCCGTGGCATCAAGTCTCTCGTCTGGGAGGGTTCCGTCCTCGACGCCGAGGAGGGTATCCGATTCCGTGGAAAGACCATCCCTGAGTGCCAGGAGATCCTCCCCAAGGCTCCCGGTGGCAAGGAGCCCCTCCCCGAAGGTTAGTAACACAGTCGCACTATTCGTGTATGAATATTTGAGTTGGTGGGAACTAAAATCGAATTTCGGCGTACAGGCCTCTTCTGGCTTCTCCTGACCGGTGAGGTCCCTACCGAGCAGCAGGTCCGTGATCTGTCCGCCGAGTGGGCTGCCCGCTCCGATATCCCCAAGTTCGTCGAGGAGCTCATCGACCACTGCCCCAACGACCTCCACCCCATGGCCCAGTTCTCTCTGGCCGTCACTGCCCTCGAGCACACCTCCTCTTTCGCCAAGGCCTACGCCCGAGGCATCAACAAGAAGGAGTACTGGCACTACACCTTTGAGGACTCCATGGACCTCATTGCCAAGCTGCCCAACATTGCTTCCCGCATCTACCAGAACGTCTTCAAGGGCGGAAAGGTTGCCCCCATCCAGCAGGACAAGGACTACTCCTTCAACTTCGCCAACCAGCTCGGATTCGGCGACAACAAGGACTTTGTTGAGCTCCTGCGTCTGTACCTGACCATCCACACCGACCACGAGGGCGGCAACGTCAGCGCCCACACCACTCACCTGGTCGGCAGCGCTCTCAGCTCCCCCTTCCTGTCCCTGGCTGCCGGTCTTAACGGTCTTGCCGGTCCCCTGCACGGTCTTGCCAACCAGGAGGTGCTCAACTGGTTGACCGAGATGAAGAAGGCTATTGGCGACGACCTCAGCGACAAGGCCATCACCGACTACCTCTGGTCTACTCTCAACGCCGGCCGTGTCGTCCCTGGTTACGGCCACGCCGTCCTCCGCAAGACTGACCCCCGCTACACTGCTCAGCGCACTTTCGCTCAAGGTATGTTGAATAGGTAAACCCTTGGCAAGGGAAAAGGAAAAAAAGAAAGCTAATTCCCCTACAGAGAAGATGCCCAACGACCCCATGTTCCAGCTGGTCAGCCAGGTTTACAAGATCGCCCCTGGTGTCCTGACTGAGCACGGCAAGACCAAGAACCCCTACCCCAACGTCGACGCCCACTCCGGTGTCCTTCTGCAGTACTACGGCCTGACCGAGGCCAACTACTACACCGTCCTCTTCGGTGTCTCCCGTGCCATTGGTGTCCTTCCCCAGCTGATCATTGACCGAGCTGTCGGTGCTCCCATCGAGCGCCCCAAGTCCTTCTCCACTGACAAGTGGGCTGAGCTTGTCAAGAAGCTGTAAGGGGTTTGACGTCGAGAAAGGGAGAAGCGACAACAAAAAGGGTGGCGATAGATGGAGATTTTTTTGGGTTTGTTTAGGGGAGCATTGGAAAAAAGGGAAAAGCAAAGATTGGAGCCCGTTGGGCGAATTTGACTGCCGACTGGGATATAGACAGTCTGTGGATGACACAGCGACGGCCAGAACGGCGCTTAATTGTACAATATACGGAACTGTTTAGTTTCCAATTGATGTAATGACACAAGATGAGCTCATGGTGACTTTGAAGGAGGAGACGGCGGTGCTATGGCTATGTTATAACAGCTTGTAGATGGTATTAGTACTCCACCTCAAGTTGGCAAGCCAACGCAGGAGTGCCATGAGCCAACCATTGCAACAAGGATGATATCATCTAGGCAGCTCTGTTTACGACTTTCTTTCCGTAATGGTGCACGAGAATTTCTCCAAACACGGAATACCTACCTAGTAATTGTATATCACTTCGAATACATGCAGCCTGGTTAAGGCGCAGAGTCCACAGAATCAAGTACCTTACCTACTAGGTATCTTGAAACACATCTCGAATGCTTTAAATCCCAATGGGAAAATTACTGGGATAGGCAAGCTCGATTAGAAAGTTGGAGGCCCGCTGAACTATTTTTGTTGTAGTAGCCCTCTTATTCGTATTCGATGGGGCGCGAGCTTTGATTGATGCTCTGTGGAGATTGGCGCCGGCGCTGGTGGTGAGCGCCTGTTGGAAAATTCAGTGCTCATTGGCTCCCCTTTGGCAGATCTGAGCTCAACAATCGCAACATGTTGAGATGGCTGGCCGAAACCGAATTTAGCGGGCCTGAGCGCCACACGGGCCACGGCCCACCGCAAGCAGAGCAGGGAAAGATTCGAACGATACCCTGTAAGAAGTGGTTAAAAAAGTTTTTTTTTTCTTATTCCCTTATATCCCTTCTCTGGGATTGAATTAGTATGCAATTTGGGATACCTTGTACCTAGTAGTAGTAGTAGTAGTAGTCATAATAGAGTGTGTATTTTTCTCCTAATCAATCGCTGGTATTAGATATTACATCATTCAATTAGCTCATTCATACCAATTCTGTGGGCTGTAGTATCTAAGCAGCGCTCCTGTATATACAGATATACAGTACAAGGTCCATACTGCAGGTACATGTGATTTTGGGTTCTGGAGCGCATACCAGGCAGTTCCCCAAATGCTGTTGTGGCGCCAGGAACACACCCAACGTGGGGAATTAGAGAGGAACGTACAGGGCGGCGGCAATCTTGATGGGGCAGTACTAGGTAGGCAGTGAACAACAAGACACGGAGAGATATCACCAGTCTCACTTGGGGTACCAATGCATTCACTGCTGCGAATGGTGCATGTACAAGTACTCGACGCCGCAGTATGAGGGGAGAGGCATTGCGCTGCGGCATTACCCCAATGCGAATGCGGAGAATCGCCAAAAGCACATGCTAGACGCCGCCAGCGCTTTTCGGACAATCACGGTTCCAGCTCCCAAAGCAGACCCCATTCGGTCCTCGGCCCGGTTCCTATCCTGCCCGATCCTGCTGTGCTGACCTCCCTGTCCGAGGACCGCTTATCTGCTTTTGCCAGCGCCCCCAATCCAATAACCCTCCGACACATGCTCCGGTCGTTCAACGAGAGCCTGTTAGTCAGCGAGCTAAGCCTTGTCGCGCGCAATCCGTCGTCCCTCCAAGAGCAGTACAAGTAACACCAAAGCCTCAACACAACCCCCCTTTTTCCCTTCTTCTTCTTCCTCCTCCAACTTTCCACCCCGGAAATCAACAATCCTCCCGCTCCTCCACGCCTTGCGAAGAAGCACCCTATTCCCTTGGTCAGGGCCCCCTACAGCAAAACATCCCAGAAGTCATGGTCGCCGCCGCCGCTATCGAAGCTCCCATCTCGGGCAGCACGCTCGAGAAGAAGCCCATCAAGTTCTCCAACCTGTTGCTCGGCGCAGGTCTGAACCTGTTCGAGGTTACCACTCTTGGCCAGCCCCTCGAGGTCGTCAAGACCACCATGGCTGCCAACCGTGGTGACGGCTTCTCCACGGCGCTGGGCCGTATCTGGGGTCGAGGTGGTCCTCTCGGCTGTAAGTAAACGCGAAAAACACAGCAAAGACCAGTTGCGTGAAATAAATTAAAAAAAAGAGTCATTTGGCTAATTATATATTTTTTTTCTTGTTTCAACAGTCTACCAGGGTCTTATTCCCTGGGCTTGGATTGAGGCTTCTACCAAGGGCGCTGTGCTGCTCTTCGTTGCCTCAGAGGCCGAGTACTACGCTCGCTACATGGGTGCTTCTGAGTTTGGCGGTGGCATTCTTGGTGGTATCACCGGTGGTGTTGCCCAGGCCTATGCCACCATGGGTTTCTGCACCTGCATGAAGACGGTCGAAATCACCCAGCACAAGCTGGCCGCTTCAGGTGTCAAGCCTCCCTCCACCTTCCAGACCTTTATGAGCATTTATAACAAGGAGGGTATCCGCGGTATCAACAAGGGTGTCAATGCTGTCGCCATCCGACAGATGACCAACTGGGGATCCCGTTTCGGTCTCAGCCGACTGGCCGAGGGCTGGATCCGCTCGGCCACCGGCAAGCAGCAGAGCGACAAGCTCTCTCCCGGCGAGAAGATCCTTGCCAGTGCTCTCGGTGGTGGCCTCAGTGCTTGGAACCAGCCTATTGAGGTCATCCGTGTCGAGATGCAGAGCAAGAAGGACGACCCCAACCGACCCAAGAAGATGACGGTCGGCAACACTTTCCGTTACATTTACGATAACAATGGCATCAAGGGCCTCTACCGAGGTGTTACCCCTCGAATTGGTCTCGGCGTTTGGCAGACGATTTGCATGGTTGCTGTCGGAGACATGTAAGCTCTTCCCCCATTCTATATACATTGTACAGTTACAGCTTTGCTAACAATACACGTCTTTTACAGGGCTAAAACTTATGTGGAGAAATTGACCGGTGATAAGGTCACGGCTAAGCATTAGACGGCGTTTGGGAACAGGGCTCGATGATTGGCAAATGGATGTTTTCAAGATTTGGGTTCTTATTTACACGCGACAAATGAAATGACGTCGGAGGGCATGTAATCTTTTGCAGCGGGCTTGTCTAAAGTCTCTGTACTTGGCTTATGTCTTTTCTTTCTTAATATGTGTGTATTGATATCGTATGCACCATTTTTTTTACTATTACTATTATAGATCTACTCTAGATGGAAACTGATAGAGCAGAAATGAATGAAGATATGGCGATGACCATCTCACAAACTGAAGTGCGTAATTTGAAGTGCTAAGGTTAAATGACAGATGCAGTGAGTGGTAGGTCGATGCAGCCGGTTGACGGTCCACCGCCGGCTGTGGCCTGAACATCGGCCTCGGGGACCGGACGGAGCTCCGAACAGTGATCCCGGAGGTTTCTCTGCTTATAGGCGATATGAGAAGAATAGTGACCAGGTATATCTCATCTATCAGATTATGGATGTTGCTATTGAGTCAGTAACGAGAATATATGAGAGATTATTCGTCAATTATTGATGCTTAGGATTAAACTTAATCGGCTGCTATTGCCTTTGGAATTAGACTATGGGCAAAAGGATTCAAAATATCGTTTAAAGTTGTATTTCGTCTAGTTCCGTTCCAAATTAAATTAATGAATTCAAGATTCCAGAAGAGAATATATATACTAATGGCATGCTACGGAGAATTAGTGGTGGAATTTGCTCATTCACATGAATCTTTTGGCTACTATTATACAGGTTGGTAGCTCTTCCAGAAGGTGAAAAAAAGAATTAATGGAGCAGCAAATCTTGAAGAAAGTGAAAATTGCAGTGGTGGTATATTGTTCATTCCTGGAAAGCTGCCTCAGTAAGCTGATGAAATCAATAGGTATTGCCGAATAGGCCTCGGGATTCCTCACGGCGACAGCGAGAGCGAGAGCGAGTTGTTGAATTCGTGGCAGTGCACGGCCAGTCCTCCCATGTGGCTGTGCTAGAGACGACAGAGAATAGTGCCTGGACCGAGGCTGGCTCGCGACTATGGCTCTTGTGCGCTGAGGAATAGTTTTGCGGCTGCATTAGCGGGGACTGGATCTGCGCTGGAGTCCCTGCCAAGAGAGGACCCTGGGGGTGACATGCGCTTTGATATTGAGACGATGAAAGAAACCCCGGATTTGATATACTCTGGAAATACAGGACAGAAAACTGCACAAGCTGAATAAAGCAATCAAGATGTGCATTTAGAGTACGCATTAACGTTAAGCATTGAATAAGAAACTGCTAGCAGGCACTGCTAAGGCCACACACTACCCAGGCAGGTATATGGAATTACCAGCAGGTTCCATGCCGGGCTGCCGGCACGCAAAGCCATGCGCTTCTCTCTTTTCACATACGTGGTCGTCCGACTGCGCCTCGCACTCCCGCCTCTAGCGGGCTCCCGTGCGTCACGGACACCACAGGCGTGTGCTGTGGCGGTTGGCGGCCGCTGCGGCGCATGCATCTAGCAGGATAGTAGGCGCCCTATAGAAGTATATAAAGTCGAGGCCTCTTTTGATGGCATGTGCTGGAACAGGATCATCTTTTGGCTGGTCGAATCCGATAATTTCCCGCTGCTGCTCTCTCTACCTGATACCCCGACCAGCAGCTCATTTAACCGCCCAGCGCTCTTTCTATCCCGCCGCCCGCAGCGCCGTCACTGTCATCGCCAAAACAGCTAGCTAGGGGCTCACACGCTAAACCACCCCTCCTCCTCATCCCCCTCTCACTCCCACTCTCCTACCTCTCTCCTCCTTCTTTTTCTTTATACCTCACGCATCTATATTTTTTTTTTTTTTTACCGGACGCACACAACTTTGCAATCGTTTCTCATGTCCGACTTTGCCCCCCCATCAGGGCCTCCGCCGCCCAAGGCTCCCGAAGTCCCTTCCGGCTGGACCGCCCGGTGGAACGACCAGTATAAAGAATGGTACGTTCTTCCTCATTAATAATGCTCTTTGTGCAGCTTCACGGCAAAACTCGCTCTCTCGCTTGATCCACCGTCCTTCAACGCACTAACATCCTTCTCCCAGGTTCTACGTCAACCTCTACACCAAGAAATCCCAATGGGACAAGCCTACCCACCCCGTCTATCCTGAGGGTGAGGCTCCGCCTTCAGATCCCCCTCCAGGCTATGACGGCCACGGCCGCAACTCCCCCTACCCTTCCGACCATAAGACGAACCCCTATAGCAACTCAGGCAACAACGCCGGCTCTTCATCTAGAAGCCATCAAGAAGATGAGGATGCGCGTATGGCGGCCAGGTTACAGGCCGAAGAAAATGCGCGAGCCCATGGCGGCGGCTACAGCGGTGGCGCTGCCGACTCATACCGCCAGGGACAGAGCACCAGCCCATACCCTCCGCCTGGAAGCAGCCCCTATGCTTCTCCTCCTCCCCAGCAGCAGCAGGGGCAGAGCGGCGACCGAGGCCTACTGAGCAGTCTCGCCGGTGGCTTTATCGGCTCCAAGCTGGGGAGCAAGAATAGCAACTCTCACAACGCCTCTCCCAGTGGCTTCCCCGGCGCTCCTGGCGCAGGCCCCTATGGGAACTACGGACCGCCACCACCGCAAGGCTATGGACCGCCGCCGCCCCAGGGATATGGCCCTCCAGGCTACGGAGGAACGCCTGGTGCGTACGGCGGTGGCTACGGCCCTCCCCCTCAGCAATACGCTCCGTCTCCTCAGCCGATGGTGGTGCAACAGCAAGCACCGCCTAGAAAGAGCGGTGGCCTTGGAGGCTTCGGAGGAGCTGCTCTCGGTCTCGGTGCTGGTGTGGTTGGTACTCTACTGGTGGAGGATGCGATTGATCACTTTGAGGACAAAGGATATGAGCAGGGCTACGACCAAGGGTACGATAACGGATTCGACAACGGATACGACGATGGTGGTGGTGATTGGTAAGGGGTTCTGAGCGAGACAAGCTAGTTAGTTATATGATTGCTATCAAATATATAGTTTTTTTTTTGCATGGGAGGAGAATTTTCTGGGTGGTAATCAATCGGTTTCTTTTTTCTTTATCTGTTTGCATGTCTTAGCTATATATACAAGATTGTATTCGTTTGGGCTAGGAATTGGAGGATGGCGTTACGGAGTAATGCCAATTACACCAAACTGACGATACACACTTTCACATAATTCTCCTCGGTGTTTTCGCATGCCTTTATTCAAAATTGACAACATGTATAGTAAATGCAACAATTTTACCATCCCTACCCTAATTATCTGCCTAGCTTTGCGTATCTACATCCTGTATTCATTTCTTTCCCACAATCGACCGCCAGAGGCAGTCTCACCTCTTCACACCTTCTTTTTTACCGGAGCCCGCAAGGTAAGCCGCCATGTCGAAGTTGCCGAGTGGGTTCTGTCCAGCTTGGGCATTCCCCATGATGGCGTTCAAGGGGCTTTCCTTCTGTCTCTCTTCGAACTCGGCGCGCAGCTCGGGGTCCACTGCTCGTGATGTCAGCCTTTTTGGTCTTATAGATGTAGATATACATATATATGGACATATGTATAGGATTGAAGAAATTGCGAAGAGTGGAATGGGGGGAAAGCAAGTAAGAATATAGTACGTACTGTTATCCATTAGGTACGGCATGCCAAAGACAATACCCATTGTGACGAGACCCATTAGGATCATGGGGCTCTTGAGGATGCTCAGCACAGAAACTGATCCTAAAAGTTAGTTTCATCCAAACACAGCAGCAGAAACAGAGGCAAAGAGAGGGGGGGGATATTTTTTTTTTCCAGACTCACACGCCGGTCTCTCCATGAAGAAAATCTTGCCACCCAGCGCCTTGACGCTGAAGCCCCTCGACGTCTCGCCCTCGCTCTTCACGGGCACCTCCTCGCCCTTGTTGGCCCACTCGTTGCCGCGGAACGTCTCCCAGGCCTTGACGGCGCCATCCTCGGCGACGTCTACGCGCAGCGGCTGGAAGGTGTCCGTGGCGCAGTGCACGTCGAGCAGGTACGAGTCGGCCGAGACGTTGTGGAAGCTGAAGGTGTTGACCGCGGTCAGAGGGGCGTCGAGGCGCTTGTGCAGGCTGGACAGCGTGGCGTGGGTGGTGGGCGGGAGGAGGAAGGGGTTCGGCTTGGCGGGGAGGGAGACGGTGAGGGAGACTTGGGCGGCGGAGGCGGCGCTGAGGATTGCGCAGGTGAGGGCGAGGAGGGATGGGAGCTCCATTGTGGGTGGTGGTGGTGGTTTTTTGCTCGGCGGGTGAGCGGGCGGGAGGTTGTGGATGACGATGGTTGGAAATGGCGTATGTATTTACAACAAGCAAGGATGTACTAAGGTACTAAGCTGTGGCTGAGGTGTAGCGATTGATAAGGCTTGGAGGGGGGTTGCTTGGGGTTTAGTGCGTGATCCACTGGGAGGGGAGCTGTGAGGTCAACCCCAAAGCAGCGGGCAGCTAGGCGCGGTGGAAGCCTGTAATTGGCTGGCGTGTAAATGCTCGCGTTGATGCTCATTTACCGCTGGAAAGAAGAAGAATTGCATCATGTTTTTATTTTCATTAACAAACGCTGAACTGAATACTATTACCTACATTAAAACAGTATTAACTACCCTTGAGACCCTCCTATCCCCTCTGCTCCCGGACTGCCTCCCCTGCCCAGCATCTCCAGCGTCTCATCTCTGTTCTTCGAATTGCTCAGCCTAAAAACCACGGACCTCCTAATCTCCCTCGAAGATCTCGAGATGCCATCGTCTGTAAAGCCAAGCTCACTCAATCCATCCAACTCATCAGCTTCGTCCGCTACGCCCGGCGGCGGATCCGCTTCAAAGACGGCTTCGATGTCGCCGTGAGGGTTGAAGCCGGTGAAGCGCCATCTAAGCAGCTGGCTCGACCTCTTGCCCCGACTTGACTCGCCGATTTTGAACAAGTTGCGTTCGTACAGGCTGATGAATAGCAGGACGGGGAAATTAAGAACCCGAACGACGGCGACGTGGATGGAGTGGAAGTCGTGTGCAGAGACGAGCAGCTTCAGGGGCAGCATCAGCATCAGGGCCAGCATGTTGGATGGGGGCGGATAGGCGAAGATGGCGTCGCTCCTCACGCACTCAAACGTGAGCACGGCTCGGCGGAACTGGATCTCGGCGGCTTCGGCGTCCACGATGCGTGAGAAGGTGTTGGTCAGCACGGCGACCAGGATCGTCAGGAACAGCGTGTTTCCCAAGAAGGCAAATGCCACGATCAGCGCGGGGCCGAGGACGACGTGGAACTGGACAGACTCTTGGATGCCCGTGCCGTCAAGCCCGAACCAGATCCATAGAAGCCACTTGGCGACGGTGTACCATTTGGGCTCTGAGCCTTGGCTGGTCATCAGGAGCCACTGCAGTGCTAGGAAGAAGCCTCCCACGCACCACAGCGTGAGGAATGTCAGCATGAGAAAATCCTTCATCATGGCGTGCAGCGAGATGAAGACAATGTTGTCCGGCATGAGGCTGAATGCGAATCGGGTGAGCAGTACCGGCGCTGCAACGCATAGGATATGCAGCGCCAGAGAGTCTGTGCCATCCAAGCTATGGGCGACGGAGATCCAGACATCGTAGAGCCGCACAGAGAGATAAGCGCAAAAGATGATGGTAAAGGTCACGTCCAAGAATGACCACGTCTTCTGAGCATGAACCGCCCATCCATGTTCGATGATGGCCGCGAATTCGTCTAGAATCCATCCTGCCGTATACACGGCAAATAGGCTCTCGTACAGTCTGAGGGAAGACGGGTTGCTTCGATTCACCATGGTCAGAATGTACAGCCCCAGCAGTATCATGAACTGCACAGACTCGAGCAAGCTCCTCCACTTTGGCACAATCAACCGATAGTGGTTCAGCAGAGGAGCCTTGCGCGGATCATACAACGACACAGGGTGGTACTTGTAATGATCCGGCAAGATATCCACAAACGATATCGGCGTATACACCACCTGGCCCTCGTACACGGCATTCATCACCCGCAGGCACGCCGGCGAGCTCATCAGCGCCTTGCTCTCCGAGAGAATCGCCAGCTCCAGTGCCGTGAGTTTCCCCTCGTTGCCGCCGCGCTCCTGCACCGGCCAGTGCGCGTATCTGCCGACGCGGGCAACATCTTCGGGGGCGCCCGAGAAGGGGTCAAACCCTTGGACGAGGACGTTGGCCAGGCGCAGCAGGCCGGCGGAGCCCGACTTCTCGGGCGCGTTGTCCTCGTGGAGCTTGCGCAGGATCTTGGTGGCGACGACTTCGCAGAGGGTGGCGCGCGCGCGGCTGACGCTCTGGTGCTTGGCGGCGGTTTGCTCTTTGAGGAATTGGACGCGGTTGGCGAGGAGGCAGTATACTAAGGGAAACAAAGGGTTGCAGTGTGAGCCATGGTGATCTAAGACGACTTTTGGGTTTTCTCGCGCGCTTATTCTATATACATTATATCCACATGAACCGAGACACAAGAAGACGATGGCATAACAGGAAATCACAAAAGTCAATTTCATGAGCAAAAGGGGGGGACTGAGGCGAGCAAACCTATGGAGGTGTCATCAGGATCATAGAGCCTGTCTACCAGTGGGCGGACCACGAGGGTATTGATGCGCGGGCTGGTCAGTTGCTTGGATGTATAAGGATCCTCTGATATTTGCAACTATTTAGCTGATGGCATTGTGATGGAAGTTTGTATTGTAAAGGCGTGTATAATCACTTACCAATGCTAGCGATGATGAGGGCTCGCACTCTTGATTATATGCTGGCCAATCAGCATGCTGTTTTGTTACAAAGGGAGAGAAAAGGGGAATTTAAACAACAAGAAACTTAAATGTGACAACTCAGAGTAAAAAGGCCCAAGAACTCGTAACATAAGAGACTCACCGATGGATCGTGGTAAATACATCAGAAGGCCCTCTCAACGGTTCATCCTCATCAGCGAAATAGTCGCCCGCTTCGCTCACAGCGCTTTCACCAGCTTCCAGGATTGTCGTGCTCACCGCATCTTCGTTTACAGCATCGTCCATGTCGTGTAAAGAAAAAAAATGGCGAAACCAATGAAAACAAAAAGAAGCTGTTTACAATGACTGCCAAGTCCAACTAGGTAGTATTAGTTTACAGTTGGGGGAAAAAATCGGTTTACGTGGGAAAAGTCTAAATAGGTAGGCCTGACAGTGTCCACCTTTAGTTTTCTTAAACGGAGGCCTCAAGCTTTTCGATGATGAGGCAATTTACACATGTCAGATTTGGAGGCTTTATTAGCAGGTGTTGCCGCTCTGGTAGCGCCCTGCGTCATTTTGGCAGCTTAGCTACCTAAATCAAGCAAGATGCGAGGACGCAGAATGCAGGATGACGACGGGGAGTGCCACAAAATATCAACCGTAGTACTATGCAGAACGAGGGAAATAAAAAGATGACCGCTTTTTTTTTCTTTGAAAAGACGTTGAAAGATTTCTGAGCTAAGGCATGTTCTGCTTTAGCCGAAGCTTGTGCTCGTGATATCTACCTATGGGAATTGGTCCCGATGCTCTAGCAGGGGGGACTCAATAGCCAGAATTCCGGCATATACATGTGCTGCATAACAGGTATTAACTCCTCATTCGTTTCTATAACGCAGACTGTGTAGTAACTGCATAGCCCCCATTCGGCGACCAAGTTTCTCACACCTCCAACAACGCCAGCTTTAGGTGAAGTACTAATGAAATGAAATAGCCTCATGCCAGATATCCTTCTTGTTCACATCGCTTTGACACATATTCGTTAATATTTTTTTTTGTCTTCTTCTTTTTTTATTCATCTTTGCTGTTCTGTATTTACAGACCAGCTGCCTGGAACGACTGTTCAAAGTCGGCAATGATGTCGTCAATGTACTCAGTGCCGACTGAGACGCGGATAAGGTCCTCAGTGACACCTGAGTCGACTCTCTCCGCTTCGCTCAGCTGCTCATGAGTGGTCGTCCAGGGGCTGCAGAAAAGAAACCATATTAGTTTTATGTCTCACAATTTTGAATTACTACCTCTTTTGGGTGGGTGGGCGGGCAACTCACTGAATGGCCAGCGTCTTGGAATCACCAACGTTGGCAAGGTTGCTGATGAGCTTGAAGCCGTCAACGACCTTGGCGCCTCCAGCGGCGCCGCCGTTGACACCGAAGCTCAAGACACCACCGAAACCTCTGGGGAGGTACTTCTTGGCGTTTGCGTGGTACGGGTGGCTCTCCAGGCCGGGGTAAGAAACCCAGGCGACGTGGGGGCTGCTCTCCAGGTACTTGGCCACAGCCAGAGCGTTCTGGGCGTGGCGCTCGGCGCGGAGGCTGAGCGTCTCGACACCGAGGATCAGCTGCTGGGCGGCAAATGGGTTGAGGGCGGCGCCAATGTCACGCAGCAGCTCGACTCTGGCGTGGACGATGAAGGAGACGGCGCCAAAGGTCTCCCAGAACTTGAGGCCGTGGTAGCCCTCAGAGGGCTCGATGAACTGGGGGAATCGCTTGCCGTTCTTGCCCCAGTCAAACTTTCCCGAGTCGACAATGACGCCGCCAATGGTGGTTCCGTGTCCGCCGATCCACTTGGTAGCTGAGTGGACGACGATGTCGGCGCCGTGCTCAATGGGGCGAATGAAGTATCCACCGGCACCAAAAGTGTTGTCGACCTGATAATAGCCATTTTACTCGTCAGTTCTTTTGGGCTTTTTTCTGCTAATCGACAAGAGAGAATACAGCAGCCACTTACCACTAAGGGAACGCCCTTCTCGTGAGCCACCTTGGCAATGGCCTCCAGGTCAGGCACGTTGTATCGGGGGTTGCCAATGCTCTCGAGGTAGACGGCCTTTGTGTTGTCGTCGATGGCGGCAGCAATGTCCTTGGGGTCGTCACCCTTGACAAACTTGGTGGTGATGCCGTAGCGCTTGAATGTGACCTTGAGCTGGTTGTAGGTGCCGCCGTAGAGGTTGGTCGTGGAGACGATGTTGTCGCCGGCCTGGGCGAGGGCCGTCAGGGCGAGGAACTGCGCTGCCTGGCCAGAGGAGGTGGCCAGAGCAGCAACACCCCCTTCCAGGGCTGCTATCCGCTTCTCGAAGACATCGACGGTGGGCTGTGAAGGCGCGTGAGCAAGTTTCAATGGACAATTGGAGGCTGCGCATAGTTCGAGGCACTCACGTTGCCGATACGGCTGTAGATGTTGCCTTCTTCTTTGAGGCCAAAGAGCCTGGCGCCGCGGGCGGAATCGCCGAAAACGAAGCTCTGTCGCACAAGGAATTGTTAGCTTCTGGTGTGTTTTTGAGAAAGATACACGACTATAATTGATCGCGCATGTCATGTCGCAACGAGGCGAGTTGAGCAAGTCGACGCTTACAGTGGAGGCGTAGATGGGGACCGCACGGGCATTAGTCGCCGAGTCCGGGGCGTGTCTGGGGACCAGTTAGTTGTCGCAATTCATTTTGTTTTGTTGCGTTGCTGTGTTCTCGAGTCTCTTTTACTCCTTATATCTTTCAATATAGTACAAAAGCAGCTCAAATGGGCAGCGTCCGCAGCAGCTCCTCCGGCCATAGCATTGACCAGTAAGCCGAAGTCGCAAAGCTGCTGCCCCGCGATTGTGTCATCCCAGCAATTGAGTTTAGGAAACACCAAAAAAAAAACTTACCCCGCGTGAAGCTGGAGAGTCGCAAAGTTCTTGCTGTTGTCCGCCATTGTAACCAAACGCTTGATGCTAAAGCGACTCGATAAAAAGTAGAGATGGTGTAAACAAAGAAAGAGAGAAAGCGTGTGAAGTCTAATTCGAGAGGGCGGGAATCGGCCCAAACTTCGAGTGTGCCACTGAGACGTATTTATACCAAGCAATCTACATTCCGCCGGCATCAAAGATTACACTCCATGCTAGCACCGTGGCGGCGCAACCTGGACTGACTTCTCTCACTAAGGCTTCTACAACTCAAACTAGTAGGGATCCAGCCGCGACTAAACCGCGGCTGTAGGGAATCCATTTGCTATATTGAGCCCTTTGGCTTGACAAAAACAGAAATTGAGCGTTCTAAGAGCCTCCACGCCGAGGGTGGGGTCCAAGGCCGTCCCCAAGCACGCAATCGTCGTCTGTTCTTGACACACCAACGGCGCAGACAGAAGCCCTCTGCCGTGTGCTTCTACTAGAGGGGTAAACAGCCAAGAGAGAGAGAAAAGCACTCGTTGATCCTGGTTCTCGCGCAAAAAGCGCCCCTCATCCGCGTTCTCTTGTCCGCCGGTTTTCGCCCTTCGCCCGTCCATCTCCCCCAACGGATCCATCCACCGCGGCCGTTCCCTGCTGGTATGGTTATGGTTCCCCGAATTTAGCCAGCGTATCAGATTCTTGTTTCCTGGAAAGCTAGCTCGTCTGCTGCGAAAAATTACATAGTAGTAGTTGCCCATGGTCTGACTATTCGAGACTTTTTAATGCTGAGAGGCTTCTGTTTCTTATTCAGCCCTTATGTAAGTAAACTTCCTGCCATAGCACTGGCTTATGGACGGTATTAAACAGCGGCAATAAAATGTAGTAATAGATATTTGTAAAACTGCCTGTGTAAAGATGGTTGCGTCAAGCGATGTTGATAAAACCGCACTTGATAGTTAGCCAAGCAGCAAACGCGAGTCCTTGACTCTTGACCAGCCAATCAATCGGGCTTGTCTGGGATTGCATGGAAATAGTCCCGATTACCTCTTCTAGCGAAACAGGAAAATCCTTGAGAGCGCTGACGGCTCTGCGACGCCGAGAGGAGCTCAAGTGGGTGTGACTGCTGTGGAGCGCTAAATACGTGTATTAAATCCGACAGTCTATCCGACTATCGTGAATGGTTAGGTAATATTAGCTAGTTGTAGACGCTGCTGTTGGCCTTTATTCTTGACCATGCTTATCCTTCCTTTCCCATGTTCTTTACATGCTCTCACAAAGTAGACTTCAATGGCTGCTTATACTTGGTGAGCTGGCAACGTCTTCAGCACACATCAGCCCATCTCATGAGAAATAACAAGTACCGCTAATGCATGATGATTGAGTTACAGATTCGCTTAAGGAACCGGTTGTAAACCCAATGCAATGAAATAACTATCTTTTCAACTAGTAAATGCCACCTGCTTACCAAACATGCTCCCTTCTCAGCCATTACCCTGCCTCTAGTCATCATGAGCCATGCTAATCGTAACGCCATGGTGCCCGCTAAGCTACGATAATCTACCTGCATGTAACCCCAGTTCAGCTCCCACCTAATCGGTAGTCTCGACGCTATCTATATCTGACACATGGTCCAAAAAGAAAAATAAAAACAAAGTGCAACGCTCAGAGCTCCACGTCTCTGGTGCCACGTCCCCTGCCCGGCAGCTTAATCTGTCTTCCACCGCCCTGGAAGATCTCCTTTGCAGCAAGGATGGCGGAGAACATCCACAGGCTGAACTGAACTGCCGCTAGAACCGCAGCGCCACGGCCAGCCATGCAGACTGAGCCGTTGCAGAAAGCCAGGTCACCAAGGCATATAGCCACGGCGATAAAGCCTGAAAAGTAGATTATACAGTTAATGGCTTCGATGCCCAACGATAATATAGGGCGTGTAGCTTTGGGTGCGAAGCGCTGCATGAGCTCGATGTAGAAGACGGAGGCGAGTGTAAAGATTGGACAGAATAGAAGAAAGTTGATGGAAGGCGGCGTGGAGAGATGACGCCCTCGGAGATGCCAATTAACGACTGTGAACATGACGAGTTAGAATGAAACAAAAGTGGTATTAGTGCTAGAAAACATACCGTATGCTGTCAAGGCGATGCTGGCAGCGGCCGTGATGCCCTGGAAGGCCCGGACGCAGATGATGAGCGTTCGCGGCATGACGAACATGGCGAGAATATTCTAACCGAAGAAGCTTGAAGGAAAAATTATGGAGAGCCGCAGAACACGTCCATGCCAAAGAGAAGAAGTTGATGTGGTAATGTATTAGCATTAGCGGTATAAAGCTTCATGTTCATAGTCGTACACACTAGCGGTGATGTCTAAGACATTTTGAATTACAGGTCCAAGGGAGGTGAAAAGGGCGGATCAATTGAGCTAGTTGTATGGAGGGCTATGTGGGTGATGTGCGTCCCGAGAAAAAAAAATATGTATGATACTAAAGAATACTACATTGTCGACTCTCTTATAGCGAATGGATCGTCCATCTTGCACAAAGTAGGATATTAGTCTCAGATATCTTGTGATAAGTTTTATATATGTCTAGGTAGGTATGAAATTGTGGCTGTGAATTGGCATTATAGCCTCAATCTGATTCGTTCCAAACGAAAAAGAAATAAACAAATGCAATTGATCATGCAATGGTTTCATGGTGATACAGGGGCAGCTTTGACAGCTTATTTATAACTGATCTCGTCTTAGCATTACAACGTGGCACACAGGTCACCTCGGCAAAGAAGCTCGAAACAGGCTCAACTTGGTCGTGTGCATGAAACACATCAAATGCTAGGCTCGTGACAGCTTGAGCCTTTGACTCTGAGATCTTGATGATATTGGATCTTCTAAGCGTGCTACCTTGAGCGGTGGTGATGAATTGATTGAAGCATTGCAAGAGTATAGGGTAAGCAGCCAGTACATGTATGCCACTCCGTGCCAGCAATGTTCCCTCCAACATACTGCATACATGATACAGCTGACAACTCCAATATGCTGCCCCTTCAACTAAGTATTGCTGTACAGCTGCTTAGGCCTAATGGGTATCTAGCAGAAGTTGTGGGAGAACCAGTCAGCATGAACGTTGTCCTCGGCTTTCAGAATGCGGGATAACGCGGGGAAAAGCACTACTGTCTACTGCTTTGTGACTAATGTGGCTCCAGCATTTAAGCGCAAGTACCTAGGGACACGTTTCCAGCCCGGAACCAGCTGCGCAAGTACAAGTACTGGAGACATATCTCACTACCTGTAACTACCTATTGGCTTGTGAGGGGACGGACAAAGCACCCTTTTACAGAAGCCCGTCCGCGGCGACTCTCCAAAGGGTCTGGGGTTTCACATGCCGAAACAAGACGCTGTGTCGAATAGCAGCGACGTGATTGGCCAGACAGCTGCGGATGTCCCCCTGGGGACCGAGGCCCACCGCCGTGCTTTAGCGGAAGCCAGTAAGCCAAAAGCTGCCTGGCCGCCAAGTTGCTCCCCCAGACAAACTGATCTGTTGCCCCGGATTCCGAGGCATTGCGAAATCCAGAACAGGAGAGCAACACCAGCTCAATACCAGTGCAGAAGTCGGGTTTGAAAAAACAGGCCACAATGTGGGAAGAATAAACAGAAGCACAGAAAGACGAAATAGGATCCGCCTCGCCTGCTGTGGGAGCACAAGCGTCGCCACCGAGTGGTGGTTATTCCCCGAAACAGCCGACGTCACTACGGGATCCGGACTTTTGGCCTGATTGTGCTACGTTGTGGCCCGGAATTTGTACGGCGCCGTTTGGCTGGAATAGACGACGATTCCATTCGTTTTTGTCTTGAAAGAGCAAAAAAATTCGACGGTTGTTGACGTTGATTGCAAGTTGTCAATGTTCAACTAACAAAAGGCGTGTTTACGAGCGACTGCCTAGGTGTTTTGTCGAAGCATTGGGGTAATACGGAGTCGGGGAGTCGGGACATCAAAGAATCGCATGGGGCGAAAAAAAAAAAAAAATTAAAAAATTAAGCTATCAATGCACATGTACCAGTACTTGCCAATCAATATACTATTCGCATATAGATAGACACGCAACTTGAGTTTAATGCCACTCATACAACATTTCGTCGTCGCGCATAGCAGACTTGAGGATCTCGCATCTCGCATCTCATTCACCGATCTTGTTTAGTTTCCAGCGAAGACCGACGGACTGCGGAACACCAACCGCCACGAGGACCTTGAGCGCCATCTATCCGCTGCCCACGGACGTCGAGCCCACTATAAGTCCGCTGGTGGGAACGCCTCAGTGGGCTGCTGTCGGCGGCTGGCCGCTATTAGCAGCTGCGTCGCAGCGCTAATGGTTTCTGTACTTGGCTAGGTTTTTTCCTGCGCGAGCCACCAGCGACCAAAATCTGGGGCTGCCGAGGCCCTCGGCCATCCTTTTTCAGCAGCCCATGTTTCGTTAAACCTCCACCTTTCTCCCAGCCTCAACTCCAGATCTGGATTCCTTCTTTCTATTCCAACTTTCCTTATTCCCTCTTTCAGTAATTTCCTTTCCTCTCCCTCTTTAGGCTTGCACGTCGCCTTTCCCTCACACCATCTCGATTCTCGTGTACGTCACGAGCGTTGCAGGAACTCGTCTCAACAACACGCGGCCAACTCGACTCACAACTCGCGACACAATGGCTACCAAGGACGTAGAGGCGTACATCAAGACCCTGTCAACTCCGCCTGCGCCCGGGGCTCTTCACGGCGTTGCCATCCCCGGATCAGAGCGCCCTGGCCGCACCGCCGTTTACCGCCACCACAAGATTGGCGATGGAGCACTTTTGACCACGTTCTACCCCGAGATCCAGTCAGTCAACGACCTGTTCGAAGCCTCTGTCAAGAAGCGCCCCAACAAGCGCTGTCTCGGCACCCGCCATTGGAACGCGGCCACGCAATCATGGCAGGATCAGTATGAGTGGGAGACGTACGCCGAGGTAGCTGAGCGCCGCAAGAATCTGGGAGCTGGTATCGTCGAAATCCACAAGGCCATCGGCCATAACGCGGATAAATACGGTGTCGGTCTCTGGTCTCAGAACCGCGCCGAATGGCAAATCACCGGTAGGCTGATACCTGCGCATTGCAATGTCCCCCCCCAGGATCGACTATAAGCTGCAGAACTAACCAGTCTCTCGATATGTAGATCTTGCACTTGCATCACAGGCCCTCTTCACTGTGTCGCTCTATGAGACTCTCGGCCCAGACGCCTCCGAGTACATCATCAACCACGCCGAACTTGCCTGCGTCGCCTGCAGTCTGCCTCACATCCCCACTCTCCTGAAATTGGCGCCTCGAATTCCCACCCTCAAGCTGATCATATCTCTCGATGAATTGGAGCAGGGTGAGCAAGAGGGTCTGACCAAAAAGTCTGTCTTGAACAACATTGCTGCTCAGCATGGCATCAAGATCTACTCCTTTAAGGAGGTCGAGGAGATTGGCGCTAAGTCAGGCCGACCCGTGCGCCCCGCTGGCTGGGACGATATCTGCACAATCAACTACACTTCAGGAACCACTGGAGCGCCCAAGGGCGTTGTCATCACCCATGGCAATGCTGTTTCCGCCATCTCATCCAGCCGCCTGCAGGGTTCCGTGACATATAAGGATGTCCACATGTCCTATTTGCCTCTTGCTCACATCTACGGCAGATTGGTTGACCAGGTTGCCCTTTCTGAAGGCGCCAGCATTGGCTTCTTCCGTGGCGACATCCTGGGACTGGTTGATGACATGAAGATTCTCAAGCCCACAGGTTTCATCTCTGTCCCCCGGTTATACAACCGCTTCAACTCGGCGATCCGAACCGCCACCGTTGAGGCCGAGGGTGTCAAAGGTGCTCTATCTCGAACCGTCATCAACACCAAGAAGGCCAACATGCGTCTGCCACACGGACAGGCTAGCAACACGCATTTCCTCTACGACCGCATCTGGACTCCCAAGGTCAGGGCTGCCGTGGGCTTGGATAGGGCCCACTCCATGATCAGCGGTAGCGCTCAGCTGGACCCCGATGTTCAAGAGTTCCTCCGTGCCGCCTTTGGTAACAACTTTTACCAGGGCTACGGCTTGACCGAGTCATATGCCGTCGGTACCATCCAGGTCCCTGGAGATTTCGGTCTTGGCACCATTGGACCCCCAACTGGCTGCGTCGAGATCTGCTTGGAGTCTGTACCCGAATTCGAGTACACTGTCGAGGACAAGCCTAACCCTCGTGGTGAGCTCCTTCTCCGTGGCCCGTCCATCTTCCGCGAATACTACAAGAACGAGGAAGAGACCAAGAAGGCCATCGATCCCGATGGTTGGTTCCACACTGGTGATATTGCAGAGTTTGACAAGCTGGGCCGTCTCAAGATTATTGACCGCAAGAAGAACGTCCTCAAGCTGTCTCAGGGTGAATACATCTCCCCCGAGCGTATCGAGAACGTCTACTTGGGCAACACCAACCTGATTGCCATGGCCTATGTTCACGGTGATGCCAAGGAGTCCACTCTTGTCGGTGTCTTCGGTATCGATCTGGAGAACTTCCCTCCGTTTGCCAGCAAGGTTCTTGGCGAGACTGTCACCGCCGATGATCGTGCGGCCCTCAAGACGGCTGCCAACCACCCCAAGGTTAAGCAGGAGTTCCTCAAGGTCTTGAACAAGATTGCGCAGAAGCAAAAGTTCAACAGCTTTGAGCGTGTACGAAATGTCTACCTCGATATCGAGCCTTTCAGCATCGAAAACGAGCTTTTCACACCAACGTAAGTTACAAATCATTGCCGCATATATATATAACAAGAGTGGATTACTGACTTGTCGATAATAGTCTCAAGCTGAAGCGGCCTCAGACTGCGAGGGCCTTCCGTACCCAGATCGACAAGATGTATGAGGAGATTGCTGCCGAGGCTGGCCCTGCCAAGCTGTAAAATAGACCGCGCGGGATGTATATGAATAGGCATGACGATGTTGAGCGACTTTCTTATTACGTTTTTATGTTTGCATAGCTACTAGCTGCTTCAACTCGGTTACCCAGCTACCTACCGATATATAGTGGTTGTGGATAGAAAGAGGCTGGAGGTATTGTATTGCAGTACGTACGGCGGCATACTTTTCTCTTTTAGTTATTTATTTTTCTTGGCTATCATGTGTTTGTCGAGTATCATCGCGAGAGGCTTTATGAATCTAAAGTAATAAAAAAACACTTAATTGAAGAGTATAACTGGAAGCTATGTGCTACAAAGTGAAATATCAAGAAAGTTTTGGTTATAAAAAATATGGTTATAAAAAATATGTAATATAAGAAGAAATATAAAGACTGCTTATAATAGCAAATTTAATGAAAAAAAAAAAAATAGCGTTTCTATATTTATAAATGTTATTCTGCTCTAAATTAACTACTGCAAGTTTTCAGATGCTATCTGATAAGCTGTTGTCGGCGCGCGAACTCCTTTTTGTGGATCATGCTAGATCAACGTCACGCCGGATCTTGCATGCCGGAGGGTAGTAACCATATCTTGTTTGTCGCGATCGTGGTCGATACCCCTGATCTTAGCCTTCAATACAAAACCGTTAATTTTGTTTAATGTGCATAAATTTGCTTTAGAAAAATGCTAAGCATGGTTTTGTGTTCATAGATATAGAATAGTTGTGGTTAACTTGCAACTGGAGGGAGGCATTGTTATTAGCCAAGAGACATCATGACAGAGCCGACGTATAGCAGCGGAGCTTTTAGAAGGCTTTAAGTTACATCATTTGACCCCCAAAAGCAATTCAATCCGACTATACTTTAGTTATAATTGAAAGAGCAGAAACAACCATATTAAACTGTAAGCCCTTGTACTTGATAATGTAGGTAATTTAAGGTCAATAATGCTTAATACAGCAGTTTTAATAAATATATATATATACTTAAGTTGCTGTAAGAAATTAATGCTTTTTCTAGATTTAAAGTAGGAATAGTATTTATAATTAAATAAGCCTTATAATACTAACCGAGGCAAATATAATAGTATTAGTTTTATTACGTAACTACATCACGTGATATTCCATCTTTTAGCTTCCCTTTAGCCGTGTTTAAGACCCCCATTCTTACGTATCCGTGGTTTTAGGAAGTAGCCTGAGTGCTTTAGACGTGTGGGCACGCGATGGGGTAAGTCTTATATCTCTTCCACCGCGCCCATATAGCCCGAGATCCGTTTCGACGCCTGCGTGAGATGCTCGCCCGAGACTTCTGGCGAGCCGGCCGTCTTCATGAGCCTCGTGCTTACCTCTGGCCCCTCCAGGCCCCCGGTCGTTGAGGTTGTCGACTTGACTGAAACGCCGCCACCATCGCCGCCATCTTTGGAACACATCGCAAACGGAAGTCGAAATGGCACTAGCCAGCCTTTGCTTGAAGCACAGCGCCAACAACATGGCCGAGTTGCTGCCCAGGATGAAGGACCGCCGTTCAAAAAGAGACGCGTAGACCTTTCCTGGCCTGAGAAGCAATCAATTGCCTGCCAGCAGGTCTCGCCATACGTCAGCCGTGGCTTGGCGGACCTATCATCCTCCGAGTATATAATAGATGAGATCGCGATAAGGGTATGGGATGCTTAGAATGTTAAAGCAATCTTGGTGATGTTGGCTGACTGTGGTAACAGGCCGTTTCTATATTTGCCAAGGATCCGGTGTTTATTTCCCGATTGGACGAAAACGACTATACGCTGCCTGCCAACGATGAGTGGACTGCTATCAGGGTTAACATGATTGTTACCGAGCTATCCCGGAGACCTGTAGGTGGAATTAAAGAAAAAAGAAGTCAATACACACATGTTCATTCGAGCTGACACTGCTCTCCAGGAATATCAAGTTACTCCAGCCAAAGAGCCAGCAGCCGCCGAATGCCAGTTTCTCTCAGTGGAGGATCCACCGCAAACGCAGGGCGAGGATGCGCCAGAGGTGCACATGGCAGATGTCAAACAGCTGGAGACCCCGAGAACCGACATAATCGAAAACATTACACCTGCAATACACTGGAGCCGCTGGAAGCCGCTTCCCAAATGCGGCCCATCATCAAACGCCTGGTTTGCTCTTGAACAACGACCTTACCAATCAGCATCGGATCGCGACCTAATTGCGAAAGGCGCCGGCAGCCTATATCGTGACCTACGACGAGAGATGAATGGTCCAATGGTCTACCATGTGGACTTTAGCTCTGATGAGGTTCGGCAAATCATGGCGTGTATTTCAACATATCTTCCTCCAGATACCCCTGCTAGTTCTGAAAATTTGGCGCAGCTATGTCTTCAGTTTAACGTTCCTTCAATCGTTGGCACTACGTTGCCTTATCGAACGGCTGAGGATATACGGAATTATTGCTCGGATATACTTGCGGGCAAGGCGACACCACCTGATCGAGCCCAAATTCTGACAATAGATCCAAACTCCCAGAACTCTCGACATCAACAGGAGAGTAGGCGTGCTAGTCGACTATCAACCTTGCTTCTGGCTCGTGAAATAGAAGGAAATCGAGGGTTTGGATCGATGCGCCAATATGAAAACTTTCAAAACGAGTTTAGAAAGGTCTTTGAGGATAGCCTAACCTTGGTCGCAGAGTACACAAACTGCGCCGGAGATATTGCGACGACCACCTGGATTCCGGACGGCAACGTTTTATGTGGCACAACGGTGCACTCCGACAGCCATAATCAGCAATATAACAAGCCTGGAAACTTGCTCCTTTGTTCGACCAAATTGGGTCAGCTGAAAGCGTTTCCCGATCACCGAATTCCGCGACCGCTGGTTGACAAGGGTGAAAATTCCACTGTGGCCATGCGCCAAAGCCAAGATCCGTGGCTCTACTCATCAGTTGTGTGCTCAGATTACGACAACGTTCTCGGCTTGGCATACACTTCTAGTTTTGACAAAACAGTCAAAGTTTGGAAGGTTGACGAGACTGGTAGCAACATGACAGCGTTGGCCACATGGCATTTTGAGGGCAACGTCAACTTTGTTGCCGCGGCCAAGGATGGCTCTGGACGGGTTGCTACTGCGGCCGACACCCCAACCGAGGCTGTTCGAGTATATACTGTCAATATGAACGACATTGCTAATAGCTCCTACGTCTCCTTTTCTTGCACGCGTACCGATGCCGACGACTCTGACAAGTGGGCATATTATCCTGCAACTATGCAATGGGGCCGCTGCTCGAGGAGCAAGCATCTGCTGGCTGTAGGATACTCTCCTCGCAGCTTTTCTGGAGAAGACCTTGATATCCCAGAAGATAAGCGGAACTCGGGAGAGATCACTCTATGGGACGCAGCTGCGAGCCAGCGAGTCACTGTCTTGACGGCGACAACGGCCAACTTTTTCGAGGTGGTTTGGCATCCTACATTGCCGAGATTCATCGCAGCAACTTCGCCCTCACAGTTGAAAGTGGCGCCTGGCGTGCGGACACAGATTCATCTGTTTAGAAAACAGGATGCCGCCTATGCTGAATATCACAACCTTGACTGCTTTGCGGCAGATATTAACGAACTGACATTTATGCCAAACTCGTCGAGGCATGCATATGTTACTGCAGCGTGCACAGATGGTAAAGTGTACGTGTGGGACACAGCTCAAGGGGACAAACCTGTGCACATATTACAGCACGGCCGTCCCTTGGATGAGTATTACGAAGACCGAGAGAAGGAAGATACCGGAGTTAAATTTACAGCTTGGGGAAATAATTTGGATCGATTCTACACAGGCGGCAGCGATGGTACCGTCAGGGTGTGGAATGTGCGTAACAAACGCAAGCCATACTTGCGAACCCTTTTAGAAGCCCCTGGTCCTATTTCTTGTGGCTCTTTCTCTCCCGACTTGCGGAAATTAGTCGTTGGAGATGCTACGGGCCGGGTGTTTTTGTTTTCTATAGACAAGGAAGACGAGCCAGAATCACATTTCATTACGATCCCGGGTGTAGATCGCCAGCTTCGACGCCCTACACCATTTATACCCCACCCCGAGCCAGAACCTCCAGCCCGGAACCCAGGAGGACCGGAAGATGTGTATGATGACGACGAAGACGTGCATATCGCTGATTTGGTGAAGCGTACCTACCTAGACACAAATCAGATTGTGATCAACCCTAATCCTACCATTGGCGCCGTACAAGGGCCAGAATATGCCTCAACGGGACTCTTCCGCCGAGAGGCACACTTGAATGAAGATCCAGCAGGCCATTTACTCAGTTATTTTGAAAGAAATCAAAGGCAGAGCATCGAAGCAAGCCGCGGCGGGTTTGCCCGCTCAGTACGCAGACTTCGAAGCCCGGGAGAAGTAGATCCCCTAATGCAAATTCTACACTATACAAATAAGGCGCGGGAACTGGATATAGAAGCCATTTTGGCAGACGACCTCGCGGATTTACTAGCAAGCAAGGCGGAGTTATCGATGAGCGAAGTGGATTGCGGGTTTGTATATGAGGAATTGCCAGATGAAGAAGGAGAAGAAGAAGAAGAAATGGGGGATGAGATGAATGATGACTCCAATGCAATGCAATGGGCTGCGAGCGGATAGACTTGCGGATACCAAAACGCTGTAGCATATACAGATGGCGCATATGTACATCCAAGATTAGTTAACACGCTGCCCGTTAGATGGGCTATTTAGAGAATATGGTACATGCAAGAAGCCCCCTTCTATCTATTGCCTTGATCGTTGGTAGAAGTAAGAAGTCGAACCCATAGAGAATATTTATGATATAATGGAGTCAATGCAAGGGTACGCATGGATGACAGAAACGACACATGTGTTCACAAGCATGGACGTTATTGAAAAACAGCGCAATATTAATGAACAAAACAATGTAAAGGGTAAAAAAAAAAAAGAGAACAAAAGAAGAAGAAAAATATAAAAGCAAAAGAAATGCGTCATCCGGAACTCGAATCCGGGCCTCAACTTTTCAGCATGGAAGAGTTGAATCCTAACCCCTAGACCAATGACGCTTTTTATCCTTGTACAGAGAGGAGCAATAGACAGCTTATGAAGCTACTGAGACCCATCGTGAGAAATACTAGCTAGCTTGATAGGAAGCTTAGCTTAGCTTGTGATGAAAGCTACTATATATACACCAGCTAAAGAGAAACAATGTTTAAACAATCGAGAGAGCTTTAATAGCCCAAAATAAAGCTAGCTTATGCATAGCCTACCTAGTTTGCTTCGATTGGGAGAAAAAAAAAAAATTTAAAGCCAATGTATGTACATCGCCAAACTTGTCAAAAAATGAAACGACACCTGCAGGATTCGAACCTGCGCGTGCGAACACAATGCCTATGATACCAATTGATAGCAGGGCATCGCCTTAACCACTCGGCCAAAGTGTCTAACCGTTCATGGAATGACATTGTCTTAGACAAACATATAAATTCTATTGCGGCAGAACATGGCCTACAAAAGCTCCAGTTGAAGCCGATTGACATTGTTAAGTAGTAACATCAGATGCTAGTTACTTGTACAGCAACATGCTCTTCACAGGTTACGGGGAATATATCTGTTTATAAATGGAAAATATGAATTGCAAAGAAATAAATATCATTGCTGCCCTTTCTCCCTTGGAGCTTTGTCGTAGCAAAAGTTATCTCCACCGCATGACCCTTTTTTGAGTTCCAATAATCCAAGAATTCAGTTCTACCAATCTATCATCCGATTCAGCTAATTTCAAAGATCGCAACAACAAGCAAAGACAAAAATAAGCAATGAGGAATATGATGATGAGAAAAAAAGAGGGGGGGAAAGGGGGAAAAAGAGCATAGAACGCGCCAATAACAAAAGACAAAAAAAAAGTTCATTCATCGGACGTAGATGAAGAAAGAGCGAGCCTTTGATCTGAACTCTTTGTTTACGCATATCCAAGGTCCTCGCCGCTTCCTCGACGCTCACCAAATAGATACGCTGCTTCAAGACAGAATCGCCCATGGCCCCTTTCCATTCGTCGCTCGCTACCGTAGCAAATCAAAACTGCGTCGACGATTCCGCTGAGAATGCCTTCCATTGCGCCCATAACCGAATACCCAATGAAACTAGCCATCATGCCGACCACGTATGCATATGCTGATCCTCGCACACCTACACCATCTGGAAGCTGAATTCGCAACTGTTTGGCGGTAATTACCCAGCCCGCGAAACCAAGGCCCGTCGCCATAATCAGTCGTGTTGCGACCAAGAGCAACTTGGCCAGCCGGTACGGCAATAAGCCGTTCCCTTGGCCACGTAGGCGCAGAGCCCTTGGTGTTAACGTAGTAGTAGGGATTGCAGCCGAAACAAACTCCATCTGATCAAGACCCCGAGCAGACGTGGCCAGGCCTTGAGAGTGTATAGCCGCAAAAGTAATTGTGAGAGGGTTTGTGAGAGCCACTATCGGCGTAGGAATCCAGAATGAGGCAACGTTTGTAATTATTGCGCCTATCCGCCTTGGTAGGAAAATTAACGGTGCCCGGATGAGGAGAGATAGCAGCGTCGATTCACAAATGCTACCAAAGATTGTCGTCGTACCGTGACTCAGGGCTGCCAGCACAATCTCCTTTGAAGGCGTAGAAGGTCCCGCGTTGCGGTGGAAGTACCACTGAGAAACAGTCGCAGCAGTGGTCGCTCGATGTATCGCGTTGATGACGGAGAGCGTCCACATATACATAAAGACAAAGCCTGCACCGAGCCACCAACTGGATAAGCGGATCACAAACTGAGCCAGAGACTTGGAGAAATACCCGCCCATGAATACCCGGGTAAACATGGCCAGCCATACCCAAGTCCACACAACAATCAATGCCAGACAGCCAAAGCCCACCAGCAAGAGACCTGGGTTTTGAGCCAGAATCTTGGAGGAGAATTGAAGAATCTCAATGGCTTGCTGAATCGCTCTTCGGCTCTTAACGACAAGCCACAGCCACAATATGCACGAAGCTGCAGGGACGGCGGCTGTCCATCTCATAACGCTGTCCTGAAAGCTAGTCCTTTGTGTCCGTCCCTTGAAGGATGATGCAAACGAAAAGATGGCAAAGGAAAACATGATGGCCGGCACAGCGATTAGAATAACGGAAACCAGCGGCCGAACAAAGGACCGCAGGGCTGCCAACCATACAAACGACACCATTACTGCCACCACGGTATCGACGGCGAGCATGTTGAAGGATTTTTGTAGCGTTGTATAGATGGTATCTCCAACAGGACTACTCCTGGGGGAGGTATTTAGCCATACTAGGACAAAAGTTGACATCATGCCAGCGAGACAGATTAAGAAAATCCATGCAAAGAAGGGATCTTGTCGAAATATTTCTCCTTCGATGAACATGTTTCCCGCTAAAGCTGGGTCAACTTCTGGTGGCTCCGTGTGTCGCGTGCTGGCCATGTCGGTGTCACTTCTTGCGGACCTCGCTATTAGGGGCGTTCGTCCGGAATGATCTTTGAACCGCTGGAAAGCTGGGGGGCTGCCATCGACCGTCTCTCCTAACAACGAATCCGGCGGATCCTCGTCAGGATCCTCCTGCGACCCAAGACCGACATCAACCATGTTCCCCCTGTGATCGCCGCCGTGATCGCTTCCGCCATATCTGATATCCTCGTTGTCGTGATCAACTTCTTCTGCTTCCTCCTCTTCTAACGGTGTATCCTTTGCAACGGAGGCTTGGTGTGAGCTCCTGGTTCCATTCCAACTGCTCTTGATGCCTCGACCAAAGCCTTGGGCTCGATACGGGTGATCGAACTGACTTGAGCTATCTTCGAGCGAGCCTCGACTGTTGGCATCTGATTCAACACTATCAGCCAGTTTGCTGGCAGCAGCCACCCGCCGAGATCTCTGCAGCGCAAAGAGGTCGGCGGCTTCCCTATCGCGCTCCTCCTCGTCATCCTCCTCCCGAAACTCGTCCAGTGTGCTGTGGAACAGAGGTGCATCCTGCGCAGCCGTTATGCGCGAGCCGAATGCGAGCTGGCCGAAACGTGAACCGCCGCTGCCGCCAGCTGCTCCTCCGCCACCGTTCTGATATGGGTTGCCCCTAGAAAGAAAGGACCGCTGGCCCCCATTTCCGCGCCCGGCGTCTCGGTAGGGTCGAGATGGACGTGATGACCAGTCGTTTTGCCGGGATGTGTTATCGTTGTCTGGCTGGCCAAAGTTCGATAGCCTCGACTGCGACTGCGCGAGAAATCTTGAGGCGTCTAGCACATGGCGTTAGCAGCAGGTTGGGAAGACGCAGCCTCGCAGGATGCAGTGTCGTCACTCACACTCGGAAAACATGATGGCCCTTCACCTGCCGCCGCCCCCACGATAAGAGGCTGGTCCGGCTGTCACCTCGACGGCTGCGTAGCTGCGGTTATGGTGAGCGGCAGTTTGCTGTTATTTTCTCGTTGCAACGGCGATGTGATGGAATCGGCTCGCAGACTGGTGGCGATGACGAAAACGCTTGGACAGGCAGCAAAGACTAAGACGGGCGCTCTCCCTTGCATTTAACGGGGAGAACAACAGCCCAAGATGAATAAGAAGGACCAAAAATATTACACCATAAAGGGATATGATAAGATGTATAGGCGGCGGTTATTCAGTCGCCAAGATGGAGAAACACCAACGAAAAAATAAAAGATGTGCCTCGTAGTCAAACGAGAAGAGAGAAACAATAGGGTCAGGCGACACAAGGCGGATGAGTCGGTTTGGTGACCTCGATAGCCGCAAAACTTAGTGAATGGCTAGGGGACGATTGGAGCGTGCCGTCGCCGGCGCAGAGCCTAAACTCTGCTGGCGGTCAGCGCCTCAGCGAGAGCCACAGGTGACTGGGCGGCGGCCCCGTAAGTCTGGGATGGACGAGGGAGGGAGGGAGGGAGGTACTTTGTACAGTCAGACAGCCACGCCGGGGAGCGCAGCGATAGGGAGAGAGGCTCTGGGAGGATCCGCATCCGGGGGGTGCTGCCTGCTGGGATGGCACAGGCTGCGTGGTACCTGGGACTTGTGTTGAATGAGCACAAGGGCAGCGAGGACGTCATTTGATCCCGGCCAAGGTATCTACTAGGCAGCGCTACGTGGTGTTACATGATGCCTAAGGGTTGAATAGCCCGCAAAAAGGATGGCAATAATAGCTGAGAAGAGGAAAAGGCAAGTGGAAGGATGCCCAAGCCCTAAAAAAGCTTGAGCAGTTGAGGCTGCGGCTTATACAAGCAGTGGCGCCATCATGCCTCCGAGGGTGTTCCCAAGCTGCCTAAAGGAAAACGCAGCACAGCTTCAAGACCCCGAGATCCACCTCGGCTGCATACCAACCTACGTACAAGTGCCTAGTAGGTAGATGGCTTCATGCATCTGCCATTACAGTATAGCTGTGCATGTACTCCGTACCGCCAGTAGTAAAAAATGTGCACAGGCATCTCTGCTGCCTCCCTCGCTGCAGAGCACGAAATGCTCTTCCACGAGGCCGCTGCCGGGCCGTGCTACTGTAGGTACGGGCCTAAGCACCCACCGCTAGGCCGGCCACCGTCTCGTCATGATGCCGTTATCGCGCCGTTGCGTCACTGATAACGCCAATTTAGGCACGGCAGATGCAGATGCCAAACGAAACGTCAGGCAAGCTCCCGGCTATCTATGCACGTTTCTGCAGCGCAGCAGCCTTAAAAAAGATCATCAGCGAGGCATCCGATCTACTAGTGAGTACACGCCAAGCATTCTGTCATAGATTTCCTCGCTAGAAACAGACAAAAGAAAAAGAAAAAAGAACAAAAAGAAAAGATCCCCGCCCCCAACATCTTCTCCTCTTCTCCAGCTTGTCCCTCACGCACGGGTCACACCGAGCACCAAAAACAGGCCCCTCAGCTCCTCTCTTGTCGTCGCTGGCCCGTGACAAGCCATCGTCACCTGCCCTTTTCCTACAACCCAAGACCCTTTGAACTTGTATTTCTGTCCCTTTCATTCCTGTGTAATTGTACTTCTTGCAACCGCCGCATCCTGTGATTTCCTTTCATTCTGCTCTACAAAGCCTTCCAACCCTTCCCCCCTTTGTCGATTGCGTCAACGGCTTTAAGAACCATCTTTGTCTTGGCCTTTTCTTTTTGTTCCCACGCCGCACTCCACGCACGTGCCGTTCGCCGCAGCGATAGCCTCGAACCCACCTCAATTACACTTCCGTTCTACGAACCACCACCCCGGCAATTATAGCTCTGGAACTTGCGGTTTTTAATAGTCTCAGTCGGTTCGATTCTTATTATAATCCACCTCTTCAGCTCCTCTTTCTTCTTCATCCTCTCTCTCTCTCCCTCGCTACTCCTCGCAAAAAAAAAAAAAAATCAGTCTTGCGCCAACTGCGCAGCACACCTCATTAAGCTCCTCCCACATGTCCTCCTCAGCGCCCTGGGACTACATCGCCAAGCTGGTCTGCATAGGCGACTCGGGATGTGGCAAATCCAGTCTCACCATCCGCCTCTGCGAAGGCCGCTTCTCCGCGCACCACGACGTCACAATCGGCGTTGAATTCGGCTCGCGCATCGTGCCCGTCGGCCCGCCTCACACTCCCGCCGCCATCGCATTCCCTCCCTCCTCGTCCTCTGCCGATGCGCCGCCTTCGCCCGGGGGCCTTCCGGAGCCGCCACGCGATACCAGCAACACCCCTCAGAAGCATATGAAGCTCAGCTTGTGGGACACGGCCGGCCAGGAGACATACAAGTCAGTCACGAGGTCATATTTCCGCGGCGCAAGCGGCGCGCTGCTCGTCTTTGACCTGTCGCGCAAGGCCACCTTCCAGCACGCTACAGACTGGCTAAACGACCTCCGCCAGATCGCCGAGCCGGACATTGTCATCGTCCTGGTCGGCAACAAGGCCGATCTGACACAGCAGGAAGACAACAAGCGCGAGGTCACCCGGGAAGAGGCGGAAGAGTGGGCCAAGCGCAACGGCATCCTCGAGTATGTCGAGACCAGTGCCAAGAGCGGCGAGAACGTGGAAAAGGCCTTTATGAGAGTCGCCGAGAGGATATACCAGAACATCCAGGCCGGCAAGTATAATCTAAACGACAGGAGATCCGGCGTCAAAGGCCCCAGCGCTGGTGGAAGCCGGCAAGTGAGGTTAACAGCTGACGCCAGCAAGTCGGGCGGCGGATGTTGTTGATTTTTCCTGGCATATTTAAATTTCCTTCTGTATAATGCAAATCGTAAGCGAACAGCCGTGTTGAGCAACATGGGAAGAATGAAAGGAGGAGGGAAAGCTAGCAAGCAAGACATGATACCCGATGGGCTTCATCATTACATGACACTCTGGTCATTGAGGACCGACCCTTTAAAAATGACATAGCAAAGCAACTGGAACATGGCACTGTATAATAATAGTAGATGCTCAAAGCAATTGGCATTCATCAAGCCTGTAATCACACACACAACTATTTCTTTACATAAAGTCAAGATTGGGGGGAGATATATGTCTTGCATTAAATGCGGTTTATAGTATTTTCCGCCAACCCTTTTGTTCCTATCATCGTTTTTATATGACTTACGAAATCCATCCTACCTATCCCGTTGCTCTTTTTTTCTTCATTAATGCGAAAAAAAATGTCTCCATCCCATCCCGCGCCTTTTAAATAAAATCTTACATGAAATATTTTTTTCGTTTTTAGAAATGAGTAGTCTCTCCTCTTGCCCATCCTCCACTCTTCTTCCACCGCCACGATAAGAAAAAAGGGAAAAGAGCTTTTGACAACTAACATGAAGTAAGATATAAGTAAATCATGCTCGCCATCAATGCTTGTCGAAGGTGCCTAGTTGAAATACTAGATAAAAAACGAGTTTAGTCGCTGATGCGCCAGTTGTCAAACCACTTCAGGTACGAATACTGCTGGTTGTTTCCAGTCATACCCCAGCAGATGGGCATGAACAGGATGTAAAGTCCGATAATGACGCTGTACAGGACGCCATAAATGACGCCCTGCACGATGGCAGCGCGGTTTCTCATGGTCCAATCGACAAAGAAGCCCAGAGATAGGATGGCGAAATACAGGGCAGGGTAGTAGTGGTGCACGTAGGTGACACGCGCCATGATGACAAAAGGAAGATAGTGCAAGAACCAGCCGATAATTGGGTAGATACCGGCATAGTGGATCTGTTCAATCTCTTTGTTGTCCAGCTCCCTGTATCCACGCTGCCATCGCACAATGTACCAGACCACGACGAGGCCGACGAGGCCGAGAGATACCGTGCTGCCCCAGTAGATGAACGGGTTACCAAGGAGGAAGTACTTGACAATGTTGTCATCCCAGCCGCACATACGAAGTCCCACGTTAAGGATGGGCCATTGCCACCACTGAGAAGCCAAATCGTCCTGCTTATCGGGATCCGGCACAAGGGCGTTGTTGGATGTCATCATTGCTACGTTGAGATGAATGAAATCGTGAATGAAGGGCGACTTGTAAACATTGGGATCACTCTCAGGGACTAAAAGGTAAATGGTCAGCTATTGGCGTCATAAAAATTAGAGGTCCAAACATGAGTTATAACTTACGCTTCTCGTTCCAGTGGGCCTCGACGTTCCAGTGAGTATAAGTGTCACGAGGGTTGTTCTGCTTGTCGCAGGTCACTTCAATCTGCTTAAAGCCCCATTGAGGAAGGTTGACGTTGCCAGCTCGTAGATAACAGCCCAAAGAGGTGTGCTTAAGACGGAAGGCCGTAGTAAGAGTGCGGATCTTGCTGCGATCACGAGATGCCGCATCCCGGACAACCTCAATTTGCCAGTGATCCTTCTCATCTCCAACAGTGAGGTTACCGTAGCTGGAAACTTCGCGGTGGGACTTGGTAACGGGGGCGTCAATATCGTGAGAGTGCAAGTTGCGGCCAGTCTGGGCGTGGATAAGGCGGATGACTGATCCGTCACCGATGAATCGGAGATCACCTTCGGGATCGTAATCCGGCTCGTAGCGGTTGGGGTAAAAGAACCAATCGTTGTTAGCATCCTTGTGGTGGTAGCAGGTGACTTGTTGCTGTCCAGAGCCCTCGGGATAGGTCTGAACGTGAGAGTGAAGGAGACCTCCGCCATAGCCCATGTTCTTGATGGTGGCGCGAGATCCAATGGCAATCTCAAGGGGGCTGTTCTTGCCGACCTCGGTTCCCTTCAAGTTGGCTTGGAAGAGGGAGCTCATCTGGGCATCGCCGGGACCGGTGGAGTCGAGGATAGCGAAATGCAGAGCAAACGAGAGCATATAGATGAGGAAAGGAACGACAATGAGCCCCACGACGCGAGCGGAAAAGTGAGCGGCGAGAACAGGCTAACAGGGTTGTAAGCGAACAATTCAATCACTGTAGCAGAAGAAGGAGGGGATCTAAAAAAGGACTCACAATAGGCATCTTCCTGTCACCATACTTTCTCCAGAGATCCTCAATTGTGTAAAGACCAACCAAAGCAGTGACAAAGAGACCCACGAGCTTAACACTGCAAACACATCCAATGCTCACACCAGTCATGAAGAGCCAGAAGAACCATTCGGGCTCGAAGCTGTTGTGTCGCTGATTGTGGAATTTGGCCCAGCAAAGAGTGGTAGCAAAGGTTCCGCAGAGCAACATGGAATCGAGGAGAATAAAGCGGCTGATGGTGGTGTAAGAGTTCTCGCAGAGAACCATCAGAGTAACGAGCCAGACAGCAGGTCGGGTCAGCTTCAGCTCCTTGGCGGTAAAGTAGGCCATGGGGATGCAGGCAATGCCAAAGGCGGCATTAAAGGCGCGCATAAAGGTGTAGTTGACATCTTCGGGGTATTTCTCGCCAGACTTGAATTCGAAAGATCCGTTGTAGCCGGCAAGGACTCCAGAGAGACCTACCAGCATCTTTCCGAGGGGAGGGTGGACGTCGAAGTAGTATTCATGCTTGATGTAGTAGCTGCCAAACTTGCCAAAGCTGTCAAACAACAATCAGCAAACCCGCTCCGTTCTAGCGTCTCTCAAGCAGCAGAGACCAGGATCCTTGTACATACTGAGCCTCATCCCAAGTCACGATATCGCTAATGCCAATTTTATACAATCGAGTGAAGATGGCAACGGCCGTGAAGATCAGCGGGGCAAAGATGGACTCCAAATCTGCAAACACTTGGAAGAAGGATTTCTCCTGCAACCGCTGTCAGTCAATCCCTGTGCGCGCAATCAAGTCTCGTGGCTCTGGCTGCCTCTATACCTTATTCGCAAGCTTCTTCTTATCATCTGGCTGGGCTGCATTGGACGAGGGCGCGGCTTGCGAGGCAACCTGTCGCTTCCTCAAGCCATCGCCCAGGTCAGCGCCAGAGGCGAGAGCGGCCTTTTCGGCAGCCATGGTTCTGAAGACAACTATCTGGTGTCCCCAGAAGTTGCAAGTGGAAACAAAGAATCAATTGAGTCTGTAGAAAAAATTTCAAGAAGCGGGAGGAGAGAAGAAAAAGGGGAGGGTCGCTCGGCCACCTCCCAATGCGGCACAATTTGTAATGACTGGACGAGTTTGGGACTCAAAAGACTATAACATCGACGACGGCGACGACGCGGCACCGTCGATTCGAAAAGGGAGAAGAGGAGGAAGCAACAATCCTGAGGGCCAAGTCCGGCTCAGGGGACAGAAACGAAATGGAAATGACAAAGGAGGTGTTTGTGGTGGATATTGCTGCTTGCGTCGGATATTCCAAGAATACGACAGCTTCCTTAAACCCCCCTGGTTCAGCTCTAAGGAATATTGGCCACCTTGCAATCCCTCTAGCTAAGGCCGCGCCGGTGCTCAGCCGCGTGGCTAGTGGCGTTCCTTGTTGCTGGGACTATTTGCAAGTAGTGTGCGTACCCAGTTGTAGCTCTCCCTCTTATTTTCCGTTCCGCATACCAGCCCACTACCTGCGGTCCAGGCACACTAGCAGCCACCAGCCACAGATGAGAGCGACTGAGCCACACCGAGCGAGCGCCTGTATAAGGCCCGTCCGGCCGTGGTAAGTACTGAGGTACGTTCCAAGGTACTGCAGCTGCCGGATTGTTGGGCTGGAGCTGGAAATCCATTTGATGGCGCAAAATCACATGCAAGCGTCCCGCCACTAGACCTGCTTCTGTGCAGACCCGCGACAAGAGGGAGCTTTTTCGTTGGCCCAAGAATAGTAATACAGTGCTAGCCTGCTAATCTAATCCCTGCCTTATGTCATCCTTGCGATTAACGCTGGCCATATCTTGCTGAGAATCTCGCCGACGCCTGGCCGGCCATCGCACGACTTCTCTTCAAGCCTTACCCTTTCTTCTGGCCTCCGGTGGCCAAGCAGATGGAATCTCTCACCAGCCGAGCATGTCTGACTGATCTTGCAGCTGAACCTACTTGTGCTCGTCCCGTATCCTACTTGGCGTCTTTTTCTGTCTTGTAATCCCAGACATCACCGCCTTTCCACGGCTGCCCGTCTTATTGCACGAGCCAGGTAGTAGCCTCATCTTCTCGTACTTAATCTTAGACACCCCCCCGTCCTTCAGCTGCGCCTCAGCAGCAGGCGTTGCGGCTGCGCCAACAAATCAATCCCGATGCCTTCCCTGGTTTCCGAATTCATCATCAACCCTGTGCTGCGACAGGCTCGCCGCTTTTCTGAGATCTCCCGTGCAGCGCCATCGGTAGCCGGGGAGGAAGAGACTCCGGTGGTCCAGGCGGATGTTGTCCACGATTCGGATGATGCCGAGGATGTTGTGCAGCAGGGGCCGGATCTCCCACTTGAACGGCAACGCTCACGGCCTCTGAGCTCTTCAACCCAGGAAACGATTGTTGAAGAGGCCGCGGTTGAGCCGGTAACACCCACTGCACCGCTACTCGATCATCTTGGCTTTCCCATAACGCCACCCAGAAATGCACCGGCCAAGAGCGGGCCCATCCCGGCAGACGATGGCATGCGAGAGCTGCGGTCCCGCATCCAGGAGATCAATTGCCGAGACATCTCATCTGGCGAGAAGGCAAGGCTCATCCACGATACTCTGCTGGAGGGCTATCGTGCGTCCATGGCCACGGCCACATCCCTAGGCAAAGGCGACTCGGATGATGGAATAATCGGCCATGTATGGGAGCCCGCCAGCCCAACCGGGCCTCTCGAGTCCTTCAAGTTCTGGCAAAATCAGGTCATGGGTGAGCCGTCGGTCAAGGAGACGTTTGTCTTGAGTGAAAGTGACATCGCCCCGACCTACGCCCCTATCCGGCACTCAAGAACACCAAGCGCAACAACGCCGACGCACTCAGCTGCTTCGCTTACTGAAACCCGAGGCCCGCTAGGATGTGAGCACTATGAGCGGAACGTGAAGCTGCAGTGTTCCACCTGCAAGAAGTGGTATACTTGTCGGTTCTGCCATGATGCGAACGAGGATCACACTCTTATCCGCAAAGATACAAAGAACATGCTCTGCATGCTATGTGCTACGCCTCAAAAAGCGTCTGATGTATGCAACAACTGCGGTGAGGTAACGGCTCAGTATTACTGCAATATTTGTAAGCTCTGGGAGAATCGCCCCAACAAACCCATCTATCACTGCAGTGACTGTGGAATATGCCGCCGGGGCATGGGTCTTGGAAAGGACTTCTTCCACTGCAAGGTAAGTTGGCTACTCTTTCAAATAATCTTTTTTTCCAGATGCGGTTGTTAAACAGCTTAATTAGACATGCCGAGCATGCATCACTACATCGATCGAGAGCTCACACAAGTGTATCGAGCGATCAACTGACTGTGACTGCCCGATTTGCGGCGAATACATGTTCACATCACCGAAACGGGTAGTCTTCATGGTATGCGGCCATAGTATACATAAAAAGTGCTATGAGCAGCACATGAAATCCTCATATAAATGCCCGATTTGCAACAAAAGTCTCGTCAACATGGAAACGCAGTTTCGCAACTTGGACCTTGCCATTATGAGCCAGCCTATGCCACCCGACTTTCGTGACACAAAAGCCAAGATTCTATGCAACGATTGCTCCGCCAGAAGCACTGTGGCATATCATTGGCTGGGACTCAAATGTTCAATTTGTCGGTCGTATAACACGGTAGAGCTGCAGATAATGGGCCGGAATATTGAGGGACTCCAGCCTGCTGCTGGTGACCAGCCTCCGGTTGCAGAAGAAGCCAGCTTACCAGAGGCCATGCCTGGAAATCGGCGAATCTCTATTACGACAGGCCCGCGAGCAATCCCAGGCCCTAATAGACGGCGACACTCTTCCAATGCGCTCGAGCCACCGTCACGCATAATAGACAGATATGCGCGATCCATGTCACCTTCACACCTAATGATGGATCTACCACAGTCAACCGTTGTAGAAGTGGATGGGGAGTCTGATGACGATATCTTGGGTTTCTGGAGAAGCGGTGAAGACGACGAGGACGATGGAGCCAGTGATGACGATGACTATAGTTCAGAGGAATCCAGCGATGACGACGCTCCCGAGGCAGATGATGATGAGGACGACGACGACGACGACGAAGATGAAAACGGAATCAACTTGATTGGACACAGATAATGAACTAGCATGTTGTCCGAGCCTTGGGTTCTCGATGATAGCACACAAATCGCTATTTGATAACAACCATGATGACGTATGGACAAGCAAGTATTCTAGGTATATACACGAGGGTCGTCTTTCTGGGGCGGAGTTTTGCGGTTGAATAAGTTTTGCTTCTTGGGATACCACTCTTTCCTTCTGTATTTCTTTCTTCTCTTTCTCTTCCTTTTTTTTTCTTTTTTTTTTCCCCCTCTCTTTTCTTGCATCACTTTATTAATGGAGTTGCTTGACGAATTTAAAATGACAGCATGGCGTATTGAAATTGATTGGGATTGTATCGACGGCAAAAAAAAGGGGCTCGCTCAACCAAAAAAAGAGGAGGAAGCATTTTTTGGAGTATCAAGATTGAGAGACATCAAATTGGGAGTCAAGTCTTTTTTTGTTTAATTCAACATTTACCATGTAAAATAGTAGTTTCATGCCTCAGTGGTAATACATAGCCTTTTGTAAACATGCCTTAAGCGCCATCAATAACAGTTGATAGAATCCCAGCTCAAAATAAAGTGGCCATCATTACATTCGTAACAGAGGAAAAGTCCCTCAAAATTTGTCGAATAGTGCGCGAAAGAAAGAAAAGAAAAGAAAAGAAAAGAAAAGAAGAAGAAGAAGGAAAAAATCATCTGAGAGAGAGCGGTTGGCGTTGGTTCACCGACGGCTGTTAGCTACAGCGGCCTCTTGCTGTTCCCGCCTCGTCTCGTCGGCAATCTCACGTAGCTCCTTGATGACTTGCTGTAGGGGGCGTTAGCAAAATGACAGAACATCTGAGATTGAATACGATGCGCGCAAAAGGAGGAGGAGGAGGAGGAGGAGGAATCAATGTTACATACGACCAGCGATTCGGGATGGACGCCCTGTTCGATTAATGAGATACACGTCGACAGCATGCGGCGGTCCATGTGACAGTTCTAGAGAGATGAAAGAAAAAGTCAGTCTGAGATTAAGAGGACGGGTGAGGAACGGATGGCGCTGCTTTGGTGCGTACCAGCATGGCGGCAATCTCCTCGAGAATATCGACGGCTTGGGACGCCGCGGCGTGTTTATCTGGCTTATCAGGCTTGGGCATGGCGAGTTGATTTAGATGGTGTTGGTTGCGAGTTGAGAGAGGCCTTGCGGCTCGGATTGTTTGGGATAGGTAGGGATGGATAGTGGGGCCAGACGCGCTCAGTGGGCGTGCTAGGGAGATCTGCCGCCTTCCGGCTTGACGTGCCACTAGGAGCCGCCCAAAATATGAGCTTTAGGGCATTTTTAGAACGAACGTATGCATGTACCTGGATGCCTGATTTCGGCTGTGGCGACTTGAAGATATCCATTGGGCCTTTTAATGGTTGGTTACATGTGATGTCGGGTTAAAGACGCGGGCTTGACTCATCCAGGCCCGGGCCCGCGCCGCTTCCGTACTCCGCACAAACAAACATGCACTCCATTTACTCCAATTATAGCAATCACCGTCTTGACTCTCCTGAAAACAATTTGCTCCTCCCGTACATCGTGCAGCACACAGCCAGCCTCACCAGACCGATTGCTTCCTTTGATTAGACTGGAGTTCGCGGTGATTTTTGCCATTATCCACAATCTATTGGTTTTGATGTTGAACACATACTTAATAGCCAGCTTACTTGTGGGACTCTTTGCACATGTGAAATACTAGTCAACCATCAATGACAATGGCCACCACGTTTCAGTCCTTCTCACGCCTCCCCTTTGAAATTCGCAGCCAAATCTGGGCCTTGGCAGCGTACCCACGTCTCGTCCACATCCGCACAGAGCCCAAGCCAGGCCGATTTGAGGGCCACCGTTTTGCAGGCTCGGACCGTTATTTTGCCTCTATGATTCCACAAGCGGAACTCATGCATGTCTGCCGGGAGTCTCGTCAACTCGCTCCATATCAGAAAGCATTCTTCACTACCTTACCTGGCGACTCCGAGACTCGGTATATTTGGGTGAATTTTAACGAGGACATGATCTGCCTCGAACACCACCATCTGTCCGCCCTTAACCCGCATGCGGCCGATATTCAGCGGCTTAGGTTCACCGTACCAACGGGGAGAGAATTTGAACACTGGGGCGAACCATTTACTAGATTTACGAGCTCATGGTTCACGGAGTTTACCGCTCTGCGGGAATTGCACTTGGCCATATCGTATTACATGAATTTCTGGGGGGCAACCTCTGGCTCGTATGGCATTTGTCCTATCGCTAATGTTAGGTTTGTTGACATTCATACGGGGCTTATGTTGACTAAAGCTCAGATTGATTTAGCAGAGGAATGGTTAAGCCAGAAGGGGTGGCTAGTACAGAATATGGATGACATTGACGAAGAGTTGTGGTCCGTTAGTGGATTTCCTTTTATTGAGCTTTGCTCAGATGTAGAATAAGATTACTGTATAATACAATAACTAAGCTAGCTCAAATGATGGAGAGATTTTTATATGGTGAAGTATAAATTTAAAACAATTGAATACTAACGTTTTCAAACCGCCAACTACGTAGATTCCGAAAATCTCTCTCGTCTCCTGTCCTGATCTTATTCTTTTGCTGGTGGTTTTGGGAGACATCCTGCAGCTTTGTTATATAACCCGAAAGTTAGGCTAGTACCTACTAGGTAGTGGGTATTTTTCGCTGGTACTTGCTGCATTGCAGTACACCGCATTGCATCACTCTGCGTTATCAGCCGAAAAAAGGTATGAGACATCAGTTTTGCATCAGGAACCGTCATGTAAATAAATCATCATCTGCGGGTATCTGGCATATAGGCACAATAACATCATCATCATCATTAAGCAAGAAAACCGAAATCCTCCTCTTTCAAGATTTTATCGCCTCCACAAAGAGTTCTCGCATCCCCTTCAGCAGCACCACCAGCTCCCTCGTCTCATTCACCTTATCCAGCACTCTCTCTACACTCTCCCGCTCCAGTTTCGGCCTGCAATGTTTCACGTCGTAGTCTCTCGAGCTCGTCACCAGCTCAAACCACGCCTCGCGCTCCCAATTCTTCTCATCAATGTGCGTGTACACAAACTTGAGCCTGTCGTCCTTTCCAGCGCCCTCGATCCGCATGCACAGGGTTGAAATCCAAAAGTCCAGCTCGGGGACATTGTACCGTGATTGTGCTTCTTTTTGCTTGTTGTATGCGCGCTGGGCGGCGATCCGGGTTTCGATTTCGGCTTGGGTCTCGGCGATTTGGGCCTTTAATTGGTCTCTGGTGGCGATGTGGCTATCGCGCTGGGCCGCCAGCGATGAAATGGCCATTTCCATCTCGCGCTTCTCAGCCTCCTCCTTCTCGATTGTTTGCTGATAGGTGGACATCTTGACTTGTGCGATTTCGATGTCCTTCCGCTTCATTCGCTCGTCCTCTGCAGGCAAGAGTAATTAGCATTAGAATGATTGCATCTCCCTGTATCCAGCATCCCAGCTTTCCACCCACGCATGCATACCTTGAAGCTCGGCCATGTTGACGCGGAACTGATTGCGCTCTTCCAACACACGCTTGCGGCCTTGTTCAATAAAGGCATCGAACTTGGCCGTGAATTTCGCCATGCGCTCGCGCAAATCATCGAACCCAAAGTCGATGCTGGGCAGCGTGTCGGCGATGGAGGGGCCAGTGGGCGCCATCGTCTGGCGGCCGTGGCCGATAGACATTGCCGGGTCGAAAGCGTTGGACATGGTGAATGCTGTATTTTCTTTTGTGTGTTTTTTTTTTTTAAATGCTTTCTTGGACGCAGAATATTGTCCAAGGCTCGAGTGCCCAAACGGAGCAAAAGACTAGGTTGCTGGTGCTCGTTAAAATCGCCCCAAGTTTCCGGCTCGTGTTTACCAAGAATAGAACGTTGCTGGGTCGACTGTGGCGCAAAGCTCGATCACGTGACTTCCGCCAAAGAACTTCATTAAGATCAGATCAACTCAACTAACACAAGCTTGAATTGATTAGTATTGAAGCAACAAAATTTTGGTTAGCTGAATATGAGCAAATTTTATATCCTCAACCTATCATAATATTAAGCCGAATCATATCGCTTCGTCCCCTTTATGTGACCCCGAATGGAAGCTCGGTTATCTCTCGTTAATTCGAGATGACGGAGAAAAATTGTCACTCTTTATTCACACTCGACACACTTGCTAAGTCATAATGGCTGACTGGTGGCCTGATCCTCTTATGGGCTTGGGTGCTCCAGGAATATTGAAATATATTCCGAGCGAGCACCCTGAAGAGACATTGGGAATACTGGAGACATCTCGGATCACCTCAAAGTGTAAGTGAAGAGTTGGGGAGGATGTTGGTAATCAATAGTCACCAGAATAAGTATTGACATTTATGTGTAGCTCCTCATTTTAAGATTGTTGGCTCTTCGTTCAAGTCTTATGCAGCTTCAAGAACTCAGCTTCCCGAAGCATCCACGAGGCTCTGGAGAGAGCGTCAAGTCCAAGAGCGATGGCTATCCAAGTCTCACCCAGAAATAGCCATGGGCAATACAGCGTTTCAAGATATTCTCAAAGAAGATATGGAGGAGCTGATCATCTCAGACGAGGCCCCTAATACTAGGCCTCTGCTAGCTATTGGGCATTCTCCTGATCCTAGTGATAAATCTGGGGTCAAAAAATTTCCGATAATGGCCGTCGCCGCTGGAGAATCAGGCGAGATCCTACGCCTTGCTTGCATGGAAAATGCGCAGTGGCAGTGGGGAGAGAATGGGGATGCGTTCTTGAACGCTGCGATCATCGACTCAACCGATAGAGCGGCAGAAGCAACTTGGGCTGACGATGGATTGCCCATTCGACAGATCATATTTGCCGGGACTCGCTTGCAAGATGAATCGCATCGTTGGCTACTGGTTCAAAAGGAAACAAAGATCACGATACTCTGGCCAGAATTACGCCAGGTTCCAACAGCTTCGACTCAGTCAGTTAGTAATTTTGCACAAGAACGGCCGTCGCTAATCAACCCAAATCCCTTATTCACGATCCATTCTCACCAGACGGGAGGGAGTGCTCATTCTGACGTTGCTTTAATTCCTACGGCGTCTGGCCGATCACAGCAAATTGCTATTATAAACGAGACCGGATATTGGAGCATCTGGGATCTTCCCGCTGCTTGGCAAAGCCAACGAAAAGGACCGTCTCAGCTATCTCTCAGTAAATGCGGACATATTTCTGATGGCCTATTAAATGAGCTACCATCTATATCCTCTCACCCGAACGAAAGACACGGCATTCTTGTTGTGGAGGGGAAGGGGCCCGAGAAAATCGAAAGCTCGCCTTCTCCCTCATATAACGGGAGAGGCAACGATACTACGCAATATTTACTAATGTGGAATCATGAGAAAATGGAAGTTTTGAACCTAGATGCAAATATACTGCTCCCAAGACTGGGGCGCATAATACGAGACAGAGGGAAGTTGGATTGGATTTTGGATGTTCATCGCAGCCCCGTTAAACAAGACCACGTTTTCATTCTTACACAGTATCACATCACCTGGGTTGATTTACTTAGCCGCGGTGAATCAGCATCAGGCCCTTTGAAGCCGTCTATCTTGCTCTCTTGCCCACACTTGGGGACTAAAAATGACGACTCGAGGATGTTTGTTTGTCGAGCATCGGATGATGATAGAGATACATCACTGGTCTTTATATATTATCCGCGCATGGGTCAGCTTTGCATATACTGGTTCACATTTTCCGCTGTGGGGAGAATGCCACAGTGGCATCGTGACATCATTTCGCTCCCAGGGAGCGAAGACAGAGAGTTTCCTGCAAAGAACCTTATCGAGTTTCTAAGAGTTGATCCAGTCCAACTTGCTATCTCAGTCAGGGAAGGGGCTTCGAGTCCAGGGATAGACTACTATCAAAAAGGAGTCAGGTTCTACCAACTCTCTTTCTTGGGCAAAGATCTCAGCCTGCAACGTTGCTTATGTGCCACATCCGACGATCGGGCGCTTGAAATCCAAGTTCCCACATCACCGGTGGCCTGGGCTGATGTTAGGCAACAGAAACAAAAAGAGAAGAGAAGAAAAACCGCTATCGCGCATGTTACCAGCTCTTTTGTACTCCCAGACGATATAACTACCGAGGATGTTGAAGCTCTGCTAAACAGAGAAGAGGTCGAAGATGTAAGCAACAGTGATGATCTTCGGAGCATCTCAGCAGGACCACGGCCCGTTTATGCCAAAATGGGCAGGATATACCAAGCCTTGCAGAATTCACTCCAGATATCAATAGATAAGGGAGAAACCGGTCTCCCTTCCCATCTTTTCGATGCTCTCAGACAGTGCCTTAACGATGGATTCGATCAGGGGAGGCTCCCGTTGTTGACTTGGTAAGTAGTTTATCTTTCTGATTCTCTTAGCCTCGGCGATTACTAACGATATCATTACTCAGGAATGAAGTAGTCGATGTGATGCTACGAAATCCCACTTATGAACCAGCCGATGATCCTATGAGAGAAGAGATGGAGAGCTTGCTAGATGAAGTTGACGAAAGGATTGTCGTCACCCAGCTAAGGAGAAATAACACTGGGGAGGACTCTATGTCCTTGGTCAGCCTACAATATTTACAGCGACATTTTTCTGAACTGTGGCTCAATCCGGTGAAAGGCGCTATTTCTGAGGATATGCAACGAGTCCAACAGATATGGGCTGCCGAATTGGCCAGGGAAGCCTTCTTGTCCAATTACGGCATCATGTTTCAGAACATACCAGTACTTGGGCCTGCAAGCTCAGAGGTGGCGGAAGAAGGTCATAAATCTCGGGCAGAATCTCTTACGTTTAGCTCCCAAATCACCGCCCCATCAAGATCAAGTTCCAGAGACATTGGATCTTCGCCTGCTTCATCGCCAGCTGCGTCAACAGTTTCTCCCGATGCTGATGGAGCTATTCAACGCCTTCGACTACTAGCTCAATCTTTAGATACCGACATGTTGGATGCTTCCAAACGATCCAAAATACTATCATACTGGCCGAAAGAGCGCGGTGTCGATCCGAACGACTACGTGTCCAGCCTAGCGAGAGCAAATGAGGAGCTCTTCAGGGACGCGAAAGAAAGACTCAAGAGGAAGGAAGCAAAGCGCAAAGCTCAAACAGAAAAATTCAAGCGCCCTGCTTTCATGAGACAGGGACTCCCAGATATCAATCCCATGGCGCCAATGCGGCCACAACCCATGCAGATCATGTCCAGCCAGGCGGCTCCAGCTGCGACTCAGACCCAGGTACCGATTGTGACGATGAGTCAGCCTGTCCCTGGAATGTTTGGAGATAGGAAGAAGAAGAAGAAGAGAAAGAGTGGTTTTAGATAAGGTTGTTGGAGAAATAGAAATTAGGATCGGAGCATATGATTGCTTTTGCTTGCTTGCGGCTACTGGTGTTGGGAATTTTTGATGGTTTTCATTGATACCCGCTGCGATGATTTTGGATAGACAAGTTTACTGGATAGAATAAATTATGGATTCATCTCAATAATATTGAATATTTCTATATGGGCATCTATTGCATTGTATTGTATTGTATTGTATTGCAGCTTAATAAGGGTGGCGATGTTGGCCGCGAGGTAACACTTGCAGTCGCTTTTACGGCGACTTGCGGGGCCGTTCTCACTGTATCAAAACAGTCCATCTACATCATCAAATTCGAAAAAAACTCGTTGTATCTTCGCATCTCCATTCTCATCGATTCTTTTTCAAATAACCGTTTCAACCAATTTCCTATTCTTTTTACTCCCGATTTATTGGATTACCCAAGTGCATTATACATCGAGATAGAATGTCTCACTGCCACGACGAGCATGATCACCATGGCCACGGCCACGATCACGGCGAGCACGACCACTCAGACGACATCACGCCCGCGCTGCAGTCCTCGCTGTACGAGCAGATCAACTTTGATGAAATCACGACGCTCAACGAGTCGCGCAGAGATGCCGGCAAGGCCATTGTCAAGAAGACGTGGGCGGAGAGACTGAGCCAGGATCCCGAGCTGGAGAGTGATGCTGATGAGCAGCTTCTCATGACGGTCCCGTAAGAGTTTTGATGGTCCTTTACAAACGCCCGTTGCAGTGATTTTTCATTCACTACAGTCTTTATGAATATGCTGAATTATTGATTATTATTATTCTTATTCTTATGATTATTTGCTAATTTTCTGCAACAGATTCACTGCGCAAATCAAGCTACACTCCATCCTCATCCGCACATCACCCGCCCTCTCAGCCCCCAAAACCCTGCACCTGTACATCAACCGTGACGACATCGACTTCGCCGCCGCCGAGGAGACGACGCCGGTGCAAGTCCTGGAGCTCTCACAGACGTCGGAAATCCAAGAAATCCCCGTCAAGCGCTCTGCGTTTGGAAGCGTCCAGCGCCTGGTGCTCTTCTTCGTGGACAACTTTGGCGAAGGGGACGAGGACGTGTCGCGGATCAGTTACCTGGGATTCAAGGGCGAGTGGACGAGATTGGGAAAGGCGCCGACGAATATTATTTATGAGGCGGCTGCGCAGCCGGGAGATCACAAGGTGAAGGGGATGAATGTGAACCAGATGGGGAGCGGGATTGGAGGACGGGGGCCTGGCATTTGAGGTGATGTTGAGGTGTGGTGGCGAGGATGCATAATGGAGATGGTGAAGGGCTAGACGAGAATCACGATTATGAGTCTCTCATGACGGCCCTTATACAATACATCAGTTACTTTAGACAGTCCGGAATATGATACACGATGCCAACTTTAGTACCAAGGTGCTTGAATGATGCCATTAGCAACAGTACGTACCCCGCGAGGCTGAACACTTGGGAAAAAAACACCCCGCCCGCAGAATACCCGAACTGCATGCAGTGCTAGCAGCAAATCGCCAAAATTTCCCATCAGCCCACTATCCAAGATCGCAACTCGATCGTCCAAATTCTCCCAGCCCAGAGGGCAGCCGCCAATTCACAAAAAATAGCAACAACAGAGGCTCCCCTCCAATGCCTCCCAGGATACCCATCCTAGTGGCTCTGCCACGCTTCGCCGCAATCAACCGATCGCCTCTCCTCCTCCCGCATATCCCCCAGCGAGGCATCAAATATGGCTGGTCGACGGCACCGCCACGATCCAAGCACAAGCGCTTCAACCAGCCAAACTCGGGCCTCCCCGCGCTGACGACCGGCCCGGCCGCCGCCCTCAAGCGCCGCGAGAACACGACGCCTCTGCGCACGGGAGTGCTGGCCATCAAGAAGGGCATGACGAGCATCTTCCAGGGCAAGACGCGCGTGGTGTGCACGGTGCTGCAGATGGATCAGGTGCAGGTCATTGCCAACAAGACGAGGGAGAAGCACGGCTACTGGGCGGTGCAGATTGGCCTTGGGGCTAGGCAAGGACGCAATGTGACGAGCCCGATGCTGGGATACTACGAGGCCAAGGGCATTGCGCCCAAGGCCGAGCTGGCCGAGTTCAAGGTTCGAGACCAGGAAGGTCTTTTGCCCGTGGGAGCTCAATTGCTGCCGGATTGGTTCCAGCTGGGCCAGCACGTCGATGTGCGAGCTCGGTCAAGAGGAATGGGCTTCGCCGGTGGTATGAAGCGTCACGGCTTCGCTGGTCAGGAAGCCTCGCACGGAAACTCCAAGAACCACCGAACGATTGGTTCAACAGGTCCCTCTCAGGGTGGAGGTAGTCGAGTCATCCCCGGAAAGAAGATGCCTGGCCGCATGGGCAACGAGTTCCGAACGGTGCAGAACCTCAAGGTGCTCAAGGTGGACAACGAACTGGGCGTGGTGCTGGTCAGCGGACCGATCCCCGGACCAAAGGGCCGCATTGTGCGGCTGCAGGATTCGAAGAAGAGAAAGGCCCCTGCGCTGCCTCACAGGGTGAAGGCGCTGGAGCAGCTGGATGAGAGACAGCCTGACTTGCAGGAGAAGCTGGAGCAGGCGAGGCTGAGGCATTTGGAGATGCAAGCTCAGCGGAAGGCATATGTTGCGGAGGTGTAAAGGTTTACAATGAAGGGAAGCGGGGGGGTTATAAACAGTGTAAAATACCTAAGACAGGGCCATGGGATGAAGACGATGGGCAAGGGAAGAATTTCAAGGGCTCTATGTTAATGAATACATACATGGAAGAGACTAGAGAGGGAAAGGGGAGGGAAGAAAGATGTAAAGAAAAGCGGGCTTTTTTTGTATTTATAGGAGTACATCATACATATCATGACAACCTCGTCCAAAGGCTCATCAGGCAAAACAAAAAACAATCTACTTGTACAAAAGAGAATATGCTCTCTTCTCTCTTTTCTCTTTGAGATTTTCTTTCCCCATCTTTTCCTCCTCCCCCAGCTCTTTTCAATCCTCCCATCCGCGTTGTGTTTCCATCCAGAATCTGCTCAAAACAACCGGTTATATCGTTTTTCACCGGTTAAACGCACCCTGCTGCCTGAACCCCTTCGTCTGCAGCTCCGCCACATCCTCCTCCGACAACAGCCCCGAGTCACCCTCGCTCTCGCCTCCCAGCAATCCCCTGAACGGATCCTCCCCGTCCAGCAAATTCACCACCGTGCCATCCTCCAGCGTCAGGCTCCACACCGTCGTCTTGAACAGCGACTTGCTCGAGGGCCGATGGCTCGCGAAGCGCATCACGCCCGAGGCCCTTGAGCCCTTTACGCTGAAGCTGACGTCGATGCGGCCCTTGACCTGGTTCATCTGGCCGCTGATCCAGGGGATCTGGTGCTTGAAGTAGATCTCGTCGCCGAGCAGGGCGTTGCCCTTGGGGGACGTGCGCAGCGCGTAGAGCGTCGACGCGATGATGGGCGACGACGTCTTTTGGTAGTTGAAGATTGCGACGGAGCTGACGGCCACGAGGAGGACGAAGATGGGAAAGGTGCGGCGCCAGCCGTTGGAGACTTCGCCGACGTCTGGTGCAAATTTGCGTTTTAGTATAATTGAAAGCCAAATTTTCTTTTTTCTCCCCATATTTTCTTTCACATGATTCTTAAAATTGAAAATCATTATCAAAGCATCAAAAACTCACCAGGCAATTCTCGATCCGCTCGTCTCGACATCAGCGGTCCATCACCGGGCTTTGGCGCAGGCGTCGTCGTCACTCCCCGTCTCTGCGCCACCGCGCGCGAATTGGCGCTGCATCTGCTGCCGACCCGTCGAGAGGCCACGGCCAGCAATCTCCTCCTCGCAAGTTGTGATATCATTGTCCCGAATTTGTGTGTGGGGGGTGTGAGAGGGAAGAGACAAGCTTTCCGGTATTAGTGAGAGGTTTGGAGGGTCAGATCAGATCATCTCTCGCATCAGGCTGAAGGAATTTTAGTGGGGGCGGGTCAAGCAGGGGTACGTACCTTTATTTGTGGCGTCATAAGGCTGAAGGACATCTTTTAACATATGCCATCAAGGTGCCGCTGCCTTTCTGGAACATATCATGGTATATTTCTACTGTGGATTCGCATTTATTCAATTTTTTTTTTTTTTTTTTTTTCAAATTCGTCCTTTCATTATGCCCAGGTTACCAGTTATCGCAGGACGATACCACCATGTTCATGAGACTGTCTCTACTATTCTCCATTCCTCAAATAGCACCGTAGGCTTATGAATCTCATTACAACGCTTTGTGAGACACCTCAATAAAAACTTGCATCCTCTCATCCAGAATTACCATGATAATGGACTTGGAGTGATCAGTGTGCCTCCACCATTATAAAGGTAATGATAGAGTGCCATACCAAAGCCGTTATGCTACAGTATGGGAAAGACATCACTCTACCGCTCGGCTTATTCAGGTCAGATGAGCCCTGTTTCGCCTGGTTGGCCATTCAAGCAAATTCTACAGGCCGATAGTTTCAAATAGCACCAGATTACATGTCAAGATTCAACAAGCAGCAGCAAGTTATTTCAGTTAGTCTGGCCAAAGGTGAGCCGCAATTACCGTCATCAAATCGCAACACAAATCTGTGCCCGATACTCTATAATCAATGTCCAAGAGCAATAGCAGCAACCTCAGCCAGTGAATCAACCGTATAATCAGGCTTCAAGCTTTCACAAGCATTTCGATCTCCATATCCGTAGCGGCACCAAACAGACTTGGCTCCGATATTTGCCGCAAACTGGATATCCGCAACCGTGTCGCCAACAACCAGCACGTCACGGCCGTCTTCAATTCCCTCAAAGTCTTTGATCCCATATCTCGCGTCTTTCAACCTCGGCAATAAAACATTAGTAAAGCTTGCCGTATCTGGCTTCCGTGTCGCTCCAGGCGTCTTGTCTCCAACAATCAGCTCCTCGTCAACTGCGCCCCCAAGCCCATTGCCATTCAAAGCGGTGACAACAGCAGCCACCCCCTTGTTGCTGACAATCGAAATGGCAACTCCAGATTCCTGGAGCTGCTGAAGGAGCTCGACGGCAGATGGGAAAGGTTTGATCAGAGGCTGGCCGTGCTGAGCGTACAAGTCGCGATACGTGGCGATCCAGCGTTCTTCGAGTTCTGTCGTCCACTGGAGCTTTTCCGTAGCCGCATTGTCTGCAGGCTGGAGGGTGCGGAATGTGTCTTGTAGACCTGCGCCCGAAGAGATGAGACGGTGGATTTCTGCCTCTGAGGGGGTGTCTTGCGGTGATGTGAGGAGGGTATCGAATGTGAGCTTGATACAGTGCGAGATGGAGGCATGAGTGTCAAAGAGAGTGCCGTCAAAGTCGAAGATGACGAGCTTTTTCTTGGAAGGCGCCATGGTTGCTTCAATTGCTCTTTTTTTCGTTCTCTTGGAGTTTAATGTTGACGGAAGAGATTTGCTAGTTTGAAGGATTCAGCTAATGCACTAAGTGCTAACTCGCCGCGATATCGGCCATTGTAGCATCGAATTTACAGGGAGTAGGACAGTCGTGGTAATTTTTAACCATAGCTTTTTCTCTATTTAGTAGATGTTTACTTATACCTTGCCTAAAAATACATGATTTCTACTGCCTTTATTTGCCTTGATGTAGAAACTCCTATAGTGCTCGAAACTGCACTAACAATGCATTCACATGTAAATCTGAACCGACTTGTCACGACTTTTTCTCAGAAGCACAACCATGTTCTTTACTTGAAAAACACAAAGTTGAATAATATTTACACCAAAAATCTTCCTACAGACGTAAATAAGTCACAACAGATGTTTCCATCGCAGCCACTTTTTACCATGCATTGACACTTCCCATCTTAATATAGAGGCGCATTCTGTGAGTGCGGTTGCTTAGGTGCCTTGATTACCTAATCGAGTCCAGGGACCGACCCAGACCAGACTTGAAGTACGTCATAAGGCTGAGGGAGCTCTTCTTCCTCAATGCTCATCGAGGTGCTGCCATTGCTACCTCTAGCAGTGTAATCATCAGCGCCGCTTCGCAAAAAAAAAAAAAACACTCTCCACATTACATGTTTACTTTCTATAACCTTCGTTTTCTCTCTATTGCAGTCATCATGGCATCTTCCGCCCGTCTAAGACGGACCTTTCAATACCCCAACGACTCCGACTCAGACTCTCCAGAAGCTATGGACGAGCAAGGCATGCACAACACCCATCCCTTTCGACCATCATCCAAGCCTCATATATAAAACCCATCCAGACTAACCAAGAAAACACAGAACAAGACAACCTCATCCAAACGCTCGCTTCCCAAAACGCCTCCCAAAACGAAACCCTCGCCCGCACCCTCCTCGCCCTCCCTCTCCTCTCCATTGTCGCTTACATCCGCCCGCTCCTCAACCCAGCCACAACTTCCTTCGCTATCTTCTGCATTACGTCCCTCCTCGCGACGGCGTTTCTGCTCTACCGCCTGCCCCCCGCGCAGACGGGCATTCCAATAATCGACTCTTGGGCCAGCGGTGGGACTGGCCGTGCTGGAGCAGGAGGAGGGCCCAGCGGATCGTCTGCTGCGAGCCTTATTGGCGGACTACGGTCACGTAATTCCCTCGGTGGCCTCCTCGGTCGTGGAGTTGTTGATACACGGTCGCCTTTGGAAAAGACGCTGCCCTACTTGAATCTGGGTCTGGTCGCTTTATTGATACTCATGGGATTAGTGAGAGGAGACGAAAGAGGTGGCGGTTTTGGTTGGGTAAGCATGGGCAATATTCCTGGGCTCGTCTACTCTGTCGTCATAACAGCCAAGATTGTCATGGCTGGCGTGGACCCTGAGAGAGATCTGGGGAGCCTTAGGTACGGGTACAAGGGTGCTTGATAAGAACTACTAGGTAGTCTGTTTATATAAGTGAATTTTCAAAATAATAGATAATGCACCGAGGCCACATGTAGCACCTAGGGAAGGATAGTAATATAGTATATTTCTCTCATTCTTCATTTTATAACATCCACACCATGCCAACTTAGGTACCCAATGGAACAGTTTACCGCACCCAGATTCACGCCTCATTCCAGTATAAAAGAAAACCCTCATATCGTCTACATGTCTATAGAATCATTAAAGCGTAAAATACCATGATCTCTCAAAATTCCGTCGATTCCATTAGGCGGCCGAGGGAAAGGATCCGCAAGAGGGTTTGCTTCAGGGGTATCAGACGACTTGTCCATAACAAGGGCAAGTCCATGTGACTTGACAGCATCAACCAGCGCTGGCACCATATCCTATTAAATAAAGAGTTAGTTTCATGTTTGACGAGAAAAAAGTATAAACAAAATAGAGAAAGGGGATTTGCTTACCAGCAACCGAGAATAGCATATCAATCCCATAAAGTTATTCGTCTGGGCAATCCGCACCGCCTCCTTAATCGACGTCGTCCGCCTGCCGCTAGCTCGCACTGCCTTCTCATCTCGGCCCAAGTCATTACACAAAAATACCGGGAAATTGGGCTGTTTCCAGTTAAGTGCAGTACATAATCGTGCGTTGTAACTGCTGAATACCATGGAACGCACCACGTGTGGCGAATGTGACTGGGCCCTCTGAGCTCGAGCATGATCGAAAACGATTGTGAGGATTGAGTCGACAAAGACATTGACATCCAGAGCCGGGCCCAAGGCTAGTGTCTCTTCCTCCTCCGAGTTAGGATACAATATCTGCAGATTAACATGCATACCAGGAGGGAGAATAGACAGGGCGTCCTTCAGGGTTATGCCTGCAGTCGCCAGGATATGGTAAATCTCTGCAATATCATCCGTCGTCTTCGTTGCCAGACTCGCAAGCTTGGCGCGACTGGCGCTCTGAGCTGTGATGGCATCGAATTGCGCAAACGAAAGCCGGCAGACAGGGATGTCGAGCCCACCGCACGAGATAGTCCATTGTGGCCAGATGATGGGCACTGCATCGCTAGTGTACTGAACAAATACCCGGACGTAATCACCAGACAGACTTGAACCTGTGACAACAGCGTTTGTTGGCTGGTTGAACTGGCTTGTTGCCTTCCAGTAAGTTTCAAAGTCCGTAATCTCGAGGGGCTGCCCTCTAAACGGCTTGATCACCTGCGTCGTAAAGCTGATTTGGCCAATAGCTCGTAACCGCGGGTCAAACAGTGGCAGGCAAGATTTTAAGCCGCCAGACTGGTTTAGGAATACAGATGGTAGCACAACTGTCTTTGCAATTGTCTTGGCGCCGTAAGCCGGGAAAACATCGAAATCGAGTGAAAATGTCTCCAAGTTGTCAACTTGGAACGAAACAACACGGGTATCTTCTTGGAATGGCAAAATAATGTTCTTTGGGATAAGATCTGAGACTTTGGAGGAAATCGTTAACCGAGCAGCCGGATATTTTCCGTCCTGGAAGAAGACCAGCGGTTGCTCGCCCGCATCCTGGAAGCCGATTTGCACAACTGTCTTCGTATCAAGGAAGTTGTGGCCATATCGTCGGAGAGGGATGATTGGCGGTGGCAGCTCTAGGATCGGGATGGCATCTGGATCCAATGACATGGGCAGGGGGCCACTACTGCTGCCCATGATATCAATTGCAGGATGGCCACCCAGCGGGCTTGCTCTCGGGCGTTTGTTAAACGGGGAAAGCAGTTGCATACATTCCAAATGGCCTTCCCAAGCAGCATAATACATGGCGGGAAGATCTTTTTCGTCTCGTATTGTCGCATCGACACCAAGCTTAAGCAGTGCTTGGAGGCATTCGACATTGCCTTCGCTTGCAGCATGCAATAATGGCGTCCATCCATAGAGCTTGTCGATTTGGTCGAGATCAGCCCCATACTGTTTGAGGAGCAGAAGTAAATCCGAAGTCCGTCCACATCGCGCTACCATGTGCTGAGGATACAGTCCCTCGGCATCAGGAAGAATCTTTGCGCCATGCTTCAACAGGATCTCCACAATTGCAACTGAGCCGTGTTCACAAGCAAGATTCAAGGGCACATGATCCGCATCAGAAACCGGGTCAATGCGAGCGGACCTGGCAAGTAAGCGCTCGACACATTCCACATGCCCATGTATGGTGGAGTGTATTAGCGGTGTGAAGTTGTCGTGGTCAATGAGATCAATAGTGCTTGGATTGGCTATTGTATGAGGAACAAAGATAAAGTTAGCTCGTGTATCCTACCAGTTAACGCCGCCTACTGTCTCTGACTCACCATTTAACAAAACTTCGAGCATATCCAGGCGGCCGTGCAAGCTAGCATAGTGCAACGGAACACGTCCGTAAACGTCAGTCCGATCCACAGCAACATTAGCTGCAAGACCCCATTCTAGTACGTGCTGTCTGCCATAGATGGCGGCTTGGTGTAGGCAGTTTCTTTCATTGATATCATCATATGAATGTAAGTCAACCAAGCCGGTATCCAAAAGGACTTTTAGAGCGCTCTTGGGAGCTTCGTTGATCGCCGTCAAAAAGGTCCTTGTTAGCCGCTCAATCAAAGAAACGTCGCCGTCGCTAGCTTGAGTAGCCGATTGCATTTTGGCAAGAAGATCCTTTATGGATTCAAGATTTCCGGTAATGACAGTATCCAGCAGGAGCGAATCCGCATCTCCTTCGTCAGTCCCCACGAAATGCTGAGTTGTAACGACATGTGTGGTAGATGAGTCGAAGCTAACTTGGATTCCATCCGACCAGGCACCAAGTTCTTGAAGGCTGGTAGTGGCCTGGTCGGATAGTTCGCTTATGACCGTCGCATTGAAGAAAGGTTGGACCTCAACAGCACGCGAGAGGTACAGCTCCTTTGTCTTTGATTTGGATGTCTTGTCCCATTTTTTGAGAATCTTTGAGAAAGCGGTGCCATTGATCTCAACAAATTGTTGAAGCTTGTTCAGATCCGTGGCGAACTGCTGGAAACCTTCTTCGAGGGTGGTGAATTTGGACGAGCGCCTCGAGATGCCTTGGCGCGACTTGATGACTTTTTTCTTGTCAAGCAAAGTCTTGAGTCGAATTTTGAGCTATACAAAGGTTGGCGACGAAAAGATTCACAAAACATAGTTAAGGGAGCTGATGGATTAGACCACAGCGCCATTCTGTCTACATACCTCGGCTTCTTTTTGCAGATAGAAAGCGTTCACCTTGTCCAACTCTCTTTCCTGCTCGGGTGTTAGCAAGTCCACCGGAATATTCATCTTGATGGCTGCATGCAGTGACCTACCAATTGGAAGAAGAAAGTTGCCTTGTTAGCCTGCAGAGCAGCCTGCGAGTCGGCCAGTGTGTCCAGGCGGTGGACGTCATTTTGCGCAGCAAGGGTCGGAGTAGCTGAGAGCTTCTTGATGAGCTATAAAGCAGTAAGAATCAAGTATTAGTAAAGAGTGATGCAAGATACAGCAATTGGAGGTGTACATGTCCGAAAGATATGCCAATGATTGGAGAGAGAGAGTCAGAGGGTGCAGGCATGCATGGACAAGGATGCCTGGAGCAGTTGGTACTCCCCCTCTATCAGCCTCCCATATGTCCCGAGCGACTTCATACAGAAGAGAAAACAACAAGAAGGCAGAGCATGAACCAAACGCCTTGGAAAAGGAAAGACGAGGGAATGAGAAGCCATATGCTATCCCAATAAAGAGCAAATCAATAGATGTTTACCTTCTTCAAAGCCTTGTAGTTAACAAAACTGGCAGCATATTCGGGAACCTCAAGCTGGCGCTTCTGAATTTGCTTGCCAAATTTCCTGCGGTACAAATCGCTATGTGAGCCTGGGGTATTATTTCCGAGGGGGCAGGGATTGCGTCACAACGCAGCGGCCATCTGACTTACATGTTGCGACACAGAACCCCGGGGCGGGCGGGAGTCGCGGGGGCAGAGGAGTTAAAGAAACAGAAAAGCCCAAGCCGGACAGGTCAAAGGAAGGATATGCTGGCCGAAGCAGCACAGACGGGCTACAATCTCACGCCTGAAGGCCTTTCCTTTGGGAGGGAAGCCAAGAGCTGGGTGGTAAGATTGTATTGTGGGCGATGGCGCCTGTAAGAACAAACACTGCTATGACCATTAGCTACCTGTGCGACTTGACCAGGCCTATATCGACGGGAAAGGACGGAGGTGACCGAGGGACAGGGCAGGGGTTTAGTTCAGCGCAGAGTCTCCAGACACTTGTCCGCGTGGGGGGAACGATTGACTGATGGACGTCGGCAGCTCGCTGACAGTCCAACGGGCCCCATCAGACAGCAAGCAGCAGGCTCCGGCGCGGCTCATACCTTGAGAGGCCAGTCTTTGTCCCACCAGGGTAGCAGGCGGAGGTCGGTGCTCTGCTTCCGGGATAGTTTGAGATGCAGGTTGAAGCCGAGAAGAGTAAGAAAGCCGGCATGGAGCAAGCCGAAGATGTGGACAAGAGCAAGTTTGAGGTGCTGTATGATGTACGCGCAACCTTGGATGGGCTTTTTGGATATGGTGCTAATACTCGACGCAGGACAAGGCAGTGTGCTGGGGAGGGGGAAGCTTCTTTACGTACACGAAGCAGAGCTGCGGCAGATGCCACTCTTTTGATTCTCTCACCCCGGACTGAGATTTTCAGTCACGAGGGCGTGGCAGCAAAAGAATTTAGTAGCTAGCCTACCGAATGAGGGCACCCTGGGCGCAGAATGGGCTGGTGGTTCAGATTGATCAGATCAGACCAGCAGGCCGAGGTGACGAAGTTGTGTGACGGGCTGGCTACCTTTGGGGCTGGCTGGCTGGCTGGGCGTCTCTATCTGGCCGTCCTTGTTAGTCAGAATGTCTTGCTCCGACCCAATTGGAGAGGAGGGAGAGTGAAGAGGTCGATGGCTTCGGTGAAGGGCAAAGGATGTGAAGGACTGACTTGACTAGCTGGTCCTAGTCTCGAGGGCACGTTGTGCCTCGCCCTGGTGAAAATGCCACTTCTCTGGTCTGGCCTTTCACAAAGTATGGCGACCCTTTTCGAAGCGGGGGCGACTCATCAGAGCCCTCGACTGTCTAGATCATCGCGAGACTAGGCGAATAAGGCCCGTGGCGGTTGTACTTCAGACACCTTTAGCACGCCGAAGCAGGTCGTCCTGCAGAATCGACCAGGGTTGCTCATGCGGCGCTGAGACTTCTTGCGGGCCGTGGCACCGACTTGGCTGTCGGCACATGATGCCGACATTTAGCCGCATAACAGATTTACACCAATTGCAGTATTGGAGCCAGATAGCGTCCTAGCGTCGCCATCCTCCGCGCCCCAAAGCATTCCCTTTGGGGCCCCTCCATTGGGCTGCATTTGTAGGGATGCTTTGCCGGATCTGCTGCTACCATCGTCCCCGTTCTTTACACCGGACCCAATCGCCGTCCAGCATTGCACCTCGTGCGTGAGCGATAGGTGCAGTTGATTTAAGCGCAAACCCAAGAGCCCCGGCCCCAGCTCACTAGAACGAGCTCTGCTTTTATGTACCTCTTCCCACCCGGCCTCCAAATTAACCGTACACACACATGGCACGAGTTGGAGGCACAAGTATGTACTTCGTACAACCCGAAATCTGGGTGGCAGCCAAGTACTTGCTAGTCGTGCCATCTGTCCTGCGCTACGTGACTCAACGCACCGAGTGCCGTTGAGGCAGCTGCAATATGAGAGCGGGCAGCCGCTCAATAACTCGGATGTACCCATCAATTCTTTGTCATGAGAACCCACGCACGGAAAAGATACCCGGCCCATCAGCGCAGTGCTAGCAGGTCAAGCGCGCAGCAGATTCAATTCGCTAATCGTACTCAAGACGTCGCAGTCATGCATATTACTACCTAGTAGCTATGGAGGTAGTCTTCATAAATCTTACCTTCCTATTCAACAGGTAGCATCTACAGTACGAAACTAAACGATGTCACCCAAAATCGTAATAAACCTTCCAAAGCACCAGGAAATTGCTGTTGCTTAATTTCAGTTACCACTTGAAAGCAACAGCACAGATAAAGGATTTTAAAAACATGAGCAGCCTCGCCATTGATTACTTTTAAGGTAATTTAACTCCATCCCGTTTCATCTTCATCAAGCAATCAGCTCTTCTTTGCGCTTGAATCTCCTTCTTTCGCTGGATCGACCAGACTATCAGCCATCGCCTCGGCAGCCGCCTTTTTCAACCGCTCGGCATCGTCCAACTTGCCATCCTTCGGCTTCTCTTTTGTCTCCCCCTCGTCCTCACTATCTCCCAAGCTGAAAGGATCGTTATCGGTAATCGGATCTGGCTCCACGCTAGAGAGCGGCTGCCATTTGCTTGCCTTGGCCCCTGTTGCGCCCGGGGTCTCGCCCTTGGGAGAGAGTTTTGGCGAAGCATCATACATCTTAATCTCTTCAGGTTCGTCCTTGAATCCCACTCTTCGGCCCTCTGGTCGCGGTGAAGCTGAAGGAGGTGGTCTGTAAACGCCAGTATTGGCCATCGGTCGGATGTTATGAGCAGGGGCTTAGAAAATGATTGTCAGCTATGCTTTAGCCACGATGATAGCACCAAGTACTTACTGCCGTCCGACGAGAACTTCATACCAGCGAAATCATCACTAAGCACCTGCGGATCTGCGTCATAATCCGTACTCCTGTTGCTAGGCCCACCATGGCGATACTGAGGCCCATCGCTGCGGTGAGCATCGTCACTCTCGTCGAAATTCTCCTCGATCTTTTTCTTCATCATACTAATCCAGCCGTTGACCTTCGACTGAGTCTCCACGAATCCCTGTCGGAGGTTCTCGCGGATGATTGGGAGGTCGTCATCTATAAAGCTATGCTCTCGCTCCTCTCCTTCGTAGCCGGGCTGCGATCTTGTGCGCCCATTACCGCCACGGTTGGAGGTGCGAGCTTCGTAGGCGCCGACGTTATCGTAGTGCTCTGCCAACTGGCGCGCATATAGCTCGTCTGCTTCAATCTGGGATCGCGAAGGCCTTGGGGGCTGCTGGGGCGGAACTTCTTGCGGCTCGTTGAGAACCGCTTCTGGGTCGGTCATTTCTAGTTTCATCGTAAGCATGCGTTTCCGTAGAATATTCGTCTTCGCGCGCAACACACCTAGTAGAGCGTTGAAGGCGGGCTCGACCTGGCCGCCACTTGCTCTCAAGACCGCTTTAATGACATTATCGTCAACTGTCGGAAATGCCTCTTTCAGAGTGATCTGATTCTTCTGCGCCTCGGTCATGGGACGCGGAGGCTTTGGTGGAGGGGTTGGGCCCTCTGAGCTTTGCCTTGAGCCAAGCATTGGTGATACGGTGCCGTCTCCTGTTATTCCGGATTCCTGCACCTCATCATCTGACATATCAAGCGGTTGCGCTGTGGTTGGCGATTCGGCGCCTGAATCTGTCACTTTGCTCTGCGCAGTCGAACCGCAAGCATCAGCATCAGCGCAAGCTCTCTCTCGCCACTAACAAGCAGCCCGTCTGGGGAGGTGGATCATATATACCGTATCTACGGGAGCCGACATCGTCGCGATCTCTTGTGTTTACCCTTGGCGCGCGCCGAGTGTTACTAATGCGATCGATTCTCGTGATTTCGCTTATAGCTGAGGTGTTCTGGAAAATTATCTCGCTTCAGTTTCGGTCTCTCCGTTGCGATTATGACGGAGGGGTTGAAAGCTAGCCACGACGCCTGCCACGACGCTGATGACGTCCCCACTGTAATAAAGGAGCTCAGGGTGGCAGTGATGAGCCGTGTATAGCCACAGCGCCACACTGTGGCTGGGGTGTTTGGTGCTCTAGGGTAAGTTAGATTGCCTACCTAAAGCGTTCAACGGAAACGAAGAAACTGGATATGCAACGGGTCTTGGGATTAGGCCATGAAAGAGCTAGATATGAACGGATGTGAAGCTGCTGGCGCACGTCTTTAAGTAATTCGATTCTCTCAACAATTTGGCTAGCATAGCATTGTGATGCTATAGCTGAAACGAGCTTCAGACAGACGTCAATCTCACCAGCTAGCTGCTTATTTAGCAGCAATTTTACCAAATGAGATCAACATAAACATTTCACAATGACAGACCTCGACCTCGACTCGTCATTCATCCCCGCATTGCACAAGCCACCATCCTTGCTTCCCATAGCAAAATACCGCGAAAGTTTACTTTATGTCGTAGAGAAGTTCCCGGTTACCATCGTCATAGGCCAGACCGGCTCTGGCAAAAGCACACAGATTCCCCAGTTCCTCGAACGCGCTGGATGGTGTTCAGATGGAAAGATCATAGGAATAACACAAGTGAGCGCTGGTTTTCTCTAGAGCTGTTTCATCCAAATAATTTTTTACTGACATTTACGCGCAAGCCGCGCCGGGTGGCCGCCACAACGGTTGCTCTACGAGTGGCTGATGAGGTGGGATGTGAAGTCGGCCAAGAGGTTGGATACTCGATTCGCTTTGAAGATGTCACCTCGTCTTCAACTCGGATAAAGTTCCTGACCGATGCTCTGCTTATCCGGGAAGCACTGACTGATCCCCTGCTGAGGCGATACTCTGTCATTATGGTGGATGAGGCTCACGAGCGATCCATCAGTACCGATATCTTGCTTGGTTTGTTGAAGAAGATTCGAAGGAAGCGTCCCGAGCTTCGCATTATCGTCAGCAGTGCAACGCTCCAAGCTGAGCAGTTTCTTAAATTCTTCACAGCAAGCTCTGACCAGGAAGCAAAAAAGCAAGAAGACGGACAGCCGCCACAGGAGATTGCTACCATTGTTAGCCTAGAGGGACGAACATATCCTATTGATGTTCTATATCTCGAGGCGCCAGCAGAAAACTATGTCGAGAAGGCAGTCAATACTGTTTTTGATATTCACACCCAAGAAGGCGAGGGAGATATCTTAGTCTTCTTGACGGGTCGCGAGGAGATTGACAATGCGATTCAAGCCGTAGCTGAGAGAGCCATGCAGTTGGAAAGCCAGCACGGCCCATTACAGCCATTGCCGCTCTATGCCGGACTCTCGACAGAGCAGCAGATGTTTGTGTTTGACAAAGCACCTGAAGGAACACGAAAGGTGGTCTTTTCAACAAACATAGCAGAGGCTTCAGTCACAATTGACGGCATAGTCCATGTCATTGATTGCGGCTTTGTCAAGCTGAGAGCTTATAATCCCAAGACAGGCATAGACACATTGACAACCACGCCCATATCCAAAGCATCTGCCTCTCAACGCGCCGGTCGTGCTGGCCGTACCAAAGCCGGAAAATGCTATCGACTCTACAACGAAGCCGCCTACCAGGCGTTACCGGAAACGAACCCTCCAGAGATACAAAGGTCGAACCTTGCATCAACCGTTCTCCAATTGAAAGCCCTGGGTATCGACAATGTGGTTCGATTTGATTTCCTTTCCTCACCACCGTCGGAACTCATGTCAAAGGCACTCGAACTACTGTACTCATTGGGAGCTTTAGATGAGTATGCAAAGCTAACACATCCGCTTGGGTCTCGTATGGCAGAACTAGCAGTCGAGCCGATGATGGCAAAGACACTGTTATCAGCACCGCAGTTCAACTGCCTAAGCGAAATGTTGACTATTGCTGCCATGACAAGCCTAGGGGGGAACATATGGTTCTACCATGACGGCGAGCGACACAAGATGGAGTCTTCACGGCGTAAGTTTGCTGTAGAAGAAGGTGATCATCTGACGTTGCTCAATGTCTACCAGACGTTCATCACGAAGGGAAAAAAAGAGGCTAAATTTTGCCATGAGCATAACCTCAATTACAAATCCTTGACTCGGGCAGTCAGTATCCGAGCCCAGCTCAAGCGCTACCTCGAACGATTCCACATTAACGTTGACGAGACGCTATCGTCCAAACAACAGTCGTCCTCGAATGTGGATAAAAGCAACAAGGCAGAACAAATTAGACGCTGCCTCACTTCTGGCTACTTTGCCCATACAGCACGAATGCAGCCGGATGGAACTTATCGAAACGTCGAGGGCGGCACTATCCTGCACGCACACCCTAATTCGCTAATGTTTAATCGCAAAGCTGACTGGGTCATTTTCTATGAGATAATGGAAACGGGAGACAAGACGTATATTCGCGACATTACGAAAATTGAGAAGAATTGGTTAGTTGAGTATGCGCCTGAGTTTTATAAACTTTCAAACTCTCGAGGCTAGTTGCTTAGCTACGATGCATCAACAACTACTATTCAGGCTATTAGGATCTCGCAATACTCAAATATAGAACAAGAGAGCATGGACATGTCACGCAAATACGACCCTACACAATGCATATCGGCTTGATCCAGACTACTCCGACTAGTCCCAGCTATTTGCCGTAGTTGCCGTCTCTGGGATCTTTGCACTGCTCAATGGATCGTTCTGGAATGCCCCCTTTGTATTTGCCACCCAAACGGAAAACGATTGTTGCTAGTGAGATATAGGTACTTCACTGTTAGGTCTTACCACTTTTACTACTACTATACATACTTTGATTACAAGCATGTATGGAGTATTTGTATGGAGAATGTTAAGGGTCGATGGAAATAGCCGAAAGTGAATAGAACCCACGTCTGTTGCCGCCTTGCTCCACGCCATCCAAACATGCCTGTGCTGCTCATATTCTAAAGTTTCTTTATACGCTCCTTGAAAAAAGATTCACTGAGCTGGGGGCACCCATGATTCACTTTTCATGCTGCTCTCGCCATTGATACTGATACATACACTGCGGCAGCAAAATCTCGTTTGTTTGTTTTTCTGATGGCCAAAACAGGTACGCTTTCTGCCCCCTTGCGTGATAAGAGGGCATGAGCTAGGATCCTAGCAGCCCCCCCTCATGATGCGGCACTTGTACCTACTAGTAGTGCTTGCGTATAATGTGAGAATGGAGAGGCCTAACCAAGATGGCCACCGGGCTCACGGGACCAAAAATGCCTCGACTATCGAGCTCCCAAACGCCAATAGCCTAAAAAGATCTTTCGACGTTGCCAATATTGATGTCAAGTCTAAGGAAAAAGGCTTCTCTAAACCGACTGGCCAGACATAGGTTGGTTGCTAGAGGAACTCTCCACGCAACCTCCACCAGGCTGCATAGAAAGACAAGAAGCTTGTCTTGGTCTCACTCACAGCGAAGTCCCCCATGTCTTGCCAAGGGTCTTAGAAAAACCAACGTGCGGCAGAAGCTTTTTTTCTTTTCCGCATGTCAAGACCCGTTTCTCCTGTTTCGTCTGAATTATTCTGGCGACTCACCGACCTGTGGCATTATGCGGCAAGGGAGAGAGACATGGAGATGGAACACACGGCCTGGCTAGGGCAATTCATTGTCCTAGTCGCCGGCTTAGCATCCGAACGTGGTGCCTGGTATTGATTATTACAAGTACCAGTGCCTGTATCGCAATACACTACTTTCTTTGTTTCTGCTGGAACTCGGCGCTGGAACTCCGTGCTTTTTTTTTTTTTCCTGCTAGTGCCATTAATTGGACTCCGCAACTATCATCCTGAGCGTCTCATCGGCAGGGCAGTGCTCCGGACCACGGTGGCCAGGGGGCGAGTTCATATCGGAAAAGCGGCAGCTTCGTTTTCAAACCAGCCGGGCAGCGGGCCGGATCTTCACAGCACTGCACGAAGCGCACTCTGCGAAGGAGTTGTGGTACTAGTAGTATTATGAGCGTATCGGCAATTTCGATAGTGTGAGCGGAAGACATGCTCTGTATCTATATTAAGACCAGTTGATTGCACCCATAGAACGATAAGATTGCATTCGGCCAAGGGGCTGCGGCGCAAGTGTTTGCGGTGGATGCCTTTGAGGCGAGGATGGAGACAAGCAGGATGCGGATGGAGCTCTTCTGCAGCTCCGCAGTTGCGCGAGACTGTGTGCATTGCGGTGGATATGCGTTTAATGAAGCTGGCATTCTGGCCGCTCCTATTGGATGGATACCGGCTGGGAAGACGCTTGCGCTCAAAGAGGCACCCAGCTTGCGAGTGCGATCAAGGCGAACTCGCTTCTCGAATGCGCCATTTCTTCTATAGCACCAGCAATTCAGACACAAGTTTGTGCGTGCCTCTTTCGCCTGGTTCTATTCTTTCATGACCCAGACAGCGCTGATAATGCCTGCACTGACACAGCACGGACATCTGGTGACAAATTTCCGAAGAAAATGTGGCCGAGGCGTTGTGTTGCTTGTGCTTCGAGCTGTGTGCATTCAATTCTAAGCTCGGGGCGCACAGGCTGGTACTAACAGCATGTACACCGCATATTGTGTTGTATCAGGTGCTTGCGGGAATATATTACCATGTTATAGTAGTTACCTTGGCCATGCTGCTGTTGAGCCTTCATCTTCATAGGCCTAAGCGACGATGTTATCGTGGTACAGTGCTTGCAGCTCTACTTGACACACCGGTGCCGCCAAGTCTCTTCAACTAAGCGGAAGTCAAGTATTACGGAGCAGTCCGAAACCCCATCAGCTCTGCGTTGGCAGCTTCCCCTCAACGGCGCATATGTGGAGTGTCATATACAAGGCTGGCGCTAGCTAAGTTTTTTTTTGCTTTTAAACAGAAAATGCTGCTGCCAACAATGATAAAGGAGTTGTGGCAACGCCGACGCTGTTAAAGTAGCGAGATCACAGATGCTGAGTCAAATGCATAAGTTCAATTTGCTGTTGGAGGACTCCTATACGCGCGCTGGCGGGACGGCTAAGGCGTTCTTGGGCTAGCGTCAGGGGCAGCACTACTGAAAAGTTGCAAAACACAGTGCCAGATGCAGGGATCTGTTGCTTCAGACTGGCCCTGGGACAGTGCAAGCCAGCCTGCTGTAGAGAATGTTTCATACTGTGAGGGGTGCTCGCGTGGGCCTTTGTACCTGCGTCAGGCCCCTGCTAGGCCCAGCTCGCCAGGCCCTTTGTTTTCCTCTTTCGACGCACTGAATCAACAGCTAGAGGACGCCGCCTCGACTGGCGCTCGCATCTGGCGCTCTGGAGCTGCCGCCATGCGCGAGAAACTGGCCGCTGTGGCACGGGGTTAGCGATGGAGGCGATCCCCAGTCGCCCACAGGCGGGCGATTCGTTGCTGTTGCGTCTCTTGGGCGCGGCGGCCCGGCGCTAGCACCGCTCAAATTAAACTCCCTATGACCCTGGGAAGCTCGTCGGCGCCGGAGCTCACTGACCACAGCAGGACAAGCTCCAATCTCCAATCTCCAACCCCTCTCGGTACCGGTACATGTGCCTGCGCGCTCGACCCCTGGACCGCTGCTGGGCCTTGCCCTGCGCTGTCTCATTCGCTCCGGCAAGGGGAAGGGAGCTGCCCAAACCTGCCGGGCTCCCTGCAATCACTCTGCTCACCACGGCCCCGGGCAGGTACCAGTACGCTGGGCGACTGCCGCTACGGGCAGCTGCAGCCGTCTGCAGAACACGCCGTCTGCTGCCCACCCGGTGCTGCTTGTAGCGGTACCTGCGCTGGTACCTGCACATTGCGCCGTCCCACCAGGCCTATTGCACAGGGCCCATCGCCGTCCTAGCCCGCTTCGTCTCCCTCTCCTCTCCTTGGGCTTATCCTCGCTCGCGCTCTTCCTCTTCTTTTCTCCTCTCCCCATCGCCAGTCTTTCCTTTCTGTCGACCACTGCGATTTATCGTGCGAACCGCCTGCAAGCGGGCCAGTCACTCTTTTTTTGGTATTGCTTGTCAAGCTCTCAGTCATTCCTTTTTGCGCGCTGCTTCTGCGAACCAGCAGCACCAGTCACTCATTGTCTCTGCCCGTCCGGTTGGCATTGCATTCGTTTTTTACCCGCTTTTTCTGGTTTCCTGGTCCTTCCTGGACGAACGTCGATCGACAAAGCTATTTGGCCAACTTTCTCTCGTTCGCGGGTTTTTTTCCTTTGGAAAGAGAAGCTACCAATCGGTGTAAAACAAAACAAAACAAAACAAAAAAAAAAAAAAAACAAAATCCACATATTAATGGCGATCGGTATATCACGTCGATTATAGTCAGCGAACGTCATATATAATATCTTTTTGTTTATTTCGACATATACTTCCCAGCAAGTAATTTTTATTATTTATTTGGATTAGGAGGAACGGGAAAGATGAGTTTCATACGAGCTCGAGGGTTCAACCCAGCCACGGCTGGGTTGGTTGCGCGTGATGCACAAGTTTCTGGGATGGGATCGCGAATGAACCTGCGCCGAAGCCTTGAGTCCGTTGGATCTCTGCTGCGTAGATCAAGCACGAGCTGTACTTCGACAGATGCCTCCAATACTTGTGAGAAACCAGTTGGACCATCGGACTCGACGCTCGCCATCGTCCTGGGAATTATGTAAGTGATTTGCTATTGTTTAAAGCCGAAGAAGTTGTCCGTCCCGGATGGTGATGCTAATTGGAGCAGTATTCCGGTTGTTGTGGCCGTCATCGTTTTGTTTTTCCTCCACCGCAGGAATATGCGCCGAGACAGGCTGGAAGAGCTCAACGATCCTACCAAGGACCTGGATTTTGGATTGGGAAATGCTTCCTCCAAGAAGCGAAAGAGCATGTTTGGCGGAGTTGAAAAAGGCATGCACAAGGGTGGACTTTCCATGGACATGAACCTCTCGTCACCGTATCTTCTTCCTCCGGGCAACACTGGATCTCGCGAATCTATTCACTCGTATGCTCGAACCCTCCAAACCGAAAATGACCCCTATAGAACCGTTAGCCAATACGCAAATAGTGATGTTGGCTCTATCCGATCCTTCAAGACGACTGACAGCCCTTCTGGAAGACGCCCTCCCAAGTCCAGTGCCCTCGCCATGCCTCCGACAACGCCCCAGGCCCATTCGGATGAGAAAGAGGATCCCTTTGCTACCCCTACCGCTCCCAAGCCTACGCACCAGCCTCCTCCCAGTGCCGCCGAGGTCCACGATGTCATGGTTCCCGTGCAGCCAATTGTCCCGGAAATCGAAACTGTTGCCCCTGTCGACGTCTTCAACGCCGACGAATTCGAAGTGCCCGATATCCCGGCTCCTGCTCCCGCTGCTCTGAAGCTCGACGGCTCCCGAAGCCCCAACATGGAACCTAGCTCAGCTCGTTCATCTGCTTACACCGATAATGGTCGTGCCTCGCACGTCAGCCCCGCTGACGTTCCCCAGATTCTCTCTCCCGGACTACCCCCTCACGAGGACGCCCCCGCACATGAGGAAGAAGAACCCCGTGGCCGACCTCTCTCTCGACTTCCCGCTCCTCAGCAGAGCGGTGGCCTCGGTGTTCCGCAAAACAACGCCAACAAGCGACTCTCTGTGGGATTCAGGCCTCTGCCTCCTAGCGAAGCCATGGAGTCTGATGACCCTGAAGTCCGCGCCAACCGTATCCGTTCTTTCTACAAGGAGTACTTTGATGATTCTAATGAAGCGCCCCCTCCTATGCCCACTCAACCTCCCCAGCACCTGCAACAGCAGCAGCAGCAGCAGCAACAGCCTCAGCCACAGAGACAGGGCGGTCCCGATTACTATGAAGACTATGATCAAGGTTACCTAGAGGCAGCTGCTTACTATGACGCCGACACCAACGCCTTTGTTATGCCCTATGCCCAGCCTGTTACCCGTCGTGCCATGACACCACCTCCCAGTAGCCGTCAAGGTGCTCCTCGGGGTGGCTCACGTGGCCCCGGCCCGCGCTTCCGTGGTGCTAATGGAAATGGCGGAACCTTCTCTCCCGGCCCTGGTGGACGTCCTCGCGCCGGATCAGCTTTCGGCCCTAGACCGGATTCTTCCGCATCTGGCAGATGGGCTCGCCAAAACCAGCCAAAGAAGAACTTGCCTCCTCCGGCTGCTCTGGCCACGCTGCCAACACCATCCAAGCTAGCTGACGATTCTTTCGCCATCTTCAATGCCGCTGATTTTGCTCCCCCGTCTAGCATCAGGGATAACGTTGCCGGCCGAAGTCAAAGCCCCTTTGGCGAGAGACGCCCCTTCCTGCAGCCACCAACTGCTGCTTCACCGCTGGTGACTGCTTTCGAAGATCTAACACCTCTACCCAGCCCGTAAGTACTATTGATCACATTGATAAAAGTGGGACATGCTTGCTAACTCATCTCTCTTATAGACACTTGCTCCGAAAATCTAGCACCTTCACTGGCCTGGACTTTGCCCCTCCCAAGAAGTTCAGAGATCCTGAGGTCGCCAGCGACGCAGGCAGCATCAGGAGTAACAGAAGCGGCATCTCCCAGACGCAGCTCAATGCCATCCGAAGTGGAGCAGGCCGCATCAGTCGCCTTCCAGGTGACACAGTTTTCACGACAGCTGCCATGGACGACCAGCTGAAGCCCTCATGGACCCTGCGACCTTAGATTGGGAGCAGAAAGTGAAGGTTATAAGCTGAATCTTGATGAAGATTAGCATTTCTTTAGTATCAGCGTCGTCATTTCTTGCTTACGGCATTTGCATGATCTTGCCACCAGACAGCGGCATTCGAAGCGGCTTCTCCCCAGGGAGGTTTGTTTTATTTTTGTTCACTTCCAACCAAGGAGTAATTAGGGATTTCACGACGGAGCTCTCTTTTCGAAAGTTTTATTTATATATTGGGCCTTTTTTCGAATTTTTTTTGTTGCTGCGATGTTTGCATATAGACGGACACTGGAACCTAAACACCCTCCCGAAACACATGAAATTCTATATCTCAGGTGACGACAACACTTCGTGCCTCGTCTTCTTTGGGCATCTGAAGGAACAAAACTGTACATAGGCAATATAGGTCAATCAGATGCACTCACCCGTTTTTATATATTCTCTTCCCCGACTTTCTTCAGACAAGATTATCATGATATATGATTAGCTACCTTTTGAAATATAAGAAATTTTATTCAATTTGCATCTTTCTCTACCTTGTGTCGTCTTTTCAGCTCATTGTACAGGATCGGCAAACAGATAAACTGATGGGATGAAGTTCAACCAGCATCACGTGCTGTTTACTCAGGACTGTTTCCTGTCGAAAGGGAGTTCATGCTGTCGGATGCTTTAATGGCCGTTATTGTGGAGCAACCGGCTTGCGGCGGCGCTAACATCTGCTATGGATGCTTTGGTAGGTAATAATAGTAGCAGTAGGAGTAAGGGATCGTGGCGTCTCTTCTCTCTCTCGCTTCCCTATGGAATAGGAGACCTGGATCACTCATTATAGTACCACTATGACTATTACTACAGTAGTACTACACTGATACTACGATGTACGGTATCAATGTTGTCTCGCTCCAGCTTAGGAGCTTGGCATACAGCAGAGGCGGGAGAATAGCATGTGCACCACCAAGGTACATTGAAATGTCACTGTGCAAGGGCCGCTAATAATAACAGTGTCTAGGCTTGATTTTAGTAATCCACACCTCCCACGGATCCGTCTGTTGTGGCAGTGGCGGGTGGTGAGACGGGCAGTGCAAATTTCATTTCCGTCGCTTTTCTGTTCCCTTGCCGGCTTGTGTTTTTGCCATGTGCAAGGCAGGGTAATTTGGCGCTACTACCTACTAGACTAGTAGTGACAGCTGATGGTGATTGCGATGATGAGATGCGTGAGCGAGATAAGGCTATTGCTTACATACTAGTATGTATCCTGCTGGCAGCGGTCTGGTATGAAATGAGCACACGCATTTCTTCTCTTTCTTTCTTGTCTGCGATTGATTGTTGTGAGACACAGCAGCAGAGCCAAGCCCGTGCGTAATGAATACGTATGATACGCATCATCTGAGCTTGCCGCTCCGTAAATAATGACCGGGGGTTCCTTAGGGGGGAGGGGGGGGGGGGGTTTTGTACCGCGAGCGAAATGGTTTGCAGCGCGTTTGCGAGCGTTGCGCAACACTTACAGGCACAATGCTACCAAAGATGGGAAAAATGATTCGCTGATGCGAAGCAAGGCTCCCAGGAGGCGAAAGAGAAGAGAGCAGAAGGGAAAACAGCACGTCGTTTTCCAGGAAGGCGATAAGGGGAAGAAGAATACCTATACTACTACATACAAGCAATACGACCTGCAAATAAACACAGGCGGCTTTGCCCGAAAAAGGGTCACCATGTGCAAAAAAAAAACATGCTGTGCTAAATGGAGCGGCGGCCTCCTTGGCTCTCACAGGGACTGGCCGCGGCTGACACTGACCCAGACCCGAATGGATTGGCTTTAGCGGTTAGCCGGCTGCTGGCGTGACAGCCCAGGTCCGTAATCTCGCCTACCAAGTCATCAATTGACTCTTGTAAGCCACCAGCAACCAACTGCACAAAAAAAAAGAAAGAAAAAAAAAAAAAAAAAAAAAAAAAAAGAGAGAGAGAGCGAGAGATAGAGAGAGAGCCGGNAAAAAAAAAAAAAAAAAAAAAAAAAAAAAAAAGAGAGAGAGAGAGAGAGCGAGAGATAGAGAGAGAGCCGGTTCTAGTCCACCTGGTGCTAAATTGAACCAAAACAGCCCCATCCGCCTCCTCCAGCGCCGTCGCTCCAAGGCTAGGCTAAGTTTCTTCGGCCATTTCTCTGGGGGCTGCTAGAGTGGTGGTGGCTCTGGCCTGATCTACTAGCAGCGCCAGCCACTGGCCGTACTAAACAAGTCCTGTGCGGTTTTCACTGCTGCTGCTTTGTTTTTCCCTCCCATGTGAATTTTCCTTCTAGGGGGGAGAGAAGCTTTGCATCAATAAGCTTTCGGGGAGGCAAAAACCTTAGAACAACCCAAAAGGCCGGCTCAAGGCGAGGCAGAGAAGCAAAAATAGAACAACAACAGCTTGCAGTACAGCATAGGTAGAGGATGAGGGGGGAATAGGTACACCTACACAAGTACATGTAGTAATACAGGCCAACAAAGAAAACGAAAAAACTGGTCGAGACTGCAGGAACGCGCATCCGGTACGAGTGGCGCTAGCCAGAACAACCCCCATCGTCCGTTTTTCTCTCTCTCTTGTCTGGGTGCATCTGGCCCTCGGGTGCGTCAGAACTTTACAGCTCGGCGTTTCCTTCGTATCGTCGCCTGTAGCTTCTCTTGGCCTCACCCGCGCAGCCCACCCAAACCGAATTTTTCTGCCACCACTTCGAGCTAGTCGTAGCAGCTTGTCTTTTTTCCCTCATCGGCCCAAGTGAGAGCGAGCGAGAGAGAGAGCCCGGCAGCCTTTTACGCGTTTCTGTCGTAGCAATTGATTGGGGCTTGGGCTCGGCCTTTTCGTGTCATCAAATCCTTTTTTTCCCTCTCAGCCCACCCCTGGCAGCGGTTCCCTGTCCTGCCTGGCGCTCGTGTGTGTCTGTCTGTTCGCCTTATTATTATTATTTTTTTTTCCCGCCTTCTCTCGCGCATTCCTAAGCGCTTTCAATCCTCCATCTCCTCTTTTTTTAACCTTCCCACTCTACGACGTGTGTCTCTCAGTTGCAAGACACGCCCCTCCACTCTCCGCGGCCCACAATCCCGCAGCTGCTTGCCGTTCCATTCGCTGCAACGGGTGCGAATCTTGTACGAGCCCAGGCCCAAGGCTAGCTTTTCTGGCCGGCCCGTCAGAAAATCGCTGCATCCCAGCTCTGCGGCTGGACGCCCTTTTGTGTTTTACGACACGGAAAGATAGCGAGAGACCCATCTTGGGCACAGCGCTTCTTTTTTCTCTTCTTTTTTCTCTGTTACTCTGTGACGGTGGCTGCTCGGTTTTCCCATCTGTTTCGTCGTTCGAATTGATTGATTCGTTCCGCGAGCGCCAAAATCCTTTTTTTGGATTCTTCTTTGGAACGCTCGACTAGTCAGAAGAGGTACGTTTGCGGCTTTCATTGTCTTGCCTTTGGCCTCCCTTATCAGGCCGATCCGTTGCTCCGACGATCCTCTCTGTTGTGCTTCGCCGACGTCTTTGGATCTTTTTCTTTTTGGGCGTGTGATTGGATTCTCGCCGACTTTGTGCGCTGCGCCTGCATCCGGCCTCGAGCCGCTTCATGGCTCCGTCTTGCTAGCTTATCTGCGCAGACCCGGGCAACTACCCGTTGTCGACTTCAGATGCTCAAGATGATGATGACTGCTACTTGCTTTCTACGCTGCACCTCTACATTCTTGGCCTGCTTAAGCGCCTTTTCGGCCTCACGCTGACATCACACATAAACACAGCCAATTCACGCCTCTGACCAACCTCGTCGGCGCCGTCACCATGGCCACAACCGATCCACCACAGGGTTCGACCGCACCACCAGCGGAAAACGCAGCGCCCAGTTCTTCGGCTCCTCCACCGGAGAAATCGACGTCGCCGCCAGATCAACCGCCAACTTCGAGCGAACCACCGCCGACATCGTCGCCTCCATCCTCAACCCCGACAGAACCCCCGAGCTCGACTCCGTCGTCTACTCCTCCTCCAGAGAGCTCGACTTCTGCGCCGCCTCCAACATCCTCGCCTCCGACTACGGAACCGCCGCCGTCAACCTCATCGAGCTCGTCACCATCTTCGACGCCAGACTCTACTTCTTCCACTACATCGCCGGACCAAACAACCAGCAGCCCCCCTTCGTCAACAACACCCCCGAGCTCCTCCAATCCGTCATCAGCCACCACAACACCACCACCATCGTCAAGTGATGTCACCGTGTCTGTCTCGGGCACAGGTGGTTCTACCGTTAATGTCATCGTGACACACACTACGACGCCTTCAGGCTCTCCAAGTGGCATAACTACCTCTTCTACCTCTACGGCAACCCCGAATGGCGTTGCTGGTAAGGACAGCAGCAGCGGCCTTAGTTCAACAGCCAAGGTAGCCATTGGCGTGGTCGTACCCATCGTTGCTATTGCTATTTTGGCAGTCATTGGGCTTTTCTTCTGGAAGAAGACTCGCGCGCGCCGTCAAGCAGAGGCGGAGCGCCGAAAGGAAGTCGAAGATTATGCCTACAACCCCAATGCGGATCCTACAATTCCCGTTGTCGGTATGTCTGGCGGAGATTCATATGAGATGAGAGAAGAGGAATCCGTGGGATATCGTGGCTGGGGATCGACCACTCTCGCCGGCGGCTCAACCGGCCGAAAGGCTTCTACAACGATATCTGGCGCCACCAACAACGGATATTCTGACATGGCGCCTTCTCGCGGTAACATGTCCGAGGCCGCATTGATTGACAACCCTGAAGGAGAGATTCTTGGTGCCATGGGCCCCGCAGCCGCAAACAACCGAGGTGACGTTAGACGAGGAGCCTCGAATGCGTCTTCTTCATACAGCGCAACTGGCCGATCAGACGGCTCCGATGCGGGCGTGGGCGTGGCTTACGGCGGTAGTGGCGGCTATTACGATCAATATGGCCAGAGCCCGTATGAGACTGGCTATGGCAATCCTGGCGACAACATGCCCGCTCCACCCATTATCCGTGATAATCCTGCACGTCGCAGCGCGCGCGTTGAAAATCCTGGCCACTTCCCCCAACAGAGCGCTGGTATTTCCCAGAACTTCTAGTTGGTGCGGCTTGTGAGACTCGTATACTTTTTTTTTTTTAACGCTCGTTGTGTTTCAAGGATATCCTGGGGTTTGGAAGATGCTCAAGGACCATGAGAGGCGTTTTAGGATGTTTCTTTTTTGCGACCACCTTGTTTAATAATGCTTTGCATACCATGAAATCTGGCTCTTCTCTTTTTTATTTACGCTCGCTTCATTCACACTCTCGCTTTATTTATTGCACCGCACAGCATAACACGGCGCAGCTGCATATTTTCCCTCATGCCATGTATTGGCATTTGAGTTTGAATTTATTTTAATTTTATGCGCAAAAGAATTGATATAATCTGGACAAGAACAAGAAGGGCGAGGGAGGAGGAAGGAGGATTAAAAAAAGAAGGACGCGCTTATTATGTTTGCTTGTTTTGCGAAGATGACAGGAGGAAAAGGTGACAGCTATCATGGCTAAATGGATGAAGGAGTTGAAACATGACTGTTCATGCTTGGTACTATTAATGCATGTATTGGCCATGACAAGCAAGCAAAACAAACAAACAGAAAAGAGAAAGACGCGCTGCTTTGTACATACGAATACGATATGCATATATAGGCGTAGCGAGCCCGATTTTTCTGCTGCTGCTGCTGCTGCTGCTGTTTCTTATCCAGACTTGCCATTGTCATTAATGCCTTTTTGTCTGAAATATCACACTCTCCCCCTTTTTACGTATTTATCCATATTATGCTATTCATAAAAATAATCATAGAGTCACTACCACGCTTGTTAATGAGTTTTAAATTAACATGTTTTTTTTTTTACTTTTTTATATTCTTTCTTTTTACATGGCTCCTTATAATAAAGAAAAATAGTATAATACTACTATCAGGTATTAAGGAGATCAACGCAGAGCTCAAGCCAGTCATGAGAGAAGAGCAGGAGCTCACAGCGGGTGTACAAAGGAGAAGCCCAAGTAGAAGTGGAATAATTAGGCAAAATCGCAAACTGACGAGAGGATCAGGGAAAGGGCATCGACTAGTGGCGTTATCAGCAGACTAATTCTTCCTCCAAAGCTGCTTCCTTTTTCGCAAAGGAATATATATATATATATATAAAATAAAAAAAAAGAGTGCAGAGTACGCTGTCAGGTTATCAACTGAGCTGATGTGTGATGCCCATATCTGATGAACGCTAACACACCCCTCCTCTCCTCTCCCTTGCTTTCTTGATTCTTTCAAAGCGAGATTCAAGTGATTAATAGGTAGTAGTTACCCGCATATATTGTGTCAGCCATGATTTATATAGCTTTATTTACACATCACGGCACTACTTCTTCCTCAATACTGACCTATCTACAAGTACACTATCTTCGCTTATGTGTTAGCAGTGTACATCATCTACAAATCGCTAGGTAGTTTACAAGCCACTACATCCTCAACTCACGAAAAGCCTATCATACACATTTTTTATTTTCATATTTACCCTTTTTGAAACTCCAAGGATAAAACTATCCCCAATTCATGCCTTTTTTTTTCTCTTTTAATTATTCTCTTCCCCTGATGCTGTCACGCTCTTAACCAGGCTGTCGCTGCGCCTCGCTCTCCCATGCCCTGACTCAACTCCATGCGGTCCCACCAGAAGCGACATTGCTCCAGCTCCCTCTCCGTCAGCGTCCTCGTCTTCACCGGCGTGCCCTGATTCCGGCCTCCCGCGGCTTCATCATTGCCATCTCCAAAGACGAGGAGCTCGCCGAGTCCAGCTCCCGGCAGAGAGCCATCGTCTCCAAAGGGTGATTGAAACTCGGGCCATGCTTCATCTGCGTCGCCTTGGTCCAGGGTGCCAGATGGAGATGAGGAGAAAGAGATCCAGCGTTGGCTCATTTCTTTGGCGGTGGCTACGAGGCCTGGGGTGAATTCGAGGACGTTTAGATCGTGCGTTACGGCTGGAGGTTGGTCGCCGTGAGACGCTGCCTTGAAGGGGGAAGATAGCGCAGCATATTCGTATACATAGACGCGGGCGCCGGCTCTAGATAATGTGTGCGCGGTGTGTAGAACAGGACATATATAGGCGTAATGGCCATACGCCTCGTGAATGCGTCGGAACTGAGCGCCATAAGGGCGTTTCTGAGGACCGCCTATACCGGGAGGTTGACGGTAGGGAGAATCAGGATGGATGAGAGGATCTGGATATAGCATCTCGAGGGCATCAAGATCGTCTGCTGAAAAGGAAGGGATGAGTTTCTGGAAGAAGGAGCGGAATTCGGCGCTGGTAGAAGCATGCTGGGGAGCAAAAGTCGTGCCCTCATGAGAGCAGAAGCCTGTGATGACGGATAAGTCCTTTGCGCGGCCCGAACTGATGAGATCACGCCACAGGTTCAGCGGTAGGTCGGGGATGACGCCTCCAGGGCCATCAATAACGGGCTGGAACGGCCAGGTCACGGCTGTGTGGTGCATCGCATACACCGTGAAGGAAGACTGGACGAGGGAGTCGATGGGTAGGGAGTCGAGAGGCTTGTTGTTGGCGTACATGACGAGTTCGCTTAGCTGTCCAACGTTGCGAGGATGTGACGCTGAGAGGACAGAGCGCGCGGTTGGAGAGCCAGACTCGAGGATGGCCTTGCGGAATGGAAGAGGAGAAGGGTTCAGCATGTGATGACCGACCTGGAGAAGCAATCAATATCAGTAATTTGTATACAGCCATCACCACAATCATCGTCAGCATATCATAACTCACTGAATGAGCCCCAGCACTTGATCCCCAGAGCGTGATATCATCAACATCTCCGCCAAACTCGCCGATCCACTGCCTCACCCACTCAACCGCCACCCGCTGATCCCTCAACCCCAGATTCAGATTCAGGCCCTTTGTCGTTACATCTGGCGAGCCGGCCAAGAACCCCAGCGCGCCCAGGCGATACGAAATGCTCACAACCAGCACCTGATTCCTCCCCCAGGCCACAAACGACGCCAGATCCCTCTCCGCGGGGAAGCCAAAGTTAAAGGCCCCGCCATGCACGTACACCACCACCGGCAGGTCTCGCCTCGTCCCGGCCGCAGCAGCAAGAGCATCCTCCTCATTGCCGATGCCATCGCCATCGGCCACCACAAACACCGACGTCGACGACGAAAACGACGGCCGGAAGATGTTGAGGCTCAGCGGGTCCTCGGCCGTTGCGTGCGGCGCCATCGGGAACGGCTGCGAGGGCGCCGGCCGGGAGGCATCGATGACGAGGCCCGAGGCCTGGTCGCCCAGAGGCGTCGCGACGGCGGGGGCGAAGCGCTGGGCGCTGGCAAAGGGGATGCCGTGGAAGATGTCCAGCGCCTTGGGGTACTTGGCCGAGGCGGGCTGGAAGGCGCCCACGATGGTGCAGCCGTTGACCGTGACGGTCGGCGAGGAAGACATGGCCGGCGGTGCCGTTTGGGCTCCTTGTCTGGCGGGTGAATATCGAACAGCAAGATGGAGTTGAAAAACTGAAAGTTGAAGTTGGTGACGCCTTCAACAGAGCTGCACGCGAGTCAGTTTGGCTTATGACGTACGTCTTTCTCTCTCTTATATCCTATTGAGAAAAGACTCGAGAAGGTCTAAAATGAAGTTGAATAGAGAGTATGGCAACAATGTCTTTGTCCAGTAGAAAGAGAGAAAGAGATGAAAAGATGACGAGAAACAAGATTACTACTAGCAGGTAATGGTAGATGCAGATGAGATGAGATGAGTTCTTGCCCGCCAAGCTAAAACAGCTCCAAGCTTCTGACAGCTGACAGGATTCACGTTTAAGCTCCCCGACTACTGCACCTACTTTCTAGGGCGGGTCTTTTAGGCCGATGCACAACGGCCGGGTGCTTTTCGTAGTGCTATAAAGTCTCTGTAAGATCGCTCGCCTGGGTTCTTTGATCCAAGCAAATGAGGATATGTTGAAGAGTTGTAGAGCTAGGGAAAGGAATAAAAAGGGAAACTGGCAACAAAGGGTAAAAAGGGTAAAAAAAAGAGGACTAAACCCGCAAGATTGCGAGAAAATCCGAATGAATAAATGCAACGATACCTGCGTCCCTAGCTTCGAATTTATCAATAAAAGTGAATACCAGAAACCAGCCGAGCCAATGAACGGCGTCTAGATTGCTTTTCCCGCTTCAAGCGCTTCCCTTGTATTTTCATCCTTCTCGGACCGAATTCCTGCCATAGTTGCTTCCCAACTTGTATAGTAGCTGGTAATAAATCCGTCATTACCTCTCGGTATTATACTAATACAGTAGAATTTGTAACAGTGGCATGTAAATAACATAACACAACTGATATGTATTGCCGTCTATTCTTAATAGCAGACAACTGCCTTGAACTACAATCGCAAAAACAGAAAGAGAAAAAAAAGAAGAAGCAGCCCGTTAGTCTAGTCGAAATGATATAGCCATGTATGCACTAATCCTAGTCTATTGTTTCAACAATGCATTCAAGCCCGGCCAGCAGATCCCTTTAGTCTCATCCACCGTGCTCCAACGCATCTGCCCAATTATCGGCCGCCAAATTGTCAGCCCTGCATCTTCCAATGCCGTGTCCTCCATCTAACTGCTACTAATAACTTACTACTGCTGTGTAGTACACAGTAGCAGCAAGTGCTAATGTATGTTAACATTACTCTAGTCAGGTAAGTATTATTGCGCCTCCGCGGCTGCAACTACGGGATCGCTCCCAAAAAGACGTAAAAGTCTTTGTCTCCCAAGGCGTCAGCAAACGCACAACGCCAAATCCAGATGCCCAAAACTCCAATCCCTCCCGTTGCCGAATATGCCCTATTTGTACAATCCGATCCGTACCAATGCTCAATAAACTTCGCCGCCTGTATGGCCTCCCCCTCAGTTGTCTAGAATAATTGTCGTCGTACCGGTGTTGCTCAGATAACGCAGAGCGTCTGCGGTAGGACAACAAAGAAAAACAAAGAAAAAAAGAAATAGCAGCTAATGATGGAAGCGAGAATAGCCAAAATAGACTATGGGCGGCACCTCTCAAGGTCTAGTGGTGATGCCATCGCTTCTTCGCCTAGTTACGGTTCCGCTTCCCGCTTCAGAGGTGACGTCTCCTTACGGTGCTTTCTCTCTGCCCACTCTCGGCTCGCCTTCCTAGAGTGCTCAGCAGCCTCGTCTCTGGCTGCTTTAGCTGTCATCGGTCTTTCGCTGATCTCACAGCTCTTCCTCTCGTTGATGCTTGCAGTGTCTTGTGCCTGGATCTCCTTGCTTCGGGGTTTCAGCCGCGACATCATGCCTCCGATGGACAAAAGATTCTTATTCTTAGTCGAGCTGCCCAATGATGCTAGAACAGTCCTATTGATCTCTTCAGCGGCCGCCATCATGGAGCTACGCCCGCCGCGCTTCTTCTCCGTCTTGATTAGCGTGGGTGTCGTAGGCTCATCGCGCACAAGACCCAGCGATAGCCGCTTGACCTTATGCAACGAGGCAGCCAATCTCTCTGCAGTCTCTTCCTGGATTTTGGCTTGGCGAGCCCGACTTGCCACCGTGTCCCGGGGAAGCGTGCTGGGTGTAGAGCTTGGCTTTGCTGGCCTTGCCTTGAATTCCCGTTTCTTGCGCTGCTCTTCTTCCTGGGCCTTCAACTTTGCCTCGTTTTCCTCCTTCTTCCGCCGGGAGATGGTATCTCCAGGCAGCTCAAAGGTAGGCCTGGGCAAAGTCTTGCTGGTTCTGGGCTTGGCAGGAGGAGCTTCCAATGCCTTGTGAGCCGCGGCTTGCTGTGCTTCGCGGGCGTCACGAACTTCCTTCAAGCGTCGAGCTACAGCCTTACCTGGTAACTCGAACTTGGGAATTGTAGGCGTTTTTGATGATCCAATTGATGACTTGGCGACCGTCGCCAGGGTGCTACCAGCTTTCGACATGAACACGCCAAGACCCGACCGACGGCTCAGAGATGCCTTGGTTGGCTCATCTAAGCTCTTCTCCCGTACCACAAGAGACGTAGACCGACGCGGCAGTGCACTAACTTTCTCTGTAGGCTTCACGCGAACCGTGGCCGGCGCACATGCTACGGTCGATCTTTTCGAGGCGTTGGCTGCCCTCTCTACAGTTGGCTGGGTCCCAGCTTTTGCTAGCTGCTGCTGCTGTTGTTTTTCTAGCAGCACTAGCTGTTGAGAGTGCAGCTGTTGAGAATGCAGCTGTTGAGAGTGTGTAAAGTCATTCAGTGCCTCTATCTCATCCTCCAGCCGGTCCAGCTCCTCCAGTGAGTCTTCAATCCGCGGCAGTGAGAATGATGTGGTCCTTGATGAGCTCTCGCCAAAGCTTCTATCACTCACTGCCGTAAACGTCGGCGATACTGCATTTTCAACAGCATATACAATCTCCGGAACCTTCATTGGCGGCGTTCCTGGGCGGCTCCTGTCTACCCAGGTAACAGATTCGTCCTCGTCGTTCACAATTCGAGGCTCCTGCATTTCCACAGTCCAATTGGCGCTGTACTGCAATGGCGTAGCCAGCAAATAATATGAATTGAGCGGGCACTCGCTGTCGCTATGAAGCCCTCGCTTCTTCTGCAACACTAGACTGCAAGCGTATACCGTATCGTGGACTCCGTGCGTCCCGTCCCCTGTAGCGTACTCTTCAGAGGAGCTGTCGTGGATGGTTGAGTCTGGAGACGGCAGATGGGTCATCAGCCATTCAAATTGACCGGCTGAGTGTTTCTTAACCTGCTCCCAGATGGAGCGCTCGGTAACCGTGTCTTTCAGCAGGTCGTATACTTCAGCGAAGCGCTCTAGGAGAACCGCAAAATATGTTAATGACTGGTTGCAAAGAAGGAGAAGGAGAGCGCCAACGATTGCGACTGTATGCCAACACACCTGGAGATTCACGAGTGGACGGTGACCCCGTGTTCTCATAATTGTGCTTGTTGACACTCAGCGCAGATGCTTCTCGCAATGAGTCGAGAGGCCGGAACGTCTCTGAATCAACCGCTGGCCGACGTCGAAATGGCTGTGAGGCTGGTTTGGCTGCTCGACAAAGGGTCGAGGGGGATGTTGCCACGACATGTTTCTTCAGCCCATTAGCAAAGGCAACATCCGATGCCTGGCGACCCTGGCCGTGACATTGACCTGGGCAGGGATCCTGGTCAACACTACCCCCCGCTAAATTCCGCTTCGACGAGGTGATTTGCTTTGTCGGAAGATGAGGCAGTTTCTCGTACTCGTAAACGTCACGAGAGCTGGCGGGTCGCCCAAAAAGGTCGGCCCCAAAGCAAACGTCAAATGTGCCTCCATTCCGCAATCGTTCAAAGTCGCCGGCCTCAGTCGCCGGTGTAGCTGCAACGCTGCACCGGGCCATCCCTTCGCCAATGTGATTCCGAGACAAAAAAAAGAAAAAAACCGTTGAGGGCCAAGTGGACTGGAAACTTCGCAAGCAGGGGGTTTCTATCAGATACGACAGAAATCAATTACACTATTCGCGCCCAGTACCAAAAAAACGTATGTAATTTCGCAAACAACCCTGAAGCCCGTCGAGTGTGCAAGCGGGGCCAGATTCAATATGTTCGAGAATTCTTCTATTTCAACTAGTGGTGCTGAACTGAAATCAAGGTTGCGTTGATGATGCTGATTTGGGCATAGTAACATAGGCAAATGATTTTCTGGGGTAGATGAGCTGGGCTGGATTGCCGTAAAAAGCTGCATGAACTGAGTGTGTTGATGGCGGGTGAAACAGATATGGCCTTTGGTGGAGCCGAAATTAAATGAGTGCGGCCTCTTCCGCCTTCCACCACTGCCGGCCATGTTCCACTGTTCTTGCTTTGGACCTTGTCGACCCATCGTCATTTCCGTTTTTCTTTTTTTGTCGCTCGCTTTTCCGGTAGCTGTGCTGAAGTGGCGAGCGGCATCGCAGCCGAGACCGAGGCAACGCGTCGCGATTTTATCGCCCGCCCCGCTATAAGTTACCAATATTCAGGATGCGAAGCTGCCGATCGATGGCTGGTGCTGCCAGCATTTGGGAAGATGTCTCCTCTATCCGCTGCTTGGAGTTCAATATTTTGCAGCAGAGATAAGGGTGTCTTCTGAGGAATAACTTTCCATACCGGGGAACCATAAAACCAAAAATGGAGCTGCCCATCAAGCTCCCCTGTGAGCTGTGGTTCCTGGAGTCATATCCCTAGGTAGCCTCTTATTCCCCCGTGATAGCTTATTACCGAGCCTAGGTTCAATTCTCATAGTAGTCGGTCCAAGGCTCTCTCTTTTAATTACCGTCGTCTGCTCGTTCTAGCCTAAGGATCTGACGTCGATTCCCCTTCGGCTGCCGCTTCTGCCGCTTCTGCTTGCGCCTGCAGTGTTGGTGCGTGTTCCGTAGGAATGCGTACTAGAGTTTGGGGTAACGGCCCTGTCGATGAGGACGCTTCTTCTTCTGGGCCAGGCCCGGCTGCTGTTTTTGCTAGCTTTGCTGTGGGATGGTTAAGCTGCTGTGCAAACTATAGCTATAGTAACCTTGATGAAGCCGGACTTACTTGAAGCCATGTTGATGGCACGAAGCACGTTATGCCAGTTGCCAACCACAGCAGCAATAGCTACCCGTATGTTAATATCAAGCCAACGCTACAATAATAGCTAGGTACCAGTCTTACCCTCTGTTCCGTCAGACAGGGTGGACAGTTTCTCTTCTAGAGCTTCCATCTGGGTTGCTACTGCTGCGCTCAAGTCTCTGAGCTCTTTGAGATTCTCAAGCTCTGCCTTCTTCTCTTCAATTCGAGCCAACAGTGCTGGTGACTGTGGAGCTGAGGCGATTGAACTGCTTGGTGCGCGCATATGCGACGAAAAAGACCTGGTGGGATACGACATTTTCGGCAATCAATGTCCGCGTGCGTGCGGAAGTACGCTCGATGAATATATCCGCTATTGCCGTAGGGCAGTCTGGGAGTAGTGTCTAAGAGGTCGACTGGATAGATCGTGATTATGATAAACAAAGATGCGAACGCGCTGGTGAGCTTCGAGCCTTGGACCTTGAACTAGCTAGCCTGGAGCAGCAGTATTGATTTGGTGCGACAATGTTGGTGTGGCATACAGTGCGGATAGTTGGTATTCGGATTATATATGCACTGTATATTGACCTATAAGTCAAGCTAGATGCACCTTGTGAAGAACCCAGCTTCATTCTACTGGACGAGACACTCATGACAATTCCACTGTCCACTAGCTAATCTAACAGTTCTAGCGGTGTGTGTTGCTTAATTTGACTCACACACAATATTCAGCCCATAAGTCCACTGCAACGCTGCATAGCAGCCGTCAGTTAAATCAACCGTAGTAGCTATAACAGCCGCCCTGCGGCTCTGAGGGGTTGCGCCAGTGTCACACTCTCGGACCCAGTAACCGTGCATGTCTGTTCCTCGTTGGTCTTTAAAGGCACGGGGATGGTTTGGCCCGGCATCAGTTGAGCCGCATCTCCAAACAACTGTCTCCATGTTTCACATCCCGTTCTCGGTTACTGTCACGTTAAGGCCCTAGAAGGTGACTGATGTGCAGTGCTCGGTGGCAATGCCTCCACTTGTGGTGGAGGACATCTCAAAGTCGAGTCCGTCGGTGGTTGCTACGGGGGCAATGGCCAATGCGAGAAGCGTGCCAAAGATGTATCGTTGCATGGTTGACAGGTTCTTGGTTGTGTTATTACCTAACCTGGAACTATTTGAGTCGGTAATGTATTGGGCGTTTTATAATTGCCAATAGCCTGCCTTCCTCCTCCATGAGTTGTTATTTCCTACTGCTAACAAAAAGCATACCTTAGTAAGTACCTAAGTACCTGAAGCATTTCACGGAACTTAGAAAGAATATACAAAGTAGGTGGACATTGCACGATGTAACTGGGACTAGGATTAATCTCTAGCAGCACCTTCTGTATGAGCTTTACAGAGCAGTGATTTTTACTCAAAGTTGAGAATTACTTAGTAGGCACTCAGTATAGCTGTGACCTCTAGCTATACTAGATACTTACCTATATTAGTATTGTAGCCTTTGTCTATTGAGGGTTGTAAATGATGTAGACGCTTAAGGAGGTAGGGGAGAGCCATGCGGTATTGTGCTTCAGGCGCTTCCTCAGTGTCTGCTCTACCAATCCGTGTTAATGCTCCTTCCTGCTAGAGTTAAGTTGACTTAGGAAGTAGTATTGAAACATAAGTCAGCATTATTAGGCTGTCCGAGTCTATTGAATGCTTCAATCGAATAAGAGCTTCCCCCTTCCTTATCAATACAACAGATTTATTGAAGGAGACAACAGCTAACACTCGCAGCCAAACCCAACGCAGCTGTCTTTTCTCACTGACCATAGTGCCACATAATGTAAAAAGGCCACGGAATCATTTGTTGCAGCTACTCAAGACCAGTTTCTCTGAGGACTAGGCAGATGCAATAACTAGGCGTCCTTTTTGTAGGAATTACTTGCCTGTTTCGCCGTCTAAGTGAAGGAATTCATCTTCTTGTTTAAGGAGTAATAAGCTGTAGGCTAATTTAGGGAATTTTTGATTTCCCGTAAGGTGTAGTAAGACTAAAAGCTATACCAGAAGAGCTCTTAGGGATTGTTTAAAATTCAAATACTAGAAGTAAGTTGTCGAATAAACCGGTACATGAACCTGTGCAGGTTAGTTGTTGGGTTGGCGGGGCTTACAGCACTGAAGTGCTAAATTCGCGTGGCGTTTTATGCTCTGGGCATAGCAACGGGAGCTGCTTTGTGTACATGTAGGTACAATGGCATGTACAAATGGGCTGTTAGCGCATGTCCATTCTACGCTATGCCTAAACAAGACATGGAGTAAACAATGATGTCCAAATTCATCCCGCCAGAGTCGACGTCCTGCAGACCGACTTGTTAAACGCTCTTGATGCCCGTGCAAGCATCTCTCGCTCCATTGTATACAAACCCGTACTCTTCGCCCTTTGCGTAGCAAATACGCGCGCTCTGTGTGGAGCCATGGCCAGGCTTAACGAAATGCCGGCGCCGACAGAGAGCATCGAAACGCGTATGTGTCTTCCCTTTGTTTTTCGAGCCCTCGGGCATCAAAAGCTGGAGTGTCGCGTGTGCTAACTACGGCGCAGTTCGCAAGAAGATGCTTCGCCAGAATAGGGAACTCGCAAAGACAAATAACATTCGGGCCTTACGAATTCGAGAGCTGGAGAACGAGTGCGCCTGTATGCTATCCGAAAATCTCGAACTGCGCAGCCGCATACTGGAGCTGGAGAAACAAGTCGAAGACAATGAAGCGCAAAGAATTGCAGATCACGCAATGGCCATCAAAGCCAGATTAGAATCGCAGCTTACGGAATGGGGCTCTCTTATTGCTGAATTAGGCCTTGAGCCTCCCGCAAAGAGACACTCTCCCATGATAAGGAGAAGGCCGAAACAGACAATGGGCTTTAGCGCAAGTCGCCCCAGTCCATCGCAGAGGAGGCTACGCGAGATCGCAAAAGATATTGAGGAGTTGGGCCATATTGCGGAAAATAAGAGCTATCCTCGGAGATCTATGAAGTAAGTAGGCTCGACTTCTTGCAGATGAGTAAAATTACTGACTGATACACAGTCCTGAACAAATCATGGCGCTGCGATCAGAAGCAGACATTGACGCTGAATCACCAGAATTGGGTCCTCCACCAATGTCTAAATATATTGAAGAAGACCCGGTCAAAATCGACTCACCCAGTAGATTAAAGTCCGTCAAGGAAAACGATGAACCTTCCAACAGCTCGAAAGCGAGAAAACTTGAGCCGCCAGTTGCTCTATCTTTATCGAAACCAGACGGCAACCAAAGCAACGTAACGTCTCCACCAAAAGAAGTAGAAAAGGAGAAAGAGCACAACGAATGGCCCGTGGTAGCGCCAAGACGTGGGCGACCGCCTAATAAGCCCAAAAATGTCGTCGAAAATGCACCAATTGAACCCCTTAAGGCCGGGTCTAAACGAAAATTTGGAGCTCGAGACGATGACGAATATGTTCAACCCCAAAGAGTGACGGATGAGAATAGCATTAGCAAGATGTTGGGGGAAAAGACGCTGATTCGCGACAAGGCTGATGGAAGAAGCGTCAGTGATTTTGCTAAGCTGAGAAAGAAATCAATGCTAGATCTTTCAGAGAACATTCGAAAACCACTATCCGCCAAGAGCACTAACGACGATATCAATTCTCCAAAGAAGAACCCTAAGATGAAATCATCCATAGCCGATGATATTATAGCAGCTAAGACCAACGCAGCAAAGCCAAAAGCCGCACCTGGGAGACCACCAAAAACGACGAAGCTTTCGTCTGTCAAAGCCGAAACTGTACCTATTCTTACCGCTGAACCTCAGAGACCATCGGATGATGTGCATGATTCGGCAGCACCCATTAGAGAGTCTTCTTTATTCTCACCCTCTTCTCCGGCACTAGCTACACTGCTCGATGGATCACGGGGAGACACGCCTCCGCCTAACGATATCTCGTCCAACGGAGAAACATCACGGCCTAGTAGGCGGAATAGGATGACAATCAGCTATGCCGAGCCCAACTTGAGAGTCAAGATGCGAAGGCCTACCAAAGAGCTATTCGATGCGGTAGCCGGAGAGGGGAAATATGCTCGACGAATCAGCAACTATGATCCTGCCCTTTCTGAATCAGCGAAAACCCAGCGGCAGATAGAAGCGACGGATATTCCCCCAGAAAGTGATAAGGTTCCGGCAAGCCCGCTGGCAACAAAACACCTGACCACTGATATTCTTTCCGGTAGTGTCGTTACAGAGCGACGCAAACGTTCCTCTAGTATAGTGCCGAAGGCGATGGAAGTTGCAAGCGATAACTCAATGGACATGGAAAACGCCGAAAGCACCAATCTTGATAGCAGCGGGCTGGTAGAGAACGATGTGTACGAATTTACGAGCGGGTCGCCTCCGGACGAGAAAGAAGAGGTCAAACAACCGAAGAAAAGGGGTCGAAGACGGACTACTACCTCAAGGCAGTCGACTATGATGATTGACGAGGATAGTGAAAGGGAAGGTATATCATTTAGGGAGAGGAACAACTCTCGGCGAAGGAGCATGATGATATAATAGCCACTTTGAAAGTAAGAAGGGGGAAACCGGAAAAAAGAACGGGGTGTTTCAAGCACAAGACGTGCTGGGCGTTTCTGGATTTTCACGACTGTTAAATCGGGATATATTGTTAGGCGATCCGGAATCATTTTTCATGCTCGAGATACCAAGCGATGGAAGTTAGTGGATGGTGTTTGTATTTATCTTTATGGCCTCTTTTTTGAATCTTCTGTGTTTTGTCCGTGGTCTGTTTCTCAAGGACACTTCACATCTAACCAAAGTCTGCTTCTTTTTTTTATTTCATTTTTTAGTGTAAGTGATATATGCCTGTGCATCGACAAGTACTAAGGCGTTTTGTATAACTGGGGCTGGCCGGGTATCAACTCTGCTTCTACCTCTGCCGTCGGCAATTAAGATGCTTCTCTATTAGTTGAGTTTCCTCTTGTCTCTCTCCATTCAATTATGCGTCATGATGAGCCGGTAGATGGCTCCACGGGCTTTGTATAAGTAACCTTTTCTACAGCGACATTCTCGTTTCCTTTCTCGTCCGTCTTCAATTGGTATACATAGAGAGTGAGCGAAATGCCCTGAACCTGTGGTAATAGTAAGCACCATGGCGAAGTATGTATTCCTGCGAAACATAACAAGGGCATCTTACATCCATAAGGCAGAAACTTGGAGACGCAGGCTCTGCATCTAGGCTTGCCCCTGTCACGAATGCTCCCGTCGCGCTTCCCGGGTTCACAAAGAACTTGTCCATGTACTCAAAGGCATCGAATCGGTGGGTACCACCCCAGCACAAGACGTCGACGTCTAGTCTGTTGGCTTCGGCCAGAAGCAGATCGGGCTCGTTGGAAACAAGAGTGAAGCCCTCCAGGAAGCCAATTCGTATGCCGCCGTGGGTGACGACCTGCGTTAGCGGGAGAGACGTGGCCTCGACATCGGTGCGGCCCTTGACGATCTTGAGATCCGGCGACACGGATCGCAGGTACTCGTATGTGTGTTTGTCTGTGAGGTTACCGAGACATAGCGTCTGGCCAATCTTGCCGGGCGCAAGCAGTTTCTTGAACTAGAAGAGCGTAACGCAAGTCAGCCAACAAACGCGCAATCGAACTCGGTGACAACACTCTCTACTCCAGGGTATGAGCTGGCCGGCCTCCAGTTTGCGCATTTACCTTGGCTGGGATATCAAGCGCCCGGTCTGGGATGTGCAGATCCCCAATCACCAATATGAGGAACGTCATGGCTCCTCGAAGCTGTGAAGAAGAGGTCGGAATCGAACTTGCGAAAGCTGGATCCCTCAACAGCTGACGACCAATAGCTGCTATTTGGAGCTAGAGACTTGAGGCTTAGAGGGGCCGCAGGGTGCGTCGACGGCTCGGATACAGCGATCAGACGGATACTGTCATAAGGCACGCCTGTGGCTGGCTATCAGCTTAGCCACACTCTCCACAACTGCGCACTACAATGGTCGTTATCGGGCTGGCGGGGATTGCGATAAGGGAATTTTTTTGATCTTGGTGCTTTTGCTTGTCCTCGAAGGCGCTGCGCTTTCTGCTCTCACTCAACCAGATTTGGAGATTGCGACGGAATCGATAAAAAGATGGCGACTCCGACTCTGGCCGAGAAGCTGGACAAGATCAAGTCCCCTGGTCTTCAGAGCCAGCAGAAGGTAAAAGCACATATGAGAGACAGGCTTGGTGATTTCTGTTGCTGACTTTTGTGTGCGCTTAGACTGTCGTTGTCTTGCAGGCGGTCGAATCAACCTTGAAAGAGCAAAACACCGCTCCGACTTCTACTGGATACTTTGCTGCTCTCCTTGCGCTTCTACAACAGGCCGAGAACAATGGAGGCATCAATGTCGAATTAGCCACTCCTGTGGTTTACCTTCTTGACGTGGTCACCCCGTTCGCCCCCCAGCCTCTGCTTCGATCCAAGTTCACTCAGATCCTTACGCTACTCGCACCGGTTTTGCTGATGCAGGATGCGGAGCCAATTCTGCTACGAACTTCAATTGGATGCCTTGAATCTCTCCTCTTGGCTCAGGATGCCGCTTCATGGGAGCTGTCTGTTACCCAGATCGGACCCAGGCGCGCAGTTGCTGGATTGTTGAACCTGGCTTTGGATCAGAGGCCCAAAGTCCGGAGACGATCTATGGATGCGCTCAAGAGAGTGCTTAAGAATCCCCCGCCAACCCCATCTTTGGACCACCCGGCCGCAGACATGTGTGCGCACACTGCGCTGAAGAACCTGGAAGATTTGGCCGCCCAGGCTATCCAGGCACGAAAGGGCAAGAAAGCGCCCAGCACAACGCACGATCCGGCATTGATCCATGCACTTCAGTTGGTCAAGACTGTTGCTGCGGCGAGCGGCGGCTGGCCAACCACCAAGATCGAATCTCTTTGCGAGTTGCTCCTGAACATTGCTAAATCTGGCAACGAGTACATGACCATGGCGGCTTTTGAGATTTTCGAATTGATGTTTGAGGGAATGACGGACGAAGTCACTTCAGCCAAGTTGCCTCGCCTTATGGAGATTATTTCGGAGCTGCGCCCAGCTGCCAACGATACCCAGCTCGTCCCGGCATGGCTTGCCATCCTTTCCCGAGGCTACGACGTCTCGGCACAAGTTGAACCAGATGAGACTTTCCAAAATCTTCCCGAACTCTTCAACATGGTGGCGCAATTCCTCCAGTCTGATTCCGAGAATATCAGAATCTCATCTTCTGAGTGCTTGATCTCGTTCATGGCTAACTGCGTACCGCCAAATGTTATCCTCGAGCCTTCAATATTTGACGAGAAAGTTTTAGATAAAATTGCAAAGGCGGCTGAGTCCCTCCTCAGTGTTCAGTATCAAGCCGCTTGGTTACAAACATTTAACGTTCTAGAAGCTATTTTCACCGCCCTGAGATGGAGAGCGAACCCCATCATGCTCAACGTCACACGTACCATCGGAGAGATTCGAGAGAACCCGTCTTTCAGAAACAAAAAGGAGGCAGATGATGTGCTAGGGCAAGCTGTCCGCGCAATGGGCCCTGAGGCAGTTCTCTCTGTCCTTCCACTGAACATTCTCAAGCCAGTCAAGGGTCAGGCCGGAAGAGCATGGCTCTTCCCAATCCTGCGAGACTACACTAGCAACACCAACCTGTCTCATTTCAAGAGTGAGATGGTTCCTCTCAGTGAGGTTATGTTCCAGAAGGTTTTGGACCATGGTGAAGCCGAGAAGACCATGGAGATCAAGATCTACGAGACACTCGTGCAGCAAATTTGGTCCACTCTTCCAGGCTACTGCGACTTGCCACTCGATCTTTTGGAATCTTTTGACCAACCCCTGGCTGAAATTCTGGCCAACCTTCTTTACCAGCAAGTTGATCTTAGACTGGATATCTGCAGAGCTCTGAGGACCTTGATTGAGTCAAATCAAGCCGTTGCAAACATCGAAGAGGAGGAAGATCTCCTTTTGCAGAGCCGGGTAACCAAAGATGCTGCTCGCAAGAATTTGGCATATCTCGGCCAATTTGCTGGTAACATGCTCGCAGTCCTCTTCAACGTATATACCCAGACTCTCCCCCAAAGCCGAGGCCCCATTCTCCAGACTGTGAATGCCTTCCTTAGCATCACGCCAAACCAGGAGCTTATGGAGACTTTCGATCGCGTTAGCAAGATGCTAGCAGGAGAGCTCCAGAGTGCGCCGGCAACAGAAAACAAGCAGCAAGGTCAAAAATCAAAAGACCACATGCCTTCCACTGCGCAGACGCTTATGGATCTTGTCATTACTATTTCAGCATACCTCCCCCGTGAGAGCTTCGCCACGCTGTTTGAGATTGCCACGGCAATCATCAACAGGCAAGAGGAGCCCCAGCTGCAGAAGAAGGCTTACAAGCTGATCCCTAGACTGGCAACTTCTGAGCTTGGCAAGGCTGCCCTGCAGGAGCGGAACGGTGAGATGCAGGCCCTGATCCTCTCTAGCTCAGAGAAGGTATCTGCGCCGGCCAGACGAGAGAGAATTGCTGCCATCTCTGCACTTCTTCCCTTCATTCCGAACAGCGACCTTCATTTCATTCCGGCTGTCTTGAGCGAGATTGTCATCTGCTGCAAGGAGAACAACGAGAGAGCCCGTGAAAGCGCATACGACCTCCTGGTTGAAATGGGACAGAAGATGGCGGCTGCCAACGGCGCTACCATCGACAACAGCAAAGTACCTCATATGCCGAGCGATGCCCCTGCTGCTACTGCCAATATCGAGGAGTTCTTCACCATGGTGAGCGCAGGTCTTGCAGGAAGCACCCCTCACATGATTTCTGCCTCTGTCACCGCTATCAGCCGTCTCCTCTACGAGTTCCGGTCTTCACTGAGCGAGCAGACTTTGTCCGACTTGGTGCAGACTATGGATCTCTTCCTGACTTCAAATAACCGAGAGATTGTCAAGAGCTGCCTGGGTTTTGTCAAGGTGTCTGTTATCAGCCTGCCCGTTGAGCTGATGATGCCACGCCTGGCCACACTCGTGCCCAACTTGGTTACCTGGAGTAAAGAACACAAGGGCCACTTCAAGTCCAAGGTCAGACACATCTTGGAGCGAATGGTCCGCCGCTTTGGCTTCGACGCCATTAACAATGCCTGCCCTGACTCTGACAAGAAGCTGCTTGCCAACATCCGCAAGACTAAGGAGAGAGCGAAGAGAAAGAAGGACGCTGCCAAGAGTGCTCATGACGAGGACGCCAGCGATGATGACGAAGAGGACGGCAAGCGACAGTATGAAAACGAATACGACCGCGCGCTGTATAGCAGCGACTCTGAGGAATCCGAAGGGGAGGGTGACGAAGAAGACGCGAGACCTAAGAAGAAGGCCCAGAAGGGTGGCAAGACATACATTGTCGAGGACGACGACGAACCTCTCGATCTGCTGGACAAGAAAGCCCTCGCTAGCATATCAACCACCAAGCCCGTCAAGCTTCGCAAACCTCAACGGACCAAGGCCAAGACTGACCTCGATGGCAAACTCATCCTCGGCAAAGACGACGATGAGGAAGAAGGCGCTATGGAGGTCGACCAGCCCGAAAACTCCGGTGTTGGCGCCTACGTCGCTGCTATCAAAGGCCGTGATGCCGCTAGGCGCGGTCGCGGCGGAAAGCTCAAGTTCTCCAACAAACGCTCCAGGGATGGCGACGATGGCGACGACATGGACGACGATGACGCAGTGGCCGTCAAGAACAGCATCAGCCCTGGCCGCGATCGCGGCGGCAGAGGCCGTGGAAGAGGCGGACCTATGCGTGGTGGTGGTCGTGGAGGCCGTGGTGGCGGCGGTTCTTTCGGCGGCCCGAGGAGCGGTAAGGGCGGCATCGCAGCTGGCAGGAGGGGATTGGGCTCTGAGAAGAGACACGGTCCTTCTGGTGGCGCAGGTGTAGGAAAGGGGAAGAGAGGAGGCCGAAACTAGAAAGAAGAAAAATTAAAATAAAGTAAAGGACAAAGTAGAGAGGAGATATAATGCATCTCTGATGGGCTAAAAAGATGTCATCTCATGAGAAGAAACTTGATGGGATGATTTGGGTGAATATCTAGCTTTACAGGCATGTTATGGATACCACACGATCATGAAAGAGAAGAACACTAAAAATACTCTCTTGAACGTGAGCGAATGTGGGTTACGTGGTTAGCTTTTTTGTTTTTCTTTAATGCAATATATATTTACATGCTCTAAACATCTATCACATCCACGTTCACAGTACTGAATAGAGTGAAATCCACACTCATATAAGATGTAAAAGAATGCTCTGTATAGATATAGTCTTCTAAGACAAGAAGATGTATATATTCAACTTTCCACCCATCTCCATCATCCAAGCTTTGTTCCTGACAGAGAAATACCAACACATTTATACAGGCCCTCTTCCCCACTTAATGCTCTCTGTTTTCCCACACCTTTCCTCGAAGAATAACACAATGCCAATGCCTTCCTTCTTTTTGGGTATCAAATAGTGGTGCTTCCACGTTGCCAAAATCTGGCACAAAGAAAATGACAGTATTGGGGTATAATAACGAGTTTAATGAAGCAAAATTCCTCCACTCCATGCTTTTTTCCATCATGCCAGCTTTTGAACAAACCAAAATGTAAGCTTCTAATCAACAATATCGTCGGTATCATGATTGAAGCATGCTATGTGATTGCTTAAAATAGAATATGGGAAAAAAAAAAAAAAGACGAGCTGGTATCCGTCAAATGCTGAAGAAAGACATACAATCAATCGATAATGATTACATTTGGCGCCGGTTGGGCTAAAGGGCGGCGGCCCTGCCTGGTTTCAAACCGTTCATCCGCTCTTGGAGGCAGTGTATTGATGGGATGATAGACTGCGGGTTCGTGATGAGGTCGTGAGACTTGCTCGTCGCCGTGTTGTCGTCTACAATATATGAGCACCACAAAACAAAAATACTCAAGATATCTTTCAATCAAAAGGTTACTATAACTTACATAGTCCAGTAGCCCTCAGGAGGTGCTGCACCATAATCTCCACCAGGCACTCGCCGGGATTGTACTCTGTAATCCTCCTCTTTAGCCGGTGGTGGCGCGCCAAAGTATTCATGGGGAGCGTATTGTCGAATATGGGGCGCGTGGGGGCGAGGATCGATGATAGGGTTGACCTCAATTTCGGCGACGCCACGGCGTCCGCCTCGATTTCTTAAATCTTCCTCCCATGAGAAGATTGTGTGGGGTCTGATAATCCCTCGGTTTTCAACCTCTGTTTGTGGTTGAGAGGGGCGGACGGGGCGTAGCTGGATTCTCGAGCTGCTTTCAGGCCTGGGATTAACCCTTTCGAAATACCCGCCTCTATCCTCCATAAGGATAGGATTAGAACGTTCTCCAGGCCGGGTTGCTTGCAAAACGATTCTCCTTGTTTCCGGGAATCTGGAAGAGCTTGGTCCTGGATTGCTGAGTGCCTGGTGCGCAAAAGGGGGCGCTGGTTGTGCTCCATATCCAGTAGGGGGATGCAAATAGGTAGAGCCACACAAATCATGCGATTGGACAGAATCTCTACTGGACATAGCGTCGATACTCATGGCTTGAGATCTATTGAAACCAGTGATTACATGCGCAGGTGGGGGGCGGTCCCAAGAACGGACTTCTTCTCCTGGATGTGAAACAAACTTGGGAGGTTGTTGAATACTGGTCAGGGATGTGGCCAGCGGCGCATACGAACTTACAGAGGCTTGACTCCTAGGAGGCAGGGTGCGTATAAATGTGGGCTGCGCAGTCGGAGAACGAGATTCGATAGAACGTACCAACATGTCTTGGAAATGACTGGAAGCCGAAGAAGACGCCAGCTCGCGAGAAGACGTGCTAGTCGGAAACGGAACAACAGACATTACCTTTTCATGAGAAGATTGGGCTTCGACTGTTCGGCCAGGGTAGGGCGAAGAATTCAAAGAAGACGGCATCCCATATACTGGCTGCTGCATCCGATGGCCATCCAGATGAGAGGAGATTCCAAAGACACCGCCAGAATGGACCGTTGGATCTGGGTTGTCATATGGCCGACCATAAGCGTCATAGGAAAACCTAACAGGCGGCGATGGTCGATATGAAGCATGACTGATGGCCATATCCGGGGATGTCTGCTCCGCCAAGGGCGTTTCTCCTCGGTTACGTCTAATCGCTTCTTCCCAGGCACGGTATCTTCTGAAACCTCGCTGAGCCCTCCTATCAACTCTACGACCGCGATCAATGTCTTCTAGTCCGATCCTAATTGGATGAGAAGAAGGCACTGGAATCGCTTCTCGAATAGGTGACTGGGGAGGGGAGCGATCTGTTCGATCCACAGGTTGCAAGGGTGGTGCTGACCGATACACAGGCATGGGTGTGAGCCTGGCATTGTCAGCACCTTCATCTGACGTGTAGTCAGTCGACTCCTCTTCGTCGTCGTCTTCATCATCTTCAGAGTCAGAGATGACAACCACCTCGCGGAGGATCTCATCCAGCTGGTCGCGACCAGTCTCTTCGTCTCCCCGCCACTTGACGAGGATGTCGAGACATAGTGATTCTACGGTTTTCCGAGCTTTCTGCCAGGTTGTTTCTTTCAAAAGCATGTCATACCGTGTATGAGTGTGCCTGATATGAGCCAAGACAGCCAGCTGGACCCTGCGGGATAGTGCAATATCTTCCGAGAACCCGACAGGATGCTCGGATCGATTAGCTGAGCCCTAAGGAAGAGATTATTGTTCGTTATGTGTCCTTTCTTTGGAACATGGGGGAAAAGGGAGGCGGGAGACTAGGCAGAAACGAGGAAATACAAACCCGAGTGAAAGAGTGCTCAATAATCATCTGGCGGTCAGTATTGGGAATGCGTGGAAACAAGTCTCTGATAGCGGCATCAACCTGAGCATGGTAGGCCCTCTGAGATTCCGGAATGGGCTCAGGCCCTGCGTCTGTTACCGGAACGACGTGATGAGACGAGCCGCCAAGGCTCTCTTTGGCTTCCTCAACAATGACTTGCCTGATATGATGGCCAACTCGATGCACCTGGTTGGCCAGGATGGTTTCGTCGAGACCTTTGGCATTCTTAAAAAGAGCAAGCAAACGCAATGGTTAGATGGATGCTTTACTGGCAAGAACGCAGCCGGGATTGTAAACAAACCGAAACAATGAAAATCATGGCATCTTTTTCGCGGGATATTTCTTTGCAGGCAGCAGTCAACTGTGGATTGCCGATGGGGACAAACTCAAATCCGGGCGGCGGGGTCTTTTCGGTGGTAATCTGCGGACAAAGTGAGCATCTCTTCTCCAGAGCCGGAAGAGACGACTGTAGATGAGTTGCATATGGCGCCGACGAAGCGTACCTGATACTCGAGCTTCTTCTTCTTCTCTTTGTTCTCAACTAGCTCGAAGTAAGAGTGGTGCTTGGATTTTGGCAGCGATGGCTTGGCCTTGAAAGTGTCTGGCGGAGGCGAGTAGGGATGATGATATTGAGACCGTTGCGATCTCTTATGGCGTTCTTTGGGGCCAGAGGCTGCTGCCGGTACCAAGCCGCGGCGTCCTCTTCCCATCTTTTTTTCTTTTTTCTTTTTCTTTTTCTTCGACGGCTGTCAAACACGATTATAGTATCATAACGTAGCGTAGTGATCCACGAACAAAGGTATTGTTAGCATAGCAAAAAAAAAGGCACAGTTCACCGGCTCAGTACGCGCCCACAGCTGCATCGGTAACCCGATGAGATCTTGCATAAATCTCGCTCACTGGGCGGGAGCGGCAGCAAGAGGGGTTGTCTGGCTCTGGGCGAAAACAGCACACAAACAGATGGGAACGACCAGGTGGAAAACTAGATGCGTGGGTCCCGCGCGAATGGGCAGAGAAGAGCCCTACAGCGACTGTTATCAGTTGCAAGGCGACAGTTCCCAGTGCCAGCAGACGCGTGAGGTGGGCTGTCGCAATATAGAATCAGCCGCTTTGAGATGCACCGCCGGAAGCTGGTTGGGCTTCGACTGATCAGGTGCTGGAGCCAGATGCGTGACCATCTGGCAGTTGGACGCGAGACTCTCTCATGGTGTTGGGCAGTCTGAAGCCTATATTACATAAGGCACAGCGCAGTGGAAGCTCCGGGAAAACTAAATTCCCTTTCCGACAGGCGTTCGCATATTTGGGTAGCAGCGATAAGCAAAGATTGCGCAAGTCTCCCGCAGACAAGTGTCATTGGTCTCTACCTGCCCAGATGATAAGCTATTGGAAGGAGATAGTTGAAATATAGGCAGATATAGATAGGAATAGCCAGCGATGTAGATAAAAAAAAAAAAAGGCTCATCGTAGCTCTAAAGCGCAACAACAGCTGGTTTCCAGACAGTATCACAATATGACCTACTAGGTAACTCCGTGGACGCCTGGTAACAAGGTCCCTACTCATCGCTTGTATAACGATGATTTATCAGAGTTGAATAGAGGCTACTCGGAGATATGGAATAAGGATATGGAATACAGATAAGGGCATAGAGATCAAGGCGGACGACCATCTGTGAAATCACAAATCACTGCCTTGACGGCTTCCCATCATACATTTCCTAAAGCGGATAGCCATTCGAAAAGAACTGACATCGCGGACGGGACGGGTTATGTCATGATCCGCACGCCATCCACCCTCCGGCACTGCCACGAAACACTCGAGGACCCGCGGCTGCCGAATCAGCGGAAACCGGAATGATTGGATCCTCCAGAAATCCGAATGGGTCAAATGTTTAGCCAACGGTGCATTAGATATTTTCTCGTTGTTTGAAAAACACTTCGTTGTGGTCTCGAAGGAGATGGAGATTTGGCGGAAATAAGTGGGCATGTCACCAATGGTCAAACGAGCATCTGCTCTGCCATGAAACCAACAGTGCATCGCCGTCGTGTAGGTGGAACTACCTACTAGCAGTACTGGTATTTGCGAGTATACCTCGTACTTTAAGAATTTGCCTTATTTGTACATGTCGCAGAGCCAAAATACAAAAATAGAAACATCACACGTGTTCTGTCACATCCTGGCCTTGAACAGGTTTCAGCTGGACAGGTATTACTACATGCGGAATACTGCTGCCACCGCGTATGTGAGAATGCCGCGCCAGGGCATTGAGATTAAAGCATCGCCAGAGAAGCAGTGGTTAGGCGTTCTACTGATTCAGTCAATGCTTCTCAGAGCATCTCATACGAGGGACTCCGCCTTTAAAGGATCTCAGGAGCAGTTCGCTGCCGACTCAGCCGCTGCCTAGCAACTTTGAATCCTGATTCCCGGCAAGACGGCACTTGATGGCCAAAAAAGTTTAGAGAGAGGATTCCTAAAAATGCAGTGCTAGGTACTCCGCAGTAATATTCCATAGGTACCTGTACAGTATCATTGTTCGCAGGGTGCGGCTTAGATGTCGCTACGTGGAACGGGATCCAAGCCACGACGGTGATGGGCCTGAAGCTGAATCATGGGAGAAATTGCTTCTCTTCAGGCTAAGCCTTGACGATGGAGACGAACTGGCTTTGACGGCTGCGATAAGACGATGTTCACTGTCAGAATTGCTGATGGAAATCGGCTTCTCAGCCTAATACTGCTTTACCGCACGGTTGGACAACGAAACATGGCATGGCGAGGCGACTTCGTTTCAACAACCAACGATCCACCAACAAACTGACCTTGGCAATGCTTGAGAGGAGTTGGGCTTTGGAGACGCGCACCATGAGCCAATCAGACGAGCGCAGCACCAACCAGCGAATCGCCGCTGTGAAACACTGCCACCGCCTGTCTCTTAGATAAACGAAAGCGAGCGCGAGGCATCACGTGATGAGCATCGTGATCCAGGCCGCCTCGGAGACCGAGGGTGCCACCTCTTCCAGCAGGATTTCAACACCTAATTTGTCTTGGATGGCTCTGAGCAGAGAAGCGTGGTGCACAGCCACCACATTGTGGGGAGATGGTCTCACCAGCAGGCACTTGTAGATGGACTTTGAGGGTACGTTATCCGGCACCGAAGGTTTGCGATTTGCGAAGGAGCCCAGTCACACTCGCTTCCCGGAGTTTAGAGGCGCCAAGTACCCGCAAGGTATCTTTGGCTGCTCACTATTGGCGTCCCCAGAGGAGTGATTACGAACCGTCGGCGTGTTGAGCAGCCCGAAGGAGCGGAAATGGTGAATCGGGCTACAATAAAGGCTGCGTTATCGACACCTAGCAGCAAATCAACAGCAACTAGCACAAGCGAAACGGCGCCGACGAAGTAAAAAAGAAGCCAGCAAGAAAGCTTGGCCTAGTCTTTGTGCTCTTCCCGCGACAGACTGGCAACCAGGGTGGCACCCAGGAGTACAAAGAACAGGCATTGAACCATCTGCCATGGAGTCTATCTAGTAGCAAGTGCTCCCGTATCTACCGTGCAAAAACAAGTGATGGGCAGATCTCCCGCCGGGAAGATGACGAGAAGCAATAATATTCTTCTTTTCCGGGACAGTCGTCGTAAACTTCTGTTGCTCCGGACCTAAGCAGTCAAATCCTCGTACTGATGAGAGCTAAAAGGCTTGGCCTCGCGGCCGCTGCGTCGTGTCGTTCGTCAGCCCTGCCCATCTCCGAGGCTATCGTGCTGCGTTTGCCAGCGGCTCGGTTGGTGCACCCGGCGAAAGCAGCCTCAGGATTGGATCTTGGCCGGCGGTTGAGCACACAAGCAGGTATCACTCTGTATGGAGCGTGTACATGGAGCGTCCAGCTGGCGGGACGGGCGTCGTCATCGCTCAGGCAATGGAGATGCAGCTGCTAGCCCAAAGGTGCAAACGCTGCAAAAGATCCATCGCGCACTTGCACCGAACAGGCCAACGGGCTGCGCCTAGTGGTTGCGCCGCTGTGGCTGCCCGCCGAGCTTCAGCAACGGCGCTCACTGCATTAAATGCTGAGGACCAAAAGGCTTACGCGTCCACTGCCCCATTAGTGCTGGCACCCCTGCTGCATCCCTGCACCCCTCCCAGACGCCAGCAGACGCCAAGGGGCCTCCGCGCATCCCCTAAAGCGGTCCCTTCCAGCGCTGTGGCCAGTGGGCTGTCCACTGGGTGCTGGCGCCTTGTTCCCGGGCTCCTGGTCTGCCCCCAGTCCCCAAGGCACCCATCCATCGCATTCCACCCGCAGCCATAATATCGCCGCTCCCCCAAGCCCAACCCGCCAGGCGTCACTTTCTTCCTGCCTTGCAAATAATTCTCAACCATTTTCCACCCTCCGCCATCTCCAACATCTAACCTGACTTTGTTCACGAGCGGAATTATACATATTCAATTACTCTTTTGGTATTTCCCACTGTGTCTTCTGAAGCCGCCTCGACGACCTCACTTTTGGCACCGTCAACCCGGATCGAGTCGAATCAATAGCCACCAGGTCTCGTTTCGTATCGAATACATCCCGCCGCAATGTCGGGCCCCAATAACGTCGACATCGACGCGCTGCTGGATCTTTCCGAGTATGATGGAATCCCCAGCTACAACTCGCCGTCGCTGTCTCCCTCCACCACCTCCAAGCCCACCTTCGCCAGCCCGGTCACCACCGCCGTGACGACGCCTTCAATGACGACGACGCAGGCTCTAAGCGGGCCTAGCCACAACTATGACATGTATCGTCAGCAGACTGGCTTCGTCCCTGGCGCCATCGCAAACACCATGGCCGTCAATGAATCAAGCAACGCGGGATACCAGGACTTTGGCAGCCTCGACTACCTGACTGGTTTCCCATCAGAGAACGACATGTTCGACTTCAACACCTCGCCTTCGCAGGCTACCCTGGGAGCGTCGGACATCATGGACTTCGGCTCACCGACCGATTCCCAGCTTTTCCCGACAGTCAACCCTAGCAATATCGAGCAGGACTCGGCACTTGCTTCTCCCAGTCTATCCAGCCAGGCTAGCGGCGTCGGCCGCTTGTGGCCTGGTGCGCACTCCCAGGCCGCCATGGCCAAGGCTCATGCCCAGCAGAGACAGCAGCAGCACATTATCCAGCAACAGCAGGCACAACGCCAGCCCATGCAAACAAAGGCTCGTAGCGGCAAGCTGCCTCAGCCCAGTGATCCAATTGTCGAGCAGAAGATTACTCAGCTTCTGAACTCGATGCGGGCTAAGCCTGCTCCTCCGCCATCCGACCCCTCCTCTCCCATGGCCCATCTCAACCGTGCTAAGAAGGATGAGGAGGAAATGGACGAGGACGAGCGTCTTTTGGCAAGCGAAGAGGGCAAGAAGCTCAGCAGCAAAGAGCGCAGACAGCTACGCAACAAGGTTTCTGCCCGAGCTTTCCGATCAAGAAGAAAGGGTAAGATGATATTATCATTCCGTCACTCCGAGACATATTTGCTAACACGCTACAGAGTACATCTCCCAGCTTGAGGCGGAGGTCGCCACCAAAGTCACAGAGAACAATGATCTGCGTGCCCAGAACCGCGCTCTGCTTGAGGAGAACAAGCGCCTGTCTGATCTCACTCGCATGCTCCTTTCCTCCCCTGCATTCTCCAACTTCCTAGACCACCTCAGCGCAAACCCTTCTGTTGCTGCCCCGCCACAGGTCAAGCCGGAGCCCCAGCCATCGCCAGAGCAGCGCTCAGTTAAGGACGTCAACCCTTACGGATCGCAGCCCTCTCAGCATCAGATTGGCATGGCCATGATTCCTGAGCAGAACGTTGATTTCTCGCTTATCGGAAATGGCTTCAACTTTCAACCCCGAGTGTTTGTTGTAGAGACTTCCGAGGTTCCCTCCCCCATCGAATCCAGCATTCTGTCTGGCAAGGCGCCTAGCGTCATCGAGCAGACTTTCCAGTCTGAAGACGAGAAGGTTGAGGTGCCTGTGATTGAGCGACCTGTTGAGCAGACTCCAGTCGCCCAATCTGAGGCAGGCCCCATCGATGAGGAATTTGAGGCCGACCCCGAGTTTGCTCTCTACCACTCGGAGCCTACATCAACAGTGCCCGAGTCCAACGAGTTGGACACTGAGAGTCTCTCACATATTGATATTTTCGGTGGCATCGAGTCCGAGAAGATGCTGTCTCGATTTGAACTTGTGGACGCTACTGAAGAGGAAGCCAACGCTGCGATTGCCATGGCCCGAGTACAAAGCATTAGTGCTAGTATGGAAGCAGTGATATCAAGATTAGAGATCTTGACTATGGACCTTTAAAAAAAACAAGAAACAAGAACGAAAGCAAAGAAAAAAAAAAAATCTTACCACACGGTCTACTATAATTAGCGACTTCTCTTTTCTTTTTATCATGGCTTCTATTTTTTCCACTTATTTCAAGGCTGGAATGTGCATAACATGGGCCAGGGAGCGGCATACGGAGTTTTTCTTTTCTGGGGTTACAACGGATGGGATTCACATATGACAACGTCGCTTCACTTTTTCTTCTTCTTTCCTTTGTCATACCTTTTCGCTAGAGAGGCAAATTATTCTCTCTACTATTCTTATCTATGGAGCTGGCCGGAAAACAGCGGCAGGGCTTTCGTTTTGTTACTTTATGTTGGATTTATATATTTAAATAGACGGGGGAAGGGAGAACTATTCCACTCGGTCAGTGGCTCAGCAGACAAGAAATGCCAAAACTTTTCCATGAACTTTATCTCCAGTTTAACGTGTTCATTGTGATTGTGTGTCATGTATAAGATTGCAGAAGCTCATCGAGCATAGTACTGAGATTCAAATGGCATCATGGAGGCATCGCCAATTAGTCTTATTAGGAGTGTTCTCATTCATTCATTCATTCATTCATCCCATCGTATGTTTGAGCTATCTTCATTAATCATCATTAAGAATCCTAAGAGACCATCCCGCCAAGCTCATTGTACCGCAAACACCTCTTCCTCCACCCCTTCAACATCCCACCCTTCCCCGTCCATCAGCCCATGCGCATAACACTCCCCAATAAGCACCCACCTCTCATTATCACCACCGGCACTAACCTTCCTCAGTACAAAGGGGACCTTGCCGCCGCGCAGCACAGCCACGACGTCGCCTGCCTGCAGCGCGTTGGACCCAAGCACGAAGTAGCCCCTGCGGGTGACTGCGAAGCGGCGGTAGCGAGTAACCAGGACGGCCTCGTGGCTCCATTTGAAGGGGTCGCCGGTGAGGGAGAGGGCGTGGATGGCGGCGTGGATGGGGGTGGCGCTGCGGGAGGAGGAGGAGGAGGACATGGAGTTTGCTCGCTCGTAGAAGCTGGACATTGTGCTTATGCTGGAGGTGCTGTCGGGACTGCCGGGGGATCTGGCAGGGTATGAAGGGAATGTTTGTGATGGCGATAGCGCTGTGGAAGGGGGGGAAGATGAAGACGAAGAAGATGGAACTGCGTAGCGGACGAGATAGGCTGCTGCGCTGGTGAGCCATTCTTCTGAAGGGATGGACGAGTAAGGGCGCGAGCGATCTATGCCCGTGCAGGCGTTGGTGAGGGTTTGGATGAAGGCGAAGAAGGCAGATCTGCGATGATCGTGAGGAGGCGTGGGGGAGGAGTGTGAAGATGAAGGCTGATGGTATTTGGCTGCTGGGGGGTTCTTGAGGAAAGGGGGGTATACGAGGTTGAGGTTGAATGTTCTGTAGCCGCAGATGCGTCTCCAGAGGACCTCCATGACGTGCGTGCGAGGACCATTCTGGTCGAGCTGTGTTCTTCGTCGGTGGAGAGGCGGCGGACGGCCTTTCTGCTGAACGCCTTGTTCATCATGATGCCAGTTATTGTTCCTGCTTGGAGCGCGTGTTGTAGTATCATCCCCCTGAGGCTGAGCAAACCCATCCTCGCCATGATCGCCCTTGTCAAGATCATTGCTGCCATTGCTGCCTCCCCAATTTCTCCTCTTCCGTTCTCCTCCTCCTCCCTTCTTCTTCTTCTCCCGAGCGTCGTCCTGCCTCACCTGAAACGCCGACCCGTAGATGGTCCACGAAATCCTCTCCACCACGTCGACCCTAACGCCGCGAATGCGCATCACGCGCGTGTCCTCGTCAATGGTTAGGTCCGGCTTCGTGTCCCCCGACGCGCGGTGCGGCACCGTAGGCGAGCCGAGAATGTGTATCGGCAGATGCCGCCAGTCTGGAGCCCAGGAGGGAAGGCCTAGATCCTCGCTGGTCCATGCTGCTCGTCGTTTCATGAGGGGCTGGCCGTGGTGTGCGGCCGAGAGGGTGACGAGGTCTTTGGCGCCGCGGAGGGCCCGCACCGCGACGTCGATGTAGATGTCCTTTACGCTCTTGGAGTAGTCTACGGTGAGGGACTGGAGTTCCTTGCCGGCTTTGCTGATGGAAAAGTGTCCCAGGAAGGCGTATATGTGGTCCCGAGGGTCGTTTCCAAGCAGATGTCTGGCCCTGTGGAGTTCATATGCAAAGTTGCCTCGATTATGGTCGTGGTCGTATTCTGTGTCTGGCTCGACGAAGCGTTTGTGGAGGTAGCGAATACTGGACGTGTTTAGAAGAAATCGGGTGCGAAGGTGGTAGTATCTCTCGTTGAGAATGGCCGCCACATGAGATAACGTGTCCCAGTCCATCTCTGTATCGCCCCAGTACAGAGTCGCAGGAGCGTCAGTTCCAATCTCTTGGACGATCCATATTCGTTGAAACTAAATTTCCCCCAGTGTTAGAAGATTCATTCTTACAAGTTCAAAGACTACTAATAGTTCCCACTATTGGAGATACTTTTCAGTAAGGGGGGTGTCATGAGGTATGTAAGTACTTACCCAGGGCAGCTTTGTCAATTTTGCCAGGGGAACCCAAGGCTCAGAGCTTTGCAGCGACAAATTTTCCTCATGAGCGAGCTTGAACTCCTCATGGGCCTTTTCATCTTTGAATACACCGTCGAGATAGCGGATAGTCTGTCCTGCTTCTTCTGCAACTCCATCCGGATCCCTCCCCAGCCATACAAGCACTCTTTTGGCATTTCTATATACCAAATTCATCAGCTTCACCTGCTGGCTGCGCTCTGGTATATCGTCTTGGTTGATGCAGACTTGATCAGCCCACAGCCTCCGCGGCCGGTCCGGTAACCGAACGCGATTCAGCGCATCGTGTATGCTCTGTGTGAGAGGGAGGACGGCGCCATCGCAGATGAGTTCATATTGCCGGCTGCCAGAGCCCCAAACGTACGATATAGCCTCATAGGGAGGAAGCTGTTCGATGTCCTCTGAGTCAAGGCTTCCGAATTGCAGGCTCCCCACCAAAGGATCAGAGCCAGATCCCGGTTGAAGCACAAGAAAACGAACGCTGTGGTTGTCACTCAGGGGCTTGTAGACAAAGCGCTTCTCTTTTGAGTTGCCATGAGGCTTCTCAGGCGGGCGGCAGGGATTGCTATCCATGAACAACGGCCGCAGTTTGAATCCGCGACGCTTGACAGGCTTCTTTCCGTGGCGCGAGTAGAGAAGATGCGAATGAGGCTGAGCAACTCGCCCATGTGGGATGACTCCAGGCACAGCCTTGGAGCTCTCAACGTCGCTGTATGAAAGACGCCTGAGCCTGTCCCCTAGTATGTCGTGCCGTGAATGCAGAGTCAATGAAACTGGCAACCTGCCGTGGCCTCTAACACAACGCGGAAGACGCATGCTTTGGCCGTTCTCTACGAAATTGCGACGACAATGATCGCGGGTTCAGTGTTAGTGCCGCGCTATGCATGAATGTGGAGAGCTATTCCGCTTACCAGCTCCTACAGCTGCATGTCACGGCGTTGACTCACCGTGCTGATCGGATCCTGCACCAATTAATGTAGTATTGGGCCGGGGATTCCTGTTTTTGGCACGCTACGGTAATTATCACCAGGAGCTGTATGGGTCGAGGATATTGAAAAATTTTGACTGGTATATTATTATAAGGTAAGGTAGCATAACCGATATTCAGAAGCAGCAGTAAAAAAAAGCTCTTAAGCTATCCTTCAGTCTGACGGACGATATTACCTAATTTTTCAGTGATGCGAAAAGATGTAAGTGAAGCAAAATGTGGGATATCATGTACCGAGTCTCGCCGGATCTCATCTCGCATTATCTCGTCTCGTCTCGTCTCATGGCTGCATTCAAACAGTCTCGTGGATTTTCACCGGCTGGACTCCTGTTAGACTGATTTCGTCGTCGTCCAGATTCCGCCCCAAATTGGCTGTCGCTACATCAGCAGACCCTACCGGAGGCTCGCCCGATCCATCTCTCAGCTCCCAGCTGCCAATCCTTTCATGCCGCATACCGCGATCCGTAACGGTGACATCAACATCGCTAGCTCTCTTATCTGATCCTTTGAAGCCGCCTGGAGAGCCGCTACGTAGACTGGGCTTGGATCGACGTCCAAAGGCGCAGAATCCAAGCATGTAGAGAGCAAGTCCAGCAAGGCCAGTCACGGCCAGTGTCACCATGGCACCGATGACGCCAGCAACAGGTGCACTCACTGAGGAGCTTTCACTGGTAGAGGAAGGATCTGAGGGAGACGCATCGGCGCTTGTACTGCACCAGGGAGCAAAGATGGCTCGACAAGTGGTGCACCATTGTACAGAGTCCTGGGTGAAGGCCTGAAGCTGACCCAAGAAAGAGGTATAAGGAATCATCTGGCTATCAAAGCCCATCGAAGTGAGGGGATAGGCCGAGAATGGCTCGCCAACATCGGCATTGGCTCGATATGTGAACCGAAGCATGAAATCTTGAGGCGAAGGCATTGCGTTTACGTCACCCGGGTTTGTGCCGATTAATTCAAAGATCATGGCCGAGCCAGGGTTTGGAAGCGTGGAGAATGGGCCAGAAAGCAGATTTTCCGTGGAATAGAGGCCTATTAGGGAGAAGAAAGCCAGCATGGGCTCGTAAGAACCAAACATGAGTGTCAGTGGTGTGCCAACCCCTATGCTGGTAGCACTGAGCGAGCTTGCAATCTGCATAGCAAGAGTTTGTCCAGCAATGGTAGAGATGTTGTTGTAGGCGAATGTTGGATTATCTTTCAAAGTGTCCCCATTCTTAGTACGCTCCAATTCGAAGGCATTGGCTCTGAGCACAGCGATGGTGTCGTTGGCGAATCCTAACCCAGCTGTGACAGTCGCATTGTGAGTATTCATGTAATTTACATACTCGTATATGCCATACGCGTTCCAGTAATTCACCGAGGCGTTGGGTATCGTGCCTTTGAGAGGTGGTGTGGCAAAGAGAGACGTGTAGAGACTTTGAGTTGACCTAAAGCGTCCCATAGGATCATCCAGCTTTATCGCGTTTACGTTGCTATCCCAAGCCCAGCATTGGCTAGTACCTTGGATGCTATACGTTTATCGTCATGTTAGCGTACAAGGTGCAAAGTGCTATCGCCTTCAGAAAGCTGGGCCAACTCACGCAACGGAGTTTGAGTCTGTCATTGACAGAGTCTCAATATTAGGATACTGATAACCTCCCAAAGGATAGTCAATCGGATCTGGGCTGGCAAAGAGATCTTGAGCCACCTCTCGACCCCCAGCAAGGCTGTTGAAAGCGTTGGGATTGGGCGGGTATAAGCCCTGTAGGAAAGCCATAGCACCTCCAGAAACCCATTCATCTGTCTGAGACAAGATGGTGAGCTGATCATTGCTGATGGCATCTGTAGAGATTCCCTGAATCTTTGTGTTCCCCGTTGTATTAGAAAAGGTAGTGGAGTTACGACTGCCCAAGTAGCGGTTTCGGAAAGCACTTCCTTGCCTCCACATTTGACGAGCTCCCGTGGGTGTAAGAACATTTCGCAAGCCGCCGAAAGTGGGAGTCTTTTCTCCATGATTAATATATGCAACGACTGCCCAAACTTTGGCGTTGAGATTGTCACTAGGCTGTGCCGAGACGCCGAGACACAGCAGCGTGATTGAAAGCAAGATTGACAGAACTGGAGCATGTATAGGCCAAAAGAGGCCGCAGCTTGAACGAGAGGCCATGTCGCTGTACTACCTATAGGTAGCTTAGCTCTACGTCATCAAGCGAAAGTGTAGCTCTTCAGAATGGGATCCTGAGCTTTCAGAAGATGGGATGAAACAGCGCAAGAAGAAGCTGCTTCTAGATGGAAAGCGAGTGTGTGAGATGGATGGTGAAAAAAGAAAGATAGATCCTATGTCAGCCAGAATGATGGTAGCCATGGAAGACGGGGGCTGACAAAAGGATATCTAGACCAGGCTGCCAGAGATTCCGGCCGGATAAGAGCTTGAAATTCCAGTTCGCCAATTGTCGTGACGAACAGGTCAGCCACCCATCAAATGGTGTAGTCAGAGTTGACATATGCATATGCGCTGCCGAGCAATCCTTGACGAAGGATCAAATAGCGTATCTATCACAATCAACCCGCATGAGGCTACTGGAGCTGCTGCGATAGAAGCAGCCTAGAACCGAAGCCAAAATCCACTCTCGGGTCCTTCATGGCGAATCCTGGAGCAGCTTCTTGCGGCAGCATCCGCCCATTTTGGCGGGTGGCTGTCCGTCGTCCATGCTGGCGGACGATACGGGAGTAGCAGGAAGGCCTAAATGCTGGCGGATGGAGGTGAGGGGCCATATGACAGGCACTTGAAAGGCAGAGCTTGATTGAGGCTTAATTGTATCCCAGGCTTCCGATCCTGTCGTTGGATTGGTGTTGGATGATGCTTGCGGCCAAGCTCTGGGACTAGCGGCGTGGTAGGTTCAACTCTGACGCCCATGACGAGAGTCAATGGCGAGCGTGTTCTTCACTGACGTCACGCCAGGCCTTGCGTCGGTAAAATAAAATTTCAAAGCCATGAATTACTTACTTTCTCCAATTTTAAAATACGCGTGAAGAAATTTTAAATAACGAAAAGTTAACGAGCAAATGGCTTTATTCTCGAGTCGCATGCCTCATCTCTTGGGTCTGGTGTAAGTAAGCACCTACCTCATAGTACAGACAGGTGAATGCCCGAGTTGGCAGAGGCATTCTTCGGCAACCATCGCCGGTATCTCTGCATTCTATTACAACACTGCCATCAACCCAAATTATTTCCATCGGCCGACTAATTTACTAGCGGTACAGATTGCAATGCTTTTCACAGAGAAGCTCACAAGTATCCTGGTCTTACACATCTTGGTAGGTCGCACAGATGTGCCTGTGCCGCCCCGCACAGCACCGGCCCACAACGCCAGGCTTCATAACCAATAATACACTCATCCCCACCATCGCCATAGGAAGCGGATCACCGCATTCCAAACCTGGGTCAGGGTTCTATGGTCTAACGGTCATGACTGCGGATTCTGATTCCGCCAGCGAGGGTTCGACTCCCTCTAGAACCTGTCTTTTTGAGTTTTGGGTTTGTTTTTGAGGTTTTGCGGGATGGCTTTGCCAGCTGCATGGAGGCGTCAACAAGGGTCTTGCATACTTTTTTTTTTGTCTTTGGCCCTGCTACAGTGCGAGAGTCGCAAGTCGTCGGCAAGGGTTGAACACTGCCACAAACTCTCTCTCTCCTTTTTTTTTTTTTTTTTTGAATGTTTAAGTGGGTTGATCATTCCTGGGCTTTTGATAAACAGCAACTAACATGAAATCATGTCTGTTTATCGTATATAAAGAAGGTATCTATTTATTCACTTGATTGGGCTTTGGCATCTTTGAGAATCTCCTTTCTTCTTCTTTTTCTTTCTCATTGAAAGAGACGTTACTTCTATTTGCATTTCTTTTAGGTCAATGGCGCCGTGATGCCTCCATGGCGTAGTATTCTAGGCTTTCACCAGGCGTTGTCGGCAGATGGGGCTCTCTGCCTATAGTAAGTGAAATAGTAAAGGATGAATCTGTGCTTCAATTATCTTTATTCAGTGTCCTTCTGCCTACCTTCTCGGTTCATGCGCTCTATAGCTGTACAACTGCTCATCCCGGATACTTGGCTACCGTGTTTCTGTTAGTGAGTGTGGTGGTGTCAGACATTGGAGATGTGTTCCCTTCTGTGGTGGGCAAGACCTCGGATTCTGCATCATGAATCTGAGACAGCAGACGCCAAAGCCTTTATTCACATCCATTCATTTACACTGCAGAGAAGCAGGATATGGCTATAACCTGCGCTCGTGATAGCCATGCGTTTGCTTCCTATTTTGGTCCATCTGCGAGTTTCAATCAAGATTTTCTCCTAGACGCAGATCTTATCAATCTGCAAAAGTTCCCTGATCTGGACAAGCGCAGCATGCATCTCTGCCTCAGGTGTCAGCAGCCATGTCGAATCGGGACCACTCTGCCCTTTTTTGGCAATTAATTGTCCAAGGCTGCCAAGACTAAGGCCAGGTACATGCACATGTTCCTCCTCTCTGCACCCATCGTACTGCTGCTATAGGCAGGGAACAGAATGCGACCTTTGCTATTCCGTATCCCAGGCCAAGTATTTAACGGCGATCCTACGGCAGCATGCGCATGATAAGACTAGAATGCTACATACAAGAATCAAGAAGGGATCATCCTCACAGCTTTCCGTTTGTGTGGGGGGCGCAGATTCGGACCCGCTTATCCGAACATCTTTGGCTTTTCCCTTGCATTAGAAGGGCGAGGCCATTGGATATTGGATTCAGCTGATCTGGGAGGCCGTAAATCAGGCTTTAGGAGTACTCTAGGAGTGCTGGCCACGTGCTCCGCTCGAATCGATGCAGCTGCGCGTTTTGCCGCAAGAGAGGCTCGGTGTATTCCAAAAGCCTCCGAATCCAATACCTTAAATCAAACAGTGAGAGTCTAACTAGTGAGGGTACGAGTACACAGATATAAGATTTCGCCTGGAACTGGAGACTCCAGTCGTCGAGTTAAGGGATGCACACAAGGCCGACCGCCTAGTCCATCGGCCGCATCCCTGCTCAGCGCATGCATTTAGCGCTCAGGTGGCCTGACGCTCAGGTGTTATGAGCCCACTGAACGCTTACATCCAGAGCCGCCTGCATCCACTGCACAGCGTGTTTCAGCCCTTCGGCACCCGCTAGGAATTTCTCCGCAACGACGACGACGACTACGAGTTCAGTGGACGCAACTCCCTGTCCCACGCACCACCGCATCTCGCACACCCACACCGAGCATCTTAACGCTGCGCATCGCTCTACGAACCTAGGACGAAAAAATAAAATCAAATTCCTAGATCCTGCTGCTTGGTCGCATTGCGCCTGCGCTTGACATCTGCCGATCGCTCGATGGCCCAGCCGCACGCTGCGTGCTGAAATCGCCCGCCATGTCAACCGACGACATCGACGCAGCCGTCCATGCGTCGTCTGAGCCTCTCCCTGTCGACACGCGGGATAGGATCGATGACCAGATTGAATGTGCCAAAGTGCCCTTGCAGCCCGCCTTCTTGCACTCGCCGCCGGATAGCAACGATGCCGGCAAGTCAGAGGCCAGCGACTCGGAGCTGAGCGACCTCGAGGACGAGCCGCCGCTGGAGGATGCGCCGATGCTACCCCCGGCTCTCGCTGCTGAAGAGGACGATATTGGTGAAATCGAGCCGGACCACTGGTCGTCCGGCAACGTGCCGGTTTTCAAGCCGACGATGGAACAGTTCAAGGACTTCAAGCGATTCGTATGTTGCCAGCCAGCCACGCGAGTCTTAATTGTCCCTATTCGCTAATCGCTGGGCCTTGGCCAAACAGATGACAAAAGTTGACAAGTATGGAATGAAGTCTGGTATTATTAAAGTCATTCCGCCAAAGGAGTGGTCAGATGCACAGCCACCACTCGACGATCTCGTGAAGCAGGTCCGAGTCCGCGAGCCAATCAAACAGGATATCATGGGTTCGAACGGCACTTACCGCCAGGTTAATATTCTCCATGGACGTTCTTACAACATACCGCAATGGAGGCAGCTTTGCGACCAGAGCGAGCACCAGCCTCCTGCGCGGCGCGGGGAGAGACGCGCGAATGCGGATAAGCCCAAACCTGTACGATCTCGCCCTGCTGCCCCGAAGACTGCGGATCCTAATGCTGCACCAAAGACTCGTGGACGAGGACGACCACCTAAGAATAAGGGCAAGGCCAAGCGGGATGAAGAGAGCCGGCCTATGACTCCGGTATCTCCAAGGGTTGAGGCTGATGGTGCAGCAGACGAGGTGATGGAGTCTATCGAACCGATAAAGGAACTGGGCACCGAGATAGACTACGAAGACGATGAGCAGCCTGAATTCCGCAGAATGGGCGGGATTAGACCCAGCAAGCCAAAGATCCAATCAACATCTGCGCGCCGGAAATACAGCCGCCGAGAAGGATCTGCAGTGATTGATGAGGCTGCGTTCAAGGATTTCGACTACCGGATGGATATTTCCGATTATACGCCTGAGCGCTGCGAAGAACTGGAGCGGACTTATTGGAAGACATTGACTTATGCTCAACCGCTATATGGTGCTGACTTGATGGGCACGCTCTTTGATGACAGGACTGAGAATTGGAACCTCAACAAATTACCAAATCTCCTGGATGTTCTCGGCACCAAAGTCCCTGGCGTCAATACCGCATATCTCTATCTTGGAATGTGGAAGGCGACTTTTGCCTGGCATCTCGAAGATGTCGATTTGTATAGCATCAATTACCTTCACTTTGGCGCTCCAAAGCAATGGTATAGCATTTCTCAAGCCGATGCCCGAAGATTTGAGGCTGCCATGAAGAGCATATGGCCCGCCGATGCTAAAGCTTGTGATCAATTCCTCAGACACAAGGCTTTCCTCATCTCACCGCAACACCTTCAACAGCACTATGGCATCAAGGTCAACCGAGTTGTCTCTTATCCCGGCGAGTTCGTCGTCACGTACCCCTATGGATATCATTCCGGCTATAATCTAGGATACAACTGCGCCGAAGCAGTCAATTTTGCCCTCGATTCCTGGCTTGAGATGGGCAAAATTGCCAAGAAGTGTGAATGCGCCCAAGCTCAAGACAGCGTGTGGGTTAACGTATACGAGATTGAGCGGAAGCTGCGTGGAGAAGAGACTGAATACGAAGAGACAGAGGACGACGACGACGAGGACGAGGACGAGGACCACGATGAGCTTTCCGGACTTCCTACTCCTCCTGGTCACGCTGTGAAATTCAAGGATGCAAATCGTAAGAGGAAACGCGACAAAGCAGACAAGGGAGCCAAGACCAAGGTCAAGAAGATTAGACTACGACTTAAAGTCAAGGCCGAACCACCTTGCTGTCTGTGCCCCAACGACATCCCCAGTCTGGAGTTTCTACCTACAGACGATGGCAGAAAAGCCCATCGCCTCTGCGCCCTCTATATTCCCGAGACATACATTGATACAGTTGACGGCAAAGAAACTGTCTTCAACGTTTCCGCTATACACAAAGATCGCCTGGACCTCAAATGCTTATTCTGTCGATCAAAACGTGGGGCTTGCTTCCAATGCTCCCAGAAGAAATGCACGAGGGCATACCACGCTACATGCGCCGCAGCAGCAGGGGCGTTTACTGAAGAGCAAGAGGTCCCAGTGTTTGGCGAGGACGGCACAGAATACAAAGAACAGGCCTTTGAGTTTAGCTGTCGCTTCCACCGTGCCAAGCGCGATAAGAAGCTGGATGGCGATGCTTTGGAAGAAGACTCTCGTATCTTGAAAGCCGCCGAGGCCCTCCAGAAAGGGGAGATTTGTCAGCTGCAATATCATAAGGGCGAAATATTTGCTGGAGCCGTGGTGGACAATCGCCCAGATGAGAGAATGCTGTTGGTTGATGTTCTTCCAAACGGCGATCGGATGGAAGTCGAGTGGAAATGGCTCCTGCTTCCAGACCCATCTGATTATCACCTGCCCAAGGCGTCCGCAAATGCCATCCCGCTGCCTTCTTCCCAAAAGGCAAAGGATAAGCTCAATGCCAAGCGCCAGCAAGGTGATGACAAGCCTCGGAAAGATGATACTTTTGTTGAAGGTGGCTTTACCTGGGCAGAATTTCACACCAGCGAGGTTACGAACAAGGAGCAGGCAAAGGTCGACTTTACCAAGCAAGATCAAATCTGGCATTATCTTGGCAAGACATCGACCGAAGCCAGAGCGCAGTATACCGAGGATCCAGCAATCCCGCGATACAATACCAAGAGCAACTTCTTGGATACGCTCCCAAAGCCCCCCAAACCTGCGCCTGTGCGACAAGTATATCAACAGAGAGCCTACGGGCTATATGGCCCTACTGCTACGGGTTATGCGGGTTTGGAAAAGCCATACGTCTACCAGCCGAGAACTTCTACAGTGTCGACATACTATCATCCCGGTACATACTCATTCCAAGGAGCTAATGCTGCTGCTCCCGCTATTCAAAGGTATCAGCCGTATACAGTACAGCGATTTGATTACATGGCTGGAACAGGTGGGAAGTATCAGAATTACACAGCGCCGCCACCTCCACAGCCGGCACTACCCTCAGCATCATCAATGGAAGGCCAAAGACCTGCTCCACCGGCACAGGTTCCTCAGCAATATAGCAAGCCTACATGGCAGGTTCACTCGTCAGTATATCAAAAGTACCCATTCTTCCAAGTAAATCACAACAGGCAAGTCTCCTTCTCAGTCACTATTATATGATACGTTCGATTAACAGGTTTCAAAAGGGACGCGTCGAAATATAGAACTCCGTATTCACCCTGGGGCGGGTTTACCAACGGGTACGAAGGCGATTTGAGAGCACATCTGCTAGCGAACCAGAACGATCTCCTCCGACGGGCATCTTTGGCTGCCATGTCTCCGGTTGGCTCCTCTAGACCATACCAGGCATCACCTACAACAGCTATCTCACCTGGGGCAACGGCAATCTCCGCAGCGTCACAGCAAGCGACCACTTCGCTACCCCCACCAATACTGGGAACCGCTAGCCATCAGTATCATCCTGCAATTAAGGCTCAATATAGGAATATGGCTCAGCAGCCCAGCAAGCCCAAGCCAACCCCCGCGCCCAAGCCGTACAAGGTTGGCTTACCCGCAGCTATCAGTCTGTCCCTGAAATCGACTAAATCCGCAATGCAGGTTCCACCTAAGCAGTCTCCAGTACCTTTGCCGGCAGGGTTCTTGGCCGCTATGGCCTCGTCGCCCGGCACTCCTTTGCAGTCCTCTTCCAAACCTTCGCCACTTCCACCGTCCAGTCCCCAAGACGGTTCTCCCAACACTAAACCGGCTATGCCATCCTCACCATCGACATCTCTCCGTGGGTCAGCAACGCCTGTGGGATCGACATCCAAAGCGCCACAACAGCTGCAAAGAATATCAGTCACTCCGGTACCACTCCCCAAGTTTTCTATGGTGTCCCAGGAGAGCAAAACAGCGACGATGCTTTCACCAGCAAAGCCCGAGTCATCGAATTTACCACCGGCCACGGGACCGAATGGTTCGGAAGACGGTGTGCCTGGAGCTACTACGCCCAAAGCAGAGGAGGCTACTCCAACAGAAATTGCAGTACCGAGTATTGAAACCCCAGTTACCACCAATAATGTAATTCCAGACATGAAGATATCTACGGCTTTACTAACGCCGTCTTCTACGATTAATCAACAGACCATGGCTGATCGCCCTCCTCAGCCCCATTTTGCGCAAAATACGATGCATCACCAACCCGAAGGATTCCCTGACGTTCCAGGCTGCGAATCTATGGAGTTTGTCGAGCGGATGATGGAGAATTTGAGGAGAGCCTCTCAGCGGCGGAGTACAAGCTGAGGACAAAAATAGTTTTCCTTTCGACTTTTTTTTTTTTTTTCCTTTTCTTACAGGCATACCCATTGTGCTCCTTTTCTAGTACGCATGTACAACTAGGTATTTTTCTTCTTTTCTTCTTCTTATTTTCTTCTCATTGCCTAGGGGCATCAATTTGGCGAGATAAATCATGATTCGACAAGATTACGTATCTTAGTCATTAACGACACGATTGATGGGAAATCCGTGAATTTTCCGAGATTTTTTTTTCTTCTTTGGTTGGAGAGACACATCTTTGTCACTCAGAATTTTCTTCTTTGGAATTCCGCTAATTGGGAACGGGAGTATATGGCGATTGGTTGAAGGCTCGGTCTAGACGCAGATGACATCGTTATTTGTTGTTGAAATTGCGCGGAAGACTGGAGATCTTTTTCATGATTCTCGAGGGGTTTTTGTGCTTCCCTTGTGTTATTAAGGGAAGAGGGCGCGAAGGAGATATCTTGACGTTCAAGTGTATAATTATAATTACATATTGCAGGAGTCACACGACAAACATGATTGTTGAATTTGAACTTTGGTTGTTTTGGAACTTGCTGCAATTAAATAATGTGAAATAATACGCTTTTGTGTAAATAAAACAGCACTTGGATATTCTTTTGTTCATCATGACGAGTTGCTTGTAGAGATATTGGGTGTGTTCCCGGTCATCGATTCACCCAACAGCTGATAAATCTGCCTTGCACGCAATTAAACCGCAAATTTTATGGATGTACTTTTGCCGTCAGATTGTTAAAAGCTAGGTTTTAGAACTGACATAGATGCCCTTGATATAGAATTTTTCTGCCAAGGCCGCGTGCTCCCTTGGGCACCAAGGCACTCTAGTCTTTTAGGGAAGAGGGTGGTGCATCGCCCGGGCGTTTGCAGTCGTTCCGGGCTTGGCTGCACGTATTTATGCCGTTCTTCTTCACTTCGTCCTTCTGCTTCTTTATTTTCTCCTCAGCCTCGCCCTTGTTGATGCGTTTCATCAATCGATGCACACCATCACATCGTGTAACATTGCCAACACTTAGCTCGCGCCTTTACTGAATGATCCTTTTTCGTCCTCTCTTGTTTCTTGCGATCTAAAGGTTATTCATTTTCTGTTCCCTTGTGCCCACATAAAGCATCTGATTCCCATCGCCCTACAGTCTCTGTTGTTACCATGGACAACACTCCACCTGAGGGAACGTGGTTCTCTCAAAGCAGAAACCCAGATTCTAATCTCGACGCGTTTGACATCTGGACCGAAAAAGATGAAATACATTCGGATGTGCATAAACGCACTTTTGCTTCAGACAAGTATCTTCGTGGCAGTGTCTTGGGCCAAGGAGGATGGTCTACAGTCTACAAGATCCAGAGAGTTGGAGATGGACAGATTCTGGCTGGTAAGGCGTCTATGTCGGTTAATCAGCTCTATAAAGAGACACGGATGCTTCGTAAACTAGTTCATGTAAGTATATTGTTTAAAGAATTATGAACCCCCCTCCTCCCCATCCCCTTTCTTTGACTATATTTTGAAAGCAAAATATTCAAGACACGCAGCTAATTGCTCTCTTTTCTTTGCTCGTTTAGAAGCACATCTTGGAGTTTATTGAGCTTTACAAAGAGGCTGGCAAAGAGGAGGCTACTCTTTTGATCACCGAGCTCTGCACTGAAGGAACGCTTCATATGCGTATCAACCATGCTCCTGGCGGCATGAGCCGAGGGGAAATCCTTCTAGCCACAAGCCAAATATCAGACGCGCTAGCCTACCTTCACGGACGAAATTATTTCCACTCAGACATAAAGCCAAGGAACATCCTTGTTCGTCGTCTCGACCCCATCAGCGTAGCGTTGGCGGATTGCGCAGACTGTAAGCTCCTTGATTCGTATCGTGGCCCTCCTGGTGGAACGCCCAACTACTGGTCTCCAGAAATGACGGCCAACAATCGCCACGCGGGCAAGAGTGACGACATCTGGGCTCTGGGCATTAGCCTATTGGGGATGATCGGACAGTGGCCGCAATGTGAGAAGACAAAGGCCGGGTTGGCGAGATACCCTCGACAATGCGCCAACCACGCGCAAGAGCTTCAAAAGCTGAACCCTGGAAATGGACTGGTCAGCCTTGTAGGGAGGCTGCTCACTTGGAGAGCCAGAGAGCGCATCACGGCGGAGAAATGCTGCGAAGCGACGATTAAGCTTCTGGAAGAGACGAAGGGAGAGGAGGAGAGCGTTGGCACGGAGGGGCTACGAATCAAATCTCCTGAAGGGTTTCGACCGATTTCGTTTTGGTAAATGGTGTTTGGAATGGCCTTGTATCTCGGGTCATGGTGAAATGGTTGTGGTTGGGAACTAAAGTGTTGATTCGTTTTGATAGCATGAAATAAGTTGAGGCAACTATCTCTGAGCTATGTGCACATTTGGTGGTTATAGTATAGTATTCCAGTCGTGATGTATCACGGTCGAAAAGGACTGATCCGATAATATTAACGTGTAAGATTGTAGAATCAAATAGCTGGCCTCTTTTTTATTTGATAATACTCGCTCAAATCAATTTTAGTTGAAAATAAATTTTATATATGAGTGGAGTGTTTTCCAGATCTTAAACCGCGATCCATCAATATTAGGGTAGCTCAGCTGCTACAGAGTATATGTGCTAGGTTCTGTATGTCCTCTACCAAGCTGCTGCATATAATCAAGCCAATAGAATTACTTGTATAGAGTACCGCCAGCAACGTCCCCCAATGCAGCCTTCATGCCCTGGCTACTGCACGACCCCAATCGTAAACCCAGCTGCGCGGCTGATCGTCAATCTTCACGGGATTTGACGCCATCGCCTAGATCCTTTTGCGCCCCCGCAGCCCCTCTTAGTCAGCGACCTGCTGCTTTCAGTGCCTGCTCAAGCCGATGTCGCAACCGGCCAGCTCGCCCTTTGAGTGTCATCAAATACTAGGCATTGCTACTCTGACAGAGCGGAATTGCTGTTGAGTAACCGTCCCGGCCGTGTCATCCTGCGTGGCTACAGGCGGCATATAAAGATCAAGGCCCAAAAGGAGGGGTGGTGATAAGCCAAGTCCGAGCTCTGTCTTTTTTTTCTCCATATATCAATCGCATCACCGGCTACTGCGTTAGCTCTTTTTGCCGAGAAAGGGAAAAAAAGCGGGCGCGCGTCTTTCAATGTCTTTTTCTGCTCTGCGAATCTCTTCTCTTGTGACTTTTCGAAACCAAATCGCACTCGCAGCGAGGAGAAGAGGGCCTGTGGCGCATACAGTCAGAGCCTATTCCGCGATGAGTGGCAGTCTGAAACTTAAACCCGCGGCGCGGGTGGAGGGCCAGAAGCAGGATGTGTGGTAAGTTGTGTGTGTGTTTGTGTTTGTATGCATGCAAGAGACAACAAATGCTGAGACGCGAGTGGCCCAGGTCCATCATCAATGAGGCGGCTGCTGCGTCACCCAAGCAGCCCATCGTGAACATGGGACAGGGTTTCTTTGGATACAACCCACCCAAATTTATTCTCGATGCAGCCAAGGATGCGCTCGACCGCGTGGAATGCAACCAGTACTCTCCCACCAAGGGCAGACCCAGGCTAAAGCAGGCGATTGCCGACGCCTACTCGCCCTTTTGGGGACGGAAGATCAACCCTGAAACTGAAGTGACCATTACCACGGGAGCCAACGAGGGTGAGGTAACCTGGATGGATTGAAGCGATGTTGAGAGGATTGGAGCCGGTTCTGACATTGGCGGGTGATTTTAGGTATGCTGAGCGCTTTCATGGCTTTCATCGAGCCTGGTGATGAGGTCATCATCTTTGAGCCCTTCTTTGACCAGTATGTATTGCCCATCAACATAATTTGTGCTACGCAAAGAGTCGCTTACACTGAGGAATAGGTACATCAGCAACATTGAGATGCCCGGCGGCAAGATTGTTTATGTGCCCCTGCACCCTCCTGCCACGGGAGCCGTCAAGACATCCTCAGCAGCCGACTGGACCATCGACTTTGATGAGCTAGAGAAAGCCATTACTCCCAAGACGAAGATGATTGTCCTCAACACCCCTCGTGAGTTTGCCTCTGCGGATGTTATGGGAGACGAGAATCGCTAACTAATAGCCACAGATAACCCGGTTGGAAAAGTCTTCTCCAAAGAGGAGTTGCAGAAGATTGGCGACCTGTGCGTGAAGCATGAGATCATTATTCTCTCCGACGAGGTGTATGATCGCCTGTTCTACGTGCCTTTTACCAGAATCTCGACTCTGTCTCCCGAAATCGAGCAGCTGACTATTACGGTTGGTTCTGCTGGCAAAAACTTTTATGCCACTGGTTGGCGTGTCGGTATGAGACACACAACTTCATGCTACTAAACAATCCCGAGTGCTCATAATCACTAACATGGCTTTCCTCTAGGCTGGCTGATGGGCCCCGAGCATCTCATCAAATACGTTTCTGCAGCCCACACTCGTATCTGCTACTCATCCGTCTCCCCCTTACAAGAGGCTTGCGCTGTTGGGTTCGAAAAGGCCGATGCCGAAGGCTTCTGGGATGAGACCGTTCGCGATATGAAGGCCAAAATGGACCTCTTTAACGAGGTCTGGGATGAGCTAGGCCTCCCGTACTCCGAACCCGAGGGCGGTTACTTTGTTCTCGTCAACATGGCCAAGGTGCAGCTGCCGGAAGACTACCCCTTCCCGCCGCATGTGGCAAGCCGACCAAGAGATTTCAAGCTGGCGTGGTTCTTGATCCAGGAGGTTGGTGTTGCGGCAATCCCGCCGACGGAGTTTTATACGGATGAGAATGCGCATATGGCGGAGGATTACTTGCGGTTTGCGGTGTGCAAGGAGGACTCGGTGTTGGAAGAGGCGAAGAACAGGTTGAGGGGACTAAAGAAGTATATGAAATAGATGGAGAAAAAAATATATATATACACAATGCTTCTAAAGTATTTCTGGACGAGGGTAAAGGGCTGATGGAATATAGAAGGGAGGGGTTTTCTGTGGAGTAAACGGCAGATTGGGGAACAATAGACTTTCATTCCACAAAGGGAAATATCTGTGAAAGTACGAGTTACCAAGTCTTATGAGTTCAAGTTGTTATCTCAATGACGATCTTAGTACATGTAAGTAACATTGTGAGTTGGGATATCCGACTTTTCCAGAGCCGTGTTTGACAGAGTCATTAATGCTTTGAATCAGCCGGGCGGCCAAAAACTTTATATGCCAAAATCTACTAATGCTAATCGTTTATTTATGTACTTTAGCACTCTTTTACCTTGGGATATGACAAGAGCCTCAAATTTCCGCCCCCCTCTTATCAGCATTGACGGTGGAACTACCCGATGGGTGGAGCGACCTTCCAGCAGCGGAGCCGGCCGAAGCGCGGTTTTCTCCAGCGGGGGGGCGATGCAGGTGAGGGGCGATAGCGATCTTGATACGGAGGAGAGCCGCGGGAACGAGATTTGACCCAGCTGCTGTCAGGCGCTATACTGGATAACAGATGCGCCTTATGGTGGTACCTAGTAGCGTATGTATTTGCTATTAGTATTTATCATGGATTACGTAGCGCAACGGCAGCGCAGAACTTTGCTTACTCGAGGTAAGCTTATGTAGCGTACGATGCGATGCGAAACATAGCACAGTAGTACGTACCTAGTAGTTTTTCGGCGTATAATGCTGCCGGATACCTGGTTTCTCGTACAAAGTTGCCTCCGGCATGACGCCAATGTGTACCTCCCCAGGAGGTAGACTTATGTGAGAGGAGAGGCAGCAAACGGGGATACAGGAGGGTGGCATCGGCACAGCCCAGTGCAAAGTAAAACCACAAACACAAACAGCGCGGATCATCCACGTTTCACGCACATGTCTCCGGCTAGGACCAACGTCCATTGGCTCGTGTGCTGTGCTCTTATCTACCCGCTTGGCCAGTACCGGCATGGGCAGATGCGGAGGCACTGGGTACCCGGACTGGAGGTAGCCATAATATAGTATGGGGTAGCGGCACCCGTGGTTGGGCTGCTCTGCGCCATGCTCGGCCACGGGACCTGAACCTGGCCGTTCCTAGGAATATATACTTGTACTTGGGTACCACCGCCTCTTTCCAGGAACTCGACAACCCTTATCGCCACCTGGTACAACTACATGCGCTTGAACATCCATACCGGTGAGCACATCACACAATCAAGTTGACGAAACTGTGTCATCTTGACCGGCCATATTTCAAGCGGGATACTGCATTGATCTGAATCGGATTGTCGTACTGGTGGTTGATCCTTTGCATTTCTAATCATCTCCTGCATCATCATCGTCTTCACTTTGCTATGTCCTAGCGTCCTCTTTACAACTCTCTTCTTCCTGTTCTCCTCTCCTCATTTCAAACCATCACAATGGCACCCATTGCTATATCCCCCGAACGAGACGGGCAGTTGGACACGCTGGCAGATCTAACTGCCAAGTTTGACGACACCCTCCGCTTCTACCTCAACGGAACCAAAGTCGTTCTCGACGAAATTGACCCTGAGATAACAGTCCTAGAGTACCTGAGAGGAATTGGACTGACAGGAACCAAGCTGTACGATACAAGTCTCGCCATTGCATTTGCATCTTGATAGATGCGGTCAATCATCATTTATAGAACCAAGCTGACAAACTCTAACTGATAGTGGTTGCGGCGAAGGTGGATGCGGTGCTTGCACCATTGTTGTAAGCCAATACAATCCCACCACTAAGAAAATCTACCACGCGAGTGTAAATGCCTGCCTGGCGCCGCTTGTAAGTCTCGATGGCAAACACGTCGTCACCATTGAGGGTATTGGCAACACCAAGAGTCCGCATCCCACACAGGAACGAGTAGCAAAATCTCATGGGAGTCAATGCGGGTTTTGCACGCCTGGGATTGTCATGAGCTTGTATGCCTTGTTACGAAACAACTCGAACCCTACGCAGCATGAGGTGGAAGAAGCCTTTGATGGCAACCTGTGCCGTTGCACGGGGTATAGGTCCATCCTGGACGCAGCCAACACTTTCAGCGTCGAGAATTCATGCGGCAAGGCCAAAACCAATGGTGGTGGTGGCGGCTGCTGTATGGAGAATGGGAATGGCAAGCCTGAAGGAGGATGCTGCATGGACAAAATGAACAATGACCAGCCGATCAAACGCTTTACGCCTCCAGGGTTTATCGAGTACAATCCTGATACCGAGCTCATCTTCCCCCCTTCTCTGAAGAAGCACGAACTACGGCCTCTCGCTTTTGGTAATAAGAGGAAGAAGTGGTTTCGACCTGTTACTCTAGAGCAGCTTCTCCAGATCAAGAGTGTGCACCCACAAGCCAAGATTATTGGAGGAAGTACCGAGACGCAGATCGAGATCAAGTTCAAAGCGTTGCAGTACCCAGTGTCGGTTTATGTGGGCGACATTCCCGAGCTGCGACAATACGAGTTCAAGGAGGACCATCTCGAAATTGGTGGCAACGTTACCCTGACTGATTTTGAGCATATTTGCGAGGATGCTGTCAAACGATATGGACAGGAAAGGGCGCAAGTGTTCACGGGCATACTCAAACAGTTGAAATATTTTGCTGGCAGGCAGATCAGAAATGTCGGAACTCCTGCTGGAAACCTGGCCACCGCTTCGCCCATATCTGATTTAAACCCGGCGTTATGGGGCGCCAATGCAGTCTTGGTGGCCAAGTCATTGGCTAAAGAGACGGAGATTCCGCTGTCACAATTCTTCACAGGCTACCGAAGGACGGCGCTTGCTCAAGACGCCATCATCGCATCGCTTAGGATTCCTGTTACTGCGGCCAAGGGAGAATTCTACCGAACCTACAAACAGGCTAAGAGAAAAGACGACGACATTGCCATTGTCACTGCGGCGCTAAGAGTTAAGCTCGATGACGACGGCGTTGTTACGGACTGTAATCTCATCTATGGCGGCTTGGCTGCTATGACTGTATCGGCCAAGACTGCATCAGAGTACCTAGTTGGGAAGCACCTTGCCCAGCTAGAGACGCTTGAGGGAACTATGAGTGCTTTAGGAAACGATTTTGATCTTCAGTTTAGCGTTCCCGGCGGCATGGCATCGTATCGAAAAGCGCTGGCACTCGGCTTCTTCTACCGCTTCTATCACGATGTCCTCGCTATCCTTGGCGGGCAAAGCGAGCACGTTGATACGCAAGCTGTTGATGAAATCGAGCGATCTATTTCGTTTGGACGAACTGATCTAACCGCAGCAGCCGCATACGAACAGGAGGTCACGGGCAAATCGAATACCCATCTGGCCGCATTGAAACAGACAACCGGTGAAGCGCAGTACACAGACGACATCCCACCCCTGAGGAATGAGTTGTATGGATGCTGGGTTTTGTCAACACGAGCACATGCGAAGATTATATCCATCGATTATTCCACTGCTCTCGACATGCCTGGCGTGGTCGACTATGTGGACAGGCAAGATGTGCCTTCCGACTCGGCTAATAGGTTTGGAGCTCCCAATTTCGATGAACTTTTCTTTGCCGAAGGTGAAGTACATACAGCCGGCCAGCCCATTGCTATGATCCTCGCTACTTCGGCCTCCAAAGCCCAGGAAGCAGCCAGAGCTGTCAAGGTTGAGTACGAGGATTTACCGGCTATCTTGACGATTGAAGAAGCCATCCAGCACGACAGCTTCCATCCATTCTATCGTGAAATTAAAACAGGAGATGTGGAAGAAGCTTTCAAGAACTGTGATTATGTCTTTACGGGAACTGCACGGATGGGTGGCCAAGAGCACTTTTATCTGGAAACCAATGCAACACTGGTCGTCCCTAGCCCGGAAGATGGAGCAATGGAAATCTTTTCCAGCACACAGAATCCAAATGAGGCGTAAGTGTCTATTTCCGTTCCAGCGGTATTTGTGGGATTTTATAACTGATTCTTCTTATTTATAGACAAGCATTTGCTGCTCGCATCTGTGATGTACCGGCAAACAAAGTTGTCGTCCGTGTAAAGAGATTAGGCGGCGGCTTTGGTGGCAAAGAGACTCGATCTATCATTCTCAGCTCTGCAGTGGCTCTTGCTGCCAAGAAGACCAAGAGACCAGTTCGCTGCATGTTGACTCGAGAAGAAGATATGATCACTATGGGCCAGAGACACCCTTTCTTGGGCAAATACAAGATAGGTTTCACCAAGGACGGAAAGATCCAGGCATTTGATGTCGACGTCTTCAACAATGGTGGATGGACCTTTGATCTCAGCGCTGCTGTACTTGAGCGAGCAATGACACATGTTGACGGGTGCTACCGCATCCCTAATGCGTTTGTTAGGGGCCGTATCTGCAGAACAAACACCGTCTCCAATACGGCATTCCGTGGCTTCGGTGGACCTCAGGGGATGTTCATCATGGAGACTTGCATGGAAGAATGCGCAGACCGATTGGGCATCCCCATTGACCGACTGCGAGAAATCAACTTCTACGAGCCTCTTGGCCTGACGCACTTCAACCAGGCTGTCACGGATTGGCATGTCCCGCTCATGTATAAGCAGGTACAGGAAGAAGCAAACTATGCAGAGCGCAAAGATGCCGTAACCAAGTTCAATGAGAGCCACAAGTGGCGCAAGAGGGGAATGGCCCTCATTCCTACCAAGTTTGGAATCTCCTTCACGGCTCTTTTCCTTAACCAGGCGGGAGCCTTGGTACATATTTATCACGATGGCTCCATCCTGGTGGCTCATGGAGGCACTGAGATGGGCCAAGGCCTTCACACTAAGATGACCCAGATTGCTGCACAAGCTCTACAGGTTCCTCTGGATAACGTCTTCATCTCAGAAACGGCCACAAACACGGTTGCCAATGCTTCTTCAACAGCTGCGTCAGCTTCTTCTGACTTGAACGGATATGCCATTTTCAACGCCTGCAAGCAGCTCAATGAGCGACTAGCTCCTTATAGAGAGAAGCTTGGCCCGCAGGCCACGATGAAAGAGCTGGCTCATGCTGCCTATTTCGACCGCGTCAACTTGTCGGCCCAAGGCTTCTACAAGACCCCTGAGATTGGGTACACATGGGGAGAGAACAAGGGCAAGATGTTCTTTTACTTTACACAAGGAGTGGCACTCTCCGAGGTAGAAATCGACGTGCTAACCGGCACGTGGACCTGCCTCCGATCAGATATAAAGATGGACGTTGGCCATTCGATTAACCCGGCGATCGATTACGGCCAGATCCAAGGCGCTTTCATGCAAGGCCTAGGGCTCTTCACTATGGAAGAGTCGCTGTGGCTACGAAACGGCGCCATGGCCGGCAATCTGTTCACGCGCGGCCCTGGAGCATACAAGATCCCTGGCTTCCGCGACATCCCTCAGGAGTTTAACGTCACGCTCCTCAAGGACGTCGAATGGAAAGATCTGCGGACGATCCAGCGCAGCAGAGGTGTGGGCGAGCCTCCACTATTCATGGGCAGCTCCGTATTCTTTGCCATTCGAGATGCGCTCAAGGCTGCACGGAGAGACGCCGGTATCGAAGCCAAGGTGGGAGAAGATCATGGCGAAGGGCTACTCAGGTTGGAAAGTCCTGCGACGCCCGAGAGGATCAGATTAATGTGTGAGGATGAGATTATGAGAAAGGCTCGCGTGACTCCCAAGGAGGGAGAGAAGAGCTTCTTTGTGGCGATATAAGTGCATGTTGCAGTGCATCATATCTGCATATGCACTCACTATGTAGATATTAGCTGGGACGATTTCTTTTGATTGGCCCTTTTGTTTTCCCCTGCCCTTCTTGGCGTGCTCATCGCTCGGCTATGATTCGAGGGCCATTTTCGTCTCTACGTTATGCCAATCATGTATGTAGCGACCATGTGATATTAGCGCTAGGATTATTGATATTAAAAATCCGTTGTCTCTTGCTTCAAAATTTCAAAATTGAACATCCCTACTGATACTATTATAACTCAGCCAAATTTAGAAATCCCAGCTTGGCTTATCCCGCGATTTTCCGTCAAAGACAGAGGCATTATGTAATACTATTAGTGTCCTCGAGGTGCGCCGACCCGAGAAGTTCCGATGCGATGCGAAAATCGTCGAAGCAAGTGCCGGATAGAAGGCACTCAGCGCTGGGGAAAGCCTGCCATTAGCCGCGGAGACAATTGTCTATTCTACCTATAGTACCTATATGTTGCCGATCTATATTCCTAATTTTCCTTTGTTTACGGCCAAGTATGTATGAATAAAATGGGCTGTGCTATTACTAAATTATTCATTCATTCTTACGAGACAGGGAGAGATTACTGCCGGAGCGCATGGGCAGGCCCTTTTTGATGTCCATCTTTTGAGCCCCTTGTATAATATTTGACCCATGCCTGTAGTTCCCGAGGTCCTGCATGTGGTTTTGCATGGTTTATGTACTATGTATGTCATGTAGCTCGGGACGAGCGAAGCGACGACATCCGACCCGTGAGGCCGGTGGCTGGCCTGGACCGGGAATATGGACGGGAGGGCGATTAGCCCGGCGGAGCGCTTCAAAAGCCTGCTAGACAGTTTTGATGTTGTGGCAGGCTGTATGTGTTGGTAGCATGCATCATCTTGATTTCCTAGTGGTGTCGTGCTTTAGATGAGAGGGACGAAGGGCAGAGAAGAGATGAAGAAAAGCTTTAAATCGCAGTGTCCAATGAGGATGCGGATATTAAATATGACAGGGACCAACCACCAGGGAAAACCCATCAATATCGCGCTGGATGTTACCTGTTCGTGTGTTATGCAGCTCAGCAAATTGGGGCGGTTGGGCGACATTGAGGCCCCCCTCCCCTACGAGTTACGGCGGTTACAGTTAGGTTGCCTGCCCGTTCCAGGCTGTCTAGGGATTCCCGTACAGCGGCTCAGCAGCGCCCATCAGCGCCCATCACCTGCCAACATCTGGCTGCAATTCGCGGGCCCTACCTAGGTAGTTAGCGCAGCGCAGGTACTGCGCCCAGTTCTTTAGCGCCAAGCCCCGCGAGACGAAAAGGCTTCGGTGCCAGGTCCCCACCGGAAGGGAGGATTTTGGGGGGGGCCGCCCAGCTGAACAAGGCCCGGGTGCCTCAACGCAGCTGCGCTTTTGCGCTTCCTGCTGATGCGCTTCCTGCTCTCGTGCTCGACTTAAATCTCGGTTTGCTGGCCAAACTCTGCGTCTGCATCCCATTCCTGCCTGGCAAAAGGGCCGCGATTCCTGATTCATCACGAAACACCGGCCGAACGAGACGACGCTTGTCTGCGCCCCCCGAAGACCGGCCATACGGATCGGCTGGTGGTCGGACCTCACACGACCTCTTTTTTTCCTCGTCTGTATTTTTGCGTCTGTTCCTCTTGCCCTCGTGTGTTGACGGGGGAGACCCTGCGTCGCCTTCCTGTGGGAAAAGGGCTGGCCGCACAGCTTCGGGCAATGCTGGTTGCGCCATCGGGACCGCTCGAATCGACAGTTGCGGCGTCTTGTTCTCCCTCCCTCCCACTCGATGATCTGCAGTCTTGTCGTGTTTGCGTAACCCTTCCGAGGCGGATAGGTCCAATGGGAGACCGAGCAGTCGGGAGATGAGAGAGAGAGATTCCGAGGGACAAAGACAAAGGACAATAGTAAAACAAAAAAACAAAAACGGCATATACGAAAGGGGGCAGCACCTTGAGCGAGCACAGCAGCAATGAGTGAGCGCAAGGCTGCCGGTACCACGGCCACGGCGTCGGGCGCCATGGATGCCAAGGGAGGCGGAAACAAGGTGGTGGAGCGAAGCAGGCTGGCTGCTAAAGGCGATGCGGCCGAGCGCAACAAGGATAAGGATCGCAATGCGGCTGGAGGTGCAGGGAAGAATCCTAAGAAGAGACGCAAGGTTAACCACGGTACGCAAGATCTTGCCTTCCCACCCTCCCCTTTTTGTTTTCCAGTTATCGTCATGTTTCCCGAGGGAGTTTGAGAAGGAGGGCAGCCGACAGCCGACAGCCTTGGAACACGACGGGCTGCTTTGCTGCCAGTTTCTGTTTCTCTTTTCTCCTCCGCACGCCTTCAGTTCGGTCGAATTCATGTGGCCGGTGACTCTGGAGGCGCAAATGTCGAGCGTGTGTATATGTGTATGCAGCATGGGCTAACGAGTAGCTGCCGGCCTCTCCCTCTCTGCCTTTGCAGCTTGCGTGTATTGTCGCAGATCTGTAAGTCTGACCCGCTTTGGAAGGAGAGGAGACGGGATGTGATGTGATGCGATGCTACTTGCATATGAAAAGCATGGCTGGCATATCATCCGTTTCCCCTCTTTACATGTAACGAAAAGGAGATAAAAAGAGAAAAGGGACTGTGGCTAACTGATTGGAACTTGGATGCGAGTAGCACATGACATGCGATCTTGTAAGTACATCTCTTGCATAAACCTCCGCAGAGGGGTTCTCTCTCTCTCTCTTTTTTTTCCTTTTTCTTTTTTTTTCTTTTTTCTTTTTTCTTTCCTTCTCTTCTTCCCGTCTGCCACGGCAGCCTTCATGGGACTATTCAAGACCCCTCTCTATCCACCACTCTTCCTACTGGCCAAACACTCTGATTCGACATGCTAATGCCCGGGATAGGAGCGGCCATGTACTAGATGCATTAAGCGAAATATTGGCCACCTCTGCCACGATGAGCCCCGCGAATCAGAGCCAAAGAAAAAGACGGCTACCGCCAAAACCGCCTCAACAGCTTCCGTAGATGATTCCGACACCATGTCGCAGTCTGATTTGGGTCACAGCTCCATCTCGAGCGCCATGGGCCCACCCCCAGCTTTCGATGGCGCCAGGCAGAGGGCAAATTCGGGCATGGGGTCTGGAGGCGTGCTTGGACAAGGCAATCCATTGTCTCTTGTGCAACCCGACACTTCGTCGGGCTTGCAGTCCAGCGCGTTGAGCAGCAACGGTAACGCGAATCAATGTAAGCCCTGCCAAAAGAAAAGAAAAAAGGGAGCCCCCCTTTCCCCTTTTAATTACCTTTGCAATTCGCTCTTTTGTCCTTTTTCTCCATTCTATCAAAATGCTTGCCCGTCCTCTAGCCCAGTTTCTCTGTCACGATTATGATGTTTTGGGTAACTAACAGCGAAGCAGTTGCGGGCTTCTCGGATGCTTGGCTCACGGCGCAAAATTTCCATGAGATGAATACCTATAATCCCAACTACATGATTGGACCCGAGGTCACTCACGAGTTTAACTTACTCAACGACTTTCTACACAACAGCCTTCTCGACGAGAGCAATATTGCCTCTAATGAAGCTCAGAATAGTGCAGCCTTTAACCGGCCAGGAGGGGCATCAGAGATGCTTGGCAGCTTTGGTAGTAACAATGATTTAGCAGCAGGTGGCTCCCTACAGGCACAACATATTCGAGGGTCCATGCTACCTCCTCCCAATGTCGATAATAAAACCACTAGGTCTGACAAAGACAAGACGCGGGAATACTATCTCCAGGCTGCGGACCCTTCTGGAAACGATAATCCAGAAGAGCGTATGTCTCGCGTGCTCAAGGCCAAGTACGATGCTGGCTTACTCAAACCTTTTAACTATATCAACGGTTATGCACGGCTCGGCAAATATCTGGACGGGCACATCGCGCCCTCTTCAAAACAAAAGATTTTGCGGACGATCAACCAGTTTCGGCCCAAGTTTAGAGAAAAGGCCCAGGGCTTGACGGACATGCAGCTCGTGTACGTAGAGATGTGGTTTGAGAAACAGCTGATGGACTACGATCGGGTATTTGCGAGTATGGCAGTACCGGCGTGTTGCTGGAGGAGAACGGGAGAAATCTTCCGAGGAAATAAGGAGATGGCAGAGCTGATTAATGTACCAGTGGATCAGCTGCGAGATGTTAGTGTCTTCTCCCTCCTCCCTCTATATCCCGACACAATTTCTTCTGGCAACAAATAGGCAAAGATACTAACAAGATCGTTTAGGGCAAAATCGCGCTACATGAGATCCTCACGGAAGAGTCCATGGTGCGATATTGGGAGGAATTTGGCACCATCGCCTTTGATCCGGCACATGATACGTTGTTGACGGCGTGCTCCCTCAAGAATCCTAGTGATTCCTCAGATCATCCCATTATCAAGTGCTGTTTTTCTTTTACGATACGGCGTGATGAACATAAGTTGTGAGTTGTCTACTACGGACACTACAGAGCAAGCATCAAACCAGAAGCTGACAAAAAAAAATTGATAGGCCCGCGCTAATTGTTGGCAATTTCTTGCCACACGATCCTCCTGTATCATGAAATAATATACTTTCCGATTAATGAAACACTTTTTATTGCTACTTTTAGCTTTTATTATGCTCGGACGAGAAAAGGACGACATATTGGACACGGTATGGAAGGACCGGTTTATATAACCAGCAAAGGCTGGGGGACAAAAAAAAAAAGGGAGCTTCTACGCCTTGGATTCCTGGGCATGACTGATGGCGCAAACATTTTCGATATTGCTTTTGTCTTTTTTTTTTTTTTTTTTTTTTTTTTGTTCTTCTTCTATCCTCTCAACGTATCTCAATGATGCTTTATGCACTGTCTAGATTCCTTGAAGTTGTTGCAGAGAAGTTATTGCGGAGAGTTGTTGGGGCTGATGCTGATGAAAATGGGAAAATTTCCTTTTGGGTTGGCTAGAGACTTCAGGTACATAACCTATTTGAACATACAGTAGTGTTTTAATTGGATAATTGCTACTGCAACGAGCACGCACTAAGGGAGGCTGAGGCCAGAGTTGATGAAGAAGCACACACGTATAGCACCTATAGTAGGTAGGTAGTACTTGTGCAGAAGTACCTGCTTCCTGCTTTGAAGCGCCTGCATGCGGGAGCAGCTTCCCTTTGATGGGAGGAGGAAGGAGTGGTGCTGCTGACTTTTGCGTGAGGCCATTTCCCAGTGACTTCGCTTCTTTTCCCTTTCCCTCCTTTTTTTTCCGCCTTCTCCTTTTCTTCCCTCTCTATGGCTGTCTGTGTGATACTATTGTTTGTGACTGGCATTTTCTTTTCTTGACACTGCTGTGATACCAGGCAGTGCGACACCTGTGTGATCAAGTAATCAAGGCATTTGACCTCGCATATCTCAACTTCCACCACATTCTGTGCCGTCGTTTCGCGTCGTCAACATGCCTCCCGAGGATATTGCTTCCGCTGCGAGGATAAGAAAAGTTCGCTCTTTCATAGGTACTTATCTCAACGTCGCGGCCTTCATCAGTACAGCTCCTAGATAATCATCTAACGGGTCTATGGTTATAGATTTCTCCGCGACTCTTCAGTCCAAGCTTTGTGATCCCCTAGAAGTTACAGATATCGAAGTGCTCATCGCGGACACGGGTCATCATATTCAGCAGATTCATCATGCAATCCAGCCAGGCTCAGGCGGCCATTTGCCCTCAAATTTGGCCAAAGATGCCGAACGACACGGGGGTAATCTATGGAATCTTTGCGTAAGGTTAAAAAGAGGGAAAGATGCGACTAAACCGGGGCAGAACACCAAGCTGGTCGCCAAGGCTCGACTTTTCGCCTTGAATATGCTGGAACTGGGCCGAAGTGCAGGCAGAGCTAAGAAAGACGACACATCTGAGGCCGTGGATCTTATGAATCTGGCTTTGGAACTCGCTAAATTCTGCATGGCAGTATCAGATTTGGATTCAACTAGGTTAGCGCTACAAAAAGCTGCAGAGTTGATGGAACGTCTCAAAGCAATCTCTGTTGAATCCTTAGGTTCCATCGGACAAAATAAAGGAATGAAACTTGACGCAGAATATTTGGCAATGAGGACAGCTATGGTATGTATACGCCCTTCCATATACTTTTGGCATGCCTTTCTAACAAGTTGGAGAGTCTTGGAAAGAAGATAGGCTCGACGTTGCAGAGCACATGTTTGGAAAAATTGATCATCTTCGACCGGCGCTTGATGCTAGCTCTGCAGAGATCATAGCTGATACGTTTCATCGCATTGGATATGATCTTTCTTCAAAAGGAGACTATGGTATGGCTGTGAAGTGGTTAAAGCGTGCGTATGATATTATATGTCGTCAAGCGCTGGATAAACTTTCAGTCAGAGGGCTGGAATTGCGATTGGCAATATTTCAAGGACTCGTCCGCGGGCTTCTTGACACTGATTCACAGGAGTGTTTTCAAGAAGCTGATAAATTGATTGAATATATTGAGTCTGAGATTGGAGATAAGCCGCTGGTACTGCACTTGCGCCTTGAGCTTCTCCAGAAAGCACCAGAAGTAGTGTTTGATGTTGAAGCCTACTCTGGTGTACTCCATCGCATGGTTAGATCGTTTGACTATTCCGATATGACTTTCATCTTTCTCTTACATCATCTCAAGAATTTGAGAGAAAGAAACCATCGCCTGGCGCGCGGTCTATTGGATGAGCTTTTGCTGCGGCACGTCATTGCATCAAAGAATAGTGAATGGATGGGTAAAACTATCGTGCGAAGGATCTGGATGAATACAGTGGACGATGCCGATTCTATCTCAGCCTTGACAGATCTTCAAAATCTACTAGACAAGGTTTACGATGGCCTTTCAGAGCCCCTGGAGTCTGACATCGCTGGTGCAGCGCACTCTGTGAGTTGAAGTCCAAAACATTCGCATATACTTCATTATCTGTGCTAATTGGATAGAAGGTCATATGGAATAAAATAGAACCCGTTGTTTCCAACGATCCTGTTGAAGTTGTTGAGGCTTGGTGCTCGATCGCCCTACACACAATATTCATTAATAGTGGCGAAGCCAACCAGGGCAAATTTAGCAGAAAACTCATCACATGTGCCCTGAATCTCAGAGATACGGAAAAAGCTCGACAAGTTTTTCATTCTATGCCTGATAATGTTAAAAACCATTTTCTCACGAGATACCTCACATTCAAAGTATCCCTCATTGACCAGGATCATGAGCTTGGCTGCGAGAGCATCGAGTATCTCAGTAAACTCTCCGACTGCTCAGAAGGTCGGGACATATTGTATGCATGTATCCGCGAGGCACAACAGGCAGGAGATAGACAATGTGCCTTGGCGGCACTTCAAGCCATTATCAGAAGTTGGAATGGCAATGAAGTGACGCCGAGCAATTTGCCATCAATATTACGCTGTTCAATACGCCTTATCCAGCTAATTGAAGAAGATGACGATACGGGGAAAGTTCATCTTCAGAACACGGTATATGCCGACGATTTATGCTATTTATTTGAGAAAGGTAATTTTCAACATCCTCATGCGAAGTCTTTGCTAACTCTACGAATGTAGCAGCTGAATGCGCTGAACAGAATCCTCAAGACGGCGATAACAAAGTGTTTACTGTGTTTGAATTACACTGGTTTCGAAAAAATGCATACAATTTGGGCGTTTTAAAGTGCGAAAGTTGGGAGGTTCCTTATACTATCCGGATCTTCAAAGCTTGCCTTGCTTTTTCACACTTCTATCTCAAGGATTTACCCGCATCTGACGGCAGTGAGATAGCAATAATGGCCATGCGTTGTCACTTTGTTGTCTCATCAGCGCTGATATCGCTAGCTCGAACGGAAGACAAGGTAGATGACCAATTACAATACTACCTTGAAGCTAGACGGCACATCAGGGAATTCGATGCCATGTTAGAGATCAAATTTGATACGACTCAATATGAAAGCGTGATAATAGATTTAATGGCCAAGCTCTCTACGTTGCTTGTGTTCGACTTTGAAGCGGCCACTGCGTTGAAAAACTGGGACTCCTTAAACGAAATCGTTCGAAAAGCAAAGACATGCCAAGACGAAGTCACTTACAAAGCAATGGGGGACTGCATACTGAGAAGCAGAGCCCCGGCAAAAGGTTAGCGCGTAGATAAAATCGTCCATGTCACTTCGTGGATGAGAAAACTAACTTCATATGCCCCTAGTAATGTTTTCAACCATGCGACTAATAATTAATGAGATTTTCGAGTTGGAGAAGTTTGATTACGAGAAACTCATGAAATACATTCGTTGCATGTTTCAAGTGATTCTGGGAACGGACGACATTTCAGCTCTCCAGCTTCTTGAACAAGCATTGCAGATAGCCAGCGAGGCGAACGAAGTAGGTTTCCCTTTATGAGAAGACGTTTTCGGCAGTAGTATAAACTCACCTCATTGCTTCACAGATTGGAAATCAGCTACCGTCTGCTGAAGTAGAATGGCTTGTCGCCACTACCTTTAACCATGGTATCGAATACTACGTCCGAGGAGAAGCAGATGCATGCCATCGCTGGTCGCTGAAGGCCATGAATCTAGCTAATTATGTTGATGATGGCGGTGTGATGAGAGACATGCTGCATGATAAATTTGCCCAGTTGCAATTTGACGGGAGACTTGGGCGAATGGCGACGGCAGTATCTCGATGAGTTTTTGTATGCTCTTTTTCATTTGCAGACGCATACTTTGAGGGTTGATAAAATAAATAATGGACAAGCGCCGTATCAGACCTGGAGTAGACGGTCGACGATGGTGATCATTTAGGAGTAAGGACTGAGATGAGCGTGAGAGTGTACGTAAGGGTGAAATTATCTTGCTATCAATAATCGAATACCAGTCAATAGTATACAGGCTATTTATTATATCGCATGTGTTCTTGAAAAGAAGCCTCATTACACATACAAGACAAATGCACTACACGCTTTCATCATAAAAAAACAGAGACAAGGGAAAGGGAAAAGAGGGCTAGAAAATGGGTAAAGCACAATAAAAATGCTCTCGTGGTATCTCCTACTCTTGCGTCCGTGCTTGACAACGTTTTTAAACAGAAACGAATTAAAAAAAAAAAGGCAGAATTGGTATATGTATATATAAAGAAGAAGAAGAAGAAAAAAGAAGCTTCTTCTCTTTCCAAATCCGTGTGTAACAAAGAATGAAAAAAAGGGGGGGAGGCAATGCAATCGCCACATCGATGGGTATGCGTGAGAGTAGATTGGTATCAAATGTCGTCCCTGCGACCACTTTTTTATTTTCCAAATCCAATAGGTAAGAACAATTCCAAGGTTCAAAAAAAAAAAAGGCGAGTCGTGATTTCTCCCGTGACCCCCTTTACCCAATAGAAAGTCGCAAAATAAAGGGACAACAACAACAAAAAAAAAAAAATACAGGTAGTGGAAAAATTCAAATTGAACGGCGTTTCGTCTTAGATTTCGTGTATCATTTCCAAGTTCCTATCGCTCTTCATTGTGATCATATGATATTCGCAATGCTTAGCCTGTCTCTGCCTGCTGGACTAGCAGTCGGTCTCGATGGTTCGCTACCATATTTTGGAACTTCTGAAGTATACCGAGGGGCATCTGATAGCCGTTGAATAGCAGGCATACTTGGTGTTGGGGACTCCCTCTTCACCTGAGGAGGCGGGAGAGTTGTCCAGTTGCTTATGGCATGAGTAGTCGTTCCTAATGCTCGAACCGCCGTCTCTAGCTGAGACCATCCGCCCCAATCTCTGCGCTCTTCTTCACTCAACCCAGTTCTCATTACTGTACTAAAAAGGGCATGTCCAAGCCCGCCAGATGGAATAGCATCTAACTTGGGGGGCGGATAATCGCGATCGTGCCCTTCGTTCCAAACCCAAGATCTTGAAGGTGAAGCATGAAGGTCGGCGGAGACATATGCTATAAGCTCTTCGTCTCTAGCTAGCGAAACCAAAAGGGTTGATGGATCTACCGGAGATCTTGCAGATGAAAAGGCATGAGGTGATGTTGTTCTTGCTATATGGCTTGAATACTCCCCTCGCTTGACACTTAACGTTGAGGTGAAAAATGAAAGGTACCTCCCACAGGCAGTGGTAATATCGCGCCTGGCATCTATTGCCGCCAAAGCTCGGATACAGGTGATGGCATGGTCCAAGTATCCAGTCAATAGCAAAAATAGAGTAGAGCGAAAAATGTGAGTTGTTAAAAGCGCAGTAGCACCATCAGCAGGAGATCCCGTTCGGTTAATCAGCGATGCGGTCTCTATCGCAATGTGCATACAGCTTTCAATAGCAGCAAGGCGAGTATCGACATCGCAGCTAGGATTCAAATTATGACGGTGGAGGAGCAGTCGTGCATGGAACAAGTAAGTAAGAGGCGCCAAGAAGTGAGGCGCCAATGCCACTGTGCTCGCCGGATCACAGGCTGGAGGGAAAGTGTTTAGGCATTTCTTGAAATGCGCATCAAAATTCGCAAGCTGTGTAGGCGGTATTGTGAGAGAGTCAGTGGCTTTCATGATGGAGGTGTAAGACCGCACAACATGGATAACGGCTAGAAGAGAATGCGTCAGCGGTTCGGCCCCGGTAGGAACTCTCATCCCGTCATCTCGAATATACTGGTCGTCCACAGCAGCCGGCAGATCAAGGCTGCAATCTGCATCGTCAATAAGAAACGGATGGCCCATCTCGGTGGCCAATACCCTGTCTAAAATGTAAATCGCCCACCAAGTCCTACGTCGCATTTCTCCTTCAATCACAGGCCAAGTCTCCGAATCGAAATACAAGCCTAGATCCTGGCCAACGCGCACAGCATTGCCCAGCCAGTTCCACGCCGCAGATTTCAGATTCATTTCATTAAGGCAGATAGTTATGAGGATCAGAGCTCTTGCGTCATCGAGGGTGTGATGATTGCACCAGGGATCTATTGCCTTGCGTGCCGATTCCAATAATTCGGCAGGCCTGTAAAAGGTAACAGGGGTCGCAGGCAATTCGGTAGTAAACAAGCTGCCGGTTGCCAAGACGGCGAAGAATAAACACAAGAAGCCCGGTGGCATACGAGGTGGGCTCGCTCTATATAAATCATCAACCATAGCTTTAAAGGTAGGCAAATGAACGATGGGAAACATGGTATGCGCCGAAACATAATATGTGTTTAGCAGCTGGTCGGCAACCTGACGAGAGGGCAATTCCGGCGTAGGAGCATCAAACACGGCTGGTGCTGACAGGCGGTGCAGCGCCGGAGGTTTCCAAACGCCTTTTGAGAAGCTTCGTAGGTTCATTCTTGCCAGGGCAAGATCAGGGACTGGTTGAGGCCTCTTGCGCGGTCTGCTCTCAGACTCGATGGGAGGTGGCATCTGGGAAGATGATCGCTCTCTTGATTCGACATCGATATCCATGGAGCCATCTCTCTCCTGCAGCAGCCGACGGAGGTTGTTATTGTCGCGCCGGACCTTTTCAATCTGTTTCTCCAGATCCTGCACCTGCTTGATAGAAGACATTCTCCGATTTGTTTCCTTGGTGAACTGGCACTTGACATTTCGGCTAGAGCATTCAGAGCAACTCGTCGTCTCAGTCGCATCACATTTGACTTTTCTCTCTCGACATGCGTCGCAGCTGGGATCTTTCCGTCTTTGACGGTACGCCCTCTTTTGCCCTTGCACGCCTGAGGTGCCCGACAGCTGGGAGCCCCCAAGTCCTTGGCTACTTACCAGAGAGTCGGTTGAAGCAACAGATTCACGACCCATGATGGAAGTTGGCGGCATGGCCGCATAAGGCGGAAAGCCCTGGTTGACGGGAGGCAAAGTTGGGATGCCGAGGGGCTGAGGCGGTGTCGGGTTTGGTCTTCCTGCTGCACTCAGCATGCTTCCAAGGTACCTCGACGGAGGCCGGGGCGACGTTGCAGATGAGACAGATGACGAGTCGTATGACCGAGTTGAAGGGTTGGGAGATCGTGGATAAGGATTGTGCGATGTTTCTGCCATGGCTTCGGGGTGATTTGATCAAGCCCAAGCACACCAAGCCACCAGCCTGCAACGTTGATAGACCCGTCCGTCGTTGCTTTACCGATGCAGAATTAAGTTTGGTGCTGTGTTAGGCAGTTGAGTGACCCAACCGATCTGGCTCTCGGCACTAGCGGAAAGGAACTCCGCGTGCCGTATTCGAGGGGGCCTGTATTACGCCAGCCGTCGATGTCTTCTAGAACCAACGGCTCGATGGCGGCGCCGAGTTCTGGGAGCGAAGTGGCTGAGAAGAGGGAAGCGAGAACCACGGCCACGGGGGAGAGTGGGGAGAAGGGAAACGCAAAACGAAAACAAGGCTAGCCAAGGAATAAAAGCTGCTTCGAAATGCAAACTATTGATTGGGTATGGGCAAATCCGTACGGCGCCTCAGCCGGCTCCGACCTGGTCCTGTCCTGCGATATGGGACAGAATCTATATCGAGCTTCGGCTGTGGCACTGCAGTTGAAGGACTTGGCTCGCAAAATCCACAGCGGCCCTCCCGTTTAGTGAAGCTGTCGCAAAGACGGCAAGCCGGCATCTGACATGTGCAAATTGGGACACGGCGGCGATGACGCGGTCTGCGCTGCGCTCAGCAACTGCAACAAACAGACAGCACGGGAGCGGGAGCTGGTGCCCAGGCCCAAAAGGTGCGCCGCCGGAGGTGACGATGGGCGAAGACGCTCGCGACCAAGGAGACCAAAGAGGCCAAAGAGACGCCTGGAAGGGGCTGGCTGGTCGTTTTAAGACGGCGGCCGATGCTGTGACTGCCGAGATGCAAGCAATGCCGCGCGACGAGAGCCAGGTCTGGTATGTGAAGCAAGCAAGAGCAGCGTGGAGGAGGGGTGTGAGGGAGGCGGCGACTCGGTGCAGGTATACTAGCAGGTAGACGCTGGTAGTGGCATCGCCTCGCGGCCCCAAGCGGGTTACAGCAGCGATGTGCTGGTACTGTATCAGTCCAGTATGCGTGCTCCTCCGTCATCCGCCCATTAAAGCAGATTCGGAAATATATCTGGATTGGCAGGCGTGGGGCTGGCAAGGCCACACCACCCTCTAGCACAGGTAGAAACTGACCAGTCGCGATCAGCCAAGGCTAATGTGTGTTTCGAGCGCCAGCTGGGCGCTGGAGCATTGCATTGACTCCAGGGACGGCACCACCCCCGTCGTGATCAATCGGGCCTGCTACCGGGTCTCTCCCAGGTCATATGTCATGCCGCGCCGCGAACCACCGCCGCACACTCGCTGCATGGGTTGCTCTTCCTCGTCAGCTTCTCTTCTTCTCCCTTGTTAATTTCCGATGATTTGACTGTTTAGATTTGGATATGGAGCCGCTTCAGCCCGAAAACACAATACGACACGCTTCTTACCAGACTCTATTCATACTCGCAAGACAGCTGTGCGTGCTGCAACGTAAAGACGATTGGCACACACACACAAAAAAAAAAAAAAAGAAGGGAGAAAAAAAGAGGTTCTAGAATAGTCAACCAAAGCAAATCAGTTGATCGAGAGATGGCTGTCTTCAGATACCCAAATTCCTAGTAGGTATATCCTTGAAACGTCTGGGTCGCCCAGAGTCCTCGCTGCATGTACGCACAGCAGGCGAAGAGCCAAGTTTGCTGTATTATACTCGCACTACGGAATCCAAACAGCTTCTACTGATGGTTGACAAACGGCGATTCCGATCCGACGACCAACCCCACTCACAGATAATGAAGCTGGCGGTCACCGGTACGGTATTCTGTTACCCCTACTCCGTACACGCACAGAAGCGAGGTGAAAATGAACGAGCCACACAAACTACTTCGCAACGATGGTGATAATACGGCGCGCGTCGTCCCATCTACGGACCGCTCAAACCTGTATCAAGGCGCATTTGGCCAGGCCTGCCAAGCTTCATACGGCATGTGGCTCCCTCCGGGGCCGAATCCGCCTATTTCGGGACATGATGTGCACCAGCGCTCCGTGGACAGGGGATGGTAAGCTTTTTAGCCAATTTTCCTCGATGCCGACTGGCTGCTGCTGCCGTCTCCAGACAAGATTCGCCTTTGGGAAAAGGGTACTGCTGCTACTAGTAGGATCCGGCTACTGCTCTGTGCCTAGTATGAGGCACACCGCATATCCACACGTTGTTTGCTTGGGCACGCCGCACCACTGTAGGCACTTGCGTGCTTGTTCCGGAAAATCAAGTCGCTTGCATGCCGCGTGGCCCGAAATCCCCTCTCAGAAATTCTGATGTGTGCTCGCACCGCTAAACAATAACAAGCGTCCGTCATTGTTGATCAGATTGAGCGCTTATCCTCAGCAACGTCAGGAATCCGACGTGGCGGTTGTGGAAGCTGAAAACTGTAGTCGAGGCTTTCGTCCGCGAGCTCGCGCTTGTTCTGGAACGCCAAATTAGGCACAAACAGTGCTTCTCTGCATTCTAGCGCGTCCGCATGACGAACATTGCTGTAGCATCAACCCCGCAAGTAGGACGGATTCTTCCGTAGTGGTCAACATACTCTCTTACGAAGACGCAACGCTCTCGCTCTCAACAGAGCCCCTTGTTAGGCCGAGCCAGGGCGAGTCCTCGCAGTAGCAGTACAGAGTACCATACTAGCACTGCTGCTAGTATTGCTTGGTACCCTAACCAGAGTGAAATCCACAATAATAAACCATCTCGCCTGGTTAAACGGATGAATTGGTACTGTGTGGCTCTGTGCTAGCTTGGTAGGACGCTCTCAGAGGATGGCCAAAAAGTCGGGATCCTCGCATGAAATTAGGCTCATTTTTTGCCCTCTGCCTGCCTCGCTCTAGCGATCAAGCGCGTGGCGTCTGAAGCTAACGTGTCACCACCCACCACGCTCATTCAAATTTCAGTGGCCGCGGCCAAGAGGTGGTGGGCGAGCCTAAACTTGACCGATTCGAGGCTGTCCCCCGAACCGCCGGCCGGGACCCCGACGGGAACGATAGAGTGCCGTAGTAGCATCAAGAGATGGACAAGGAGAGCTGGCAGGGCTGTTGCTCACGGAATGACGCAGGCGAAGAGGACGACCCTGCACGTTGCCGTCTAAACAGTCGAATGCCAAGCCCTAGAGCTTGTGTCTGCTCGTGCATGAGGTGGTTGGTCCTTGCAAGCAGGACAAGCAGATGCCGCACTGCGCGTGGGCGCCAATGGCGTGGCTGTATCCGCTGAGGAGGGCGCCGAAAGGTGACGAATCTCTCGAGTTGCTTCACGCTGTGGAGCAAACATTCGGGTTGGAGCCGAGTGAGCCGCCGTCTGTAATACGAGTAATGCAAGAATGCCCCGTGCTTGTACATACTTGTCCCTGCAAGCATCGTTTGCCCCCAATCCCCATTACTCCGTGCTCTGTTGCTCTTTATAGAGCGGATAAGGTGTAAGCTTCGGTTCTCGGGACTTGATACAGCCTCTTCGATAACCACGTAACTAAATGTGGCCGAACTGTATCCCCTTTGCTCTCTCGTCCTTTCTTCTTCTCTGTATATATTATGAAAGGAAAGATGGACAAGATAACAAAGAGAAACTGCTATAGGCTCTTCTTTCCTCCCAAACATGGCCTCTAGATTTAGAACTTTAAGATTTAGATAGACGTGATGAAGATGGTAGAGATGTTGACATACTGGCAGGCCGTTGAAAACAACCCCGCATCGAGCGGCTGCGGCATAGTTTCACCACCTGCTGCATATCGGCATGCTGTGTAGCAAAAATACGGAGCAGTGCCCGAGGCACCAGATTGGGGAGAGAGTACCGGGTGCCGGGTGTTGGTGAGCCGAGCAAAGCGCTGGAGAGGACCCTGGCCAACACTCAGCTCCATGGCGGCTCTGCGGCAATGTGCAACAAAGACGAGCCAGAGAGCGCGTGGCGCCGTCCTAATAGGCCAGCGATCGGGAGTCTCCGGAAGATTGCAACATTTAATTGTGCTTCGTGACGCAAGGCCGTGCCTGGGCATGTCGTAAATGTACCGCTGGGTCAACAGCATGGAATACCCAGGTATCTGAGTGAGACCGGCATGGCGGAGACAAGATGGGGAGACAAGATGGAGCCAAGACTAGAGGAACTAGAACCTGGGGGGTCCTAATGGCAAGAGCGGAGAAAAAGGGCTAGCACGAAAGATAGCAGTAAGATTCATCCGAGAACCTTCGTTTAGCTCTTTTCCGAAGACCGAGAATAGCAAGATGTCGAACAGAGAGGCAGCGTTTGGGCTCTGTGATATGGCCTCGAGATTCTCAGCCGCCTGAGCTTTCTTACAAAGCCCTGGCACGGCTATATAACACTGCCAGTAAGGCGCAGTAGCTTGAGATGCTGTGCGAAGCGCTGCACAATAAAGACAGAACGGGTTGATGATCGCCCGAAGTCTTCCTGGCTGCGAGCCCAGAAACATGGTACGCTCAGTGCGACGCGCAGCATAACCGCTCGGACTACTCCGTGGTGAAGTCGCATCGGTTGTGGGCTAACTTGGCACACTCACAGGGTGCACAGTGCCCATCGCGTGGTGTCTGGCGGCGATGGTGATTGCGTACTTGTATCTGCACCACCGCCTCCGTACCCACAGGGGGACAATAGGCATAGGCATCAAAGCGGCCGCGCTCAAATGAGCTCAAGGTCAAACCCAGGCAACAGCGCCGAGGACGAAATGTGACAACTGATCAAAACCAAAGAGGTGTGAAACCAGCCACACGATAGGAGACGCTGGGTCCATCTAGCAGTCCACGATGAGCACACGGGATGGCTTCAAGGGTGCTTGTACGGCGCAGTTCTCTTCTCTGCCTGCCAAGAGCCTGGTGGTGCCCTTGGGTGTCCAGGATCATTCTCCCCATTGACCGTTCTGTCGAAACGAGGCTCAGGTTCGAGAAGTCTGGTACCTGCTGTAGTCATTCAGAACCAACATATGAGCAACCTTTCCCGGCTGACAAGACTGGTGCGAGGGGTGTGCGGCTCTGTTCACTGGATGAAATCTGTTGGAGATAAATTTACTTGATTGACATCACGACCAACCTGTTCCTATACCTGTTCCTGTACTTACAAGTACCTGGGGCGCACAAGCACCTACCTACAGCAGCTATAAGTAATTAAAGACGAGCCTTGGTATATTATGCGCATGGAGCCCTAGATGTCTGAACCTCGAGGGTTTCGAGGTCCTCGTTAGCAGTCAAGCCGCTGGAATAAACTGTGTGGCCTCCCAATCCACCGGTCTGCGAAAAGCGAAGTAAAAATACCCGTTTTGCTTACTGGTCGCACTTGCATCTCGAACGATGAGCCCACGCCAAGTTGTTCCTACTGTTGCACCTTCCCTGGGCCTTCCAGCCAAGTAGGTAGCTCTTTCTAGGGCCATTTAGAGGCTCTATCAAGTACTAGAGGTACTGCCTTCCAACTGCTAAGATACATGGACTTGTCAGCTCATGTGTCCACAGTAGTGCCTGGCACCGGTGGCCTGGACGCCCATATCGGAAGGCTCTCGGCGACTGCGAAGCACTAGATGCCGTAAATTTGCCTGATTGATAACCAATCTTGCCAGTAAAGCGTAGCCCTGCAGCGCACTAAGGCATGTACCCGCAACGTATCATATTCATGCTGCAGGTAGGCGATACGGCCGACGGCACCTACATAGTACGATTCTGCTTCATACCCCGCTAGTCAGATACCTACCTACTACTAGGTAGGTAGGTAAATGCCTGTACGGGGCATCCAGCAGGGCTGGTAACGCCACACGTGGAAGAGAGCACCAGCTCGTCGCCTGTTGCGGCCCATGCAGGTGCGGAATTCCAGGCCACGGACAGTACGACTTTAGCGGTGTGACAGCTACGGTCTGCGAGTGTATCGAGGTGCTAACTGCTTACAAGTAGTAGTAGTAGTGAGTGCCTTCCTGGTTGGAAATGTGGAATCCTAGTATACCACGAGGGAAGTGCGGAAGGAACAATTGGGCAGGTAGTCCAACAAGTATAGTAGGTACTTATCAGGCATTCCGCGAACTGTTGCCCAGCATGAGGTGCCTGTTCAGCTTGACTCGTGCCTCCTATCAAAATGTCTAGTAGGAGGCTAAGTTCTCCGCACCGCCGCCGCTTCAGAGCCACAACCATGCATTTCAAACTAACACCGTCGTGCTTAATTACCGATTGCTACTACTAAGGAGTTTCCAAAGCAATCCATCTCCCGTGTCTGATTTAGGCGACTTTGCATTACCAAGGACATATCAGCAACACCAATATATTGTGCAATACCTACTGTGTGGCTGTGAGGCATTCCCGTCCGCTGTGTCGGTGCTGACTTCTGCCCTTCTACTTGCAGTGAATCAGCGGAGGCTCCCCGGCCCAGATCCTACGAAATACTGTACGCTTCCACACACGCGCGCGCGCACCAAAGACCCCCGTTGCCTCCGAGTCGAAAATGGGCGAGCATACTTGTACATCCCACAGAAGCGCTAATGATTGGGTCGAGCGCTATATGAGTACCCCATATATCTCGTCATGGCTATGGAGCAGTGGGTTCACCAAAAGCGATGTCAGTAGTGATCTGCAGTGCTGCAGGAGAGTCGCCGAGGCCAGGGGTCGATATCGACGAATTCGTATCTCCATCTTTCTTAGTTGACCCTTCTAGGCAACCCCCTAGTATCTTGAGAGCCATTGCCCGCGAATTAGAAATGAGCAGCGACATGGCGGAGAGACCGCTATTCCTGCTGGGCCAAACGAGTACGGCAAATGGGTAGCACTCTTCATCAACCGCTTGCTGGTTTGGCCCCCAAGCCGCTCATGATCCGAATCACTAAGAGGGCGGGTGAATATTCCAAGTTGACTACGTCTAGCGTCACAGAATGCTGCCAATCATCCGATTCGACGCTTTTCTCGAGCTGTCTTAGGCGCCACCATGTAGTGACAGCTAGGAGTGGCAGACGACGCTGCTATCCACGAACAACATGGTGCGCAGCAGAAAATAAAGGGCTAAGCGAGAATGCCTCGAGGAGGTGCCATTCGCACAGCACAAGTACTAGTACTCGCACTACATATTGATGATAACACTAGCGCCAGCCTCTGCTTGCTAGTGGGAGTTGTTGCAGAGCACTCCTCTGAGCACTGGGTCTCTGCAGATGAAGATGGGGCAGTGGTTACGTGCGCAGCATTCCATCCTTAGACGCACCAACTGAGCTCGCGCCTGGCCCCACATCTGGAAAAGCATCTCCTCTAACTCGAAACACCGGCCTCGCGGCTGAAGACTGGCAAGGCATCTAGAAGCACAGATTAGAAGGATGGTCATTGCTTCCAGAAGATTTCGCTTCGCTTCAACTAGCGGTACCGCGAAGTACCTCTTCTGATCATGATGACACTTTTAGTGCCTGTCATCGCGGTTTGGGCAGCAGCCCGCTACCTTGTCGTCGTCTTTGCCGATTGAGCTTTAGGATAAAAAAGTATGGCGCGCAGCCAAGGCTAGTAGAGCAGTACGGCGTCTGTGATCGTCGACAACTAGCCCATCATATCCCCTGGAATGATCTGGATGCTCAACGCTCATCTCCCTTAGGCTCGGGGGCGGAGTTCGACACCTGGTGCGTGCTCTACGAAGTCATCCATACAGGCTACGAAGCACCATCACATTGTGACATCTGATCAGCCAATTTCACGCATTACACTCTATGCTAATGATGGCCCTTAAGAGATCGGCACTCAGCTATCCTACGCCGACATCCAATATCTAGATGTCTAGATCTGTATTGTCAGTCGGTTCATTCCGGAGAAAGCATGGCTGCCGTCTTAGACCGCCCCACACAAGTCAGGCACAGTAGATAATCACCCTCTTCTTGCGATTCGGACCAAAACCTACCAAGAGCAAGGCGACGGTTATTTCCAGCATGCCTTATGTACGTACATTCAAGGGCTATTGGCGCTTAAAAGGCGATACCACCAATCGAATAGTAGTATGGCTCCTCGCTATGCCCAGTGAGGTACGGATAGGTACACAACCTATTTCATAAACAGTGTCTCGAACCGTTTGCACAGAGTTAGGCCAGTATAGCGAAAGTGAGGAATTGGCTTCTTTGCATAAGGCTGTGTCTGCTTTGAGAATTTCGTTCCGGCGAAGCACGTTTGGCGGCACTATTCGATACGGAGTAGTATAATCCGGTCCAGTTTTCGTTCTGCTCGCCTCATTGCTACAGCAGAACTCACTTCCGCTTCTTAGTCCTCTAGCATCATTTTGAGATAAGAACACAGCTCGGGACTTGACACCAGAGTCAAGGTGGCGTCATCATCTCATTATCAATTCATCGCCGCGGCCGAAATGAGCTACTACGAGAAGCAGTCAAAGCATGAAACAACGTAGGTAGCTACTCTAGCCGCAAGGTTCACTTTGAAGAAGGCTGACTAGGCTACTAGTAGTAATGCTACACTGCATGTGCCCCCGTCCCCAATCTACAAGTACGGGCACTCTGACAAGCCACCAGGACCGCTGTGGTAAGGAATTAGATTAAGCCACACGGCTATCTGACGAGCTAGCACGGAGTGCTCCGTACAGCTAGCACTAGCACGAATCACGGCCATCCTCATCCTTGCCGCGCCCCGGAAGCTTGTATGTACTGGAGCATTACCGTATGGATGCTGAATGCTTCGTTTAGAGCCGAGCCGGGGTTACCGAGCTATATGCAACAATGGCTTGTCCGCCCACATTCCGAGTAGACAAAGAGGATAAGCGCATTGTCCTTGGACCCTCTTAAGATCCCAGGAGCACGCGTTGAGCGATTTACAGCACATGGCCTGCATCTGCTAATATTACCGCTACTGTTACTAGTCATACAAGTACATTAAATGCCCAAGGCGGCAGAATTCTGCAACTGGCATTGCTGCCCAGAGCTGATTTGTGCGGGACGCACGACGCAAAGCATCTTGTGGAGTGAGCGGCGCCTCAGAAGTGGTTGTTGGAACCACGGTTGCGATAACACCTCACAGACAACGGGAATGATGCACACAGGTTTAACCCACAGAACCAAAGCGCCCCGCGGCAGCACTTGCGGTAACTGAAATACATACAAGGGAGCAAGCCATGAACGATTGTGCCAGATTCCGGCTCTGCAGCAAGTTGAGCATTTTCGAGATGGAATCCATGCATGTACGAGTAGTGCCATTCTACATAGTACAAGTATGTACTAAACCTGCCAGTGCAAGGTATACCGGCTGTCCTCCGAAAGATCGGAACCTGGATTTACAAGTACGCACACTCGTACAAAGCACCGAATACCGTGCATGTCCTCGCATGAGTTGAAACTGGGGCGAAATATGCCTCCTAGCGTCGGAGACGTGGTGCACTGTGGGGAAAGCTCAAGGATTCCCTGTTTGTGTTGCTCGCAGCCTAGCCAAAGCCGGGCGGCTACTCACAGTCTCCGGATGTTGGCGTCCTGGGGAGAAGGCCTGGCGAGCGAGCTAGGGTTTGCTTTTAGCATTCTTATTGTGGATTTTATCGGGACTACCCACGCCATAGGATGGATCCTTTTGATGCCACACATGTGACTCGCTTAGACCGCCAGCTTTTCCCGAAGATAGACGCTTCTTCCTGTCTCATCATTTGGCAGCAGATATCCAAGCCAGGGTTGTCGCGGGAGCTGGCAATTTGGGAAGGGCGGTCGCAGTTTTGGCCTCGCATCTCTAGCTGAAAGACCTAAGCTTCCGTGGTAGCAACCGAGGCTGGTAGGGTTGCAGTCGTCTGACGTGTCCGGGGGTGGCTAAACAAAAGCCGTACGGACACAAGGCGCATCACGCGAGGAAGTGTATGCCGCGCAGCACGCTCACATTACAAGCATGCAAGCATGCAAGCCGAATAATGCGCCGGCGAGAGGCAAAGGGCATGCTGCTGTTACGGGTCTATCTACGAAGCACCTGCTCGTACAAGCACTACCGCTTCGGAGCAGCTGTGCGAGCTGGGAGGGCACCCGACTCATTTGTATGGATGGGGGGAGTGTGCATGTACTCACCAGCACAGACCTTTGCGCAAGGGCTGTTTGCTTGCCGGTTTCTGATCGCGGTCGTCGCAATGCGCACCTCCTCAAGCCAAGCTTTCAGCCTGTAGCCGTCTGTCCGAGATTAAAGAGATCCCCATGTCCGAATTACGTATGTGCACGCCGATTCGTTAAGCGCCTGTGTGCTTCGGAGAATGCTTCCGCGCTGTGTCGTCCTTACGGGGGGTGGGCAGGCCCATTGCTAGTACAAGCAGAACACCAATACTGACCCTCAAACGCCAAAGATTGCTGACTGCAGCTGGGCTTGGGTGATGGCGCTAGCCACTTTGCGTGCGCTGAAGAGACCAGGGCGACACTATCTGTCGATCGTCGGCGAGTTGGTGCGGCAAACGACTTGCGGCAAAGCACGGAGGCTTAGCCGAGATAATGCTACGAGCACGGAGCACGGAACGGAACACACCCAGGCTAGTCACGATATGTTTCACCTGACCCGGCACGTTGCGCAACGCTCATTACAAGCAACTTCGCAACAGAGAGCGGAGTTTTGCTTTGCGGTCTGTGCTGTGCGTTTCATGGTCACCCAGAATGCTTCCTACCATGTTAGGCTAAGTCCATGGCCCCCACGATGGCACCAGAACAGGCTGCTGAGTCTTGATAGTGCTGTGTGGGAAGAGGGAAGATGTGGAGTCTCTGGCACTGAGACTTGCTTAGTCTGTCGTTAAGCATTGCCTTAGTCTTCCATTTACGGCAGGCCGCCTGAACATGATCCAAGCTGCTGGGCTTTGGAAGCTCGGAAGGTTTTTGGCCGAGCTTCTTGTTTGTCATTTTTACCGATCACTCCTCTTCTTTGCTGCTTCGTGATCGGACACCAGGTTCCTTCTGGCCCTCCGCTATTACTAACAGCCACGTTTCAACAGCCTTTTGCCGGGTCTTGCCTGGTAGTGCATACTGTACTACAACTGGATCTGGAGGCCCCTCAATCGCGGGGACAACGGACCAAATGGTACGGCATCTATTAGCCTTCAATCCACTGATGGGCCTAGCACAATGAAACGAAATGACGAAAGCCTGCCAGGAGTAAGGCTTACGGGTTCGTGTACCGGATTGCTCTCCTAGCCCTACATATGTGTTCTTATCCGAGAGTTTATAAATGGCGATGGCGGCAGATACAAAGCCAGCTACATGCAAATACTAGGCCGCCCTTGTGCGGAATACTGAACAATACAGAACATAGGGCCAGTTCAGTCTTCGTACACGGTTCTAAAACAAGCCGCATTGCTTCTAAGCCGGGAGTGGCTGCCGATTGTTGCGCTTGGCCACCGGCTAGCAAACCGATCTCGAGGCTCAAGATGAAGTCGATGCATGAAGTTCGCTCGCTTCCCTAGCAGGCATGCGTCGGCTCATCGGACAATATTCCTGTCAAGGTGTCAGCAAATGGCTTCTGGAAGTGCTCCGTGCAAAAAGACGGAAGCCTAGTTCCTTTTATCTCACTCCGTATTCTCCCCCCTGGGGCAGATCCTCTGGCTTCTGACCTACTTTTTTGATTGTGTGAAATCCTACTACCTACTACTACTAGGTAGCAGCACAATATTCGGAGTTAAGTGTACAGCGACCCGGCCACGAGGGCGGACCTGTCCTTACTCGTATAAACGGGCCACTGGCCTGTGATTTGTAAGAGGCCTCTTTTTTCATTCATCTCTTTGTGCTTTAATGCTCTCGCGCTCACGCATTTTGCCACCCCGTCTCATCCTTTTCTTTTTGTTGTTTCAGAAGTTTCCCGTACCAATCCTTCGTTGCCGAACAATAAAAGGATAGATAGCAGTGCTTACTCGCCCCCTGTATTGGCGACCTCCCAAACGCCCGTCAATGTCGTCCCCCCTCCCTTTTCTAAGCCCGTGTATATGCCTATTAAGTATTTGTATGGACGTGCCGTGCCTAAACTGCCGAGTTTTGCCTTCTTTGGCTTGAATTTACTAATGCCCTGCTTGCTATTTGGTCATCCATGACAAATTATAAAGTTGTTTTACCGCCTTATCTTGTATATAATAGGTCACTTTTGTCTGATTGTCGGATCTCACCGACTTCTTGGTTACCCTTCTAGTACTACTACTACTACTACTACCACCAACATTTTGCCACGTGAAAGGCCGAGGTACTGTAGTTACATCCCCACCAGGAGCTAATGTTTGCGGAGGTGAACCTTTTTTTCGATACACAGTAGGATGCCCTATACTCTATTCTCTCTAGAGAAGCAAGAGTTCGATCTATCTACCTTCTATTCATAGCTACAGCGTAGAACTTTTGATGGGCTGAAGTGAAGAGTGCTTATGGCCATCCTTGATGCTGAAACACAAGACGTACAGGTGAAAAAAATAAATTCTCAAGACCCCAAAGGGAAGAAGAAAAAAAAAAAAGGTACATAATCATGATTTCTATTCTCTGTCATCCCTATGTTGTATCATTCGTCAAAACGATTCGCTTTTTGTTTGCCGCAGATGAATTTTCCACTTGGTTTCCCTTCCCTAACATTAACCAGACCCAAAATGAAAAAGAAAGAAAGACAATGAATCGATGGAAAGAGGGAAAAGTATGTAATGGAAAGGGCAGGAGGGGGGGGAGGACATGCAAATCCATCACAAGTCAGCAATAATAATCTCTAGCCTTCTTAGCCTTAGCCCTCAGCTGTATCCATCGCATCACTTCCTTGTTGTGCCAGTTTCTCCTTTGAAGCCTGAATCTTCTCAAGTCTCCACTTCTCAATCTTCTCCTTCAGCTCCGTCTGCGGAATCGCATCCTCAATTGTCATAGGCTGACGCGTAAACGGATCTTTCGGGTCGCTCAGCAAGTGCTGCACGATTGTCGATCGATCGACAACGTGCCTACTCGGTAGGAGCACGGGATCCTTCATCAGCTCTCCCATGATGGGGTCTTCGAACTCGGGCGGGATGTCACCGAGGTCCATCTCGGCTTGATCCTGCTGCTCCTTGGCCTGGATAAACTTGACCTTGAGCTTGTCCCACCGAGCAATATCTGCGGGGTCTTTCTGGTGTCTTGATGAAAGGATTTTAGCGACGCGATCCAGAACCTCTGGCTTGTAAGAGCGTCCATCTGCCGCGACAGCCTCGATGAAGACGGATGATGCCCCAAGATTCAAATAAATCTCGACAAAGTCTGAGAGCAGCTGAAGGGGTCGGAAATGGTACTTTTCCCTGTTCGAAACGCTCAACTCGGCTGCAGCTTTCTTGCCAGCCAACGTCTCGAGGTTGTAATTCAACATGCTCGCTAGACGTGAGACAATCTCTGGCATGGTGAAAGCCTCGCTTAATGTCTTGGTGAAGAGCTTCATCATCTCAAGGGTTTCATTGGCCAGCTGCATGTAAGATGTCGCTTGGCTTCCTAGGCTCTGTAACTCTTCTTCTTTCTTTTGTCGGTCCTCTGTTGATAGGCTGCGATCCTCAAGCTCTCTCTCAAGATTTCGCATCTTGGGGAACTTTGTAAACGCCTCATCTAGGACGTAAGTGGTATCATTTAGAAGCATATTAACGAACTGAACAAAGAAACCCCGGTTAACCCTGGTAGTATGTTAGAAATTTACCAGATATGCGAGCAGCTCAGAATTTATACGATGAAGGGATTTACTTACTTGCTTTCTTTGATAAGCTGCTGTCTATAAACATCATTAACCCATACGCATTTGATGACTTGGAAGATTTCATATCGTATGTTGAACTTGTCGTAGAAAGCTGTATTGGCTCCCGTAGACTCGCACTCGATGTAGAATTTCATCAAGGCATGCAACAAAAAGTCATTGGCAAATTTGATGGAGATGAGCTGATCGCCTAAAACACCTCTCTTGAGGTGCATAAACGGCCAGGTTCCGGAGAAAAGCAGAGACACCAGTGATGATTTGAGATATGGGTTTTTGATCTGTTCTGAAGAACGAAGGAAAGTGATGCACAGAGCAATCATTTCTTCACCCACAGCGCTGGGAAGAATGGTAGGAAGCCATCTATCAAGAAGACAGAGTTTGATTAGTTTCAAGGGTTTCATATTTGTGAGATGAAGTTGAAAGCTGGCCTCAAATGCTTACCGGAACACAAATTTGAAGTTATCGACAATGTTCTGAAGCGCATACTCGGGAAGATACGCAAAAGCGCCAGAGTTTGCTAGTTCAATGGGTAGCCTAGTAGTATTATTAGTAAAGTAGCTTGACTAAATGAACATTGTGCAATTTGAGGACCGGAGCCTTACCTGATCGTCTCAGTCTCTGTTCCAGGCTTGTAATCGGACCCTGTTGCAATACGAAGCAGCCATACAGCGACATATCGCATGAAGCGCAGAGAAGTGCTCTGCATCCTTTCGTCGAGCAGAACACCCTCAATTGAGTATTTCAGTGCAATTGTCTTCTCTAGCACGTTCGTATGTCGTTTGAGTGTCTCTTCAAACAACCTCAGCTGATGCGGGGCATTGACTAGTTTTGAACGCTCTGCTTCCATAGCCTTAAGATGTCTCTCCAAGTATTTGATCTCACGATCGAGATTCTTCAGCTGTGAGTTGAGTGCCTCGCTACCATAGTGGTGAGCAGCCAGTGTCAAGAAGAAGGCCTCTGAGATAAAGTTTGACTCCCCATCTTCCTTTTGAGCGTAATACTTTTCAGCAGCAGCTTGATCGGCGTTGAGTTTGGTCTCATCTGAGATATCAACTCGCGGCTGCCTCCGAAAATATCTAACATCAATCTTATCTATTTTGCTAAAATCATTTTCCATGAACGGTTCGCAGAATCGATCCAAGATTGTGGTTATGTTCATCATGAATCCGTCCGAAGCAACCTCTCTAGGGTCCACCTGGATAGCTCTCCGTTTGTGGTTGGTGTTTAGGATGTAGGCAAACCAGTCCAACGTAAGATTTCTCGTATCTGGTCCTGCGCGGATGAAAGCGTTGGTAATCACGAACAGGTCATCTTGGTGTGTCCTCAGTACCATTCGTAGAGCGTCTTGGGCGTTGGTAATGCGCGCCTTGTCTAGAGTACGCGACCCGGGAAAGTAGCTTTTTATCACTTCTGGCTGCAATGGAGATAAACGGAAGAAGGGGCCTAGAATAGTGTTCCTCTCAATGGTGTGGGGTGATAAAGGTAGTTTAAAGCAAGCGTGCTTGGCAAGATTAGATATTAAGATAGGGAAACGTGTATATGTTAGCAGTGCCTGCACATACTCAATGTCAGTTCGTCACGCAGCTAGTGATAGAGAGATATACGCGAATTGCTGTCTTTCATTGCTGGAAGAAATTATTAAGAGACTGACCTGGACGTATGGTTTGTACTCATCGCTCATGGAAAGTCCTGAAAGTTGGGTGCTGAGCTTAACCATGGCATCGTTAAAGATGGCCGGAAAAGCCTCATCATCATCGAACCGCTTGATGGCCTCTTTGATAAAGTCGAAGCAGATTCCATTCTCATCTACAGGACCCTTGAGGAGATAAGGGGCAATAGTGTCATGATTTGCGTTTGGCTCGCGGCTGGAAGAAAAAAGTATCAGATATGAAAAGGTACTCAGGGACTGCCTCAAAAAGCATCTGCAACTAACCCATATAAAACCGGCATAGTAACAGCGAAGAGGCAATTGCTCATGCACAAACGCTTCGACTCTTCGTGTAGGTCTAACTTGGGGCCGCTCGTTTGCTTATTTGATGAAGCTGCTTTCACAGCTCTCTTCCAACACGGGAGAAGATAGTGCATCAGAGGCTTATCAGGAGACCAGCTACTACAAGCCTCTATAATAGCCTGATCCAAGTTATTAACAGACAGCTTCAAAGACTCCCCAGAATCGTTGAGCTCCTGATTCAGGTTCGGGAGGAAGGTCAGGCGATGGCTGCCCTGGTTGCTGGTCATCCGGTGGGGATCGACAGTTATGCGGAAGATCTGGCTGAGAATTCTATCGGCATAGTCCTCATCTGACTCGAGCTGGACGGGAGTGGCTTTACGCGGGGGTGGTGCTGAAAGGACGTCGTCAACTTGAGAGGCGGACCTCTTGCGAGCAACACGAAAAGTACCTGTAGAGCCTTCAGGGTCGGTCGGTTTGCTCGACCGCACGCCTAGCTGCGCAAAAGGGTTTGAGGTCGGCTGGGCCGCCGGTGTGATGTTGATCTTGGTCTTCTTGGTCTCGGTTTCGGCCTCGGGGGCTGGAGAGCCCGACTGCGGAGGAGCAGGCGATGATGAGCTTCCAGCCTCTGCAGGCGTGCTCTCCGCGGGCTTTGGAGGGGTTGGGTTGCCCAGCTTGGCCAGACGTCGTGCTCGAATCTACGTCGACAGTGGTCAGTCCCCCGTCTATAGGACCATCACCCACAGTGACGGCTTAGAGGATGCACGAGACGACTTACCTGCTCCATCTTTTCTTTATCAGGGCCATCAGGCCCCGCGGGCGTCTGGTTGGGATCCATGGCGGACGTGTCTTGCAGAAAGAAGCAAAGAAAGAAATCCCCAAGTTCCGAATGCTGGACAGGGAAGCCGACGACAAACCAACAAGAACAATGCAGAGGGCGAAACAAAAACGTGAAAACGGAACGGAGGTTTCGCGGTAACCAACGTCGATGAAACGTAGAAGCAGGTGGAATGGCGAGGCTGACAAAGATGCAGCTTTGGGCAACCCTGCGGCCCTTGGTGGAGAAGTGATGTCGTCTGCCTGCGGGGCTCTGCCGCTACCACCTGCTAGCGATTGACGGCTTCAGCGGCCTGCTCCTCCGTACCTAGGCAGCGCTAGGGCCCGTACTGTAGTGATATTCGATGTTGGCTTTGGCGATTGACCTTTTTTGCTTCTCACTCTCCCGGCGGTTCAAGCAGAGGGCCAGAGGATGGTGAAAAAAAAAAAAAAAAAAAAAAAAAATTGGACAAACAGCTTGGATGGCTGTATTAGGCTGTGCGGACTCCGTGCTGACCAGGCATATACATAGATCGAATGTCGTTCAGCTGCAAAACGAGCACTATTGATTGGTTGTTGCTCTTATATCAGCGGCGTGTCGTTTGTTATTTAGTAAGCCCGTCAGCTTGTTTGTCGCGTATCTGTAGCCTGTAGTAATACTGCCGTTGTCTGCCTAGTGATGCTTGCAGCGAATGAAAATGTGAAAATGTGAAAATGTGCGCTCGCTGGCCGAGTTCAAAGAACAACCAACAGAGTCTAACAGAAGAAGACGGCATGAAGAGAAGAAGAAGAAGAATCAAAATATTAAAGTCTGAGGCCGTGATTTCATGTACCTCGGAGCCCTACTCGGTACAGCACCTTACTAGTAACTTGGTAGGTCTGCAGTGGAACTCCGCTGCCATGTACGCATTTATTAGTGCTCTGTGAGCCCAGTGCCTCATCAAAAGTCCGCGAGCGGGGATTCCCAAATCGGGGACTCTACCATTGCAGCGTCGATAGGCTCAAGGTAGATTTAGGAGAAGGAAGAAGCTCCTCCTTGGTTGCCGAGTTGCGGATTTCTCCTTTATCGTGGCCGCACTCCAGCGTTCCACCATCTGCATGGCGGAGTTGCCAACAGCGATAATCGGCGTCAAAGGTATTGATGAACGCTATTCTTGATTTTTTTTTCCCATTGGTACTAGAAAACATAAGATACAGATTAACATGGTTAATATTTTTTTGGAATTGATAGAGACATAAATAAGTAGATATAGGTTGGCTCCCACAACAATTGGGATAAAACAAAAACATAAAAGGTCTCCCAGTTTTTATACGCCCTGATTGGTATATTGCTCAATGGCATCCCATGCTCGTAAATGCAACATCACCCCCAAAATGACTCAAATACTTGACAAAAAAACTTCGCTATCTATAGTCGTGGAAGATCAACGTCTACACTGGTCGATCGCCGTCTCTGGCGCACCATGGGAGGCAGTGGCTCCTGCACCGTATCGGACCCCATTGACGTGGGCCGTGTGGTGCCACTGGAGGTTGGTCTCGCATGGCCTTCTTCGCGGCTGCGGCTCAAGAGCCAGTTGACCTGCATTCGAATCATATTGATGTTATTTCGTAGTTCAGCAACCTCTTCCCGAACAGGCATAATCTGGTTGACAGTCCACACATTCTGGCGCTCGAGATTGTTCAAGTTGTGGTGTACTTCGCCGAATCCAGCATCAAGATCCTGCATTGCTCGAACGTCCCTGAATCCAGGTTCGCCCGGACGGTTAAGGTTAACCGGCCCAGAAATCTGATCGAGCCGTCGGCTTGTCTCGTCTTGCCTAGCTCGTAAATGACGGATCTGGCTCCCCAGATTGCCGAATGTTTCTATAATCTCGCGCTGGCTGCGTATAATGGCGCCAGAGGGCGAGTCTGGATGGAAAGGACAGGAAAGGGCATGAAGTTCTTGGTGTGCCCGTATAACTCTCACAGGGCAGCCGACGCTTTGAAAGCGGCATGCCACCTCGATGGAAACACAATCCACGTTTCGATGAACTTCTTCGTCCTCACGGAGGATCATGGCCCAGCAGGCCGCACATCGAGTCTTGCTCCTAGGGCATTGAAGCAAGTGGATATCGCAGTCAGCTTCTTCAATAATGGCATCGCAGAACTCGCAGTTGCTTTCTTGATGCTGGCATTTATCATCAGTTGGCTTGTAGCGAACAGTCTTTTCGCATTCGGTATCTGGACAAGGAAACTCCCGGAAGCTGCACTCAACAGTCGCGTGCCGTTCTACCTCCTCCCGTTTCATTTCCTCCTCGCAGCCTCTGCCATGATGAGGGCACTTGACAATCAAGTTATTCAGCTGGGTACGTATCAGCCGTATCGAACTAGAGCAGTCCGTCCATAACAGAGGCTCTCGGTCTATTGGACAGACGCCGCCAGCGGGGCTCGACGCCATGCTTCTGCGCAAGCATCGATAACAGAATGTATGGTCGCAAGGAGTCGTCACAGGGTCGACGAGGGGGTCATGGCAGATAGGACATAGCAGATTCGGGTCCGGGTCGCCGACGTAGGTGAGCGCATACATGTCGAGGATGGCATTGCTGCCATAGCGTCTTGGTATGTCCAAGGAGGACAGGTGTGGTTTGATTTGCGGGCCAGGACGGGGGTTACTCGCAGCGTAGTATTGCGAATATCTTCCAGCGTATTGGGATCGCAATCCGGCGTCATCTTCCACAAGCATCGGCGTCTGGCTTGGTGGATCGGAGTTGATGGAGTATACGTCGGGCGAGTATCGGTCGGGGTTCAGGGTCATGAGCCCTCCTTCGCCATGCGAGATTCGATTACGACGGGAAATTTGCCGCGCGGGTGTTCGATGGGGTTCTCGAAGGTCCTCGTCGCTCGAGTCGGACATGATCACCGGCGGCGGCCAGCCTTCTGAGGACATGTTGTCCATGTGTGTTTGAGTGCTGGGGAGGGATGGGGGTCCAAAGGGAATATAGTCGTCTTCATCTCGTCGCCGTCGCCGTTGAGACGTCGAGGACATGCTGGCAGCGAGCAGCAACTGAGGCGACAGCAGTGGCAGGTGCTGGAGCTGGAGTTGTGTTGGGGGATAGAGTTGAGGCCGAGCCGAGAGCTGAACCTAGATGGCTGATGCCGATATGCGAGCCGCGGGTGGAGACTGATGGAGCTTTTGGGGACAAGAGACTGTGCATGAGATGCCCGGAAGGGAGCCCCTCAGACAGGCACGAGTCTCGACTCAAGACACCTCTAGTGGGCGAGCATGTGCCAACGCAATGCTCGTGCAGCTTCGCGTGTGGCGGTGGATGAATCTAAGGCGAGGGTGATTTCCACCACGATAAGATTTAGGAGGGTCGGCGGTCTGCTAACCGTGCCTAGCGTCGAGACAGACGGTCTAGTGGTGCGTGTTGGTGTTGACCTGCTAATTTATATGCAGTGGCGATCCGGCGGGGTAAACAATATACCGCAAGGGGACACAGCCTGTGCTGTGCCACGGTAACCCTGTATTACGTACGGTATTAGTCGTGGTGCAGCATGGAAGTTCCGGGAATGATGGTATTACTGGCATTACTGGTGGCAGGCAAGGTACACGAATTCTTCTTAACTAAAATACTTTTTATGCCTGTTATAGGTACCGGTGCGTACATACATCATATCCTACGGGCAAGAGTCGCGATGATAGCCACAGGATCCCTCACTAAGATGTTTGTTTTAGTCTCAGCGCTTACAAGTATATTGGCTCAGTACCTGCATATGAATTTTCTCGCCGTAAAAGCTGTATACGTCTAAAGAAACCCCTCCCCCCTTTTTTCACCGCACGTCTTCACGGAAGACTGCTGGCCCATCCCAAAAGCGCGCATGTATGAAAAATGATTTCTTTTCGATGCTCCTTGTTCTTGACATCCAACCATTTAGTTAGGTGAATACGCATGTAGCACCCCCTTGTTCCCAGAGCCCAGTTTTCGTAGTTTTGGAAGTAATTATTCGAGAATTGAAATACGTAAAACCGTATGGAATGGGTCGTTGCCAGGATTGTTACTGACCTAGACACAGAAAGATCAGTATCCAAAATATATGATAACCAAATTAAGATATTCGAAATTTCATCCCAAGTGCCAGGTAGCTGACCGTGCTAAATAATATATTCTTTAATTAGCTTCTAACGAAGTGGCAATGGCGGCGCATTTCTATTCTTGGGAAAGTCAAAATGTAGCATAGACTATGAAGCAAGCTCTCTTCTGGTTATTTTATGTAGTCTGGGATGAATGAGTTACTAAAAAGAGAAATCAAAATAGAAGCCAAGAAATGGAGCGAGTTCTATATTGTTCTATCGTGATCTATTAAACAGCTCCATGTACCCAAAGGCAAGAAAGTGTAGTATATCTTCATGCCAATTCTCCCCTTCTTTGAAAGATTCACCGAAATATCTGTAGTAAGCATATGCTCTTGGTACAGTTGTATATTACTATAAATCAGATTTAGGCGTTTGAGAGACAAGGTTTGCGATCTGCTTTTTCTTATTTTCTCTAATCTTCTGTTTTCATTGGATGATCGGCGGCTGTCTGAAGTAGAAGTACTAGAATGCAATCACGAAACGTACCAACGGGCGTGCGAGGAATCTTGAAAGCCTGAATCAATATCTGAGGCAACTCTGGTAGTGCAATATTAGGATAATCAAACATGTCTAAAAGGGAGGAAGGGATAGCTGTTTTGTAAAGATATACGTAGTTCTTAGATTCATACGAGAACAGAACTTGCGACTATATTGATATTAGCGCTGAATTTATCATAACATGTGACCGCCAGGAGACCTACTGGGTATATCTTCAATGTAGACAAATCTTCCGGTTTTTCTACCTCGAGAACAGACCTTCGTTGTTGTGCTACAGCAATCAAAAGCGCTGCTATATATGGGTCTTTGAATGGGTTTGCGGGCCTGAGTTATTCCAATTTGTGGCTCAATATTGAATAGACGGGAGCCTTTTGGGGGTTGCACGTGTTTAGGTGTAGTGATTCTTTGCGCATTTCTTCGATGCGTCCGCGATCAACGTATGCGCCAATTGGATACTCTGGATCTAACTACTGAGCGCTCGGCTTACGAAGGTAAATGCCTTGGCCGGGTGCTGTGGAGTAGAGCCCTTTGCCGCTGGGACTATCCAAGTTAATGGGAAGGGCATCCCTGTGTGATATCTTCCAGTTAGGTAAAACTATGTAAACAGACAATGGGAAGAATGCGAACCAGTAAGAGCTGAATGGCGAAGGGCTGCAGAACATGTCGCAAAAATACACCTCTCGGCTTTTAAACAGATGGAATCTCCGCAGATGTTATTTCATATACCCCCTCTTAGGAGCTGTAATGCCACGTCCGCTATAATTATCTGTGCGATCTATTTTTGGCGCAGGTGAGGGTTCATCAAAGGAGATTCGTAGTAGCTCGAGCTGACGGCTAGTCCAAAGGCGTGGCTCGATAATGAGGCTTTCTCTGGCATGACGCCGAGCGATTCCGTAAATAGATGAGGCGGCTGGACTTGATGGAACTGACGGTGGTCGTCTAGTGCCTTCGGTAGGCAGCTGCATGTTGGATTCATCCATGATGCGTGATGAAGATCGATGGCCAGGTTGAGTTACGTTTCGAAACGGCCCTGGATGATGTTGGCCAGGAACCAAAATAATAGCGGGGCATCAGCACCGCCGTTTGTGCATGAGGTATTCCTCTGTACCCCCTGTAGAGTACGAGTACCTATCATTAAATTGAGTTCGTTGGCTGCTGCTGTGCTTTAGCAAGTGCCCAATTAGCGCCTAGCACGCTGTAATCTTGTACTGAGCCGACAGTGAATCATCATCTAGGGGAGAGGAGGTACGCGCCTGTTGAAAATAAAAGCTCCTCAGAAATATTCCCCTGGCGCTGGCCCAATTCACCACCGCGATATGCGGTTCAGGAAGACTCCACTTCTGCCGATTCGGTTGCAGAGCTAGAGGGAATGGTGGGTACGTGCTAGATAGTGGATAGCCGACGTGCATATGCATGGAGGCTCTCCACATGCCCGCGCATTGTCAAAGACTGCATGTCTTTTATGGCACAATGAGTAGCCAAGTGAGCACAAGTCGCATGCACCAGAAATACCCGAGCTCAAGCTGCTTACATGGAACCATCTAATGCCCTCCATAACTCATCAACTGGGCCGTGTTGATGCAGTAGATTGCTACTGTTGGAGAATCCTGCAACTAATCTTGAATACCTATTTGATGCCGTCCCAGCCGGCTCGCCTGTAGCCATCAAACTGATTTGTATCAATGCCCCGAATACACGTGCATACTTTATATGGAGCCAACGTTAAGATGGAAAGATTAGAGATTAAAAACCACTACATGAAAAGTGCATGCGCACTCAGTAAAACGACTACGATAAGAATAACGTTGTGAAGCCACGATTGACTTCGCACTAGTAATATGATAAGAAAAACCACAACACATGTGTAGGCATCCGAGTGTAGAGATGACATGGTAATATAACCTCTTTACGCATATGAATAAAATGAAGATATTTATTTTGTTGTTCTACATGTGTCTACGGCGGCAGTTAAAGTTTTGGTGATGTCATCATCCATAGCTACCTAATTCTTGATGCTCGCCTGCGTCTCAGCACAATTCATCTCTGCTCAGCAACATGCGCTACCTATGGAGCATGACATGCTTCGCTTGCTTCGCTGCTGCAGAGCTGGACAGGCTTCGTTTAAACGGTATAAAGTACAAGTATTCCAGACGAAATATCACTGATTACTGCCAACTGGCGGCATGTCCGAACTCGTCCTCTCCAGATCCTCCCGATCCAGCCGCATGCCGATCTTGGTAACAGGCTTTCATGCAATAGATCGCTTGAAGCTTCAATAGTAACCGTTAGCTGCTGAAGCAGTCAAAGATGAGGAATTCCCATCTTACCGAGCCGGCGGCTTTCGTCTCGGAGCAGACGGGAGAGCATGTGTCCGATCAACGGCGCCATGGCCAGCACTTTCGGCAAAGCGCCGTGGAGAAGCTCACTTTGCGCAACTAAGAAAAAAAAAATGAGCAGTTGAGCAAGTTGAACGGCAACGCTCATTGTGACAGAAGGTCGCGCTGCTGTCAGGATGCCGTCGGCATGATGTGGCGTTGGCTTCTCCCGCGCCCAATGTAAGCATTACATCTAGCTCAGTCAATGCGGCTGCTCTGCCAGCAGTGCTAGCACCGGCTTAAACACGCCACCCCAGCCTTGGACTGCTTTAGCTTCCTCCTCTTATTTTCATAATGGCCAAACTTTGTTGAAGCCAGGCATTCTTCGCGTTTTGTTGACAACGGCTCGGCCGGCACTGTGCTTGTGAGGTGGGTGGTGTCGTGTGGTAGAGGCCGGTAGAGGCGCCATGGGAGCTGGAATGATATCTCATATATATAAAAGCTTCCACAGCCCAAGTGCTTCTTTTCTTTCTTCCTTCTTTTTTTTAATAACCACTAGAAGATCTTTCTTTGTTTGATACCCATCACCAGAAGATTAATCGTTGAAACACAACAGCTCATAAAATATCCTCAAGATGGCGTTAGGTGCTGGTCTCGCCAATGTTGGCCTCCGGATGGGCTCGCTCGTCTGTTACATCTTCACCTTTATATCTTCCATTATTGTCACTGCCGTCGTGGGCAACCTTTTGCAAAAGTTTTCGAACCGAAACGTTCAAATTGTGTATATGGAAGTCATTGTAAATCTCCCTCTCTTTGCCATCTTTACAACCAATCTGCCACCATCTAACACACATTCGCTAGGCCGTCATTTCCATGGTCGTTTACCTCGTTGGATCGATTGCGCCATGCCTCCCCAAGTATGGAGGACTCTTGGTCCCTGTCCATCTTGTCTTCAGCTATCTCTGGCTCACAGCATTCATCTTTGCTTCGTTGAGTTGGAGCCACAACCGATGCCGCAATTCATTCCCCGCCCCTGGTAACTGTAGCAAGAAGCACGCAATTCAAGCATGGCTTTTCATTGGATTGTAAGCTGACAAGTCCTCAAATCCACTTTTGTCTTTACTAACGGTATCTGCCTCTAGCTTCTTCATCTTGTGCAACCTGATCATTGAACTCTTCCTCATCAGAGCTCACCGACGAAATACCGTCAACGAACCCAGGCACCATCACACCAAGGAGCGACCTGATTCCACCATCTCTGGAGAAACTGGTACCACTGCACCTCCACCTGTCGCAGCTCCACAGCACACAGCTGCCCCAGCTGTCTAATCTACGCCAAGCTTGAATGGATCTGAGCCCTCTCTAATTTTGATACCCAGGTGCGAGAGGGGCGTGAGAGTTTTTCCTTGATTCATTCATGGGATGAAGAAACTTCAATTACGAAAGGAAAAAAAAAAACGTTTGGCTGCTCAAGCTTCAAGTTTTCTTCAGGCTTCAATTTTAATTAAAAATGGCTTTGTCGAGAGGACCTATGACCGTTAATTTCTCGTCAAGCCTCTTCAAGAAACCCTGATTGATAAACAGAAGAGATATTAATAATAATGTAACTAGCTAGTAATAATACCTAGTTGAGTGAGTAATATTTTAATGAATTAAAAAAAACACCAAAAAACAAGAAAACAATAAACCCGGTTGGCATTGACACGGTAATTTGCGTTGAGTGGCTTTTGTGATGTGCTCCTCATGTCAGAACTCTGAAAACTCTGAAATTGTTGGCATCTGCAAAACTACCAGGTAGCTAGCTGCCAGCTCCAGCTTGCCAAGCTAAGCTCCCATTCCCACACAGTAAGATAACAGTGAAGATTCAAATGATTCAAATACCACGGAAATAAAGTTGTGGCTCGGGTCTAGTTGAGCTAACCCAGAAACCGGATACTACGATTTTTCCAAACGGAACTCTCTGAAATGTTTGGGTCCCTCCGAAACAGCCGGAGCGTGTCTGGGCTGACATCCAGATAGTTCGATTCCAGCGCCATTGACGTGATGGTGGTTTTACATATGGCCACACCTTGTCCCGGGCACTCTGAGCTTGTAGGGCTGTCAAAAGAGAGTTCTGGGGTATTCCACTCTTACGGGCGGGTAATGGCCGAGAGGGAGAGAGAAGAAGAAAAACAAGTTCTTCGCCTATAAGCTCTTTCTATGCTCGGCGTGAGAAAGGAAAAAACTACGCGATGATCGGAGTGAGATTGAAGCGAAAACGAAAAGGGGAAAATTACGTATGGCGGGAGAGCATCATTGTGAGATCCAGCAGTATTGAGCCAGGGTTCATAGCGCTGGGTTCTGGACAGCATCAATTGCGATCTAGCCCATCGGCTTCGCCGCGTGACGACTAGAGCCTATACCATTCGCCTCCCAGAGGATCTCGAAGAGTCGCCAGAGCATCCACCTGACTCGAATATTTTCCCAGCACCACCGCCGGAGAAGCTATCACGAGATGGATAGCTTGAGCTTCATGAGGCTGCCATGGCTAGCCACTAAGGTTAATTAGCGGGCGCCATGCCACAACGGGCAGCACGGTCTTGGCTCCAAGTCACGTTTTTTCCCTTCAAACCAAGTATCGCCGATCCCACGGCAGGCCAGAAGCCACCATCCTTTGCGCATCTGATAGAAGCATGGTGGCTTGCGTCCGTGAATCGCTATTGGCCGTTTGCGGATCATGGAGCTATCTATGCGCACGATGCAGCTCCGTCTGCCTCGGCGCTCTGAAGCGAGAGCTGCCGGCGGGCCTGACGTCTCGTCTGGGGGCGAAAGAGGGGATGGTGTTGCTCCGAGATGGCTCTACTCTGGCCCAGTCGGCAACAAGATGCCGGCTGTGCGGCCTCATCCAAGAGGCGCTTCTCTGCAGCCTCCAGACCGTTGTCAACAAGGACAAGGGCGACGCAGTAGCGGCGCTCTCGTTAGCCCGCGATGCTGTCGTTCTCGAGCCAAAGGCAGACTCGCAAGGATCAACGTTTCCTGATCCGCCAACCGGGGGTTCGCACTTGACGGGGCTGAATGTCACTGCAACCGAGTCAACTACTGGGCGGTTATTGCAAGCCAAGATCCGGCTCTACACACATGGCCAGCGTATGTGGGCTTCATAGCATATCAGACAAGGTTGTTTTAGCTTACAACTAGCATCAGACAAAGGCCCTCGCCACCGCCATGATATCGTAGGCAGGCCTCAGTTGCAAGGACCAGCAAGTCCTGAGGCCTTTTCCTTAGTTGAACGATGGCTGGGCGCTTGTAAAAGGGATCATCCATGTTGCTGGGAAACTCTATCGGGGGAGCTCTTAAACGAGTCCCAGCTACCAGAACTGCCGAGTAGGGTAATCCAAGTTACCGGCAACAGTGTAAAACTATTACCATCAGGACGCCGGTGTGGAAGATATGCAACCTTGAGTCATTGCTGGGGCTCTTCTGGGAGACAGCCGTTGAAGACAACCCGGGCGAATCTCCAGGGCCATCTCCAAGGTATTCCTTGGGCATCGATTCCAAAGACTTTCCAAGATGCAATTACAGTTACTCGCAATATTGGTCTCGAATATGTTTGGATTGACTCGCTTTGTATCGTGCAAGATGACCATCAAGACTGGCTAAAGGAGTCGAAGCGCATGGGCTCCATATACGAGCAGGCAGAGATTACTATCGCCGCTTCTCATACTCCAGGTTGCTGGGAGGGATTCTTTTTCGCTCGCCATCCACCGCCTCCCTCTGTAGAGATTCCCGGTTTCTTCTCCCACGAGACAGATGCATCTAGAGTACAAGTTTTCGCAACCATCCGGCGGGATACAGCCACCAACACCTTTCCCGAGTTCGGTGCGCTCAACAGTCGTGCATGGGCTACTCAAGAATGGCTTTTGTCTAGGCGCATAATCTTCTTTACCAAAGGAACCCTCATTTGGTCTTGCAAGGCCATTACCCAGCGTGAGACGGGAGAGCGGTGCTACAGTGTATCGCGAAATACGCGCTGGAAGAACATCATAGAACAGTACAGCGACCGCCAGTTGACTTTTCCAACGGATAGACTAATTGCACTGGAAGGCCTGCGAAGGGAGCTGGGAAAGAAAATTGCATGTGAATATGCCTTTGGGGTATGGAAAGAGTCTCTTCCCAACCAGTTACTCTGGCAAGTGACCAAAAGGATAGGGGGAGCTGCTATTTCGGACCCTCTCAAGCTGCCAACGTGGACATGGGCTCATGTTCCATCCGGAGTGCGGTTCTTGACGATTGATAGAGCCAAGAATCTGTGTGACTCAATTGCTTTCGGGGACGACGCAAGGCGCATGAGTCTTCAGGTGCGAGCAAAGCGTCTTTCTAACCTGACAACAACCTTGGACTTTGGACAAGGTGACGCTGTTACTGAAGCCATCTATGTGGATATGATATCGTCTCACGCCAAGGCAACCAAGTCCATGGCTCATTTTATATTGGACCAGGGTGACTCTCCCATAGGATGGGTCGTCTTTGACCTTGCAGCGGAAGATACGACTTCTGAGCCGATTCTATGTCTTGCTCTTATGGGTAGCATTGGACGGCGAGAAGAGCAAGCTGAGAGACGCACTGGCAAGGTCGTTTCAAAGAAGCTTCGACATTATTGGGTGCTGCTGGTGCGGCAGCGGAATGACGGCCGGTACTACAGAATTGGGATTGGGAAGACATATGGATCAAAGTGGTGGCAAGACGCTGACATTAAGACTTTGGAACTGGTTTGAAGAAGAATTGGTCAACGTGAGGGTTTGGCTAAAGACGAGACATTTGCGTGTTGTTGTCTTATGCTTGTATTGCTGTGGGTCCGGCTTTTGGTTGAAGTAGCAAGCTCAATACGTGTACTCTGTACTCCGTAGACAAGTTACTTTTACTACTGTTATGATGGAAGCAAGAGTAGCGGGCTGATAATGAAAACAAAAGAAACAATCAGAGATTGGTTCAAAAGAGAGCTAATAGAGCCGAATGCGTATGCAATATGCTCGTTTGAGGCTATACAGCGCGTCATCGATGAAACTCTGCGATGCCGCATCGTGCAGCTTCTAAAGTTCCCAAAAAGACCCCGCCATCAGATAGCAGCGCTGCACGCTCAGGGGTTGAAAATTCGTTGATGCCTTGCGGCCTCACGGACAGCCGCGCCCTCTGATTGGCCGGCGTGCTAGTCTAGCAGTAGATCCCAGCGACAGCATACGGACACCTATTCGCCAGAGCTTCTGTTGAATACCTGAGAATCGTCACCTCCTCAACAAGGCGAGCTCCACGATAACGGTCGATTTACGTGGCAGAAGGGCTGCCAGACAAGCTAGGCGGGTGACAAAGACGCCTCAGCTTCCCTCAGCGTGTCCACGGCGCGTGAAGGTCTCTCATCCCGCTCTCTGAAGCCCAGCCTGGGAAGCTTTCCTCTTTGCGAACGGCTTCCTCTCGATGCACCCACGCAGATAAGCTTGGCGTGCCGTTATGGGCTCGAATATTGGCAACGGCCTCGGAGGAATGGATCTAAGCGGCGCAATGCAGGGCAATGTGTCCAACCAGCCGCCGGCTACTGAATATACGCTTCAGGGCGTGATGCGCTTTCTGCAAACCGAGTGGCACCGACACGAACGCGACCGAAATGCCTGGGAGATTGAGAAGCAGGAGATGAAGGGGAGGATAGCGAACCTCGAGGGCCAGGCGAGAAGAGCAGATGCTACGCAGAAGGCACTGAAGAAATACGTATCCATCCTTGAACGAAAGATCAAGGACCAGGCTGCGCAGCTCAACGGCACCGCTGCTGCAGAGGACGCTGACTCGGCGAAGAAGGATCGTGCCGCCAAGATTCAAGAGAAGCTGCGATGTGGGATATCCTTTCCTTCCCCGGTGATATGAGCCTGGATTTGAACCATTGCTGACTGCAAAACCAGCCTCATCAGAGAAGCAACCGGTTCCGGGCGTTGAAGGCATCGAAGTCGAGAAGACAGACGACGAATCCCAGCGAACAGAGCTTAAGACGTTCCTAGACCAATGCCAATCCGAGTTTATGTATCTCATGATTACACCAGCGAATCCCCTACCTCCTCGCGAGTCACCCCCGCTACCGATTTTAGAAGATCTACGAGAAGCCGAAGCCTTTGGTATGCCTGGCGCGCAGCTCATGGAACGACAATATCAGCTTCCTATGCGACAAGGGCCAAACCACATGCAAGACATGAACTCGAGACAACACCCCGGGCCCAACTCTTTGCAGCAGCAGCAGCAGCAGCAGCAGCAATCCAGGTTCATCTCAAACGCTCCCGACATGCAACCGCAGATGGTGCGCTCCACAAACGACCACCAACAGCAGTCACTTTTTCACAACTCGAACGAGTGGCAGCAGCAGCAGCAGCAGCAGCCGCCCATTTCAGTGACCACGCGACCTGTGGAAGACGGCTTACCGCGACCCAACCACTCTGCTGAGACAATGGGTATAGTAGAGGAGTCTATAGAGCTGAGGGAAAAGCCTCCAGCTGCCCCTGACCCTGAAGGCTGGGAGTTTCCCGATGGCTCATTCCCAGAGCCTGCAGCTGGCCACCCACCTTCGCAAACATCTACTTACCGATCCGATACCGACGCGTTTCCAAACGCAGATTACTTGACCAAGTCCCCGAATCGAGCTCCAGGGCCTCATCGAAGGAAGAGCTCCATGTCCAAGAGACGCAACAGTGACCATGATTTGCTGACTGGCGCAAACCAAAAGGCTGAAAGTGGAAGCTTCAAGCTACGATTTGGGCTGAGGGGACATCTCAACACTATTCGTACTGTCATATTCTCGGGTGGAGGTAGCCCTGGCGAACCTGAGATTTGCACAGCTGGCGATGACGGCATGATTAAACGATTCCACATCCCACGGCTGGATGGCAACGCTGCCAATACTAACAATGCCGCATCCGATCTGGACGTCACTGCAAACTTTACACACCGCGGCCACGCTGGTGCCATTCTCTCGCTGGCATCATGGTCTCTCGCCCCCAACTTTTCTACTGGAGGTCGTGCTCAGGGCGATGGCTGGATCTTCTCTGGAGGTCAAGATGCCACAGTCCGAGTCTGGGAGCGTGGCAGAGTCGATCCCAAGGCGACGCTCGAAGGACATACAGACGCTGTGTGGGCGCTCTGTGTTTTGCCCACGACACTGGGAGCGGTGTTTGGCAATACGAGCAACTACGGAACCCCTGACCGAATACTGCTCGTCTCTGGCGCAGCAGACGGAACTGTGCGGCTCTGGTCAATAAGTGCACCTCCTCAGCCAACTTCACCGCAGCCGGGATCAACCCGAGCGGCATCGGGACGCGGACGGGTGCGTGGCAACTCGATGAGCTCTGGCAGCGGCTTTTCCAACTCTCCCCAGCCCACTGTGGCATCAAATTCGCCCTTTAATCACACACTTGTACACGTCTTGTCCAGAACAGACGGATCTGAGGCAAGCCCAACGTGCATTACGCCTCTTGGAGGCTCAGGAGAGACTTTTGTCGTCTCCTATTCAGATGCAGCCGTCATTGTGTACGACACCAAGACAGGTGAACAGGTTGGCTCCATGGACAGCTTGGAGACTTATGATGGCACGATAAAGACGAGCGTCAATGCGGTGGTGGCTACTACAATCGGCCTGGACCAAGGAAACCAGCATCACGGCACTAATATTGGTGGAGAGGAAGATCCAGCCATGGGAGGACCAACTGGTGGTGGGCGCTCAATGGCTGGTTCTGGCGTAGAGGGCACCATTATCTCTGGCCATGAGGATCGCTTTGTGAGATTCTTTGATGCCAATAGCGGTAAGTTGAACTTGAGATGTCCCCTAAGAGAATGAAAATGCTAATATTCTCCGATAGGTCAATGCACGTACAACATGCTGGCCCACCCTGACGCCATCTCTAGTCTGTCGCTCAGCCCAGATGGGCGCGAGCTAGTGAGTGCCGGCCACGACGCCTCGCTCCGGTTCTGGAGTCTGGAGAAGAGGTCATGTATCCAAGAAATCACAAGTCATCGAGTGATGCGAGGAGAGGGCATCTGCACGTGCGTATGGAGTCAGGACGGCAAGTGGGTGGTTAGCGGAGGGGGCGACGGCATTGTTAAAGTGTTTGCGCGATAGTGTATGATGGTTTATCAAAGAAAGAAAAAAAGAAAGAGGCATCCTGTTTTTTTTGTTTCTTTCAGAATGAGTGATGACGGTGATGAATGAATAGATTGATGGCCTTGGGAAATTGGCTGGTAAGACGTTTGGGAGAAGCATGTATTCTTTTTTATTTTCAGGTTGAGAGGGTGGCGAAATTTGTTGATGTATAAATAAACTTGTGTGTACAGAGTAGAATGGAGAGGTAGGTATGCATTGAAGAGGGAATTCTACTCGTCGATACCCGGCAAAACATGGTCGTTTTCCGATGCTTTATCGTTGCGTGCCCAGATGTGAAGCTGCGCGAGATGTGATGTTTGAAGATAGTAAATGGTGCTTGCAGTATATAAAATATGATAGTTTAGCATTTTCCAAGATCGATCCGCTACACTGGCTGTCCACAGTCAGTTACATCTTCCGTAGTATAGTGGTCAGTATGCAAGCTTGTCACGCTTGAGACCCGGGTTCAATTCCCGGCGGGAGAGATCCGCCAACCCTCTCAGAGGGTGTTGTTTTTTTTTTTTTTTTTTTTTTTTTTTTTTTTTTTTGCTACTATCCATGACTTTCTGGACTATTCTTTTTCCATTGCTTCCGGCCTTGAATAGAACAACAGAGCACAGACGCAAAACACCCCACGTCCAGTATCTGGTCAGCGCTTATCCGCCGTATTCGAACGCCTGGACCCCCCCTTCTGCTGCGACGAATGCCGGGCCGATCGGCATTTTTGTCCCGAAAGCTGGCGTAGGCGCCTGCAGCTCAAGTGGGCTCCCCGGGAAATGCGGCAGAGCGCTGGAAGCGAAGCGCAAGCCTCTTTTCCCAAGCTGGGCTGGCTTGAGGCATAGTGTCCAAGGGGATGGGATGGGAAAAAAGGACAGGCACTTTGTAGATGCGCATGCGTACGGTGGAGATTGGCAATAAGAGGAAGCTGGGTTCTAGAATCCCGTGGGGAGACGCGCGCGTGGATTTTTTTTTATTGCTCACGATGGCAGTTTTACTACTGCTATCCTAGTCGATTGTACATGCGGCCGGCACGAATTTGCCATTTTATTATTATTTTACTTTATTTTTTTCCTCTTTCTTATTTTCGCCTTTGTTGAGTGATGGGGGGCGTGTGTGTGTGCTCTTGTTCGGTGATAGTGGCGGGGATGGGTGGTGCGACATGTGAGAAGACGAGACGAGACGAGACGAGACGAGACGGCGAAATGGAAACGAAAGAGCGAAAGCAGAGCAAAAAAGCAAAAAAACCAACACTTTACCCCATACTGCTCGCTACTCCATCCCAATGCATGCAAGAAACTCGTCAGCAAAAAGCGAGAAGCGTGCGCCCTCCCCCCTTGTTTTTTCTTGGCTCTTCTTGTGTCGTGTGCTCATTTACTGTGTCGTGTGCTCATTTACTGTGAATGTGCGCGGACTAGAGGGCAAATGGGGAAATGATCAGTCTCAAGTGTTATTCTACTTGGGCTTGGCAGCTTTCGAATTTTAGGGGGCGTCCGTTTGGCTTTAATCAAATCAGAAAGGAGATTTGCTTGGCGGGCGCGAGGCTAGAGTGGGGCAACTTTCCTGTGTACCTACAGAATGTATGTAGTGCTATAGTACAGATTGTGTATGTGTGTGTGTGTGTGTGTGTGTATCCAGTACGCAGGATTCTGCAGCAGCAACCTCTTGGCGACAAGGTACCCAGTACCCCCTTTGCGCGAAGCAGTGATTGGTGGAGACACCGGATTTGGGACTGCTGAAGCGGCGAGGCGCCGGTGGCTTTGTCCTCTTTTGCGCAGTGATGACGCAAGGAGCGCGTGTGGCTGGAAACGAAGAACGACACACGACTGGCTGCCGCGAGAGGCTTAGCGCTGGGCGTTAGTTTGTGGTGGTGCTTAGCTGGACAGAGTAAGAGAGAGGGGGATGGGAAGGATTTTTGCTTGCTTGTTTCTTTTCTTTTTTTTTTTCTTTTTTTTTTTTTTTTTTTAGATGCAGTAGCTGAGGGAGTGCGTGAAATGAGTGAGCGAGTGAGTGAATAAAGCTGGGCTGCAGGTAAAGACAACGCCATGCCATGCGGCAAAATGGACAGTCAGAAACGACGCAGCGCATCTATACTCTTTTGACTCTGCACATGCTGTATTGTAGATGGCACTACGGCCAAAGAGGCAAGTCGCGCTGGATGATCGTCGTCGCGCACACAGGCAGATTCCAAGCATTTCGCGGAGTTTTGCAGCTGTTAGCACTGCTACCCAGGGCTTGTCTGCCTTCTCCGGATTTTTATTCCCATCGTAGCGTCGCTCCACTTAACGCGTGTATGTAGTATGACCCTGGGCTTCAAACAGGCCCCCGCCTGCATTAGGCTTGTCCCCCCTTGTCCCTTTTTTTTTTCCTCCTCTATAATGTTCCTACAGTAGGTAGTACGGATATTGTAGGACTAACAAGAAGGTGTGTGTATCGTATGCTGTATCACGTTTGTTTCTTGCAGCGGGAATACGTTGACGGCTGAGAGGAGCCTAGAAAGCCGAATCAATCGACGATTGAGCCTTGCCGATTACGCAGCCCTTGCTTTCATCTTTTTCCGTGTGAGGCGAGTGTGTGAGCGGTTGAAGCGCTGTGTGTGCATGTTTTGTGCATGTTCTGTTTTGGCAGCAGAAAGCCGGAGCGGGATAGGACGCAAACCCAATGTCGGCGCCTTGGCCGCCGTCATTCTGCTGTCAAGCCACGTAATTTCGCGGCGCTGTCAGGCTGGGCTCTGCAGCGTCAGGAAACAGAAGATGAGAGGGAGAGGGCCGGGTTTAGTAAGAGGAGAGGCTGGAAACTAAGGGCGAGTGAATTCAGAAGAGGCCTCTCTTCTCTTCTCTTCTCTTGGCCTCTTTGATTTCCTCTTCTTCCTTTCTTTCACCTCGAATCTCGAATTATAGATAACCTCCCAGGCGATTTTGTTGACGCTCGGTTTCTGGCCCATTGTCCACTGCTGTCACTGCCAACAATAGCACCAGCTTATACTGCACACACCCGCCCACAAACGCTATTCCCCATCTCAACGGCGCACACCACACACCAAAAGGCACCGCTTAGCCGACCTAACCACCAATCCTTGCCCCCCCAGCTCGATCTCAGCTCTTTGTCTCTAATTCTCCTCCCCCTCTCCCCTTTTCCACTTAGTCTGCCCTTTTCTCCTCTTCCAATTCTTTATTTTACCATTTTGCCCTCTTTTACCGTTATATCTTTTTTGGGGGCTTCTTTTTTCTTTTGCGTCTCATTGTGTGACCAAGTGGCTCTTTCGGGCCTTTTCGTGGTTTTCCATCTTATTGGTTACTCCATTTCAGAAGACTCAGAAGAAAGTCTTACATTCGCTTGGCGCTGCTCTTTTGAAACACCCATAACGCGATCCCATAACGCCCTACTTTTGCTACCGAAATATACTACCGCTGCTTCAATCATTTTTGGGGACCACATCGACGGGACTAGTAGTAGCCTGCTCCATCTTATCTCCTTTTGACGAATTTCGATATTCGATCTTGCTTCAGGGAATCCCCAGCTTGGAATACTACTGATACATGCCATCCTGGACTGGGCAGTGATTCTCGTCTGCTACACGCCCGCTTGAATCTTCCGCCTTCCTATTCCACGCCTACCTATCCCTCTCTTCATTCCTCTCCTCCTCCTACTACTCTTTTTTCCTTCACACCTACACGACTTATATCCTACAACCACCGCCCACAATGATACCCTCATCCGTGATCTCGCTGCTCTTCGCCGCCCTGACCATCTCGTCCACCGCCGCCTCGCCAACCGCCCGCTTCAGCCGCCTCGGGCGAGACAAGACGCCCAAATACTTCATCGAGCCCGGCGGCAGCCTCGCGCTGGGCCACTACGACAAGCGCTACTTCAAGGCCGAGATCCCTTACGGCGAGCACCGCGACGTGCTGCGCCAGCTAATCCGCAGCTACCTCACCACGCTGCACGAGCACGGCGTCGAGACATGGCTCGCCCACGGCACGCTGCTGGGCTGGTGGTGGAACGGCCAGATCATGCCGTGGGACTACGACCTGGACGTGCAGGTGTCCAACAACACCATGACGTGGCTCGGCGAGAACATGAACCGCACCGAGCACACCCACGTCTTTGACGGCGTCTCCAAGACGTACCTGCTCGACATCAACCCGCACCACGTCGACCTCGACCGCGGCGACGGCATGAACATCATCGACGCGCGCTGGATCGACACCACCAACGGCATGTTCATCGACATCACCGGCGTGCGCGAGCGCGAGGCCGACCGCCCGGGCGTCTGGAGCTGCAAGAACAAGCACCGCTACGGCAGCCAGGACCTGTGGCCCATGCGCGTCACCGAGTTTGAGGGCGTCAAGGCGCGCATCCCCTACAACTTTGAGCAGATCCTGCGCGACGAGTACGGCGACAAGAGCTTGGTCGTCGAGGAATTCCAAGGGTAAGCGATCGCCGTTTGTTTTTCCCTTTTCTGGCTATTAGCTTTTTCTCTCTCTCTCTCTCTCTCTCTCTCTCTCTTGCATTTCTCTCTTGCTCTCTTATTCCCTTCCGGGACAAAGCATGTCTCTGCTGCTGGATCTATGGTATTCGGGGAAGAAGAGGACCCTTTTTTTTTTTTTTTGTTTGTTTGTTTCGTCACGCCCGCTTCTTCTTCCCCCTAAAAAAGAGAGCGTTGTCGTCATTTTTGAGGGAGGCTGAAGTCTTGGCATTGCAGCCCTGCAGCCGAAATACGATCTGGCTCAGCACCACCAGCACAGCCCCATTTAGCCTGCACTCGTTTCCAGCATTTCTTTTTTCCCGGTTTATTGGATATTTATTTCATTTGATTTTCTCTCTGTGGAAATGAAATTATCCGCTAACGTGTTTTTGTTTTTGCAGTCACCGTTGGGATCACGACATTAGCGAATGGGTCAAAATGTCCGACGAAGAGGTCAACCAGCGCAAAGAAGAAGAGGAGGCCAGGAAAAAGGAAGAGGAAGAGAAGAAGAAGCAAGGCTAAGAAGGACTAGAGAGAATCTTCTTTCTTTGAAATTCTTGCCATGCAGCCTTTTTTTTTTCTTGGACAAAATGGCTTCTTTTTTTGTATACCTTGTTTTCCTCCTCTTTTCTTTAATCCTTGGTATATTCCCTCTACACATCATGTTTTCATTGGAACACAAAAGCGGAAAGAGCATCGCGGGCGTTTGTTTTTTATAATGGCGGGTTTTGATTTTATTACCACCTTTTTTTGCGTAATTGCAATGCGAGGGACATGAGCTGTTCTGTACATAGTTGGATACCAGTCTTGTTTAATGAGTTCATGTCGAAAACACATGTCGAGTGAGCAACGGGGAGTTTCAAAGGCTGTTTCCCCCCCTGTTTCTATATATCTGGATACGATATACTATGTACTATACATGAAATATATATAAAAATTTATATATGTCATATATTCGAATGCATCATAACATCACATGCAGTGCCAAGCAGCAAAACTTCCGCCGTGGTTATATACTATTGCAAGCGGACGACCTTTATGCGAAAATCATTACACGCCGCTTTTATGCTATGATTCAATCCACCTCTTCCATACTGTCAAATCTTGCTTCACATCTCCGCCCTCATCCCACGCTCGAATACGACATGCTGATCCTAAATCTACCAGAGGCACCAAGCTGGGCCGTCCATGTGCGCATTGGAAAGGGAATGCGCACCGCGCAAGCCGTTGCACTAGATGCTCGCACTCTCCAGCCGATAAAACATCATTGAACATGACGGCACCTATAAAATACACGCATTCGTTAGCAAAAGATAAAAATGAAGCTTGCATTTAGTGAGAAGACATAGGGGAGAGACTTACTTCGACAGGCCCTCGAATGCAGCAGTTCGAGGATACCTCTCGGGCAGCCATGAAAGTCCGCCGTCAAAGATTGATTCAATGTCCCCTTTCCAGCACTGCGCGGCCGTGGGGGAATCATGCCCTCGTCGTGGAGCTTCCAAATCTCATTGCGTATTAAATCCACCAAAAGTCGCGGCTCACCACGACATCGTTCCAAAATGCTGGGAGGAAGAGCCGTCACCGTAATTGTATAGTCCGCCGCTTGTTGTGTAGTCCTGTACATGATGCCCCATGCTTCTAGATGCCCCTGATACCGCTGTAGCAAGCCATGTTCGCGCTCTGAAGTTTCAAATATCAGCGGTCGCTCGAGAGACTCGACAGCTGCCCTGAGCACCCTGCTGGAAGGGTCTTCCATGAAATATTCCGTCATAAGGTCCTCTAGACGGCACCTCTCGTCCGCAGCATGTTGATCTAGCATCACCAGGGCACAAGAGCTGCCCGGTTTAGGCGCGTCTTTCGTTTCTCGAAGCGGGAGCTTCAGCATAATGAATTTTTTGTCGACTTGTGCAACGACTTCCGCTCCTTCCAGGGCTGATCTAGATACGCGGCCTTCTATACCGATGGATGCTGCCTCGAATTTGACTCCTCCATTGCCATCATTCCGGCATCGGTGTAAGCCGTGAACCAGCGTTGTCTCACGCACTGGTGCCGGCGCTTCATCGTTGATACGTGGTACAGGGAGCTGCGTTGGCTCAAAAACCGGGTTGCGCCACGAATTGAGAACATCTTTGAGCCATTCGCTTGGTTCTTCTCGCCCTCCCATCTCCTTCTTCTCTTCTGATTTCCCACTCGCCCCATCTGAATCATTCACTTTCAACCGCTTGGCCGTTTCGCTCAGCGAATCTTCTGCTGCCCTCTTAGGACGCTCAACAAGCGAAAGAGAGCCCCATTTGCAGATGCTCCCAGTATCAGTTCCACTGGAGTTTATGCTCTCAGCTTCAGTACCAGGCGAATCTGGGATATCGAACGGCTTGCGAAGCAGCTTTCCACCTTCTCCAACTAGCCTCTCTTTTGCGATAGTATCTGAAGGGGTTAGATTAGGATCAGGCCGCGTCGCTTTCTCTGCCGGCTTGGCTTCTGTTCGTGGGCCAACCTTCATCCTACTCCAGCCGTCAAAAGGGCTATCTGACAGGGAGGAAGAGGAATCTGACAGCAAAGCTTGTGAAGATGGAGGCATTGAAGCCTGAGTTGATGGAGGCTTGTTGGGCGCTTTAGTGCTGCGATGTGGCGTTGTTGAAAACACAGACTTGTCTGAAGATAACTGAACCTTTTGTGGGCGCATGTGGTGTTTTCTCAGAAAGCTGTAAGTCATAGCCCTCAACAAGTCGGTAATCCTTTGAAGGTCTCCGTGCGAGTGGTTAGATATGTCGTCTACATCAAAAGAATCTTCGATCCCTTTGAGCGTGATTCGGAAGTAAAACATAGGCCATCGGTCTGCTCCTTTGCTCTTCTTCTGAGAATTTGGACCCACCCAGTTATCCGACTCCCCTTCATTGCCTTCGGCTATCCCAAAATCTGAGCCTTTGAACATTTTGTTTACTTCTTCGTAGAGAACATTGTTACCATACTCGTTTGAGATTGGTAATATGCCTATGCTCATAAACTGAGATCGGCGTGTCGCCACCGGAGTTAGAGAAATGCAGCCCTTGATAGCGACGTGTCCAGCAGTCGCTGATACTGGCACCCACGAGTCCATTTCGCCGGAGTCTGCGAATGAAGCTTGTACAAAGTACCGTAGTGCTCTAGGGACCATACTCGCATTTTCCGGTGGCTTCAGACGCAGTTCACGCTGTGCCTTGATTTCACACAAGAACACAGTGACTCCAGAAGACCAAGCCACAAGTAAACCGACAACATCGTGAACTAGGCGTCCCCATTCCTTGTCAAGCCCAGGGCGGTCTGCGACGAGAGTCGCGCGGTGTTTAACGCGAACAGGAAGCGAGCCAAATAAGTCATTAACTGCAACTCGCGTACCATGGTCAAACACATCGAATCTTTCCCCAGAAACAGATTGTGTCTGCCTCTTTAAGAGTTTGCCGTGGTGAATCGACAGGGAGTTGTGCGAGTTATGGCGATGATGGTGAGATGTCACTGTCAGCAAGGACAAAGTGCTCAAAGAGGCCAAAAAGGTCCCCTGCCTGCCATGCAGTCCATGCTGAGGCGGAAATTTGGATGAGTCTTGACACAACAAAAGTTAGTATCCACTCTGTCAGCCTCAGATTTTAGTTTTCATACAATAAGACTTTCCAAGTCCTCCGTCCTCTGAAAAATCTCCGGGAGCAATGCCCAATCCATTGTCTTCTACGGTACAATTCCCTCGGCCATATTCGACATAGATATTGACTTTGGTGGCACCAGCGTCAAGCGAATTCTTGAGCAGACCACAGACAACGCCGTTCAGCGATGTGATGGTTGACGAGGATCTGATCTTGCCGACGACATCCTCTGGGAGTGGCCTGATGGACATGGCACATGATGCTTCATTACAAGTAGCAGCCCGTGCTAGTCGAAACCAAAGCCGAAACCGACGTTTGAACAAGCTCCCGACGCTGGCGAGCTGAAGGCTGATCTACGGGGTATCGTGACGTGAAAATGGATCCAGGGTTTATGTAAGATTAGCTTGCCACCATTTCGGGCATGGATCGTCGACCAACTCCAAGCGCCACTTCGAGTCAGGGTCTATTGCGGGAGGAGTACTCCGGACAGCGCGGCGAAACGCGGGGAGGTGGATGTACTCGCAGACGGCTATTGCTGTAGCTCTTAATAAGAGGAGCCCACTTGAGCGCACAACTATCGTCAGACGCGTGTGTCGTGGGCATGGCGTTGCTAGATTAGCTCAACCGCAGATGCGAAAGGCTGAGACCCTCTTTCTCCCAATTCAGATGCAGCATTTCGTCATCGTCAGCGACTGCTTCATTCCTCCATGTGATCCCGGCGCATCACGTGATGGACCCTGCCCTTTGAATGCCGAAATGATGCTCAAGCAACGCTACTGCTCCTAGCGTTGCACCATCGGGATGGTTGGACGGGCTTCAACCGCTTCGCGATCTGCCATCTACGCTTCTCCCTCGCATCATATTTCTGCACGCCACGCTCCTTTGTTCCCGCCGTTGGTCGACTGAGAGACCATCGTCCCGATAGCCGATTCCGCGAGTCTGAGCCTTTGTCCAAGGCCCCTCTCCCCCTTCTTTAATCTCCATCTTTAATCCCCATCTCAGCCTGACGCTGTTCGCCATCGCGCCAACACCAAATCCGCTACTCCCTTCGAGCCGCACCCGCGGCACTCCCAGTCTTCGCCCTTGATGGCGACTACCGATTTTATCTCAGAGGCTCACGGTACTGTCTCCTTGCTTTTCGCCGCTGTCTTCGTCGTTGCCTGCCTCGCGTAAAATATTGGGGCGTTTCAGCCCAAGCAGCATCCCTTGTTGGGTTCTCAGCGGCGCTCATTCCAAAACAAAAACAAAAAAAAAAAAAAAAAAGACTAACCATCGGTAGATCGCCAAGTACAGCAGAGAAGAAGACCGTTTTCAACATGGGTCAAAAAACTCACCAATTTCAAGTCGTCATCCGATGGCGAGCGGCAGAAGCGACACATCAGAATCAAGCGTGGTCCCAAGCTCAATAACCCGTATCCTCAATCCGGCCACGTTAGTAGCAATCATCCCAATGGACAAAGCTCGTACTCGTTTGCTACTGGCCGCACCGACTGCAGCCTTTCGACAATTGATCAGCCCACTCGCTTCTCGGCAGATGGATATGCACCACCGACTTCAGGAGGGCGGAGCCTGACAATGACCATATCAACCGAGACCGAAGCCGATCCACCTCGATCCATCATCGCGCCGAGTCACGCGCCGAGCTCTGTGACAGGAACAAGCAGGACGGTCAACGGGGGGCACGAATCTAGAAGAGGCGGCGACAGCACATTTTCGAGTCCTTCCCCATCAGTCAGATCACTCGCTACGACGCTGACCACCATTCAATCATTTGCTCCCCATGGGCAAGCCCCGGTAGCGCCAACTCACAGCATCACCCAGTCGATCCAGTTCAGCCAACCGTTCCCTACGACTTCACCGGCATCAGCTATACCATCGCATCTCATTCCGCCAAACCACCTCACGACATACACTACAGCTACGGCCAATAATCTTCTTACAGACAATGCATCCATCTTGACTCTAGCCTCGTCGAGCAAGCGAGGCCGTCGTCGGTCGATGGATACCGATGCGTCTGTGCGAGCCCTCGCGCCCTCATCACTTTGGGGCGGCAGTCGTGAAAGCCTACCGCTGAGTGTTCTCAGCGCCAATATTGATCCATCCGGCATTCACAATGCCTCCAGGCTGGGGGCAGAGCGAAACAGCATATACTCTGCAACGGGCGTGGCGCCAGCCATTCCAAGCGAGCGCAACAGTATTTATACCAAGCAGGGCGACGGTGCAAGCGTCAGAAGTGGCCGCCTAGGACACAACCGACCCGATAGTGTGAGCGGCAGCGTTGCACTCGCCAGCCCCCGAGAGGTACCTGCTAAGAAGAGCCTTGCCGAGAACCAAGAGGATATCCCGCTAACACCAGATTCCAAGGAGGACTAAACTTGCTTTTTTTTACCACCAATATTTTCAGTTTGCTTTATTACTAGGCGTTTCGGAAGAAGTACTGTCCGTATTCGATTAGACAGGCTTATATGCGTGGCTGGGTCTGGGATTTCCTGGTTTTTTTTTTTTTTTTTTTTCTCCTTTTTCCTTTCCTTTCTTCCAGACTTTTTCTGCTCCTTTCTAACTCTCTCTCTCTCTCTTTTTTTTTTTTTTTCCTTTCTCTTTCAGCCATGGGGGTAGAGACTTCAAAGATGTGACAAACGTGATACCCTTTAGCCTACGGGAAGTTGCGAGCAGTATTGAATTTGTTTTGTGTTTTTCGTGCTGTGAAAAGAATAGAAGAGAAGACCAGGCTTTTTAAAGCACAACCAGCGGGATCCTATTAGTTGAGAGTATAAGCGATGGAAGATATATTTCTGGTAGCGTCTTACCATATTTCTGGTAGCGTCTTACCATCTTATTATCGGCTTTGTAGAGAGGTCACTGGCAACAAGATTCGGCACAGGCGTATAATCTGAGGTTGATTTCCTGTTCAAGAATGAAATTATCTATTACCATTAATATCTACGTTAATTCAAGAAAGATGGAGTGCATGCCTAAACAATTGGCCGCTGCTGTTTAGGCACTTGGGCCGTATCTAACATGAGCCACTGTGGCGCTAATTATGCTAGCCCAGCTGCGTGCACCTGGCGTTGAGAGCTTCGGCGCAGCTCCAGCAGCCCGCTCTCTGTCCCGCCATCGTCATCGTGCGCTGAAGCGCTACTGCGACTCTTCCAACCTCCGCCTCTCCAAGGCGACAAGATGGCCATCTCAGTACGTGAGCCAGCACCGGCATTGGTTTACTCTTCCAGCATCTATTCTTCTCCGCTGATGGTGAACTATGGCTTGCAAACGTTCTCCCGACCGCTAACACCCGTGCCCACAGTGGAAGTCGTTCGACTTCTTCGACGTCTCGCAGGTAGCGCTGCCTGACGATGAAACCCGCCAGCTCTTCGAGGGCAACGAGATTGCCAGCATCTGCGCAGGCTCCGACAGCCTGTTTCTCGGCTCGAGCGATGGATACGTCAGCATCATTGGCAAGGGCTGGAAGGTGATCAGGAAGTTCCAGGCGCATGAGGCGCGGATCACGCACATGCGTCAAGTGGAGGGGACGAGCTTGCTGGTGACGGTTGCGGTGAGCTTTGAGCAGTCGTTTGCAGCGCAGTAGGGGCTCTCTCTTGTTGCTGACGGTTATGTAGGAGGATATGAGCAGTGAACCGATCCTAAAGGCGTGGGCGTTGGACAGATTGGTTAAGAAGACAAACATGCCGACCTGCCTTAGCACCTTGACGATCAATAATGGGAGGCGGCAGTTTCCCGTAAGTAGCTGTGATATGGCTGAGGGATTTTCCATGCGTTGGCTGACTCTTGCATCAAGATATCGGCGTTTACTGCGCTCGACGACCTTAGCCAAATCGCTGTGGGCTTTGCGAACGGCGCCGTAACCGTCATTCGAGGAGATCTCGTCCACGACTTGGGAACAAAGCAGCGGATAGTCTTCGAGTCGGAAGAACCTGTAACTGGTGTCCAATTGGCAACTCAGGAGACCTCAACAACGCTCTTCATCTCTACGACGTCGAGGATATTGCAGCTCGCCTTGTCCAAAAGGGGGCAGGGCTCACCGCCGAAAACCATTGAGGATTCTGGCTGCGCCGCAGGCTGCATGACGGTCGACCCTAGGACCGGAGACATTATCGTCGCCAGGGACGATGCCCTCTATACATACAGACTCGACGGCCGCGGTCCCCCTCGGGCATACGAATCTCCCAAGCGGCTTATATCCATCCATAACAACTACTTTGCGGTTGCAGGCCCATCGTCGGTCAGCAGCAGCCGAGATCCCGAGGCTTTGCGGAGGAGATTCGGTTCAGCGACAGCAGACGGCCTATTTAATGCGTGGACCTTTGTTCTCTTGGAAGCGGATCTCCGAGTAGTTGGCCATACAGAGACGCTCATCTCTCCGGTCCGATTTATCGTTGAATTATGGGGGGATTTGCTCACTATTACAGAGGAAGGAAAGGTATGTGTTTTCAAATGCTCAATGCATAACCATAATTCTAACTGGATACTATTCAGATTTTCCGATATCATGAGAAGCCACTTCAGCAGCGTCTTGAGATGCTCTACCAGCGCAACATGTATCCTCTTGCGATCGAGCTGGCTCAGAACTCGGGGATGAGCAACGAGCAGCAGAGTCTGATCTACCGCAAATTCGGCGATCACTTGTACCAAAAGTCAGACTATGACGGAGCGATGAACCAATATATTCGAGCGATTGATGCTACTGAGCCCTCTCAGGTTATCAGGAAGGTGAGGAACCCGGATATTGTGTCTTATTTATACTTTAGTTCGCCACTAACGAGACCAGTTTCTGGATACACAAAGAATACACAATCTGATTTTATACTTGGAAAAACTGCATCACCATGGAAAAGCAACTTCGGATCACACAACACTCCTGCTCAACTGCTATGCCAAATTAAAGGATATCAAGAAGTTGGAGGAGTTCATTATGGCGCCAGGAGACTTGAAGTTTGATCTGGATACAGCCATTACCATGTGCCGACAGGGTGGCTACTACCAGCAAGCTGCTTTTCTTGCCAAAAAGCATGGCGAGACCGAGCTTGTTGTGGATATCCTAATCGAGGACTCAAAGAGCTACGATGAAGCGCTGGATTATATATGGCATCAGGATCCTGCTATTGTAAGCAGCCACCCTTGACCATCGCTTATTACGCGAGCTGATCGATATGCTAACATCTCCAGGCGTATCCGTGCATGCAAAAATACGCCAGGGTTCTAATAGAGCATTGTCCCAAGGATGCCACGAAGCTCTTTGTGGATTACTATACTAGCAACTACCGACCACGGCGGGTAGTGGTACTGCCAGCTGAAGTCTCTGGGACAGCCACTTCAAGTACAGGATTCACGGCTGGAGCTGCCAGTGCTGTGCAGAATCTCACAAATCTCCTCGTCTTGCCTTCATACATCAGCCCTGCCACAGGCACACCAGGCAGTGCGAAGCCAAACGAAACTACCATTGTACCTGACGAAGACGATATCCCCATACCCAAATACAACCCCCCACCGCCGAGAACGGCATTTTCATCTTTTATCGACCATCCCGATGAATTCATCACATTTTTGGAAGCATGTCTAGAGGAAGAAAAACTGAAGACTGCTCATAGCAGTGATCTGTACACCACATTGTTTGAGATGTACTTGCATAAATCCAATGAAAAGAAGGGAAGTCTACACAGGGAAGAGTGGGAGGCAAAGGCGAAGAAACTGATTGAGGGAGAGCATGTGCCTATGGAGAGCTCAAATGTGCTCTTGTTGTCGCATCTATCCAACTTCCAAGACGGTACCGTTTTAGTCAAGGAGCAAGCTGGGCTGTTGTCTGACATATTCAGATCGTATACCTCGGCAAAGGACACCCGCGGTGCATTAAAGGCACTGAGGAAGTACGGCCCGGAGGAACCGCAGCTATACCCGGCAGCCTTGTCTTATCTCACTTCAGATCCTCGGGTGCTAGAAGAGGCTGGACCCGACGAGTTGGCGGCCATCCTAGCAAAGATTGATAAAGACGGGCTCATGGCCCCGCTCCAGGTCGTTCAGACTCTTGTCGGGCAAAATTCCGGAGGTGGAGTAGCTACGATGGGGATGATCAAGCCGTATCTTCGCGAGACAATCACCCGGGAGCGCAAAGAAATTGCTCAAAACCGTCATAGAATATCTACACTGCGTACCGACACGGAAAAGAGACGAAGTGAGCTGGAGGACCTAGGCTCCAAGCCTGCCGTGTTCCAGGCTACGCGGTGCTCCGACTGTGGCCAGGGACTAGACCTTCCGGCTGTGCATTTTATGTGCAAGCACAGCTTCCATCAGCGGTGCCTTCGTGGCGGCGGCGAGGATGATGAGATTGAGTGCCCAAAGTGCGCTGGCGAGAACGAGGTGATTCGCAAGATGAGAGAGGGTCAAAGGGAGCGAGCAGGACGGCATGAGATATTCAAGGCAGACCTAGAGAATAGCACCGATCGATTTGCGACCATTTCTGAGTGGTTCTCACGAGGAGTGATGGATGCGCAGGGCTCAGAGCAGGCTTCTTGATTTTTTTACATTCCATGAGCGGGCGCAGGCGATGAGACGGTGGTTACCTTTTATTGTTGCTCTTTCCTATCCTTTTTTTTTACCTTTTCACAATTTTGGGATATATATCTAGCTAGACTGTTTGATAGTAATTGTGACGTCGAAGCCAGAATAGAATGATTTTGTTGTGGCCCAAGATGCTTATTATTCTCCTGTTAGTCAGTTTTGTGGTTGATATGCCGAAAATGCCCCGCGTCTCATGCCACTTCAGATCAGATCGGATGCTACTCATAGTCAGCCATTTAATACTCCCCTGTCGTCATCACAAACATTCAGTCATCCTGCGTCTCATTCTGGTGCAGCATCATGACTGATTCAGAGGCAAATCCATCAACCATGCGTCCAAATCCGAAGCAGCTGGTCGACTTCTTCTCGCGCTCGCTCTCGTCTTTCCACTCATCGCCCGATGTCTTCCGCATTCTATGCACACTGCCCCATCACAGCGGCAGCAAAGAGCCAGCTTCACGGCCGTCGACTGCAAAGCCGCGGCAGAGATTAGTGGTTCTGGATTCAAGCTTCAATCCACCGACTCGGGCGCATGCCGAGATGGCAAAGTCGGCCCTCAAGTGGGCTTCTTCTTCTTCTTCAGAAGGCGGGGCTGCACGCTTGATGCTGCTGCTGTCGGTGAACAATGCGGACAAGGCGCCCAAGCCGGCGAGTTTCCCGACGCGGCTGGGGATGATGGAAGGATTCGGGCATGAGCTGCTGAGGAGCTTTGACGGCGAGGGGGAGGGGCGGCCGGAGATTGACCTGGCCGTGACGAAGATGCCGTATTTCCACGACAAGGCGAGGGTGATTGCCGAGAGCGGGTTCTACGGGCCCTTGGGGAGCAGCGCAGGGCCGGAGCAGATTTTCCTGGCGGGCTTTGATACGGTGATTCGGATATTCAATCCAAAGTATTACAGTACGGAGGAGGGCGGCATGAGGGCGGCGCTCGGGCCGTTTTTCGAGAGGGCGAGGCTACGGGTCACGATGAGGACGGATGATGAGTGGGGAGGGGAGGATGAGCAGGTGGGATATGTGAAGGGGTTGGGAGAGGGCGGGTTGGATGAGGTTGGGGGGGATGCTGCGTGGGCTGGGAGGGTGGATTTGGTGGAAGGGAGGGAGGGGAGTGGTGTGAGTAGTTCGAGGGTAAGGGAGATGGTGAGGAAGGGGGAGAGGGAGGAGTTGGGGGAGATGGTTGATGGGGAGGTGTTGAGGTGGATTGATGAGAAAGGGCTGTATAGAGAGTGATGGTGTTGAGGATTTTTATATTGCCTACCCTGAAGTTATGCAGATGGATGGATTTTTACGTGATTAGAACCGTTTATCAATGAGGAATGAATTATGAATGATTATCATTATTAAAATAAAGGCTGTTTTGTGGTAAATCACTGATGCAGTTTTATGGTTTAGTGGCGCTGGAAGGGATATCGCTGTTGGTTTTTTTTGACTGAGGTTGGCGGTATCACAAGCAAAACTCGGATGCTATATCGAAGCAGCTTGATCGAGGCAAACACAATAACCGGCAAATTCTCTACTAGCGCAATCTTTTTCGGTGAAAATTTTCAAGAACCACAGAATAGCAGGCATCTTCAATTACTCTTACGTGATATCTCAACATCAATCAGTGCAAAACGCAGAAATTTTCTTCACGGCAGCTGTGCATCTCGGCACTTCTTCTCACTAGCTGACCCAACTGAGGATCTCGCGACTCATTTTTTTGCAGTGCACCCCTGTCGCTCTAGGCAGATAAGCTTGATAACGCAGATTGCAAGCCACGAGCTAAGTGAAAGTGGTGGGTCTGTTGACATTTTTCGTTTGTGGCAGAAAAAAAAAAAAAGTTCTGGGCGGTCAGGCCGCCCCACCACAGCAGGTATAAATGTCTGCTTCGTCCGCCGTGCTTTGATTTTTTTTTTCTTTTCTTCTTTACGTCGACAATACTTCAGTATGTGTACCCCTAACTGTGGCCCTGCAGTGACTTTTTCCCCATCACAGCAGCGGCTGCAGGAAAAGAATTGCTGTTTAGGATTCGAAGATGGCTAACAACTTTGCTACAGGAGAATCATTTCTATAGTATTTGTCTCTTGCTTTGGTTCCCAAAAGAGCCATCGAATCCACCCTGGTTGATGATTGTATATCCTCGATACCCAAGAGTGAATTTTTTTGGTCCTCTCGCCCTGTCCGCAAGGATGGCGGTAGTTGCCTTGTGCTTCTGCTGTATAGAGAGCTGTTTTTTCTCTTGATGATCTCGACCCTTTCCGTGGTCATGCCTTCGGGCGCACTGGTAGGGTGGGTGTCGATGGACGTCTGACAGGCGTGTCTTTTTCTATCTTTTCGTTGCTGGTTGGGGCTTGCCCTGATGGTGAAGAAGGGATCTAAATAATAGTCAGTTATAGGCGTGAGAAGTCTTCGATTTGTTAGGCACAGGATGAAACTAGAAAAGGAAAATTGTTGAACAGGCGTGAAATACACAGGAAACATCGGCGGCTCTTGAGCTCTTGACAAAAGCGTGTTCATGCCATTGCTGTACGTGCTTACGTATTTTGCCGTCTCTGTTCTGCCTCCAGAATTAGACCGTCTCTAGATTTCACGCTGGAGAAATTTCAGATAGACGCAGGCCTAATTTAGCGGCTCTGATTGTCTGATTGTTCCTGGCGCCGGATGCTTATCCGCTAGTGATAGCTGAATACAGGAGACTGTATCGTATAAATAATGCGATGCGAACAGTTTGGGTTGATGGCATTGTCTCAGCCTCAGCCTTGCCTGTAAAGCACATTTGCGCACTTAATGCACAATGCAGGCGGCTCCTGGTATCATTGGATGACGGCAAAGACTAATCCCAGAGGCGCACTGCCCAATGGAAGAAATGCCTCTACAAAGTACAGCGTGCAGCCTCTGGCGCCCAATATTGGCCTAATTCCACACCTCAACTGATAAGATTATTTCATCTTTCGTTCTTCACTCTATTATAACACGAAACACATAGTTGCCATTTGTACAATGTCGGACCCGAAGAATTATACCGTGGGTTGGATCTGTGCTCTAAGCACTGAGCAGATTGCAGCGGCAGAATTTCTTGATGCTGAGCACGAATCCCTGGAGGACCAACCGCTAAACGATACCAATAGCTATATCCTAGGATCTATTGGAAAACATAACGTTGTTATTGCTGTTCTTCCTTTGGATCAAGGAACAGCCTCCGCCGCCAATGTAGCGACCAACTTACTGCGAACATTTCCCAATATTAGGGTTGGTCTTTTGGTTGGTATTGGCGGGGGCGCACCTAGCAAGAAGCATGATATCCGCTTGGGAGACGTTGTGGTCAGCGCACCCTCAGGCGGAGATGGAGGTATATTTCAATATGATTTTGGGAAGACAATCCAAGAAGGGGCCTTTCAACGCACCGGACATTTGAACAAGCCTCCGCCTGTTTTGCGTTCTGCGGCGGCAACCCTCCTGACTAAATATAGGCGCCATGGACATCAGTTCAAAAAAGATATTGATGGCATCCTGGAAAGGAATAAGAGGCTGATAAGCGAGTTTCGACGACCAGAGGCATCCAGCGATATGCTATTTCTACCCAACGTAGTTCATAAAGAAGGAGAATGCGCAGCAGAATGTGTGACGGAAGACAAATCTGGTGTAGTCTCACGTCGCAAACGTGCAGAACACGAGAATGACCCTGCAATCCACTACGGTGTTATCGCCTCTGCAAATCAGGTTATGAAAGATGCCCTCATTCGAGATAAACTTTCAGCCGAGAAAGACGTCTTGTGCTTTGAGATGGAAGCAGCTGGGCTAATGGATAGTTTTCCTTGTTTGGTAATACGTGGTATATGCGATTATTCCGACTCCCATAAGAATGACGAGTGGCAAGGTTTTGCAGCAATGGTAGCCGCTGCGTATGCAAAGGACCTTCTCGGCCTGATTCTACCAAGCAAAATTGAAGCTGAGCAGAAAATTAGCGAGGCCATTGCGCAAGGTTGTCCACCCCCATATTATAGAACTTGAGAGTGAAGCTGGTCCTAATAGGATTATAGTCAGAGACACTGTAGCCAAAATTGAGACAAACGTTGAAGATATCAAATCTCATATAATTTCACAACAGGATCTCGAAATTTTAAACTGGCTAGCAGATTCTGATTATTCTAGTCAGCAAAATGATTATCTTGCCAGACGCCAGCAGGGTACCGGGCAATGGCTCTTGGAATCTAAGGTACATCAAGATTGGCTATCGACAAGTAGACAAACATTATTCTGCCCCGGTATACCCGGTGCCGGAAAGACTATCCTTACAGCTATTGTTATTGAGCATCTCTATACCCACTTCAATAGTGATCTAACGGTTGGTATTGCATACAATTACTATAACTTCAACCGCCAAGGCCAGCAGACTGCTGATAAAATTTTGGCAAGTCTCTTGAGACAGCTGTGTGCCTCTAGATCTTCGCTGCCCGAGCCTCTAAAATCTCTCTATATCAAGCATAAAGACTCGAACGGCAGAAATACTCGGCCATCCTCTGAGGAAATTGCAAGCACTCTACAAGTTGTAGCCCAAATGTTTTCTCGAGTCTTTATTGTAATTGATGCACTCGACGAATGTCAAAATCAAGAGCGATCTTCATTTTTTACAAAAATATTTGAAATTCAGATGAAGGCCGACGTTAATCTTTTTGCAACTTCACGACCACTTTCAGAGATCAAAAATATGTTCCAAGGGTGTCATTTAGTAGGCATCGTGGCCAACCAAGACGATATATCCAAGTACATCGAAGGCCAAATGCCAAAGCTTCCAAGGTTTGCCCGTGATGATAATTGTCTCAAAGAGCAAATCAAAACAGAAATTACAAATATCGCGCAAGGAATGTCAGTATTAAACACACTCTAGATAGCTAGCTAAACATGTGCTCACACCCATCCAGGTTTCTCTTAGCCCAGCTCTGTCTTGGCACGCTTGAGGATATGGTTACACCAAAAAAGATGAAGCAAGCATTAAAAAAATTCCAACAAATAAGCCAGGAGCAAGGTGAAGACAAGAAATTTAAAATACTTGGAGCCGTATACGAGAATACAATGGAGAGGATCAAGCAGCAGAAGTCGGGTCACCGCTGTTTGGCCGAAAGTGCTTTATCCTGGCTTTGTCACGCAAAAAGGCAACTTACAACCGTTGAGCTTCAATATGCTCTCGCAGTGGATATAGAACTAGACGGACAAGACAGCGGCAATGTTCCGCAAGAGTTTGATGATGATAATATCCCAGAAATTGACGTCATAGTCTCGAGTTGCTGTGGATTGGTCACTGTTGACGAAGAGAGCAATATCATCCGACTAGTACATTACACGACGCAAGAATACTTTGATCGAATGCGAAAACAATGGTTTCCTAATGCAGAGGTCGAAATTGCAAATGTCTGTGCTTTATACCTCACTTTTAGTAATTTCGAGAGCGATGCATTTCATGATGAATGGAGCTATGATTATGAGTTGCCTCGAGAGCCATTTTATGGCTACGCGTGTATGAACTGGGGATATCATGCGCGCGAGGCAGAACCTTCCAGTCGCATAGTTCATGATTTCCTCGCAAACACGGCAAAAGTTAAGATTGCAGGTCAGGCTATACGCTGCATACTTGATAAACTGGACCGATGGCTTTATGTACCAGGAGATATGATCACAACGGCGCTGGGCTTGACTGCGTATTTCGGGGCTATCAATTGGATGAAGAAGCTGCTGCCAGATATCCTAAATTATCAACTGGATGATGCTGTTTGTGACCGCGCGCTTCAAGTGGCGGTAATAAATCGACAAAGAGATACAATCCGGCTGCTTCTTGACATGGGTGCTGACCCCGACTTCCTAGATGGTCACTATGGGAATGCCTTGATTTATGCAGCGCGTTACAACGATGCAGAGACAGCTCAATTACTTTTGAACAACGGCGCAGATCCGAATGCGATGTGCAATGCAGGCTGGACGCCTCTCACAATTGCGGCAGACGAAGGCAATGTAGCTGTGGCTCGGCAACTTCTTGATATGGGTGCCGACGTTACTGAAGAAGCAACTGAGTTGGGTACAGCTGCTTATTTCGCAGTGGAGCATGGCGATAAGGCTATGATACGCCTTTTGCTTGAGAAGACTACCTATCCTAAGCAGAGAGTCTACCATCTGAAGAACCAGTTACTTGAAGCTGCGGTATGGCGTAGAGGTATAAATTTTATTGAAATGGTCTTTGAGAAGCATCCTTGGCCGAATATGAAGGGAAGGTTTGGTAGCAAGATGCTTTATGGGGCACTTGTTTCAGGTCACAGAGACATTGCTGAGCTACTTCTCCAGAAAGGTGCTAAAGTTTTGCAAAATGGATTTTACGGAAAAGAGAGGATAATTCGTTTTACAAAGATGGATAAAGAATGGCTTGCTCAAAAAGTACCTACACTTTTCATAGACCATGTTGGATAGAGGAAATACTGCCATATGTTTATGCTCATAGACCGAGGATATCAGCTATTTTGAGACTTATTAGACTCCAAGTTTTAATTATCAAGGCACGAGAATGCTAGGCTTTGCTTATTTTGTAATACATAGGACTTAAGTCAGTGTGCACCAGATACACTTGTTATCTCAACTGCCTCTTTCTCAATATAAATATATATACATATGGATATGTGACACGTATGTTTATATATTTACACTTTTAACAATAAGTAGCCTCATATTCCAATGTGTCGTTAGGGTGAGTCGACGATTGATACCATTCTTCATATTCGTGTTATATATAAACCAAAGTCACAAAACTCATACAAGTCCATCTATTTCATCCATCCCAGTTTATTCGCAACAAAGCTCACACATCCCACCAACGCCGTAACACCCGTAAATACAATCAAAACACCATAGCCACTCCCATACCCTCCAGCAGCCTGGCCCTGCCACGGCATACCCCTGATCAGAGCCTCGCTCAGCGGGCCTGATACAATATTCCCAACACCTCTACCAATGGAGAGGAACGAAATCACCATGAGCGGATCATACTTACTCACGCTCATGCCATCAAGGTCTCCAGCGCTGGCTGCCTTGTCTCTTTCGGTAGCAACCTTGACGACATGCTTCATGATGCCTGGCCACGAAGTCGTAAATGAGCCGGCGAAGATGCCATAGGAGAGACAAAAGACATACAGAATGCCAATGTTGGAGCCCAGACCCCACAGAAGAAGAACACCGAAAACAGCTCCTACGGTCGATATCAGAATGCAGGTCGTAACATGCAATCTGTCAACCAGCATCCCCATCGTCACAGGCCCAACCACCGACCCAATGTTGAGCACCAGCAGCGTAGCCGCAGAAGCAAACGAACCCGCACCGAGAATGTCCTGCGCATACGTCGGCAGGAAAATACCCGGCAAGAAGAACCCCATGCCTTCGATCACGTTGCCCAGCTGGTATATCGCAAAGACGCGAGTCCTCATGAAGCCCCAATCCAGCGGCTTGATGTGAGCAGTCATTGACGGCGGCAGACGGGGCTTCACGAAATACACCAGAGGCATCGTCACCACAAAGAGAGCCACCGCCCATATCCGCAGCGTGGCGCGGAACCCATAGCGGCCGAGCAACGCCTCGAGAACCAGCGGGATCGTGAAGCCGCCGAGGCCCGTTGCGGACCACATGAGGCCATAGGCCATGCACTTGCGGCGGTCGAACCACTCGTCGACGTACATCAGACACGGGTTGTAGGCGATGGAGCCGCCGATGCCGTACAGCGCGCCCTGCGTGAGGATGAGGTGCGTCGTGTTTGTCGCAAAGGACGAGAGCGCGAGGGCGACGCACATCATGAGCAGGCCGATGGTGGGATTCAGCCGTCCTTGGTTGGGATAGAGGCGGGCGAGGGCGATGACGAGGGGGGCGTCGAGATACATGATGCCCTGGGGTTGAAGAGCGAAGTCAGTTCATTGCATCTCTCTTGCTGGTGAGGGTGGTTGTCAAGGTTTAGTTTGGTTTACCGTGGCGCAGGTTCCTATGATGGCCGTCTTGGACGAGCCTTTAAATGGTTCGTGAGTGCGGTAGTAGTCCTGGAAGATGCCAAAGGCAAATGGAAAACCTAATGTTTGCTCGAATCAGCATCTTTGTCGATACTCGAGATATCCGTCACTCAATCAACTCACCCCATACCATGACCTCCATCATAAAACAAGCCGCCAGGAAGAGCCATGCTTCTTTGCTTGTATCAGGCGGCGGAATAGAAAGGTCCAGCTCTTCTTGGCTCTGGCTCTGGCTCTCACGCTGGGCCTCCACATCACCCGGACCAAGTTCCACTACCGCAGCAGCATCGCTTTCGCGTTTCTCATCTTGGCTGCTTTTGATGTCCGCCAGAGAAGTGAGATTCTGGTCGCTGGGACACGTAACCGTGGGAGTTGGCGAGGACGGCGACGTCACTGTTGGCGACGTCGAGGCGGATATTTCGGTGAAGATGGGCTCGACCGTAGGCATTGAGCTGCACCCGGCGGAAGCCCTTGGACAGATTTGCTGATATGAGGTGATGTGTCTCTGTCTGTCTATCTGCCTGTACAGCCAATGTCTCAAGTCCTGTTGTGATAGAATATGCTGATATGTAATAAAGCTGATATATAGTAAAGGCCAAGATGGCATTGAAGATGCAAGATGAAGCTTGTTTCCCAGAATCCGCAACTCTAAATGTCTTTCTATTCCTAGTACTAGGGAAGAAGAAGGCGAAGAAAAGCAAGAAATGACGAAAATAAGACAGACAGACACACAATCACGATCACGCTCGCCCCTTTTCTCTCAATCTCATTCCATCTCTTCGAGCTTTATATACCCAGCCCCCCCCCCCCCCCCAAAATCCACCTCAGGATACCTCCCAGTATCACACGGAGTACACCCGGCGATCATACCCAAAGATGGAACCACAAAACAGGTAAAGAGAACAGGAAGGAAGGAAAAAAAAAAGGTTAATCTTCCATCCTTCCTAGTTTCGGCTTGTCAGATGTCACGTCTCTTACCCCTGGCTTCGGCACTTTTGCCCATCGCCCAGATACAACAAAGTAGCCGCACGCTCTTTGTGAGTGTGCATATAATAGGTATTAGTATATCGGGATAGGGGGCATCATCCGTGGATTCCATTACGAATTAGTTTAGTTTTTCCCTTTTGACATAGCAGCATCTGCCACTACTACTATCATTACTTACTCCTCGTAGTACCTAGTACTCATCGAGTAATAGTATCAAGCAAGGAACCGAAACTTTTCTATGACTTCATGCCTTCTCCCTCCTAACAAGTCAGGAGACACGAAAGAGGCGCTTATTTAAAAAAAAAAAAAAAAAAAACAGGGTGCAAACACCAAAAATTCACAGCCCCCCATCGGTATGCGCCGCCCGGAAAGGGCAACTCCAGCAGCCCAGCAGCAGCATCACCCAGTCCTGGTATAGTATTACTAGTAGAAACAAAAAAAAAGAAGGGGTTAAAAAAAGATGGAAAGAAAAAATTAAGATAGTCAGCTGAGCTATCCATCCAACCCCCCCCCCCTTGTTCCTTTTGTTTCTCCTCTTCCAAAAAACTGGCTGCGACTTATCGCGATGCCGGACGCACGAATTATGGGGCTGGGCAAACTTGCGGTAAAGCCATCTTATACCACCCGCATACATAGATTACATACCTATCTTGCCTCTTCTTGCTCCCACGTGTTTATATATATATATATATATATATAGATGTATGCTTCAACACTTTATTTTACTAAGTAGACACCATTTTATTCTTCTCTAAAGCTGCACTAATGAAACCACCACTTTATTCACTAGCATTAGCAAAGGGGCATTCCTCCAAGTTCCATTTGCTGATAGAAACAGAGCATCGTTTTTGCTGCTCTGCTCTCACAAAAGCGCCGCCACCACCCTATCCAGGGTCCTCATGCAAGATATGCACAGCGCTTCCTATTCGGGCAAAGGAAGACCCTATTTTTTCTCCGGGAGCTAAAAATCGTCTCCCGCGTTAGTGGAAAAACTGGAACTTCGTGTGTGTACTTGTACAGTATGGTTGACCTTGTTAGTGGAGAAGATCTAGAACATGCTGTCTTGGGTGGCTGTCATTCCTCTTTGGAGGGCTTGCCATCGTGCTCATGTTTCAAGAGACAGAATGAGTGAGAGTGAGAGTGAGAGTGAAAGATGCAAATGGTCACGCGGCTCATGCAGGGATTAATATCAATTCATGCTTTACATAGTCATGGTGGCCATGGTGGCCTTTTATATGGCGGGAACACACAGTAGTACAACGGTTGACAAGACAAGAGATTTTCTTTTTTCATAGAGATACATCTGTCGACTTCATGCCACATCAAGCTTGTCGCGTAAAACTAAAGACAGAGAAGGAGAAAAAAAAGGAAACAAGCAAAAATGCGACTCGGCCCAAGTATTACACAAATACATGCAACTGCCGTGCAGCCTGCCATCCTGTCAAACAAGTTCGAACAAACCATGCTATAGATATGGGATAGTGATGACAAAAGAAAGATGGCGAAGAAAGAAAAGAGAGAGAGAAAAAAATGCACCCGATTCGCTCAAAGGAACATGCCGGCTCTGCAAAACAAGACAAATACCCTACGCAGTTTGCCCTCCAAAAAAGAAGGAGGAAAAATCATGCAGATAACCCACACTGCAAGATGGAGCACCCACTTTCCCAAAACCCGCTTAGGGCAAGAAGTAAGAGGAAAAGGAAAAGCAAAGGAAACACAGACGAACAAGGCTTCCCGACAAATACAGCTTGTTGTTCGACCCTGGCGGATATTTTATCAAACTAAAGAGATGGAAAAATTGCTGCTGCGACTCCCCACAGTCTTGGCTCAAATCACTTGGAATGCTCTCCCGTTTGTTGATCTGCCAATCGTCTTAAACTTCTGGTACTTGCCATCGGCTCCCATCACGTCGAACCGCTGCAACCCCATGGTTCCCTCGGTGTAGCCGCTGAAGTAGTACCCAATCACCACCACAAGGTATGTCAGCATGAGGATGCTGCCCTTGAAGTAGTTACTCTTGCCTTCACCGTATACATAGCTGAGCAAGAATACGCACAGGACAACGGTAACCAAATCCCATTGCGGGAAGAGCAGGGAAAATGTGTACATGGCGGCGTCACCTCCCACAGGAATATTCGGGAAGACGGCCGAGAAGAGTACCAGGCAAGGGATTTGAAGCAGGCACACCTGGAGAGCGTATGCGGAGCCAATCTCCATCGACAGTGCAATGTTTCCGTTCATGGCGAAAGAAATGGCGTTCTAGACATATTCAATTAGTGTCAGCCCAGACAAGAGAAAAAGGAACGTGGGCATGGGTTCAGGGGATTGGGCGGGAATGATCCGTTTTGTGCTTACCAAGAACTCGGTAGTATTGGGGACTAGAGCAAAGAGGGTCAGTCCGAGGAATTTTTGGTCAATGGCAAAGCTCTCCAGCACGACGTCGACAGTGTCGACCAGGATCTCGGCAATTATGGCATACAAGATGGTGGCCCCTAGCAGGATCACAGTACTCTTGGTGCGGCTCCAGTTTGGCGCGTCGTGGCCTCCATGGCCCCCTGCGTGAGCAGTTGCAGCCCCCGCAGTGGCGGCGTCCTCTTCGACATCATGGAGGTGGCTTGCCCGGCTGGCGCCGTGCGGCCGCGGTGTAGCAACGCCGGTGCTGGGCGGCTTATGCGCATATCGGTCACGGGAAGCAATTGTAGCCGCAGTGGCTGCGATCTCGGCAACCTCACGTACGAGAACGCTGTTGTCGACCTGGCTGAGACCGGGGACCTTGATCGTTGGGCGCAAGAGCGGTTGATCCTCATCAGCAGCACCCTTAGGCGGCACTACGTGAGGAGTAGTGTTTAGTCCGCCAGCATCCTGGGCGGCCGTGGAGCTCGGCCGGGAGCCGTCTGGTAAGCCGACCTGCTTTAGAGACTGGCCCAAGATGCGCTTGTAGAGATTCGAATCCCGTATATCAGCCCCGGTACCTTCGGCCGTGGATGGCTGATGCGGGGCTCGAAGGGTGGCCGACGCGTGCATGGCCTCTTCATGTCTCTTTTCTTCCACTTCTGCATTCCAGATGACGGCAGCGTGCGTACGCAGAGTAAACCAGAGTCCGACGAGGTATGAGAAGAAGAGCAAGAAGGCTGCCGCATAGCAGTATGGTCGCACGGCCTCGAGATAAAATCGGTCGTCGAGAGCAGGCACTTGCGAAAAGTAGCACCGGCGGCAATCCCTTGCGGCACCGTCGCCGTTGAGGCCACCATGGGCATAATCTTCGCAGTCCATGCAGTTAAGCTCGTGAGAGCCGTAGATTTGGTAGAATAGCGTCGGACCAAAAGCACCAACCACGGCAAAGAGCAACATGGTGGATGTCACGCCGGCCGACTTGGCGTTGAAGCGCTGGGTCTTTCGCTTCAAGGCGCCAAAGCACATGGAAATGCCCGGCAAGAACAAAATACCGGCGAATATACTTCCCACAATACTTCCTTCGACAAGCTGTCCTTTGCCCTGGTTCAGTGCAACGCAGTAGAGGAAAACCTCAACAACGGTAGCAAAGAAGGCGTTGATGGCAGCGCCCAACCCCATAGAAGACTGAGCAGAGATGGATGCTACGGCCTGGCCAATGAAGTACGCCAGCGGGATAATAGAAAGCAAGCCCGCAGCAAACAAGAAGGCGGGCGACGTGATGAGAATCTCTAGTCCCAGTGTTCGGTCCAGAACGAGCCAGTCGGCGATGACAAAGACCACAACGACCATGAGGTTGATTAGGAAGATGTTTGTACCATCGATGGTATACTTCCAGTACTTTGAACCAACGGCACGATAGGTGCAGACCAGGATAGATGAGTCGGGAGCATCGTCCACTCGAGCGTAGCTGATGTGAGACTCGAAGGATAGAGCGAGAGGATGTCGCCTAAGGTGGTCAAATAGCAGCATGGTTACCTTGCCCATGGGGATCCAAAAGACGAGGAACCAACAAATGCCAGACACGAGAATCAACGATGGTGAGATAAGGCAATAGAAGAAAACGAAGAAGATGATGCGGCCGATGTTCCACTCTCCGCGGCCAAACAGCCTTCGCTTCAAGCGAGGGTGTAGATCGCTAGACTCCCTGCGGCGTCCTCGTCCCAACAAGCTCTCCGTCTCGCTAGGCGGCTCCGAGTCCAAGCTCCTCCTGGAGCGGCCGATGATGGAACGGTGTCTGTCAGGCCCAAAGAATAGGCGGCCGTATTCGAGGTCGCCGTTCTGCCATTGCTCGTATTCCGAGATGCTTCTACCTTCATCCTGATCCTCGTCCAGGTAGGCTTCGTCCTTCTCAAGCCGAATAAACTTGCCAAAAGGGTAGAATATATAGCCCGCTAGACCCCATAGGACTCTTCCATACTCTCGGCCGCTGGGCGCGGCAGCAAACAAAAGGCAGATGATTGCGCCAAAAGCTGCCAAGCAAGCTATCCACCATCCAAAGAATATGGTCCAAACCAAGTTAAAGAGAAGCAGCCAGCTGCTTACTCTGCCACCAGGCGTCGAATGAATATCTGCCTGAGCAAACTTTTGAATCGATCTGTCTTTCTTGTACAACGCAGGCTTCCAAACTCGAATGCCAAAAGGGTGCGTTTGGTTGATGGCCTGTTGTCTGTCTTTAAGGGTAAAGCTTTCGGCTTCGCTGATTTCGCCTTCAGACTCGCAGTCAATATGCTCGTCTAACGGTAGTTCCTCTTCCTCTTCATGTTCTTCTCCCGCTTCACTATTTTCGTCGTCTCGTTCGGATTCCTGCTCCTCCTCAGCACTGCGATATGACTGGATGCGGGTGAGCCCTGAGGGAGGTTGTTGGCGTCGGCGCGTTGATAAGCCCGCGCGGCGTTCGGCGGCGTCTGCCTGGACTTCGTGGGCGTCGTCGTCTACGGAAAACACTGCGCCTTTGTGTGGTGTATTCGCTGACGTGCGCCGCGACAATGGCGGCTTTCGCAGGCGGGTGTAAGACTGACTCCTTTCGGGGCCTGCGGCAGACGTAGAACGGCCTGCAACAGCCTGAATGTTTCGCGCTGCCTGTTGGCGATCGATGGAGGGCTCGCCTAGTGTTTGACTGCTTCTGATGCTCGATGACCCCTGGATGGTGCCTTTGACGGGTTAGCATCTCCAACCTCAGAATCTCGCTTGGGTATGACAGTATCGTTTGTCCTACCATATCCCTCGGGTCGCCGCCGTACGGTGTCTGTCGACTGACTGTTTTCTGGCACGCCTTCGCCAATTATCGACGAATGCCTGGACAGGGGATTCGTTCGTGTGTCTGTCGGTGACATCATGCCAGAGGAAGTGCTGGCGCGATGCGCTGGAGGCGCGTTGTCCTGCTGCGGAGGATCCATGGCGGTCGAGGCGAGCAGCGACGATGCCGCGACGCAGTTGACGATGAGCTTCTCACGCCTGCCGGACGAGAGCTAGGCAGGTCAAATAGAAAGGGAAGAAAAGGCTGAGATAACGTCCGACGTCGAGGGTATCCCTGTCGCCCAGCGGCCTAGATAGATCGGGCTAGTGAGCTCTAGCAGTGTGGAGGGGCGCTGAACACGGGATCAGGGAGAGAGTGTGTCGATGATGGTGGCTTGAATTTGTAGCATCAGAGACATGGGGAAAAGACACGTAAAGGGGTGGTGGGAGCGTGCCGTGAGCAGAGAAAGCGTGGAAGAGCCAAAGAAGACGGGCGGTGGTGATGTGGTTTAAAGCCAGAGCCTTGGAGAGAGGAAGCGGACGAGGTAGAAGTAGAAGTGGAAGCAGCAGCAGGCAGCGCTAAATAGAATTAGAGCTAATAGCTGAGGCTCGGCCTCACCTCTTGCCAGGCCGACCGGCGATGGAACTCTAAAAGACGCTTCACAGTGCCAAAGTGCCGAGTAATAGGCCCGGATCGCTTTTATCGCCTGAGCCACGGCCAACCAGCGATGTCTTCCCTTTGTCTCTTCAGCCGTACTCGTACTCTTTGCAGAGGCGCTGTGCTGGAGCTTCTGCAGGATGACACACTATTAATACGCGCAGCCCGCTTTTCGCATGGCATGCAGCGTCTCCCTTGCTTGGTCACAATGAACGGCTCGAGAAAACAAAGGCCGGGGAAGAAAAAAACAAAAACAAAAACAGGGCATCCTTGGGCTCTTCACCGTCCGGCGGGCCGCTCGCACGACTTTTGCGACCTATCGCCTGGCACATCTTGTGATCCGCCGGGGCTCATCCAGTTCGTGACCTGCAAGGCCTGCTCTTGGCGGCTGTAGACAACGTCATTGTGCTTATCTTTGGCGGTGGCACGATGGACAAGATGATTAGAAAAACGCGCCGGTTGCTGCCCAATGGATACAGCAAGTATGGAGAATTATCATGCGCTTTAGATTAGGTACTCTGGCGAATTTTGGTAGCGGTGAATGGTAAATGGCGGGCTTTGAGTGGGTAGAGAGATGGAGATGGATCTTGTTCATCTACATTCGCAAGGCACTTACACACATTAGCATGTCGACTGTACAACAGATAGCCGCTGGAGCTTGAGACTAAAACGGTGTGGCTTTTGACGTGCATGCCTCGTCCTTAGCAGCTAGTCTCGCTTTTGGCATTCTGCAGCCTTTTATTGGGTGCACAGGCTGCTTAGCACGGTGCTACACCGAAGTACTGCCCGGAGTCCAGCTCAGCTCAGCTCCCGCTGCGCGGAGCCCGGCAGATGGATATTCCGCTGCCCAACGACAGCCCGCCCTGCTAGGCCAGGCCGCCTGGCTTACGAGCACCAGCTGTAGCCTTGTGCAGCTTCAACCTTGGCCCCAATTCGTCTGTACACTAAGCAGCAACTTCCTACCATTCCGCATTCCACTCTATACGAGAACCATCTTGACGACGCATATCACGGCCGCAGCAGATCCCCCAAAGCGCCATCACCGATTCTCTCTCCTCCTCCCTTTGCAACCCCACCCAGAGCCCGCCCAAGATGGCGCTCGACGAGTACTACCGCAACAAGATCGAGGCGATGAAGCTAGAGATCCTCAAGGGTCAAGCTGCTCTCCGCCGTCTCGAGGCCCAACGCAATGACTACAATTCCCGTGTCCGGTTACTGAGAGAGGAGCTGGGCCTGCTACAACAGCCCGGATCCTACGTCGGAGAGGTCGTCAAAGTGATGAGCACCAAGAAGGTTCTCGTCAAGGTACATCCCGAAGGCAAATATGGTTGGTCATCACCATCATCATCGCTATAAGACACCTACGTCCCCACAGCTACTAACTACTCTCTTACCCCAGTTGTCGATGTCTCCGATAATGTCGAAATCGCCAAGCTTACCCCCGGAAAGAGAGTCACACTGCTGTCAGACAGCTACAAGCTAGAGAAGATGCTGCCGTCATCCGTCGATCCCCTAGTATCGCTCATGATGGTAGAAAAGGTCCCCGACAGCACATACGACATGATTGGTGGATTGGATCAGCAAATCAAGGAGATCAAGGAGGTTATCGAGCTGGGTCTTAAGCACCCGGAGCTATTCGAGTCTCTGGGAATTGCCCAGCCCAAGGGTGTCCTGCTATACGGACCCCCAGGTACAGGAAAGACCCTGCTGGCCAGAGCTGTGGCCCACCACACAGCTTGCAAGTTTATTAGAGTCTCTGGTTCGGAGCTGGTGCAGAAATACATTGGTGAAGGTAGCCGAATGGTCCGAGAGCTCTTCATCATGGCCCGAGAGCATGCTCCATCAATCATATTCATGGACGAAATCGACAGCATTGGTTCCTCTCGAGTAGAGGGCTCATCAGGTGGTGACTCCGAAGTCCAGAGAACCATGCTGGAACTGCTGAATCAGCTGGACGGTTTCGAGCCTACCAAGAACATCAAGGTCATCATGGCCACGAATCGTCTCGACATTCTCGACCCCGCCCTGCTGCGACCCGGCCGTATCGACCGCAAGATTGAGTTCCCTCCGCCAAGCATCGAGGCACGAGCCGACATTCTCCGAATCCACAGCCGAAAGATGAACTTGACCAGAGGCATCAACCTCACCAAGATTGCAGAGAAGATGAATGGCTGCTCCGGAGCCGAGCTGAAGGGTGTGTGCACAGAAGCGGGCATGTACGCCCTCCGTGAGAGAAGAGTTCACGTCACACAAGAGGACTTTGAGTTGGCAACAGCCAAGATTCTCAACAAGCATGATGATAAGGAGGTTTCCCTCGGCAAGCTGTGGAAGTAATTGGGTCGCGTTTTTTTCAAGCAAATACATACAAAAATACACACACACAAAATTGTATGCCGCGACCTCGGTTTTGTTTTATAGAACAGAATGGCAGTAACGGAATTGGAGTTGTATGGATAGTTGAATTATACCATTATTCGGGTATCAACCCCCCCTAGCTCCCTTTTACATTGGCACCATCTTCAGATACGTGCTAAATGAGTAACGAAATTGTATCATACAACAACTACCTAAAAAGAGACAAGCCTCTCTATTTTCCCGCTCGAAATCTCGGGCTGTTCAAGTGCTAGTAGATGAATGAAGATCAGCGATATATATATACTCTATGTCTATACTTGGTTCGAAACTGATCTTATTTTCGCTGACTGGCCTCTCCTTCAGGGGAGAACACTCCATGCAGACCTTTATATCCGGCGGTCTCTGCGGGCTTCCACCCGCTCTTTTGCAAGAGCTCCTTGTCTTGGAGCTGGTACACCTTGACGTGTAAGGGACGGCAGACCTTGATCATCTCTTTCTCGCTGTCACTTCCAAAACCCCAGAGGGAAAGATCACCACCGGGACAAGTACCTGTGAGAAGCAGTTAGTCAGTCAATTCTGCCGTTCTTAAAAAAAAAAAAAAAAAAAAAGCCTCGGATCCATGTATGAAATCAAAACATACTCAACGCCATGAGCACATCCTGCTCTGCCAGGAACTCAATCGAATCGCCCTTCTCAGCCGGACAAGGACTCATAAAATATCGTCCCTTGTCATCCAACCCGGTAACCTGGAACAAGTTCAACACATCGTGGACGTCATCCTCTCTCAGTCCCCACTTAGCCACAGCCCGGCTCAGGTTCGAGTGGCAGTGGAAGTCGTACTGCGATCCGGACAGCACGGTGTTGATGTACGGGTCGCAGCGCGTGCCCAGCAGGTCGTGCACGCGGCCGCCGTTCTCGTCCTGGCCATACCATGCGAGGCTGTCGGAGATGATGGTGACGAGGGGCCGCATGTAGGGGAGGTTGGACCAGAGGCGGTCGTGGGTGGTGACGTGGGTGGAGTGAAGCTGGCGGGTGCGGGAGGCCCAGAAGCGTTCACGGGGGTTGTGGCGGTTCCAGATGTTGAGATCGCCTTTTTTTGGTATGATGTTAGTGTTTTGGCATGCAATTGCTTTTTGTGGAGTTGAGCCCTTATATAGCGGGTTTTATATGAAAACAATATCGGAGAGTGATGTGATGTCCATATATAGAGAGCAACGGCAATGGCATGGTGTATGTAACTTACCAACCTGCGGTCCTTCGGGCGTGCTAATCTCAATAATCGATCCAGCTGGTGCCTCCCAAGCCCTGCCCGATCGAATGGGCACGGTGAACTCTTCAATGAGAACTCGCGGGGCCTGCTGGATTGCAGCGTAGAGATCCTTGTCGACGCTCAAGGGGGATCCGGCAGTTGGGAGATATGCCGGGACGGGTTTGGGGACGGGCTTGCGGGCCTTGAGGCGCTCTTCTGGGGATTGGGACATGATTGAAGCTTCCTGCTCTAATGATCCCCTTTCAACTCTTTTTTGAAGATGACGATGAGTCTGATGAGTCTTTTTTCATATCAGTGTTCTGAAAGGAGAGAGAGAGAGGCTTGTGCGTCAACTAACATTGAAACTTCAAAGCTGGCTGTTAACGGATATAGTCTTGTTCTACCGTAGAGTCTCGACAATGGTTAACAGATCTTTTTGCGAAGACTCTCGGAAATGTGTTTATCCCAACTCTCACAAAATCCAATTATCGCGCCCTTATTCTAACAACCGCAAATAAACCGCACCTTATCCCCCCTCCCTCCTCTCCTTCTCCATCGCCTTCATCGGCCTACAATGCGGAGGGCGATGACTAAGTAAAAACCACAAGCTCTTACATTGTGGGGATTTTTGGC